TCCCAAATGTGGTTAGTAGCTATTGTCTAATAGTATTCACAGTTTCTTAATCTTTTCTTCCACTTAATCAGAAGTGATCTTTGAACAAAACCAGGTGAGGAAAGAAACTCTACTAGATTCCTCTGATTTGAGTTTTTGCAAGAACCATTCTTCTCAAATGGCTGCTCTTGACTACCTCATCTCTCTCGAAAGTGATATATTCGTCCCTACTTATTATGGGAACATGGCCAAAGTAGTGGAAGGTCATCGCAGGTGAATCTTCTTTTTCTAATCTAAAGAAAACGTAAAAGTGTGTTTTTCTTTCATCAATGGGCTAAGGGAAATGAACAACATATACAGGTTCTTGGGGTTCAAGAAGACGATTGAGCTGAACCGTAAGTTCTTGGTGAAGCTCATAGATGATTACTACGAAGGATTGTTGAGCTGGGAAGTGTTTTCAACGACGGTGAAGGCCTTTCACGCTACACGGATGGGAGGTCCTAAGAGACGGCTTGTGATTCCGAATAAACCGAAAGAAGAAGACTACTTCTATGCCAATCCATATGAATGTCTTCAGCTGCTACATGAGAATAGTGGCAATTCACTAGAAGAAACGATATGATCTCACGGAGGTCTTCTGGTACAAATGCAGGACATGGATGGGTGAATAATGGAGTTATATATAATCTATCAATCTTGAGGATGGAGGTTTTGAAACAGATTATGACAAGTTATTTAGGGTTCTTTGGTGTACAGAGACTTCTGAACAGCTTCCATCGATGCAGAAGAAAGGTTGAAACTTTCTTTGTAAAGTCCTTCGACAGTAGCATCATCATCATTATCAATTTATCATCATCCATGGGGAATGCAGTTTTGGTAGCTAAATAAAAATGCAGTGTGAAATTATGTTACACATTATTATTACTAGTGTTATTATTTGACAAATAAATAATTGTTCTATTTCAGTTTTCTTTTGCAATCATTGAATCTTTGAATAAGTTAAATTTTGGCTGTACAAGAAACTAAAATTTTAGATTGCCAAAAAAATGGGTTGTTGTTATTATCTTTTGGTCCCGAGGGGCTTTTGTCTTCTTTCTTCATTCTTCAAATCTCAATCGCTTTCTCCTCTGGAATCAAATCTAGCCGTTGGAAAACTGATATCGACAATTCCGAACAAGATTTTATATACCACAAAAACGATCTAAAAACCACATTTATCGGTTCAGAGATTCGTATTTCTTCACCTATAACGATACAAAAGATTGCTTATCATAAGAAAATACGTACAAGTTTGTCACACTTCAAAGAAATATAAGTTACTCGTGATGCATGCATATATAAACGAATGTTACAGTTTCTAATATAGTATAAGCCGCCTAAATATACGAATACATTGCTTGCAACAAAAAAAAAAACAAACCAAAACATTTTTTTTTTGTAAACATACATTTATATATAGGCCTGATTAACATTTCTTCACACATATATAATGAAACTCAAAGTTTTTTAAAGTGCTACTAAATCAATTATGGATTGGAGTCCTTTTCCTACCCTTCATACGTGAAGGATAGTCGCTTCTCATTAGATTATCCATCTCTTTTGCTGATTCTTTGGAGAGTTCTAAACCTTTTCTTGATCTTCTATTTGTTTCAGAGTCGTCTGGTTTTAAACTTCTTATCTGCCATAAGACATACAACAAAAATAGGATTTTATATTAGAAAACAAAAAAATACTTGCTAATACGAAATCTTCCTCAGTAAACTTGTAATGTTTATGTCTATGTATATATTCACAACTAAGATTAAGATTTCCGTTATAAGAAAAAAAAAAACATTCAGATTTTACTAGTTGTAAAATGAAGTATTCAATCGTTCATTAGCTTATTAGTATTAACTAGCGCTAATTTTAAAGTTTGATACAAGTTTCCATTTGTGTACCTTTCGTCCCGTCAAGAGAGGCTCACTTCCGCCATAATCTTCATATTTGGATCCACCTACATCTATATTTCCACTAATATAAGTTCTCGATCAAGTACAACATTAGCTTCGCATGTTTAACCGTTATACGTTTAATATATCACCTCAACGACAAGACACACATATAAATATGACATGTCATCGTCAAGACGAAGAGCACATACACATAAGTGCACATACATACATATATACATCATGACGAGGAGATACAGCACACACACGTATATAACATAAGAGATCAACTAATTCAGAGGAAAAAATTATAAAACTAAGAGTTTTTGTCATTGGACAGACCTTGAAGCGCATGAGGAAGATCCATCAACATCACGAGGACGAGGCATCCTAAAACGAGTGTGATTAACTTTTCGTTCCTGTTCTTCATCTCCTTTGCCTTTTTTCAGTATTAAGAATCGAATAGGATTTAATTTGATGTGAACTAGTGAAGCTCATTTATATACAAGCTTAGCACTATGATATGTACTTGTATATATATATATATAGTGAAAGCTAGGGTTTTCCGACAGTTCTATAGGCAAGACAAAAAGGCACTTCTCATCGGTAATTGTTAAAGCTTAGCTATAAATAAAATACAGTAAAATCTTTCCAGAAACAACGTTTGGCAGATTAATCGGTCAAACAAACTTTTAACAATTTTCGTCATTTAGTTATTGCAAATTTTCATAGTCATATTTTGGATGATATTATTCCATTGCCGATGGAATATACAATACGAGTGGTATATCAAACATTTGTTATTAATGACTGGAATTATATCTAGAGAATATTGTACTTTTTATACGGGAAATTCAAAAAAAACATTTTAAGAACTTGAACTAGTAAATCAAGAAAGTCGGTACCGACATGGGGTATAAATTAAAAGACAGATTTTTCTTGAAGAAATCAAGGAGGCATGGGGAAGTTTTCATGAGTTTAAGTGCCCTAAAGGCCTAAAGTAACATTGGAGTTTTAAGTTATTAGTAAATCTTTGGCCACTGCTTAGGGTTTCTAAATAAAGCATCTCCATTTATACTTCCAAAAATCTTTTTTATCCATGGATTTGCTAAAAAGTACAGTATATGTTATTATCTTTACGTCGAATTTGATATATTCCTTTTGAGACACAAGGGCGGGTAATCCGATTCAATCCCTGTGACCTTGTGGGTGTGAATGCTTAGAAATAAGAAAAAATGTTATTGAATTAGAATCATATCTTTATTTAAAGAGAAATATATAACGGCTACATTTAATTAATATTATGACTTCGTTAGATGATTTCATATCTTTTACGAGTTAAAGTCATCCTTCAAGATGGCATAAAAACCACATGTACATCATTCGAGAGAAGGCTACAACTTATAGCCTTTTCTTCTTGCATATTCAAGTGATTTTACAAATCATGATATCACTCACATACGAAAACATTTGTATGTATACTATACAACATTAAGAAGAGGACAATTATGTGATTGGTGAAGTTGTAAAGTTACTTCCAATTAAATATAAAGATGTCCAATTCATATGTATAAATTGTATATACCTTTGATCGCATCGAGATATCATTGTTACCGATGGCCACATGACCATGGTGATGATCTTTACCTCTTGCTCCAACTAACTTTTTACAAATATGACAAATGGATCAATCACTGTCAAAAATATTATATGAAAACAAAAAAGAGAGAAGAAACAAGAGGTCGAACTTTGAAATGCCAAATGAAGAATCATTAAGACGAGACACAGTAAAGCGACGTTTATTAACTTGGCATAACTCCATTGCTTCATCTCAAGTAAATCAATCAGAATAGTGGAGAGGGAAGACCCAAAAAGGAAGATATTTCTTGACGGTTTTTAGATATTACCTTATGTTTTGGTATGTTATACGTGTTTATATATTCATGAATACCAACATCAAAAAAGAAGATTCAGTAGATTCAACTCAGTTTTAACAATTTAGAGTGGCAATTTAGTGAATATATATCTAGTACTAGTAAATTAAGCACAAGCAAAATAAAGTCAAATGCAATTATTATTTTTCACGAGCTGCATCTATCTGTACTTAGGCTGATTAGGAATTTAGGACCAAAATATGAACTACTTGCTAATGACACGTTACTCAATTATTTCTGTTAAAAAGTCAATAAAAAAAAAACTTTTCGAAAGTGCATACCCAAAGAACAACGAAAAGTCAACGCAAGGGCTTGGCCACGACGATTCTCTGTATTTAACTTGCCCTTAAAGAGTTACGACAATAACTAACAGACCAACTAGAATATGAACTTCACGATCTTCTTGTTCTGCGCCGAAGATACCTCCTTCGATCATTACAATTCTCTTACTGGTGTCTGTTGTGCCCATGTTTCTAAGAAGCAGTTCCGCATATTTAGAAAAGCAATTCCGAGTTCCGCCGACTCAGACTTGTTAACTACTGTAAGCTTGAAAAGTGTTTAAACGTGTCAAACTTTAGCCGTCCACGCAAGATTTGATTTTAATTGAACGTTGGATTTATTTGTTTCAATTATGGTATATTGGTGTGACACGTAGGATTCTGTTAAGACTGTTTGTGTGTATTTTCAGTTTCACGCTATTCATAGACTTCTATTGTTTGGGCCGCTTATTCAGCAATTCATGGGCCACATTCTAAAATGTTCGATTAGCCAAAGTTAAAGTGGTAATTTTGTAGAGAGGCCCTTGATGCAACTTTCAAATTGTAGCAAGACAGGAGATTCCGTACCAAAAACCCAGGCTCTGAAGCGATAACAGGATTAAATCAGCAAGCAAAGACAAGAGACTGTGACACCAAGATTAAAGGAGTATGATTTTTATTATTGAAACAAAAAAACAAAAAGCTCAAAAGATAAAATGTCTCCATCTTTAAATAGAACTACACAGTCACTATTTAAATAAAACTCCGGCGACTAAGAAAGCAACTGAAGCATCGCCGGAAAACTGTAACACAAAAGCACAAAAAAAACAAAAGGGAAAAGATAGATGATAGGTTTGAGCTAAGAACCAAAACTGCGGTGGTGGTTGTTCTCTTGTCGCTGCTCAAGCTTTAGTGGCCGGGTTAAGCTCATCCCAAGCTTCAATCCAAGTGACCATAGCATCAGCAAGCTTGTCAAAGTAAGGGTCAATGGCGCTGAGCTTCTCCTTCACCAGCTTGGACAGCTCCAAGTAGCACTGTTGAACAGTCACGGCTTCTTTGGAGAGCTTTGCGCTCTGGAAGAAAGGAATGATGTCCTCCTGCCAGAAGATTCCCTTGTACTCCTTCTTCAGGTTCACAAATGGGTTGCTCGCCTTGCTGTGGTAAATGTAGGGCAGACCCGTCTTCACTCCCAATCCCAAATGGTCACAGATCACCTGAGGAACAGAACAGATTCATACGATATTGGTGAGTGAGTATGCGAAAAAGAGTCTCAAGGAGCGGAATGGGAGCAAAAGAGTGTCAAGAGTACCTTGATACACCATCCAGCCCACATATCGTCGTAGCGACCAATAGGCTGACCATCACCCATGAGACCAAAGTACATAGCCGGGCCGATGAGCTCACGGTCAAAGGCCAAGTTCATGCCACACATTGGGAATAGTGTTCCCTTTGGGATGGTCATCACAGCATCCACATACCTAGTGTTCCTCTCCTTAGGCTTGACGAGTTGGGTTGGGGCATCGTAATCAGGGATGTTGAGCCAGAGACCATGGGAGACAGCAGTGGAGACACCCTCACGGAGACTGAAAGGGTATCCACGGACGAAATCAGCACCTTCCTGGTATGGATCGTACAAGGTGTTGAAGAAGAATGGTGTTGATGGGCACAGAAGGTTCTTGATGTGTTGCTCAAGAGCGTTCACAGCTTTGCCAGATGGATCCTTTGCAACCTATAATTCATGCCCCAAGAAAAAATTATAAATTAAGTGACCACGAGGAACAACACGTTACACGTGATTAAACCAACACATCAACATCAATGCTACAATCATGGCGTAACTGAAAAGTGAAAACTCAATTCCACAAAAAAATCCTTAAAGAAGGGAATTAAAGTTTGAGACTTTTCTTTCAAAAAAAAATGTGTGCAGGACAATGACATGCATGAATCTTGTGAAGTTTACTGTTATGGCATCACTAAGACTAAGATCATGACCAGCTACAATCAATGCCAACGAACATACATTATAACGATTGCAATTCAGAAAAAAAAAACAGATCGAGAACAATTAAGCCGATGAATGTATAGATCTGTGATCAAAACAGTGTTGACCTAGAGAATTGGAAATCGATTTCAATTTTCAATTTTGAGATCTGCTAAATCTATCGACACTATCACCAGATCTCGCATAGACCCAAAACAATCGAAAACAGATCTATAATCAGAATTGAGAGCAAAAAAAAACAGAGTCCCGATAACGAAATTGGAGAATTGTGGGAACTTACGAAGCAATCGTCGTCAATGGTGAAGATGTACTTCTTCTTGGAGACCATGTAGCCGAAGCAGCGACAGGCAGAGTCCTTGAAGGAAATGCAGGAAGCTTTGGGGCCGAGGATACGGTTGATGTCGTTCCTGTTGTAGAGCTCGTAATCGAACCCTTCAGGCACAGCAATGGTCTTCGACGGATCTCCGTCCTGGACGATGATCAGATGGTACGGCTGGAGGAAAGGCCTCCACATCTCGAGGAAATCCAGGTTACGGATCGTAGGGATGACGATGTCGAGCTCATCCTTCAGCAATGCAAGGTGGTTAATCGGGATTCCAACGGTATTCGCCGGATCAACCATGATTGATTCGATTCACGGAGGAGAGTGGAGAAGGAGAGAGAGATTTGAGATCGGGTTTTGAAAAACTTAGATGGACTCGAAGACCGTCGCTCTCATTTTATAACAGATCCGGCACGTGCGAGGGATTTGTGTGAGGGTTGACACGTGGTCGAATAAGACTTGTTCACCAGGTCAAAAGGAACTTTAACCTTGTTATGGTGAGAAAGTGAAGACTTTTCTATTTTGTCTCTTGATGTCCGTATTCTATGGTTAGGCAAATCTTTTAATTCGGAGTTGCAATATTCTTTTGTCTTTACTGGTTTATAATTTACTTTACTTAATATAAATAATTTGCCGAAAATTAGAAGCTTATTATCTTGACCAGAGAATATGTTTTTGGTACTAATCTCCCACACACAAAAAAAAAGTTAAAATCTTTTGAACAAGTATACTTCATTACTTCTGAACTATATCCATACTTTTTAATCAATTAATTAATTGACCAGATATAATACGTATAAACTTGTATACATTCGTTTTGAATTGATTTGTCTTGTTACAGCTTTAGTTTTGAGTTCTGTGTCAATAGGTTTGCTTTTTACCATTAATTCTCATGAAAACATTACATTTCTTTGCAAAAACAAGTACACAAGTTTCGATGTAAAAAGTGCAAAAGACTGTTAAATTTTACTAGGATTTTGTTAATTACGATAAGAAAATGTTTTGTTTTGGTTTAATTTTAGAAACTGTTAATAATTAATACTAGCTTCATATTAATGTTTTTGTATTTGTATCAGATTGAGACTTTAGAGAGTTTAAGAGTGATTGAAAAGTTGAAAATATTAGGTTCCGTTTAGCTAACGTTATAAAAGAGATATTATAGCTAACTATTTAATTCGTTTCGGTTTAAAATGGTTTCTTACTTGAATTAGTTACATTAACATAAATGTATCCAAGTGTCGTGTGTGCGTTTATAACAAACAAACAAAAAGTCGTCTGTGCGAATTAAAAGATGGTAGATATAAAACCGAACAATAATTAAGTACTTTTAATTTGACCTGAGAGTAAGGGTGTTAATCACATGCAAATAGGTTTTCTTTATGTGTAATTGTTAATTTAAAACTGAATACTGTACTGATTTACTATGGAACGGAGGAACATTCGCATGTGGGAATCTCTTAAACTATTTTTTAATTTCGACATTCCTCTGAGGGGTTTAGACGAAGTTTGAGTGTATAATATTTGAAGTTATGTTTGATAATTTGCAGGAATACGGATAATAACTGTTAACTAGTTTTTCATATTGGGTCTTACTGAGTTCCAGAGGTTTTAATGGAATACAGTATTATCAACAAATATAATTGAACCTTTTAATCTAAAGAACCATTATAAAAATCATTGGAATTTGATCTATATATACGTCGTGGGTCGCTCGTTTATGCACGTTGCCTGTGATCATTGCATGCATCGTGAAAAAAATCCTAGGTGGCTAGGTCATCCATAAAAGATTACATGAACATGAACATATAATCATTATTACATCATATATAATAGATCTCACATTTTAATAAGAAAAACTCGAACATCCAACTGGAAAAGATAATAAAAAAAGCTCTCATCTAGTCTTAAGATATATATAGACGTAGTCAATTCAATCAAATTAAACAATGGACATTTACATTTTTTTAAGAAAGTTTACTGAGAACAAGTATGATTAGCGAAAAAACGAACAACACATCACAAATGCTACTGAGATACATGGGCTTTCGAATTGTATATGGTTGGCCCATTGTAATTACATATTCCATTCAATGTGTTTTTTTAAATCCATTGATTTAAAAAACTAAATTCAAAATGATAAAAAGGTCAAAAAAACCCTAAGAGCATCTCCTTTCTTCGCTCGCCGTACCTATCATCTTATTCCAGATAGAACCATTTTCTCTGATTTTCTCGGATCTAAAATCTCATACACCAATTCGACGACAAGTTCTTTCGACACTTCCGGATCCTTGAAATCTCGAAGCTCTCGGCGGGGAAGAAGATGGGATCACGGCAGGGACCACCGAAGCACCAGAACAAATTCGCCTGGGTGCCCAAAGCCGGTGTGAAGATCAACGAAACCGTAATCAATTCTTCTCTGCTAGTTTAACGAAATTTCAGCTAATAGTGTAATGTAGAGCCTTAATTCTGCCGGAAATTTATGGTTTTTAGGAAGTCGGAGGGAGATTCAGACCACTATCGGAGATAACCGGAGTCTGCCATCGCTGCCGAGAGCAGATCGCTTGGAAACGAAAATACGGCAAATACAAACAACTGACTGAAGCCACCAAATGGTATCGTTGTTGATTGTAGCTAGGCTTTTGTAAATCATCTTCTCCGTTTCAAATTTGAATCGAGCTGATTGTTTCTCTTTGGATAAAATCTATGTGCAGTCAGAAATGTACAAAGCGTAATGTTCGTCAAGCATACCATAAGCTGTGTACTGGTTAGTGTTTTGATTCTTGTGCTTTTGTTATCTTACTGATAAAGAAGAAGAATGAGAGTAGTAAAGTGATGTGAAATTGTATGAAACTGATGCAGGCTGTGCCAAGGAACAAAAAGTTTGTGCAAAGTGTTGTTCTCGTGCTGATCAAATCATGGGAAGGTAAAATTGAACCTTCAAGCAGTCTTTCTTTTGCTTTAGCTAGATGCTTGTTTTGTTAAAAGAGTGATTCTTAGCTAACTTGGAGGTAACATTTTGTCCTTGGCAGAGATATTTACGAGGTTGAGGCTGAACAGAAGTTGCTTGATGAGGTTAGTCTATAGATCATTTCTGCTTCTTCTGGTTTGTGAAAGTCTCATTTCCTTCTTATCGAAGCTTAAAAGAAGCTGTGGGTTTTTGACTTAAAAGTTTTATGCTTTATGAATGTGTTGCAGACTATCAAGAATGCTAGGGAAAGAGATCGAAGGACGCTTTTGCGCGCTGTAAGCTTCTTAAACCCTGAACTCTTTTGAACTATATATGGTTTTGAATCTTATAGATCATAGTGTATGAGATTCTAAAGCTGTGTAATTTGCATGACACAGATGAACAAAGATAACCAACCGAAAAGCTCAGATGAAGATGTGACAAGGAGCGGTAGCAGCAAGGTTGGTGATGTGTTTCCGTCAACATCCCTTGAAGAATATGCAAACAAGTCTGGAAGAGTTAGCGGGATTGCTGGTCATAGCCATGTTGCTGATGATGAAAACGATGATGATGGTGATGATTGTGGTGCTAGTGAACCTGAATCAGATGAGGCTCACAGTGATGGTGGTGATGATGAGCATGACTTGCGCGAAGACAGTGATGCAAATGAGCAGAAGTAAACTCAATTTTGGTTGTAGTTGTGTTAATTTTGATAGCATTGTGAGATTTTGCAAAGCTCTGATTATCTTTGTTGTTTTTGATAAACTTTACTTTGTTACCTGCAACTGCAAGACTAGCAAACGATGCTATAAAGCAAAGATTTTGGATGAATACATTTTATATGTTGGGCTAGGCTTTTAAACGGGTCTAATTGTTGTTCCTTGTCGGCCTATTTTAACATTAGAGCGTGTACAAAACTCTTTTGTGAGACTCTGGAAAAGTCCTTGGATTACTAAATAATAAATGTGAAGAAGAATGTTTGAAATTGTATAAATAAATCATAAATGCGAAGCTAAGTGTGCATAAATGCTTGTGCATTAAGTCAAATTATTACACTTGGCACGAAAAATAACAACAATCTCTTCTCCCACTAAAGCAACCTTCTTTTGGCTTTCATTTATCTCTCTCTCTGCAAGAAAATCCAAAAGCTGGATTTCTCCATTTTCAATGAAGTCTTTAAACCTCATTTATAACCAAGATTAATTACAAAGGCTACGATGCTAATTGGTCTAAAATCTATAACCTTTACATTGTTGTTAATCAATTTGACTTATCTGCTAAGCATTTTTTCCAAAGTTTATATTACGTCGAGCTTCTTCATCCTTGTCTTGTCACTTGTCAGACTTTAGATTAAAGAAGACGAACAGTTTCTCTCTCTATCTCTCTCTCCCTCTTTAAGGAAAATGGGTTTCTTGTGTTCTTCTTCAATCTTCTTAAAGCTCGGAATTTCGATAATCTTTCTGGTTTTCTTCTCAGGTTATACTCCTGCAGGTAAAGATTCCATCTTTATCAAAGCTTTTGTCCATGGTTTGCTGTTGAATCTCGTGTTTCCTTTCTAGGGCTTTACTTCATATCTGAGTCTTAGTGCAACTCTCATTCTGGGTTTAGTTGTTTTTCGAAATCGCAAGGAGCTTGTGTTTATTGAGTTCCATAAGTTTGAAATTGCTTATTAGTCAGTCTCAAAGAGAGGATCTTGGTGACATTTCATCTCCATTGCTCTGTTAACACAAAAAGAGAGAATCTTTACAAAAAGCTTCAATTATTGTGTGTGCGCTCTAATGATGGTGTTGCTTTTGTGATTGTTTCAGAAGCATATGATCCATTGGACCCAAGTGGGAACATCACTATCAAATGGGATATCATAACCTGGACCGGAGATGGCTATGTGGTAATGTACACACAAAATTATCTTCATTTTAAGCATTTCTTGAAATCTTCTTCTTCACTGTGTGTTTCTTTTGAAAATCTTGTGCAGGCGACTGTAACGATATACAATTTCCAGCAATATCGCCACATTCAAGCTCCAGGCTGGACAGTTGGATGGTCATGGTCAAAGAGAGAGGTCATATGGGGAATGAATGGAGGACAAACAACAGAGCAAGGAGACTGTTCAAAGTTCAAAGGAAACATTCCTCATTGCTGCAGAAAAACACCTTCTGTTGTTGATCTCTTGCCTGGGACTCCTTACAATCAGCAGACCGCTAACTGTTGCAGAGGCGGCGTGCTTAACTCGTGGGCTCAAGATCCATCAACCGCTGTTTCTTCGTTCCAGCTCACAGTTGGACAAGCTGGAACCACAAACAAAACCGTCAGGGTACCGAAGAACTTCACTCTCAAGGCTCCTGGACCTGGCTACACTTGTGGCCCTGGCAAGATTGTTAAACCGACCAGATTCATTGGTACTGACAAACGAAGAGTTACACAAGCTTTAAGTAAGTTCTTGACATATACCAAAGTTTCTAGCTTTTTAAGTCAAACTGAAACTAAAGTTGGTTTTTTTTTGTTTCCTCTGCTGTGTACAGTGACTTGGAATGTAACTTGCACATACTCGCAGTTCTTAGCTCAGAAGACACCTACTTGCTGTGTCTCGCTTTCTTCCTTCTACAACAGCACAATAGTTCCATGTCCAACATGCTCTTGTGGATGCCGAAACACTTCTCAGCCAGGGAATTGTGTAGAGTAAGTTTCTTCTCATAGCTCTCTCATCATTACCTGAAAAGAAAAATCTGTTTTAAGTTATACTTTGTACAAAACGCAGCTCAAAAGGTCCAAAGATTGCATCGGTTGTTCCAAATCAAGGGAAGAACGTGTATAAACCGCCACTAGTCCAATGCACAAACCATATGTGTCCTGTTAGAATCCACTGGCATGTCAAGACTAACTACAAAGCTTACTGGAGAGTTAAAGTCACCATCACGAATTTCAACTACAACATGAACTACTCGCAGTGGAATCTGGTCGTGCAGCATCCGAATTTCGATAACCTCACTCAGACTTTCAGCTTCAATTACAAACCCTTGACTCCTTATGCTTCTATAAGTAAGTTTATAACCATCCTTACAATCCAGCATCAGTTTCTTGTTTACCATATAGAAAGATTAAACAATCTTGAATGTGTTTTTCTTTTGTTTCTTTGATGTGTGTATAGATGATACTGGGATTCTGTGGGGAGTGAAGTTCTACAATGATCTGTTGATGCAAGCTGGACCATATGGTAATGTACAATCGGAGCTGCTTTTCCAGAAAGAAGCATCAGCTTTCACACTTGAGAAAGGTTGGGCGTTTCCAAGAAGAATCTATTTCAATGGAGATATCTGTGTGATGCCTCCTCCTGACTCTTACCCTTGGCTTCCCAATACCGGTTCACGCAAACCAATCGGTTCTCGGTTTACAGCTGTCACGGCATTAATCTCCTTGTTACTGACTGTCTTCTTACATGGGAGCTTGTAAGAATCTACTATTTTTTTTGTTGAGCTGATTCAAAACCCGTCAGAGAGAACATTGTTTAGCATAGTAGTGTCTTCTCTCGTCTTGTGGAACACTTTTGTAAGGATGATGTATCTAGATTGTTTTGGTTATCTTCTCTTGACATTTGTCTCTGTATCCAGGATTGGTAGAATATTTAGATAATTTTCCGGTGAGTTTGATCTTCTATATTGCGACCATCCTTGGTTGTGATATTGGAACATTAGTTTCCTCTTATTCTTGTTACTCCAACAGAAAATCAGTTCTTTCGTTTATAACTTGGTATATTTCTAAAACAAACATGTTATTAAGATTTTGATGCTGAACTTTTATCGGTACTCTATCCTTGATTGCATATATCAACATACCTACCATTTGTAAGACGCTCACCATATGTTTCTATTTTTAATTTTATTTTTATTTATGGTTGATCCTAATTGTGATGATTTGTTCTATGTTCACTCATTTTCAAACATGCATGACATTACGATTGCTGAAACTGAAATCTTTCAAACTAAGTTTTAATTTGTGAATTTAATTACTTGATCTTGTTTTATCTGCAAAATAAGAAGAGAATAGATTAATATGGTAAATGTGAATTGATGAGAATAATTCAACAAGAGGAAGAAAAGTTTAACTGAGATGAGAAATGGGCAAGTGAAAAAAATGGAGAAAAGTATGAATATCAAATAAAAAAAAGACAGTTGAGGAAATAATGAATAGTTGAGGTGGGTAAAAAATGGGGCCAGTAAGAAAAATGACAAAGTGAGGATAAATAAAGAATGAGGAATACACAAAAGGTGCACAATGTGCAACAACTCTCTCTTATCCTTTTTAAGTACTCAAACGCAAAAACTCAAAAATTCTGAAACTATCTCTTATTAGCTTACAACATGATACCACTTATATGCACTTGTGGAGCATGTGGGGTCTTCGTTGGAAACTGGCCATTACTTAGCATACGTGAGATCGAGGGACAATACTTGGCACAAATATGAGGATGAGCAGGTCACTAGAGTCAGTCATCACAGTGTGGAAACTGATAATGCCTATCTTTTGTTTTATTCAAAAGAAGGAGAAGAGAGTCGTGTGTTGGAATAGAGCAAGCAAGTCGTTGTAAACGAAGAACTAGCCAAGAGCCAGCGATTCCCAGAACCAACTAATGTTGTTGCAGGTGTAAACAGAGCTTCTGCAGTGATCAAGAAAGAAATATGCTCATCGTTTGAAGAGAGTCAGCCAGAGGAAAAAGCAACTGATGAGCATGATCAAGGTAATCAGATTGTTAAACCATACTTCAAACTAAGGTTTGACAGTTTGACTTTGACTAACTTGGTTAGATTCTAGGAACAAACATCGTTGATGAGGTGATGGACTTAGTTAAGCAGTTTGAGATAGAGACCAGCTGGAATGAAAAAATGACTGAAAAGAAAATTAAAGCGAAGGAGAGAAGAGAAGAAGAGGTCAAAAGAAGAGAGGAGTTGCACAAGAAGAAAGGAGCTAAGAAAGGAGGTGGAGGAGCTAAGAAATAGGATGTTAGATTTTCCAATAGTTGTAATGGTTTTCCTTTTAGCTTTAGGATTCGGTTTTCTTAGAGTTTATAAATACTTCGACTTTATGTTTCATTCAATAACAAGTTAATACATTCAATTCAATCATTCAGAATTTGTCAGATATGTTCATCTGATTTTTTTTTCACATGTCATCCTTTAATTGATTGTGATTTGTGCTTTTAGTGTCTTCTCTTCCTTTGTTTTTCACATCATTAGCTTCATCAAAGGATTCAAAGCATCAGCCGCTTGCATCCGATGACCTAGACCTTACATATTTTGCCAATCTCTCTGTTTGTGTTTGCATTCCTCTAGATGAACTTGAAGTTGTAGCAAAGCCTCGGTTCAAGCTAGAAAGCTAACTCATAACACTTCCAAATCTTGTGTTCTGTTGATGACTGAGTCTGTGGTAGTTTTTATAACTTGAACAAAGATATACTCAGTTCAATGTGATGAATGCTTTTCCATGCATGGCTGGGCCTATGGCCTTGAGCGAAACTTTTGGAAAGTACTTTGCTTTGTACAGTGGGGATTTTGCTAAAAAGCTATGCTGAAATCTTTTACTATTCTCATGTAACTTTGGGGATGATTGGTAAGGGCTGTGGTTGCTCTGCACAGCCCTAAATCTCTCTACAGCAATACAAAATTACCAATCACGCTCTCATTCCATCTCTTTCCATTTTTGAAACACAGAGCAATTTTTTTTATTTATGGAAGTTCCGTGGCTTTGGAAATCAATTTTTCTAGAGCACCAAATTAAGTGCTCTTAGAATTTTCTTTTTTCTCTTTCCTTATTAATCTTTCAACATTTATTTTTTAATCTATTATTTCTATATCTTAACTTTTTTGTTTTAATGTTATATTTAATGACACAATCTACAATAAAAAATCTTACAGCACTAAAATCTAGAATCACAGCCAAAATTTCTACAGCATTAATTCTACAGCAAAAAAAGTAAAGTTACAGCCACAACCAATCAGGCCCTTTATGGTTTTAATATTTCTCTCTCTCTCAAAATAAAATAAAGCATAATTAAGCGAAAATTCTTGTATAGCAAAAGTCTCCACATTGTTAAAAGGACAAAAAGATTCGAAGGACTAAAAACTCTGCAAGCAAATACAGAGAGGAAAGATCTTAAAGTTGGTTACAAAGTCGAGAGCTTTTCTGGAGATGAAAAAAGGTTGTGCTTTTCAACGAACAGTTAATCCTTGAATTGCTGCAGCAGATGATGATGATGCTTGAGAACCTTCCTCTGTTACCTTGTTCGATTCGATTGTACTTATGATGTTTGTAATATTATCCTACACATAACACGGTACAGAGAGAAAAAAAAAATCAGATTCAGGACATCTTTTGTATGAAAATGCCAGAGAAAGTTTTCGTATTTACCCGCCAAGTCGCAAGCTTTGTTCGAAGTGATTGCCATTGCTTTGACCCGAATTCACGCTCGGAACAGCGGCTGAAACATACGAATCATACCATCAGATTATGAATGTTAAACGATAAAAGTGCAACGTATCTATAGATGCGTGACTTGCCTGACAATTACAACTTGGTTCATCTGATCCATCTTACAATCAATCAGCTTCGCAGTGATTGCCCTCACAATCCATAACTCAACCTCCTCTGCGTTTACCTGCAAACAGAAAAAAAGCTAAGCAACTAAAACAGAGTTAAAACCAATATTTTCATGTACTGTGAGTTTTTACCTGCAGAGTGTCTTTGATTGAGTTATAAGTTATTTTGCCAGATTCATCTGAGGCCAAGTCCACTAGTGACAACAGTCTCATCTTCGTTACACAATCTTCATGAACAAGTCCTAACAACACCAGAGGATTCATCAGGAAACCATGTTTAACCACAAAAAGGAGTCTACGGGTTAACGTTTAAGTACCATATGTATCCAGAAATCCCGAATTGGCACTTTGGAATTCAGTGTAAGCATTGAGTCTCTGAGTAAGAAAGATCTTCAGTAGCTGGTAAACTTGTGCGTATTTAGCATCCTTCTCCAATTGTGACACGGCTGGCAAGTCCAATAGATCACACTGCAATTACAAGAATAAGTATTTTAATGAAAGACGAGAATCTTAGACAGATGAATCAGATTGTTCTTTTGTGAATTATGATTACCTGGAAGATGCTTGAAGCCTTGACAAATTCGATAACTGCACGGACAGCCTCCTCCTTAGCTTCATCCAGGAGCTGAGCATCCTCATTAGAGAAAGTCGCTAGATACTTTGTCAGGAACGTGAGGGATTCTTTCACCAAGCTGGAAAAATGATAGATAGAAAACAAAACCATGAGGCTATTGTCACACCTATACAGGAACTAAAAAGAAGAAAACCAGAGAGAGAATGACTTATGAACAGGACTATAACGTATAAGACTATGTTGCAATACCTGTTGTTATCTTTCAGCACATTAGCAATGGCAAGAAAGAGTTCCCTCTGATCTTTAATGTCAATGTTCCACTCTTTCAAGAAGTTATCGATCTTCTTGAAAGAAGGAGTTATGTACTCAGTAACCTTCCCATCAACAGCCAGGGTTAGAGCTTTCATGTAGACTTGGAAACGAGCATATGGGTGGTCCAGAAGGTTATAGAGATTGAAAAGGCTATACAAAGACAAATAACCAAAAGTGAGAAGCATGTAATACATATCAATAAAACATTTTAACATATACGCTGTAAAGAATCATACATCTTCAAACGAAGTGAAGCTTTGTCATTCGGTTGTTGAACAACCTTGGAAGATATTGCTTTCACCATCTCAAGAACATCCTCAGGGTTATTCGCATTCTTGACAAGGCTGCAAATGATGGTGTAGCTACACTCAAGATCTGAATCAAAGACGCAAACAACATCAAACAACAGATAAACGAATACTCTAGAGAGACAAGGAACATAGAGAAAAATGGGCATTGTGTTATAGGAACACATACATACCTTTCTCAGGTATCTTGGAAGATACCAATTCAGCTGAAGTTGCCATTAACGTAGCTAATTCCAGCCACTTTCCTTGTACTATCAACTCCTCAGCCTCCCTACAGAGCCTAGTGATTTCTGGCTCAGCAGCCTAAGCCAATAACCCAAGTTCCACAATTTCAGACGATTGTTTAAGAAGTAGCTTGATTAGATTAATCTTAGATTGTTGAATTAACCATATGCATCAGAGTCATGAAAGAAAGCAAAATATTCTAGTCGTAAACATCTAATTGCAGCAAAGAGAAGGATAATCAAACTAACTCTATCAACACAGACGAATCAGATTCTTCGAGCAAAATGACATAAACCAGATCAAATTTCCCATCACACAAAAGACAGAAATTCCAAATTCCCCCTAATAAATTCAGAGACAAGGAGTGTTGGTACCTCGGGACCAGCATCGGCCCAGGCGAGCTGGGAAGTGAATCGGACAACAGCGAGAAACGGGTCTTCTTCGGAAGTGGGAACAATCGTCGTCATGGCTAAGCTCCGATTTCGAATCTTCCCGCTCTCTTCTCGGCGGCGCTGAGGAAATTACAACTCTTTTTTAGCAACCGAGCAGATAGACGAGAGAGCGAGAGAGAGAGAGAGAGAGAGGAAATCGAAAGCCCTAATGTTGATTTTTATCCGGTTAAGTCAACCGTAACCGGATCCGGTTAAAAAAAATGAAACGGTTGAAGCATCGGACGGCCAAATAAACCATAAGAACATCCAACGGTAAGGATTGAGATTTAGTCCACACCCCTTATAAAAAGTCAATCTCTTTCTCTCACTTAACATTTGAGATTAGGGTTTTAACGCCGCCGTGTCCCCGCCGGATCGCCACCGAGTCCACCTCGAGTTCGTCAAGATGGTACTAGTTCCCTCCCCCCATCTCCGAATTTCTCTATCGTAATCATTTTTTTAATCGCCTGATCTCGATTTCGCGATATCTTATGTAGCCGTCGCACAAGACGTTCATAATCAAGAAGAAGCTCGGGAAGAAGATGAGACAGAACAGGCCAATCCCTAACTGGATCCGTCTCCGTACCGATAACAGGATCAGGTTCGTCGTCTATTTTGATTTTCTAGTTTTTTTTTCGTTTTCCTTCGATCCTTGGAAACAAAAGTTGCAGGCTTTTTAATCCAAGTCCCATTGTTTCTTCTTCTTCATACTCAGGTACAACGCTAAGCGTAGGCACTGGCGTCGCACCAAGCTAGGGTTCTAGATCATCCGAGTTCGCTGCCATGACTCGGATTTTGTCTCAGTGTACTACTTAATTTTACCTTGTTTTCGGAATTGTAGTTTTTTTCTCTGAATGATTTTGTGGTTTTGAATGCATGAATATGAGTTATGAGATGAGAGTTGGATCATTTCTTCTGCAGTTTGTTATTTTCTTATCGTTTTTACTGGTTCGGCTTCTAGTTTATGATCAATCCATATTCGTTAAGTAGATTTTGAAAAGCTTTTAACTTCGAAAATGGCTCTGAAATAACTTCCGCCATTGTTAGTGAAACACTGATTCGTATGTTTATTTCTTAAAACTCTTGAGAAACAAATAAAAAAACATGGTCTGGAATTTCTACAAGCACACAAGAACATAGCAAATTCAAACAGGTTTACAGAGGATTTAGGCACACATTTGATGATTTACAAATCGGAATCGTAGCATCATTTCTTGCTAGAATCAGTAGCATTTGGTCCTCCAAAGAGATAACCAAGAGAAGATCCTCCACCAGGAGCAGCATGAACTTTAGTAGATGGCCTCTCCTGTTCTCATTACAACCAATAAACAAACACGTTTTGCGTTTTAATCAGTTATCAAATCAATAATCAATTCGCTGATATCAAAATTTGAACTCGTCACTTACCGTAAGAAAGTTTCCACAGTTTTGGCCTTCTGATCTGAAGTAATTGTTAGGGCTTCCTCTAACACCTGCACCTGTCTTCTTGTTGTCCGTGACGGTGGTCGTCGTGGTCGTAATCGGTCTACCTCCGGTTCCATCAGTGGTAGTTGTGGTGGTTGTTGTCGTAGTGGTCCCCATTGCTCCGGTGGCGGCGGAAGGAGCATCACCGGAACCAAAGAGATAGCCGAGAGAGCTTTGATTGACACCATTGTTCACTCCTCTTGCTTTACCCATCTTGTTTTCCGGCAAGGAAGATCTGAAATTTGAAAAATGTTTTGAGGTTCGTTAGAATCAGATCGGATGTTTAGATGAACAGAAGATCCCAATAGGATAATTAATGAAGTCATTAAAGACACGTAATTAAACAGATCAAAAGGATTGAATTTTTTACCTCACTCTCTGTGTAGGATCTCCTTCTCTGTTTCTTCTTCTACGATTGGCCGCAAATCAAGGAAGAGAAACATGTGGAAAAAAGGATATGCACTGAGAGGAAGGAGACAGACAAATAATCCATTATGGGCCTTATTTGGGCTTTTACTTGATAAAGCCTCGCAGATTTTTGTTGTTGTTACTATTTATCATCATCATCAACAAAAACAATGATATCATTTCTCAAATCTCACTTACTAGTAGTTTTTTTCTTTTTTTTTTTTTTTTTTTTTTTTTTTTTTTTTACACTTACTAGTAGTTACTAGTTAGTAAGGATTTGTTCTAACTTCAGTTTGTTGATTAGACACGACGTATGTAAGTCCATGTAAAGAAAAATAATTCATAGATTGCTGGGTTTTATTTCTTTTCGGTCAACTATCGTTGGAATATTTAAAACAGTAAAAATGTGTAAAATGGGTAGGAAATGTTTGTAGAAAATCATAAATAACCTTAAAAATCGATAAACATGAAGAAGATAAATTACTTGAAAAAGGAAAAGTAGACGAGAATAGTGAGACGCATTTTCTTTTGGATTCTGACAGAAAAGAAGAAACTAACACATTTGTATGAAATGTGAACCCATGCATGACTTTTGAGGATCATCATCATCAGATTATGTACGATCATCATTCATCATTCATCATCATAATGATCGTCATCCTACGGACGAGATTTCCTCGTTGACTTCTTTAAAGATTCTAAGTGATGTTGTAATATGGCAATGACGACATGTGAAACAAAAAAAATTCCGACTTTGAATCTCTCTTTTGCTTTTCATTCTGTGCCCATTCTCTCCTTTTTTAAAGTACAAAAATCTTTTTTGATCGACCTTAAAATAAATTAATAAATTTATGATTCGAATGTGTGATGATTATACTAATAAGTAATAGCACAAACTACCCATCAATACTTCTGAAATTAACTGACACAAATGAGACACTATTTCTACAGTATTTTTTACAGCAAATTACTCTCTACCCCTTTTTGTGTTCTCTCTCTCCTGCGGTGGACAGTTGAACTTTTTTTCTTCTTCTTTCTCTCTCCTGCGGTGGACATGGAAGACTCACGAAGAATAAAAAGAAGGAGAAGGAGAATTCATACAAGAAAACAACCTGCTAGGATTTGGAGCAACTAGTTGAGAGAGAATCATAAAATGGGGCGACTGTTGGAGATGAATTTTCTACTGAAGAGCCATTAATGACGGTGATGAAAGCGGCGGATGAGGATGTCGGCGACGTGTTGAGAGGCGGAGACAGTGGTGCTAATGTTGATGATGGTGGGTTCTCTCCGGAATGGTTGTCCAATGGAACTCCTATTTGCAAATCTGTGATTTTAATTACAAATTTGTTTTTTTTTTTTTCAATTGGATTTATTAAAAGCTATGGAAATTCAAATTATTTGTCATAATGTCAGCCGAGGTGGAGAAAAAAAGAGCCAGCAATGGAGGAAGAGAAGAAAGAGGAAGAAGAGGAGGAGGAGGAAGAAGAAGCCAACAATGGCTACTCAATTGAAGGTGATGAAGATGATGGTGGTAACTGGTCTATCACTGTATTTTCATAATATGCTAATCACATTAGCATGATATTTTTATACATATTTGCATCTCGTATTTTTCTATAATATGATAACTTTGTTATCATGATAATTGTTGGTATGATAATTATGTTAATCAAATCACTTTATTTTTTTATATCATGATAATTTGTTTAACACGGTATTTTAGTTATATGCTAATCACCTTAACATGATATTTTTTATATTAGCATGTAATTTCATATTTTTCTATGATAAAATAACTTAATTAACATGATAACTCTTGCTATGATAATTATGATACCTAAAATCTTTATACTTTATGTTATGATAATTTGGTTAACACAGTATTTTAATAATGTGCTAACTAATTTAACATGTCAATTATATAATATTATTATAAATTAGCAAATTTTATGATATTTTATTTGTTAATATGATAATTAAATAGTTATCTTTAGATAACTAATGTCGATGATTTTATATGAACAGTGTAACGGATCGATGAACAGTGTAATCCGGTGGCAAATGAACAGTTTCAGATCAATGGCATTTTTGTAGATAAATAAAATGAAAAGGATATTAAGGGTTAAATTTTTATTTCTCTTTCCTAACTACCTAATTTAAAAATAGTCATGGGTAGAAACTTAATTTTGAAAGTTTCCATTGGTATTCACCAATATCATCCTTAATACTACCCATCCATCTTTTTAGATCTTTTAGCCATACGCTTTTTTGGTTCTGATTCTTCTGAAGTGTGTTCAATGCTGTAGTGAACGAAAAAAAAAAAAAACATTTCTATTTTTATTGGCAGAGAAAGCATATGGTGTGCCCATTTTGCAATGTGATTGTGCATTTCCTTTCACACATTATTATTATGGTTCCAATTCTTTTCCCCATGTATTTGTAAAAGAAATCTCGAGTAAAGGAGAATCTAACAAACTTCCAAGGTACATGAACTTGTGAGCTTTAATTACCTTATGGGTTAGATAAAGAAAAATGAAAAAATGAACGCATATATAAGACCCATATGATTGGCACAACTCCAGAAACAATTTAAAAGCTAGCTAGTATGATTCAGCGAATGAATTCACTTGATTTTATGGTTGTATTGAACTATTATTGATCTAGATCTTCTCTCAAGAAATTTGATATTGAAACATCAGAAAATAATATAGATTCTTGATTTTATTTTTATGGATATAAATATATAATCTATATATATACGTGTGTGTGTGTGTGTGTGTATGTGTATTGTGTAATCTAATTGTATCATATACGATCATCACTAATAATTAGCTTGTACATTCCAATTTCCAATGAAGCAAGCATCTTGAATAAGATATAGGGAACGTCAATGTGATAATGAAGTAATCTTATATTGTAATGTTAATTAAGACTAACGTAAAATTTAAGACCGATGAGCGATGACCTCCTTAAGATAGGGATTATTATTGGAACTGTTTTTTTTTTGTCTCCCCTAATATTAGATCCGTCGCATGTGACATTGAATTATAATATTTGTAATGATAACATGATGAAGAAAAGAATCTTGACTTTGCTCCTTGTTTACCTATCTAAATGTTTAGTGATGTGTAGATTTAAAAACATACTTCAACGTTTTTCTGACAAGTACTTAACAAAAAAAAACACGAAAATTCATAGTATTTCACAAAATTCATGACTATAAGTCAAATATGATGGCATAAATATAACCAGAGAAACCAAGTACTATAAATTTACGAAGAATTGTGATTTAATAAAAGTACTAGGAGTACTATTCTTTCTCTTTTTGAGATAATAAAAAGTTAACATTTACATGAAAAAAATATAGCAACTACCACTATAAAAGTATAGTTATTAGATCTACCAAATTCATATATAACATGGCTTAAATACTCTTATCTATATCAAATTTGTATGTACTAAAACTAGAACCGTACTAACTCCCAGCGCATTTATTAAAATAAAATTTAAGTGACAGAGAGCAATAACATATAAAAACAAATACATTTTTACTATTTTTAGATCTAGTTAATCCAAGCAAGATACATATACGTATGTGTGCAAGAACATAATATAACCGTACGAAGATGTGTATCATTGTATGTAATATTGGCAGTCAAAATCAAAGGAGAGAAACCCCACAAAAATTAATGGTGAAATTAAACAAATGTTGGATGGGTGGGTGATAAGTGGGATCATGTGCAAATAATTGAACTAGATAAACTGAACATAGAAACTTAACGTAAATGTATACACACTGATCTTTTTAATTGATTTTAAGTAAATTATAATCAAACTGTGTTTTGCTTAGTTGGTACCCTATCAACCCCAACACTCAAGTCACTTACCCAATTGCTTCATGTGATTTTGTTCCCTTTTAATCTCTTTTCTTGTCCCTTTGTCTTTCTTTTTCACTTGTCTATTCTTTTCCATTTTTTCTCTTAATGTTGTCCTTTATTTTACTTGGATTACGAAATTATAGATTAATTTCATCTAATGTGGTCAAGTATGTTTGGTCATTGGTGCATTTCATATAATCATCTTCTTAATATAACAAAAATGTGTTTATATGACTGATATCAAAACAGTTCATTGTAAGAATGTTATTAACATCAGATCAAAACATGGCATGAAGCTTATCATTCACGGTAAGATTCCATGATGTTATGTTTACGCTATATCCTATATACAGAAATCGCGCCAATTGATGAAAGTTCTATTGAACGAGTTCAAAATATGAAATAGTTGAGTATAATTGTAGTAACGCGCTTCATATTGATTATGGTTTTGAAACCAAACCTAATACGTTCCCATGTGTAATAGTATATTCCTTGGTACTTCCAATGTCAAATCAACTAGTTTTGTTTTCATGTATCAAAGGAAATATTTTGAAAAGAAAATAAATTATATAGATAAGAAGTCACAAACCCCACCTTCTTCACAGCACATTGTGGAACAAAGCACGTGATATGCCCACAAGCTTTTTGTGATTAGTACATCTAAGGACATAAACCCTCAAATCAACGAAGACAAAAACTAGAAGACGACGACTTTATTATATAATAATGCTCTACCTTATGTAGTTATGTTACATGCCAGATTCCTTAATTTTTTATTCAGTAAATCACATGCAAAAAATAAAGAAGAAGAAGTTATTACATCATCTGCATCAACAAACAGTTTTCCATATAAATTAGTTACTTCCAATAATAATACTTTGTTCGATCGTCGACAAAAAAAAAGAAATTGAATCTCACTGTTGGAACTGTTCCAGTTCACCAATCCACTTCCCCTCCTAATAATTTATTTTGATTTTGTGCTGCCATTAAAATACAAATAATAATCTCTCTTATCCTTTTAGATAAATAGATTTCTTTATATATTTAAATATGCTGTGTGTTTCTGACAAACTCCACATGCACATGTAAAAGGGGCACCAAGACTTATAAAGACCCACCTACATTATTTTGTCCACATGGATGTGTAAGGAAAACTAAGCTAATTATCATTCATAAATTTAAAAACAAAATCATTTTGTTTCCTTCATACAATTTATTATCAAAATAATAGTTTGGCAATCATAATGAAAAATGTATATAAACATGAACCTAACATTTCTTATTATAGATAGCAAAATTAATCCTTCTTTTCTTTGCGAAACTTAAAAAGCATTTTTTTTGTATAATAAGTTGCCTGATGCACTCATGTGCATAACATTCATTTTAAGAGGTGAACCAGATTCCTCATTATTTGCCTAGCAGATTTTTTTCAGAGCCTGACATAATTAACGAATTACGAATATATAAAATTGGTTATATACTAAAGAAATTTTATTTCTAACATGTTAACACATGTACATTGATTGCATTATATATGCTTCAAAGTCTCATTTGACAGTTGTAGCTTTGCCTTTAAAGATAGAAACCTCTTTTTGTTAAAGAGCAAGAACAATTTTTTTTTCCCCTTCTCTTCTTTCTTCTTCAAGGTAACCTCCAAGCGAAACACAGAGGAGCCTAATCTGTTGTCTGGTCAAAACTTCACAAGAAGCTATAGCTGTCCTTAATGTTGGCTTCTTCTTGTCCATTTCTTCTTTTCTTCTTCCTCTGAAACACATAAACAAATCGTTAAACCCCAAAACAGAGAAAGAAGACGAAGAAACGAGAAACTGCAAAGACATAGTATATGAAGAGAATCTTATGACTGTGAAGGTTTTGTCTATTTAGCTATCTGTTTTAAGATAAGAGTTAAGAAGAAGAAGAAGAAGAAGAAGAAGATATGTCTGCAAAACTTCTGTATAACTTGTCAGATGAGAACCCAAATCTGAATAAACAGTTTGGATGCATGAATGGGATCTTTCAAGTGTTTTACCGGCAACATTATCCGGCGAGACCAGTCTCCGGCGATGTAGACAAGTCTTTGCCACCAGGTAACTTAAATTCTCTCTCTCTCTCTCTCTTACTAAATCTCAGTTCAGTGTTTTAGGACCACAAAGAATCATTGCAGCTTCACTAGAACCAAAACTACTGGTTAATAATAGGCTTATAGCTAAGAACAATGGGACTTTTTTTGCAGGTGAAAGAAGAGATCTTGTCGGTGAAGTTAACATGGAAAGTGATAAAGAAACGGTAAGAATCTAAACCCATTTTTTGTTTTAAATCATTTTAGAGAAATGTGAATTCGGGAAGAAGAAAAGCTAAAAAAACAGAGACTTTTATGGGAATTGCAGGAGAGAAGTAGAAAGAAGAAGAAGAAGAAGAAGAAGTCAGCAGGAAAGGAGAAGCATAGAGTCTCTTCTGAATCCTCTTCAAGGCCTTCGTTTTCTTCTTCTCCACGCTCCTCTAGCTTCTCCTCTGCAGAAGTCAGCACCACAGCTTCTCAATTTGACCAGCCTGGTGAGAATCTGATCAGAGAACAGCCAAATGGTGGAGTGGCGACGCCGCCGTCGTATGACCTAAAGGAGCTTGTGAAAGGCTCTATTAACAGAGAAATGAGAAGCACAGCCTTCACTCAGCAGCAGCAGCAGCCGAATTCAGCTAAAAGCAGCATGTTGCTCCTCAAAGAATCATCACTGCGTTCGCCATCTCGGAGTTCTAATGAGTGGAGTGAAGGAAAAGCAATGAAGTTTAAGGAAAGCCATCGGCTTTCTTACGATGAGAGGGAGTTGAGAAACAAGACAGGCTTAAAGTTGAAAGAGACACCGAGGTTGTCCTTGGACAGTAGATCCAATTCCTTTAGGAGTCCAAAAGCTGATGCGGCGAGATCAAGCTGTTCACCAGAGGAACGAGCAACAATGATGAGTCATAGAAGATCGAGTTCAAGTGTTGTTGCCAAACTGATGGGTCTTGAAGTCACTGCGGATAATTTTGACAACACCGAGCAGAGGAAAGAGAACCGCTTTTGCGACTCCCCAAGGCCAATTCCAACAGCTCTACAGAGATCTAGAAGCGTTGACTCGACCAAGAAGATACCAATGGAGGCAGCTCCATGGAAGCAAATGAAAGCAGGTGACTCTGCACTGTCTGTTTACGGCGAAATTCAGAAGCGGCTTACGCAGTTGGAGTTCAAAAAGTCGGGAAAAGATCTCAGAGCTCTTAAGCAAATACTTGAGGCAATGGAGAAGACGCAGCAGCTGGTGGATGGAAGCAGAAATGACAGAACTTTTCTTCAGCCAGTTGCGTCTGCAACAAATTCAACCATGAACTTCAAATCGTCATCATCGGTCGTTGTTACGAAACCAAAACCGGCGGGTCCAGTTTCCACCTCCTCGCAGCCACAGAACGTCAAGCTCGGCAGCTCTAGACAAACCCGGAAAATCACCTCCGGGAAGCAGAACGCGATGGATTTAACCCCAAGGCCAGGCCTTTACGCGGGTCCAAAACCGTTAAGGTCGAGGCAAGCTCTGGCTGCAGATTCTTGTTCCGTGAACAACAAGCCAGTTAGGAGCCTACAGCAGAGTGTCAGTCCAAGAACGCAACCCAAAAAGCTCGGTTTGGAGAGGCAGTCTCGACCCACAAGTCCAAAGCCAGAGCTAAGCAAGAACCAGAGGCAGCAAACAGAGTCAGCCTCTCCGAGGAGAAAACAGGGGATGAAACCTCGCGGTACTCTTCAGCAACCTGATGACCGGTTGAGCGATGCAAGCAGTGACTTGAAAAGTCTAAGATCTGATAGCAACATAAGCTTGGGATCCAATGTTGACTTCGAGGTTACAAGCAGACAGAGGATCTGTGACTTCCCAGAGCTGCACACCCCAAAACAAAGGGTATGAATTTAGATCTCTTCCTCTCACGAATCTTCACTTCTTAGTTTCATTCATTAGTATCACTCAAACTGAATCTCCTCTGGTTACCAATGCAGAGTCCAGACTTTGGAGTTAAACAAGAGAGACCATCTCTAAGACCTCTGAAAGTTACCGTGGAACAACCGAGCCCCGTTTCAGTTCTTGATGCAGCTTTTGACGATGAGGATTCACCGTCCCCTGTCAGGAAGATTTCCCTTAGCTTTAAAGGTGAGAGACACTTCCAAAAGAATAATCTTCAGTCTGTATAATGTTGTCAAATAATAAAGTTCTCACATTTTCTTTCTTCTCTTACCACAGAGGACGATGCTTTACGTTCTGAAGAGTCTGAGTGGATAAACAAGCCTAGTGGCGTCTGCAGATCCATACTATTGCCTGAGAATAACCGGGAAGGCTCTGATCTCCTCGAATGCTTCCCTGAAGAATGTGCAGACGACCACAAGTACATCTCGCAGATATTGTTGGCATCAGGGATTCTTAGAGATCTTGAATACAACATGATAAGCATTCAGCTGAACCAAGCACGTCTTCCCATCAATCCTGGACTGTTCTTCGTCCTGGAACAGAACAAGGCCAGCAATACGACTCTACTGGCCAACAACAAACACAGAGGCAGAGGACTCAGACAACAGCAGACAAACCCAACAGAGATAATGAGGAGAAAACTCGTCTTCGACACCGTTAACGAGATTCTAGCAAAGAGTTTCGCTGCAGAAGGCTGTACCAAACCACGTTTAACGGCAAACCTACTCAAAACAATGGAGAAAAGGTCAAAGGGGGAGCAACTTCTGCAAACTCTGTGTTCGGAAATTGATAGGTTTCAAGAGAACAAGTCAAAGTGTATCCTGGAGGACGACGAGGAGGACATCATATGGGAGGACCTGCAATGTCGAGGCATGAACATGAAGGAGTTTGAAGGAGAGACTCCAGGGATAGTATTAGATATTGAGAGAATGATATTCAGAGACTTAGTTAATGAAGTCTGCTTCTGTTAATCTTATGTGTATCACTTAGAATTGTAAATGAAGGAATCTTACAGAGGAAGAGAACCTTTGGTCCCTGGGTTTTGTGCCCTTTTAGCCTCTTCTCTTCCTACTTGTTTCTGTACCCATCATATATAGCATATATACAGGTCTAATTTATAAATAACGAGCGCTAAGAGCATATTAATTGGTCAATCAATATATTATTATTTCACTAGTAAACAATTGCAAACAATCACTAAACTCAGGATGCATAGCTCTTCTGTCTACAAACTCTAAAAATGACATAATACCTAATTTACATCTGAGTCAATCCTTTCGCGTTCTTCATCGATTGCTGACTTCTTCTCCCTCTTGTCTGCACCTTCTCGAAACCACGCCTGTTCCTGGACGCTCCGGTTTACTGCCAAACACGAAAGTCTCTTTAGACTCCCAATCTTGAAACGTACCAGAGTTTGTTGTGGTATTACACCACCATTCTTCTCTCCATTCTCGGAGTCAGCTACCCTCGTCTTCTTGTTGATCTCAGACGCCTCAAGAACTGGGATGTGATAGTTGTTGCTCGTATGCTTATCAGAAACGTGGTTGATGCTAACGACTTCATTTGAAACCTCCAAAGGGTGTTGTAACACAGGTGACACTTCCTTCTCCATGATCAGTAGAGGCGCGGTAAGAAACGGATTACCTTCCACTGCTTCTTCTTCTCCTTCTGTTGATTTACGAACATCCTTTGGAGATTTAACTACTTCTAACCTACTCGGTAACAGTGACCCGTTTTCTTTACTCGGAACTTCTCCTTCGACTGTGCCTACATTAGCTTCCTCCGATTGATCACACAATTTGGTTTCAGGAAATGCAGGAAGCCAAACAGGGATGTGTTCATCTGGAGGTTCTGCTCCAACCTCAGAGAAGCTAGGAGCAGGTCTTTTCTCTTTGTTAATTGGGAACCGGGGAACAGAGTAAACGAATGGCATCTCCTCGGCTTCTCCAGTGTAACGAATAATATCCTTGACTACACCGGAATCAGCAAGACAACGGTCAGTAACTGAAACACCAGCGAATCCCAAACCGGATTCCAAATCCTCCAACGCTTGAACAACGTCCAGAGAATTACCCTCTACTCTACCGGCTATGTTAGCACACAAATGAGCACTCTTCCCAACGCTCTCTATGTACTGAACCGCTACATCAGTCAGTGTCTCAAGAGCAGATTCTTGAAAAGAACTACACCTAACGCCCTCGCGTGTCTGTGATTCCTGATACACGTTAACCTCTACACTCTCGCATATCTGAGCCACTGCCATTCTCGCTATGGCGTAAGCGAAATCATTGCCTCGGGAAAGCTTTCTCTTGCCCTGTGATTCTCTGCTCTGACTTCCACCTTCCCCAGCTCCATTGTTCATATTCAAACTCTCTTACAACTTCACCCAACATAACATGTAGAACCATTTCTTGAATGGGAAACCAACGCAACACGCATCCCTCTCGGAACCACAAAGTCAATTCATTTCTCACCAAGTTCTTTACTTTGGCACCTAAAAACGATAAGAAAGGGTCAAACTTTAGGATCAATTACGAATTAGTCATAGATCAATTCTACTCCGTTCACTAAGAATTCTCGTTTCCAGCGAGACCCTATAAACTTAGTGGGTCCAATTGACCGCAGTAGAAAGCGACAAACCAAACTCGAGAGAGTAAACCAATCCGATTAAGGGAAGTAGAATGCTTACCGGAGAAGAAAATTTCTCCACTGAGAAACGCACGCCCCGAGGACCAAACTCACCAAGGAAGTAGAACGGACAAAGCTCGGGAGCTACCGGCGGCGAACCCAGTGAGGGAAAAACCCTAGCGAAGAAGTGAAATTGAGGAAATTTACAGAGGTACCACTACCAAGGAACGGAATCAGAGGCGTAGAATTTAGGGATTCGAATGCGATTTTAAGCACAGCACGAAGTGTAAACCCCCTCTCGATCCAGAGAGAAGGCGAAGAAAAAGAGTAAGAGAAAGAAAGAGTGAGATTTGCAAGTTTTATAGAGCAACTGGCTTTTATAGAAACAGCACAGGAAAAAAAGCCAATCCTTTATCTTTTTTTTTTGTAAGGAAATTAAATTAAATATTTAATCTTTTCTCTTTACTTAATCGAATTATTTCTTTACAATTTCCCGGATATACCGACTTGTCAGCATGGTTTAAATTATCAACTTTATAATTCAAAAAGTTTTATAAAATTATATCCACAACACGTTAACAATATACGATATTTCAAAATATAACAATATAAAAAAATAAAAAATAAAATAACAATATAAGATAGCTTGACATAATGTATATAATTATATATAGGTATATAAAATATATGAGCTTACACGTGCTCTTGATAAATAACACGTGAGAGTCGATTTAGCTAAATCAGCTGAAGCCTTCTCCTTCAGAGAGAGTCTTCTACTTTGTCTAATTTTTTTTCTCTAATTACATTTTTCTCTAATTTGTCTTGAGAAACTTTAGAAAACGTGTTTTGAACTGTTATATTTACCATATGTTTAATTCCACTAAAAAAACTCCAAATATTTAATTCCAAATTTTAAACATTTTAGAATTTCCACAAAAGATATGGCTAAAGGAGTGTATGGTACTCGCAATTACAGTTGTGTTAAGGTGAGAAAAATCCCTTTATCTGAAGATGCTATATACAGATTGATCATCTTGAAATTGAAATGACAAACAATAATTTATGTGAAGATTATGGCAGGTTTGCAGAAATTATTAGCTCCTAAACAACTAAAAAACTGCAAAACAATGCTTATGAAGGATTTGAAAATGACATATATCATCTTGGTTGTTTGATAGCTTCTATTATAATTGGTGGTATTGATCATACGAAGATGTCTAGTATTTAATGACATACAAAAAGGAAAATTTGAAGTGTTTTTTTAAATTAAAAATTTGGTCCTCAGATCTTACGGTAACGGGTAGTGTCACATGTGTTTTTTCTTCATCTAATTTAACGCATGTCTAATATATTTTCAAATATTTCCAGTCTTAAAAAGTGCACAAACGATACATTAAGTCATTTTTTTCTTTCTGATCTCCACCTCTCTACGTTCAACTTGAGACCATAAGCGTTTAATATGTTCAACGAAAACGTGTGATGGTTTGCAATTTACAAACTACTTCCACAAAAATCCATTGTTATGTAGACGTAGTTTGTAAATCGCAGGTTGAAAACCATAAGTGTGAGAAATTTTCGTCTACCGAACCACCAAATCCGAAATACATGACCCAAACCGATACCCGATATAGACCTGAACTAACCCAAATTTTTGGTATATATATTCAGAATACATATTTTATTCATTTTGATTCACTGTAAAATTTTGATTTTCGGATAATATAAATATTTTAGGGATATTTCTGCAAGTTTATGATACTTTCGGATAGGTTTGGTATTAAATAACCGATCAAAATTGCACCCAAAAAAAGTTTGGGTATATTTCGGTTCTTGTTTAAGAACCGATATCCAAAATACCGAATGAGTCCAAAATTTTAAAATCAAAGACCCGATACCCAAAATACCCTATTTGAACCGAATACACAAACGTCCAGGGCTAGTTCTGACTGCAACGAGACTGTTAAGGTAAGTACCTTCTAAACATTCTCGGCAATTTGTGTTGGGGAGATACTATTTTGTATTCACATTCTAATTTGCCGAGCCTGAATCATTAAATGTATGATGTGATTGTGCAGATTGTTCAGCTGGGTTACCCATATCTAGTGCCGAGTCTGAGTCAGAAATGATTATGAATTAGCCCAAAAGCTAATTAGAAGTTCCAAACAACAAAATAAAAATGAAGAATTGAATGAAATGAGGGAAGTAGAATGCTTGCCGGAGAAGCAATTTGTTTTTATTATTTTAATTACTTGATAACATAGGTCTAATACAATTCTATTTTCAGTCTTACACCAAATAAGGCACTAAACCAACTCTCTTTTTTCGTCCAATGTGATCAAAGTGAGTTTTATAACATTGGTCCATAGTGAGTTTCAGAAGTTTAATCAAGGAGGAATTCAGGCATTCTTGCTGGATGTGAAAATGATGGAACAATCACAGCAAGAAGTTCTCAATTATTTTACGACCACGTTTTCCGAGTTTGTTGATGGAGATCTATATCCTTGCTTATACACATTTCATGGGGAATCCGGTATTTGCAACTTACATTGGATTATAAGTCAAGTGTCCAAGTCTCTTTTTCAGTATTTACAAGTGTAATTAACTAATTTCATCTTTTTATATGTTGCGAGGTACTCATGACTAAGGCTGGCAATATGCCAATTTTATTTGTTATTGACATTTGTCTTTTGGGCTGACGAAATGTGGACAAATTTTGTATCAGATATATTAAGATATATGTTTATCTTGAATAATGCCAAGTTTTGAATCGGATGTATATTTAAATACATGCTTATCTTGGATAATGCTACAGCCTACAGTCTCAGGTTTCTCACGCTTATAATGGGTTACAGTTATTGCGGGACACAATGTGCTCCTGTAACGAAATTGTTTTTTTTCTTCTTTAACGTCAACGAAAATTAATTATGTATGATCGGGAAAAACTTAAAGAGTCAAAGGCGCACATAGTTTTCGTATAAACAAAAAAATAATAATTCACACTGAGAAAAATACATTTCAAGAGGGATCATGGGCTTTCTATCTATCAAACAAAATATCAAGATAATGGGCATTCCCAATAAGCGACATAAAATCAAAGCCAAGAATCCCAAAGTCAACTAACGAACCAGTTTAAAGTCGAAACTCCAAATTGCGATTACTGTTTTCATTCTCTTGCCAGTTTTTGAGTAACATTAATTTATTGTGCAGTGGCAATGAACCGAGCTAGTAAAAAATGAGTTGTACAAGTTGTATAATTAAGTGTACATCCGATTATTAAAAAACTGATATTTGACATCAGTCAACGAAGAAGTATATGCTAACATTGTTATATGTCCATCACTTTTTTTAGTTAAAGATATGTCCATCACTTAATCTATGATTTTCTTTCCTAGGATATTTAAACTGAATCAAAACCCAACTTCTATTGGTACGGATTAGACTTATTGGTTTTTAGGTTCGGTTAACCTAATAGATGCTTCTGACAACAAGAAAAAAGTTATACTAGCATCTCGTTAATATCAATATACAATATGTATAATATATACATGCAGCATGATAGCTAGAGATCGACATGGAAGCTTTTTGCAGAAAGTATGATGATACATAATATGACAGTCACAGAGCATTGGATCGGTAGCCTTTTTACTCTAATCAAATCAAAGATCGTACACACCGTTATTTGCATGCTTTTGTCTCTATTTCCCCTAATTTACTCTTTCCTCTTCCTCCTTCATCTATTTATATATATCCCCAATATTTACCTCCTACTACATTCCTACATTCTCAAATGCTCTATCATATATGCATAATGATATCTATAGCTAAAACTCATGTTCTTTTGAAATAAACCTATTTATAATTTTTACCACTAGACCAAAGACTTATCCAACTTTGGCTCTGAACCGGGTCTACATTTTAGCATTGGTTAGCATCATGTGATACAGTGATATATAGTACTACACATTTTATTTGAGGTAGCATGTATAAACGACGATCATCATTTCAACTTATTATGCTATTATAGGCTAACATATAACTAATAGATTACAATCATTTCACCTTATTATGCTTTCTCTGGATGAGTCTGGATTTGTTTATAATTAACTTGTCATTTTCAAATTTGATACAGTTCCTCGTACTACAAAGAAAAATAAAATTTCATGCATGTGTTTGTGTATGTACTCCGATCCTATATTCCTATGAAGAAGCTACTACATACATATATAGATGAGAAACTTTCAAACACTTGCATGCTAATATACAAGTTTAACTTGTATATATAGAGAAATAAATCAGGAAATATATAGTACAATAACTCAATAAACTACCTTATTATTATTGGATTTTGTGTCCCCTCACTTCTGAACACATCGAGCATTAATTGTTTCTTTAATCTAATTTCACATCACTCTTAACAACAACAACAAAAGAAAAGACAAAACTGATTTCACATCGGATTATCACTTCCTCTACTTGTCCGGTTGAATTGGACAGACGACATCCGGTTACTAGTACCATTGTTGCTACCACTACCATGTAACAATGAGTACAAAGTCGAAATGTTTTGGGATGCTGAAGATGAAGAACCACTTAACAATGGCATTTGAAAATGGCTTACCATTTGCCTCGGATCTGTTGTCTCCATAGTACCCGAACTAGCTGATGACGATGAGGGAAACAAAGATTGTATAGTTGTTGTTATTGATGATGTCGTCATTGGACATAGCAAGATTTGCGATGGAAATGGGACAAGACTATGTAGTTGATGTTGATGTTGATGATGGTGATAATCTGCCTGAAAACTCGAATGTTGTTGTTGTTGTTGTTGTCCAATGTTGTGATAGGTTCCATAAGACCCAATATGATGATTGTTCACGAAAACGGCATCGTTTTCTCCCCTCTCTTTGTTATGTTCTTCACGGCTAGTAGACTCTTCTACACATCCATTGATTTTAAACCCGAGTTGTGTCGGATCTTGACCCGAACGTTGACCAAGATTCAAGTAAGACTGATGATGGTTGAAAAAACTGAAAGTTTCCGGCGAGACGGGCAACGGAGGAAGCTCATCGATCTCATCTTTCGCTGCATCGAGCAACCAGTCAACAGCTTTGCTAGGCTGGTCAAGGCCGAGCCGTTCTTGAAGGTCATAGAGCTGGATAGCCGTGGGGACTGATAATCTCACGCGTCTGTCACGTAGTCCACGCAACGTACACACTTTGCTGTGACGGTCTTTGCCTCCAAAGGCGCGTGAAACCCTAACAATCCTTGGATCCTTCGATTTCATCCACGAAAACGAAGAAGAAGGAGAAGAAATCGAGGTTGACGGCTTCGTAGTTACTGTTTTTCCACTGGTGGCTACGGCAACGACGACGGCTTCTTCCGCATCTTCTTCTACTTCTCCTTCTCCTTCACGTCGTTTCCTAGTCCGGCCTGAAACGCCGTCGTTTGCATCTTTCCAAGGGACGGTATTCATAATGCTACTGTCGAGATCTTTACTTCTTACTATCAAAACAAACAAGCAAATGCAAATCCATAAGAAGAAAAAGTTAATCGTGAATTTCTAAATCTCAGTATTTTTTAAAACGAGGGATTGATAGTGTAGTGAAATCCACAAAATATAAATTATATCTAAAAAAGGAAGAAAATTAGGGTTCAAATAAGTTTTCTTTCCTTTAATTCTTTTAGGACACGACCAAAAACAAAATTGAGATGCGTTTTCTTACCTGAGCTCCCAAGTTTGTACGGTTTTGAGCTTGAACAGAAAATCTAGGGTTTTGTTGTTTTGTAAAGAGTAATTAAAAAGGATGAAGAGGAAGAGGGTCTGATAAAGGATGGGGAATAGATAGAATCTCAAGGAAGTATGTGATTCGATTTTTCTTTTTAAAAGTTTGAATAAAATGAAAATAAGAACAGAAAAAGAAAGTAAGAAAGAGGAAGGTGCTTTTGGAAGTGAATATGAGAACCCTACCAATATCATAAGCCTCCAAAATTTAGAAGAATTGCGACTTAAGTATTTCTGTTAGAAAAGCAATGGATGTGGTAGTGCCACGTGGAATATTTCGCTATCCTCGAAGGGAAAATGAAATAAATGCTTTGAATAATCACTCAGTCAAGGTCATTTTCATATCTATGGATCATATCATATGTGTAATCTATAGACGGACGAGAAACACAAGTCGAATATTTTATTATCCAAGTATATATGTGATATGAATGGCAAATTATAATACGGCTAAGGAAGAAGATTACGGCCAAGAAGAAGATGCCAAATTAAACATCTATCGACGTCAAGTTATATATAAGAGTAGCTTGTTAAAAACATCAAACTAATGTTCTAAGATGAAAATAACATTAACATTTGGGCTAAAAAAATATTAATTATTTTGAAATGGATATGCATACTTTATCTTTAGGATGTGAATTTATTTAATTAGTGTAATTTTGTTGACATATTTAGAAAGTCAAGACCTATATGACTTTAATCTTTTCAAAGTTGTGTGTGATCGATCCACCATGTTTTGCAGCCGCCAATGCAGTAACTAGTAAAAGTGAAGTTAGATCTATAATAATATCATGAACGGTTAAACTATCATATTTTACTTTCAAAGAAGTACAAACCTGCAATAGTGCATTAGTGCCATCATTTAACGATAGTGTTTTTACATAATGTTTGAATAAATCATCAGAACTAGACTTTAAGGGTTTAACTTAAATACATAAGTATATGATATGGTGTGTTAGTGTTATATATCATATATGGTCCCTATGTGAGCATGGGCATGCTGTTATCGACAATTGCAAAAGTTTGTGGATTACCGATTACCCAATGCACGCCTCAAGTACCTTGTTGACTACATGACTCATCATATCATTACCTTTTTAAACACAAGTACATTTACTCGTGATCACTAAACCCTAATGTATTTTTGCTCTATCTGAAATCCGTTTATTGTATATCGGACGCAAAAGGAAAACGGAAAGGAATAAAGTATATATATATATATGGTTTATCAACATCGAATTTAACGATTAACATATAAGTTTTTAGTCCCGAATCTTTTGTTTGAATTTTGAAACAAAGTTTGAAATATTAAGAATCAAAACAAAGGAGCGAAAAGAAATGTGTCATGATTGATCGGTTTATCTTAAGACATCACATGGGAACATAGGAGAAATCGGACAAAACTTAGAATCCACTAAGTCATGTCTACTTCACCGACTCCAAAAGTTTGTGGTCTCATGAACAAAGATTGGATTTTAACAGTCTTTCTATACTTCATATCGATTACAATTAATGATACGAAGGATCAACGACAATAATGTCCAAAAAAATGGGTCTCGTCTAAACAATACATATTTTAAGACTCGAGTCATATAATAATTCATATAAATACTTGATATAAAGTAGACTTATTTTAAATTCTGAAAATGATTATTTATCCCCCAGAAAAATGAAAAATACTAACCTATTTTTTTGTTTTTTCGAGTGATCCAAGTAATTTGTAAATATGATGATGCTAAAGATAGCAACACCAAAAAACCGTACGAATTGAGTTAGGTTACGTGGATATTGCAAACTAGAATAGCCAATCATTAAATTTCCTTGAAAGAAAAAAATCAAATGTATACAGTGCCGTCGGTGCGCATCCATTTCGAGACGTATACAATTTAGTTTCCTCTACTAGAGTTTGATCCTTTATCAAAATTAAACAAGCACGTTTATCTACATATAGAGATAGATAGACGCTACATTTCTGAGATTCTATCATCATATCTAGTTATGTACGACTAATTAAATATTCTAGAGCATAGATACTTTCTCGAAAACATTGAGTTCGCATGTGAAAGGTTTAACTAAAACGTGCAATTATGAGTTATCGTAGATTCTTCTGTACTCAGATTTTCACAACACAAAATTTTTGAAAGTGTTTCTGGCAGAGTAGTTACATAGCTGTGAATGCTCGTTAATTATATATAGTTTGTTTATACATTATACAGATTACATGGTTACACAAAAAAGCAACGATAAGTTAAAACTGAAAATCGTGTATTTATTACGTTGTTATATGCTCGCAAAAAAGGTAAAAAGTAGATGAAGAGTGAAGAGGTTGGGCATCTCGATAGAGAAACTGAAGACAACAGAAGAGAAGAGAAAGAGAGTTATTTTACTCAGTGGTCCCCCCGATCTTCGATTCATTTTTTTTCCTGTTCTCAATTTAATCAGCTCTTTTTCATAACAAAAACACATCCTAGTTTAAGTGTTTAACACATAAGCATGTAATGTAGGTAAACTATATACACACTAGTATTATGCCCCGTGCTCGGACACATATATATATTCAATTTAAAATGTAGAAGGTTAAATCTGAATTGCAAACAAACAAATTTCTTTGTTTGCCAACTAAAATGTTTCATTGATTAATTAATGACTCTTAATTAATAGTACAATCGTTAGATACAAATTTCTGAAGAAATTGACCAGATATTATGGGATGATAAGGCTTCCCTAGTTAAGCTATCAACACAAACATTAAACGAACACTATAACCTTATAAGACTCTGAGATAAATGTTTGGGACAGTTGACACAAAGAAATAAGAGTTAGCCCAAATCGCAAAGTAGCTTTCGGATATCTTTCCACAATGTTGCTTCAACGTTTTGTCTCGATAGTGTCTTTGTTTCAAACACCAATCAGTAATCTATTCAGTAAAAGAAATCCATAAAAACATGAAAGTAGCCATAGAAAAAGAAAAGAGAAAAGAAAGAGAAAGAGAAGGACCTTGTAGAGAAGAAGACTCATTGAATCAATTGGATGTGTTTGTTTTTGAACTTGCCATTGTTTTTAACGTGTAAGGAAGAAACGTTTGGGGATCATCTATGAGTTTAACAACTCTAAAAGTGGTTCGATAGTTTTTGGTTGTTTCCGAATTCTCGTTTGAAGACTGAGAAGACAAACTCGCCAATTACATCTGCAAATATCATTAAAAAAAACACATTAAAGCAATTGTTCAACTTTGAGAAGAAAAAAAATTGGTGGTAATAGTCGTAGCTTCGAAAACTTCTAAATTGGTGTGAGAAGAAGTTTCATCTGGTAAAAAAATCATTGTAGTAAATGAAATTCAATTCAGAAAAATGATCCCTATAACGTTCATGCAACTGAAATAAAGCCCAAGAATTCAATTCATGTAAACAAAAGTAAAATCTCTGTCGTCATAAACTGAAAAAAGCCCAGGAACTAAAATATCTCTAGTTGAATTCTCAGCCATAAAAAAATTCAGGAATCGGAGATATGTGAATTACCAGAAAATGGGCCCCATAAAATGAGAGAGTGAGATTAGGAAAAGGGTCACACTATAGATTAGTCTCCATCGATGCATATGTGAGTAGATCTGCACAGTGAAATTACAGATTCAATGATTAATCTAACGGATGGAAGAAGTAAAATATCTCAATGGATAACGATCAATTAAAGATTGATGCATGTGAAAATTTGATGAGATTAGAGAGATGGAGATACCATGATTTCAGAAGAAGAGATTGAGTTGGTTACCTCTTTGAGAATCAAAGTATATATATATATATATATATGTGGTGAAAGTTGAATTCAAATTTGAATTTGGAGATCGTGGAAGTTTTGAAAGAAGATCTCGAGATCGTGGATTTGGGTAAAAGAATTAGGAATTGTGTGGGTATAGGGAAAAGAAAAAAGAGTGAAATAAAGATTAATAATTTTCGGAAAAAAAAAGCAAAAATTAAAAATTAAAAAAAAAAATACAAAAGACACGTGTCAAATGGAGAAGCCATGAGGTGACTGCTGATTTATTAGTATCTTTGTTTCAAACACCAATCAGTAATCTGTTCGGTAAAAGAGATCCATAAACACATGAAATAGCCATAGAAAAAGAAAAGAGAAAAGAAAGAGAAGGACCTTGTAGAGAAGAAGACTCGTTGAATCAATTGGATGTGTTTGTTTTTGAACTTGCCATTGTATTCAACGTGTAAGGAAGAAACGTTTGGGGATCATCTATGAGTTTAACAACTCTAAAAGTGGTTTGATGATTTTTGGTTGTTTCCGAATTCTCGTTTGAAGACTGAGAAGACAAACTCACCAATTACATCTACAAATATCGTAAAAAAAAAACACATTAAAGCAATTGTTCAACTTTGAGAAGAAAAAAATTTGGTGGTAATAGTCGTAGCTTCGAAAACTTCTAAATTGGTGTGAGAAGAAGTTTCATCTGGTAAAAAAATCATTGTAGTAAATAAAATTTAATTCAGAAAAATGATCTCTATAACGTTCATGCAACTGAAATAAAGCCCAAGAATTCAATTCATGTAAACAAAAGTAAAATCTCTGTCGTCATAAACTGAAAAAAAGCCCAAGAACTAAAATATCTCTAGTTGAATTCTCAGCCATAAAAAAATTCAGGAATCGGAGATATGTGAATTACCAGAAAATGGGCCCCAGAAAATGAGAGAGTGAGATTAGGAAAAGGGTCACACTATAGATTAGTCTCCATCGATGCATATGTGAGTAGATCTGCACAGTGAAATTACAGATTCAATGATTAATCTAACGGATGGAAGAAGTAAAATATCTCAATGGATAACGATCAATTAAAGATTGATGCATGTGAAAATTTGATGAGATTAGAGAGATGGAGATACCATGATTTCAGAATAAGAGATTGAGTTGGTTACTCTTTGAGAATCAAAGTATATATATATATATATATATGTGGTGAAAGTTGAATTCAAATTTGAATTTGGAGATCGTGGAAGTTTTGAAAGAAGATCTCGAGATCGTGGATTTGGGTAAAAGAATTAGGAATCGTGTGGGCATAGGGAAAAGAAAAAAGAGTGAAATAAAGATTAATAATTTTCGGGAAAAAGAAAAGCAAAATTTAAAATTTTTAAAAAAAATACAAAAGACACGTGTCAAATGGAGAAGTCATAAGGTGACTGCTGATTTATTAGTATTAGATTTGGTCGCTAACAATTTTGGCTTCATACTAGTATTAGTCTGTAGATATTTTTTAGGAGTATGCAGAAGTGGTAAAAACAGAATAACACCCTACGAGTAATTATGATTTCATACCTATCTCGCATTCACAGCAAAGCAAATCTGGAAGAGAGCATAATGTGATTTATCTTGCTAATATATGGCGAAGAATTACAAGGAGTCGAGTGAAAAATCAGAGATACATAACTACTGAACCTGCAGTTTCTTTTGCATCGGCTAATAAACTTTATCTCTGCACTGTTGCTATCCCAAACACCAATCCCTATGCTCAATCCATATGGTAGATACACTCGATAGTAACCCAACATGTGTATTCTTCTTATGTTACTTTTGTCATCCCCAACATATGTATAAACTTTTTTTTTTCACACCTACTAAATCCAAATATGTGTGAAATTCTTTGTTGACTGTGTAGTACTTTCGTGGATCCATAACTTTGGGCCAACATAAGAAATATACAGGGCCAACTCTAATGAGGAAAAGTCCAATCGATAAAACACTAATGAGCGCGAACCAATGGATTAATCAGGACAAGTCTTAAGTTGTTTTGTGTTCACTTTTCAATAGATTTTGAGGAGAAAGTACAAAACGCTTGAACAAAAAATAAATCACCGTACAAAATTGTGTTTGATAAGAGAAGCCACCAAGAGATTCATTCTTACCAAAGACCAAAGATTATCAAACTCTGCCTCCTTCATTTCCCAGCAACTTGGTTGCATCATTGAATAAAATCACACGTGGCCTAATCTGTCAATCGAAACGTGTCAGTGATCTTATCACCTTTTGGCCGTAAACATATTTGAATTAACATTTTCAAAAGGAAATAAAAATAAATAAAACAACTTGGCCACTATGACGGTCCCACATCTCGATCTGCTCTTGATTGTTTGCGTCTCTTTAGGAGATCCTCTCCGTTCCTCTCCACCTTATTAACATTTATATGGTTTATGAAATTAATAATAACAACAAAAATTTAACCACAAAGACAAGTATTTTTCACTATAGTAGGTAGGTAAAAGTAAACACACATTTTTTGGGCTTGTAACCAAAAATATTGACTGACACAAATTTAACCCTTAGCTTTTGAGAACTGTTGAAGTTGAAGTAGGCCACAAGAAAGAGTAGCTCAATCACATTGACACATTCTCGGTAGCGCGTAACGAAAAGGAAAAAGGCAAAAATGTTTTCGTATTTAATTAATATCGCTTTGCTTGTCGGGTCCAGTCAGGCTGGAAACACGTGGCAATAAAGTGATTGTCGTCGTTGAGCACGTTGAATATCAGACACGTGTCAAGTTGTATACAACAAGTAGCCTACGTCTACGCTAAGCTCTCCCCCAACTTGATGCCCTTTTCCACGTGGCACGGTGGGTGGTCGTCTATCTTTTCTTGTTTTCACCAAATATAAATATAAAAAACTACTCCGAAACTATATAATACTACTGCATTTATATAATAATTCGAAATTATTCCTGTCAACGAAAAACCACTATCTATTTTCGAATTGCATATTAACTGGCTTATGGTGTATAGTTTGTGTTATTTTATATTTTAAGCCAACTTGTGTGAAAATATACTAAAGGATAATAATCCGTACGACATCGTCAACTATGCTTCTAAAATAATCCAAAAACATGATTTTTCCTGAAAACAATAAAATACTGCAAATTGTAGGACTATAGTTTATAATAGTAGCATTTGCTGGTTGTTTTAAGAAAGATTGTGTCGTCGTCTTCTCTCAAAATCATAAAGTTTCAAGTGAAAATACTTCAGGTTAACTGAATTCTCCTGCGCTTTCCATCTCTGACCTCAGCTATCAATATCTGCTGATCATTTATCGATTTCATTTTGATTCTTTTGATTATGGAAATGTTAAGAGCAAGGGAAAGCCTAAACGGCGTCGTTCAAGTCTCGAATCTATCTGCTAACAATCTTCTGCAGAAGTTTTTCATCACAAGCAACCGTTTTTGTGAGTATGGTGAGAATCGGGAAGAAGCAAAGAAGAAAGAAGAAAAAGAAGAAGAAGATAAAGATATTGAGCTAACGTTAGGTCTTTCGCTGAATGGTCAGTTTGGTACGGATCCGAGATCGAGGAAAAGGAAGAGTTTTGAATTGGGTCGATCTTCTTCGATACCGGAAGGTTTCGTCTTCGACGAACAAAGATCCAGCGGAGATATGCGGCGTACGGTAGGGCGTGGTGTTTCGGACATGTTCCAGCTGGATCGGACGCGTTCGCTGCCTGTCAACACGGAGGCAGAGACGGAGACGAAAAGGAAGCGACCGGAGAAGACAAGGGCATTTATGGAATTTCAGGCTACTCCTCTGAATAAAGGAAAAAACAGAGTCCAAGCGGAGACCAAGGAGGCGAGAGCATTTCTTGAATTTACGTATCCTCCTCCGACAAAGGAAAAGGGCGAAAATGATCGTTTTGCTGTCAATGCGGCGAAGAAAAAGACGCAGGAGGTTTCAGGAATGGAGAAGGCGAGAAACATTCTAGAAGACATGCCGTGTGTGTCGACGAGAGATGTCGGAGCCGACGGGAAACGAGTGGAAGGGTTTCTGTATTGGTACGGAGGGAACAAGGAGGAGGTCAAGATAGTGTGTGTATGTCACGGTAGTTTCCTTTCTCCGGCGGAGTTCGTTAGGCACGGCGGAGGCCTCGTCAGCAACGATGATGATGGTGGTGATGGTGTTATGATAAACCCTCTTAGACATATTGTTGTTAAACTCCCTTCTTCTTCTTCTTTGTAGTTTTGAAATACTAACGAAATGATTATTATTTTATCACAAATTATATTTTTTCTCTCCAATATTTCAAAATGTAACCATGTCAGAATAAAAATACAAGTCGGTAACTTCAAATAAATCAGTTATTGACTTACTGTAATGAGTGTAAGAACAAAAAAATGTGTATTGTTTCAAAACGGTTTTAGACTTTAGTCTTTGATTAATTTCCTTCTTAGTTTTTACTCTCGAGAAACCGTAGGAAGATTAACTCTCTTTCGTCTAACTACTATACAACAAGTTTACAACAACAAAAATCAAATCCTAGCACGACGGAGGCTGAAGCTGCTTCAACCGCCGTACAACTTGCTTCATCGTCGGCCTAGTCGACAGAGAATCCACCGTACAAACAACCGCTAAATGCAGAACCTCGACGAGATCATCGTGCGGACCGGCGTCCCACAAACCCGCCGTGAAAAACTCCTTGGCCCGCCCTTGTCTCAACAGCATACAAGCCCACTGCACAATGTTGAACCCGTTGCCGTACGAGACAAACGACGGATCAAGCGCTTTCTTATCCGACAGCAGCTCCAGAAGCACCACTCCGTAGCTGTACACATCCGCTTTATCCGAAACCCGGCAAGTCATGGCGTACTCCGGCGCCACGTATCCGAACGTACCCGCAACACCGGTCGTCGCGTGCGTCTCCGACGTCCCGAGCAACCTCGCTAACCCGAAATCAGACAAATAAGCGTTGTGGTCATCGTCCAAGAGGATGTTGCTCGGTTTCACATCGCGGTGAAGCACCCTTGGGACGCACTGGTCGTGGAGGTAAGCGAGAGCTCGAGCTATGTCGAGCGCGATCTTGTGAAGCACTCTCCAATCCACAGCTCTCGTGGACCGTTCTTGAATGAACTTCTCGAGGTTGCCTCCAGGGAGATAGTTGTAAACCAAGAACATCTCGGTCTCGCTCGCGTGGTAACCGATGAGGGTCACGAGGTTCGGGTGTCGAAGCCTACCGAGAGTTTTGATCTCCGCGTGGAACTGTTGGACGCCTTGGAACCGTCCGATCGAGAGGCGTTTGATCGCAACGACCACGTCTTGTGAGATTTCGGCTTTGTAGGTCGCTCCGAATCCGCCGTTCCCGATGAGATTGCTCGCGTTGAAGTTTCCGGTGGCTCTGACGACGTTGTCGAAGGTGATCATGACTCCAATGTCCATGAACATGGTGACTTCTCGTTTTGTGGTTGCCATGATCTTCGATTTCGGATGCCATTTCCTCGTGTAGAAGAAGAGAATCACGAGCGCGATCAAAACTGAGACGATCGCTGAGGCGGATGCGATGGAAGCGATCTCTAGCGAGTTGAATCCGTCTCTCCCCGAATTCTGAGACGGAGCGTTCTCGACGGGGGAAGATGCGTAATCCTCCGTCGTGGAATCTCCGACGGAGCCGCCTCGGGAATCTGAAGAGGGAGTCGTCAGAGAAAACACGTGGCAAGGTCGGAGATACGGGTTTCCGACGACACTGCTGCATTTCGTCAGTCCGTTTGTTGGAGGAAGAGGACCCGAGAGATTGTTGAAGGAGACATTGAAGACCGCGAAAGTGGAGAAACCAGACGGGATCTCGCCGGAGAGGTTGTTATTGTTGAGAAGAAGCACAGTGAGATTCTTCAGGCTGATGAGATCATGAGGAATCCCGCCGGAGAGGTAATTCGAAGAGAGATCAAGAGCTTCCAGGGAACGTAACTGATCAAAGCTCACTGGAATCTGCCCCGTCAGGTTGTTATTGGCAATTGAAAGGAACGTCAAAGCTTTCATCTTCTTCCCGAGGCTCTCCGGTATCTGACCCTGCAACTGATTCCAGCTCAGGTTGAGAGCAATAAGCGAAGCTAGATCACCGAGACTCGACGGAATCGGGCCGAAGATTTGATTCAAGGAAGCATCGAGAATCTTGAGAGAAGAGCACATGTTGTTGAGTCCTTCAGGAATCCGACCTGAGAGCCTGTTGAAGCTTACATTGACGTAAAGAGCTTTCAGCTCGTCGCAGCTATCAAACAGATTCCCCGGGAACTGACCGTAGAACCGATTCCCTCCACCGGAAAATATGTAGGAAACTCGCTTCCCTAACCGCTCCTGAGCGAGTGGTATAGACTTGAGAGTTCCGGTGAAGTTGTTGTCTGCGAAGTTATGAAACACAGCAGGACCTCCATCACCACCAACAGTAACCAAGGAAGCTCCAACTTGAGCCTTCTCGGTGAAGAAGGAGAGATAAACAGAGGAAGGGTCGTTGTTGTAGGATTCGATAGAGAAGCTTTCAAAGTGAACAAGAGGAGGACAATGATAAGCTGTGGTGGTGTTGCTGAGAAACTGAGGGATTAAACCGGATAAGCTGTTTCCACCAACGTCAAAGACACTCATGCAAGGAACAGAAATCTCTTTGAGAAGCTCTCCAGTAAGCATATTCAAGCTCAAATCAAGAAGACGAAGCTTCTTGCATTTCCCAAGACCCACAGGAATCTCTCCTCTAAGGAAGTTCTGACCCAAATTAACCATCTCCAAGCTTTGACATGAGCCCCAATCTCCCGGGAACCTCCCTTCTAGAGTAGCTCTCGGCACCCAAAGTATCTTCAGCTTTGGAAGCCTAGTGATCTCCTCAGGAATCCCTCCTTGATAGAAATTGAAATCCTCTGTCATCGACGTTAAATCCGCTCCTGGAGGGAGATCTGATTCCCCTCTAACGCTGTGAATGTCGTCATACACATTGTACAGATTCGATAGCACGAGAACAGACAACGAAGAGCAGTTACCGAGCTCTGCAGGTAACGGACCGCTAAGAGTGTTCCTCGAAACATCTAAAACCTCGAGCTTCCCAAGATTCCCAAACTCTACAGGGATAGTCTCCTCCAACGTGTTCATATACAACAACAATGACTTTAAACCAAGACAATTCCCCAAACTCTCTGGAATCCTCCCGGTGAAGAAGTTACCAGATAGATCCAAATGCTCAAGCTTTCCACAGTTATCTCCAATATCTTTAGGCAATGTCCCTTGAAGCCAGTTTAAAGGCAAGTGCACTACTCTGAATCTCCCAACAAAACCAGGGACACTTCCATTCAACTTGTTACCACCTAAGTTCAAAATCTCCAGCTTCGATAGATTCTGAAGCGAATTTGGGATTTCACCTGTAATTCTGTTGAACCCTAGATTCACCACCCGCAAGTTCCGTAACCCGGTAAACTGAATAGGTAATGACCCGGTCATCAAATTCCCTTCCAGATCAAGAACTTCCAGCTTCTCCATTCCCCAGATTCCAACGGGAAGCTCTCCGCTAAACGAATTGAAGGGGAGAGACAAAACTCTAAGCTCTGTGAGACCAACGACGACAGAGGGTAAATTCCCCGCCAAAGCTCCACGATTTCCGGCGCAATCCCTCCGAATACCAAACCCATACAGCGGAAACTTACCGATATCGCCGCAAGTGAAACGGTTCCCACTGATTTTGGAGCTCCCTTTATCGCTTCCGGAGCCGCTTATGTTAAGAGCCGTGACTCGGGAGGTCGAATCGCAAGATACGCCAAACCAGGAGCAGTGGTCTTCGCTCTCCTTGACCCAGCTACCGAGTATTGAGCCAGGGTCCGATACAGTTTCCTTAAAACGAAGCAGCACCGATTTGTCCGATTCCGCTAACACGGTGGTTTTCCCGGCGAGGCAGGCTGCGATACAGAGTAACAATAGAGAGGACAAAACGTTTGGAGGCATCTGTCTGCGGAAAAAACGCCATTTGATCACTGAAGAAGGCAAAGAAGTCATCTTCGTAACTTATCCCCAAATGATTGACACAAAACCCTAAACCCACCTCGCAAGGACTGCTGTGTTTGCAATTGACGACCAAAAGATCCTTCCTTTTACTGCGCGAATCAATCCCAGGCCCGAGTTAAACCCCTTTCACCCTGATTTAGGGGTATAATGAGAAGCTTTTTTAGTGAGAGAAACAGATGAAGCAGAGAGATGAAATGAAGAAGAAAAAAAAAAAGAGGAGAGAGATGAGAATTCAACACTATCAGTGAGGAAGACGCGTTTTTTTCTTCTCTTCTCTCTCTCTTATTTTTTTGTAAAAAAATATCTTAAATGAGTTTTGTTGCCGAAAATAAAAAATGTGAATGAACCAGTGGGGTCCACTTCCTTATTTCTTAATGGCTGATAAACCATTTTCTGTATTTTTACCTTCTAATAAATATTTTTTGATTATTACCAGTAAATCATGTCCTAAAGTTATCATTGAACAAAAGTTTGAACATCAAATTGCAATAGGTACATGATTGATGACAGGTACTATATGATAGTATTATATATCACTAAATTTGAGGGAACATTATTTTGCCTATTCAAATCAATAAAATAAAATATGTTTGAGTCATAATAAATGTAACAATATTTCAACTCTCGTGTGTATCTCCAAGACGGCAAGACTAATCTTATGCTAAAGATTTTGATGCTAACGCTTATTATTACAATATACCGTACATGCATATGAATTTCAATAAATCGATATCACAACATTAATTCCCCGAAAATATAAAAGATCTATATGGGGGTATACACTATGTTGTAGGATCCAAAAGTAAACAGAGTAACATAAACATCATAAATCGGAAAAAAAAAAATATAAATATATATATTGAGAAATTGTAAAGTGGAAAAGGGACAGAAATCCCTCTTTTCAAGGATCATATAAAAAATCAATTCCTTAAATTTAAATTAAATTTTTTGTCATGTAACCAAACACATTAGCCCTCATGTTAGTAATTACTAAGGCCTCACAAGTTCGACTCAACTTGCATTCATTTTGCGGTTCTGATATTTGGGGTAATGTGATATATTGAAATGATTAAATGTCTGAGAGAGAGTAGAATGAAAGAATTTCTTCTAAACTTCACTTGGATCATTACTAGGCTCTTAGTGCTATATTTGTACAGAGAGTGGTCAAATTGCCAATTGCTATCACTAAATCACTTCAGTTTCTTAAGAAACATTTTGGACAGTGAGGTGTCTTATGGAATAGTGGTGGCTCTCCTCTTCCTGTGATGATTTAATCATCTCCACAAGAAGAAAATTCACCATCAGAATCTCTCAGAAGATAGTTTCTTTCTCGTCGAGGATGGTGACAACTTTGTTCAACTTTGTTCTAAAGCTCAATGCTTTGAGTATGGCAGACAATGGAACGGATATTGTAAAAGGTAAGTGTGTTTAAATTTTAAATTGCAGTTTGAACTAGATCAATTTCATACCTAACATATGTAAATTCTTCTTGATTTTAGCTACTCCAACCTTATTGGCTCCGGAACAATATCGTACTCCTCCTCAATGCGGTCCCTCAAAATGATAAATTCTTTCTCGGATGCTGTATAGCTTTTGTTTTGACAGGTGGTGTTAGTCTTTGTGATAATGTTAAGGGAGGATACATAATCAAAACGCTTTGGCCATCCTTCAAAAATATCCAATATCCAGAGGCCTTCTTTTTGGTGACAAATTTGACTTGTGCTTACTACACATTACGGTATGTTTAGATGTAGCATTTAATACATATATCTTCTCTAATCATAATAAAAGTAAGAGATAACGAAATGTGGTCCTTTTGGGTATGCATCATCATGACATAAGAGTTATATCATCCATCAACCGGTTTACAACATTCGCTAATCACGGACCAAAATGTAGAGTTAACTCTAAAAATTGAAACTCTGTTTGGATCATCACTCTTGGGTTTCGAGTTTACAACTAACGTCCTCCGTACAAATTACACGAGAGAAGATGAATATGTCAAAACGCAAACGCCAAAAGCTTCATCTAGTTGAATAAACCGCATTTTGAAGTGCACTGGAAGCAAGAGAACCAACCGTTTTTCGAGGCTTTTGGTGACTGCATTTGAGATTCGTTTTGAATCGATGCCTTCCTTTGTGGTAGTGATTGCGGCTGCAACTGAGTTACCGTACCAGATTCTGAATAAGGCTGCGGTTGGGACGGTTGCGATTGAGGCATCAGATACTTGGGTCTTCGATTTTGGGAAGTGTTCCCTCTGATTACCATAGACGGCGTTTTGTCAACTCCATCTTCTTTCTGCAATCTGTTACATGAATTCCCATAAAGAAAAGTAAATAAGGGTTTCAATGGTTTCTTCATGCACAAGGAATCATAAAAAAGCCCTAAATCGAGGATTCGCAGAAAACGACTTACAATGGAAATACGAAAGAAGAAATGCTGTTATTGCTGATGTCCGAACGACAAGAAATGCTCGGGGAATGTGAAGTTGTACTGTTCGTATCTTCTGGTTTATTCTCTTTCAAATCTTCTACAATTTTCTCTTCTTGTATCTCGGTTTCAGTTTCCACTAAAACCTCCGATTGGATCATATCTTCTTCTTCGTGTTCATCGTCACTTTCGATTTCAGTCATCTCTCCTTCTTCTATCTCAACATCATAATCATCAATCTCAGATTCGGAGTCGGACTCAGACTTTTCAACATGGTCTGGTTTCTTCTGTGTAATCGCTTCTTTCTCATGTTCTGTGGGTTTCTTAACCGAAGGAAGAGGAACCGGGTCGATTTCGGTTATCTCGTGAATCGTTTCCTCAATTATCGGAAACTCACTCAATCTTTGCGTGGTACCTAATACATGATCCTCCTTTGTGGAAATGTTGAAATCCATATCGTGAATGCTAAACAAGGATTCATTAGAAGCTATACTCCATTCCGACGAATTTCCCGGTTTACTAGAGAAAACTGAAGACGGAATCCGGTTTGGATCGTAACCGGGTAAATCAACCATGTGGTTTTGGTGACCGGAGGACCATGACGAACCGGTATAAGATGAACTATAAGCCTGATACGTCTTTCTCTGTTTCTGTGCCTCAGAAGCAGACAGTGTTGGCTTAGGAAGAGGGAAGTGTCGGATATCAAAGTGTCCATCTGAAGAATCTGATGTTATTGATGAAGATCGTGAAGATGATGAGCGAGAAATCGAATCCTTCCATTCTTGTTCTTTGCTTTCAGTTTTCATTTCCATTCTCTGATTTAGAAATTATAGCTAAACCAATGCGAATCACGTTTTATTTATACGATGTAACAAAAAAAACAGAGAGTAACAAAAAAAAGGCTCAGTGTAGTTTTTTTCTGTTTGTTCGTTTCTAGTTAGCTGAGACTGTTAGTTATCTAACCGGAAACGATTTAAGGACTAAACTAAGGGATTGGTTTCATAGTAACAGAGTTTAGGACTTGATTTGATTCTGGTTCTGAGAAATGTGTTGTTCAAAATTAGCAGATGAATAACCAAGGAATCTTTTGTTAATATTCCCCACTATTTTTAGAAGAACACACAGAACACAGCACCAAAAAAAAAGAATTCCAGCTCACTTGAGTTGTCAATAATCTGTAATTTAGTACAAGTTTTTAGAGAAAAAAAGGACAAAATATTTTATTCCACAGCTTTCATTTCAACAAAAAACAGAAACCAACAATTTATTTGGTTCAAGTCACAAATCCCCAATTGCTTCAACAACCAACAGAAGATAAACCAGATTCCGGTTTGCGTAGATCTTGAATCTGTAACAATTTATTGAAATGCCAAAAGTTAATAATTTTATCGGAGAAAACCGGTTTTCGATTTGGTATGATGAAAAATTTGAAAATTGACCTTGGATAAGTTAAAGCTGGGAGGAATAAGAGAACCGGAAGCCTTTCTGCTTCTTGCGAGAAGACCTTTCGTAACCGGAGACATGATTGCATCTGTTGGACTTCTGTACCTGAGAATACAAATATCACAAAACTACGTCAGTGTAAAATTCGGTCTGGTCTGTAACGGTTCAAATCGGTTATTTCACTTAATCAGATTACCTCTCTGGGTGCTTGAAAGCTACAGGGACTCTGAGACGATCCGGGGTCACGATTTTCTTCATTGGCTCGTTGGTGGAGACTCGAGGAGGAGATTCATGATCCGGACCAGCTTCCGAAAGCAGCAGAGGCGGCGATTCTGAGTTCAAAACAGCGATTTCGCTGTGGTCCGGTTGAATTTTGAGAGGTGTTTCGAGATTTGATTGCTGTGACTCCATTAGAGAGAAAATGACTGGGTGGGACGAATGTAAGCTTAATCGATTTATATAAATCGTATCGAGAATATATATTACCGTTAGTGGAAAATTGTGGCAGCAACGGTCGGATTGAGACCTTAAGAAAAATGTGGTTTGAAACGGGCCAGGCCCAATAAGAATGTTCAACAATTGTGCGGGCCATGAGGAGGATATAGAGAGGTTGAAGGAACAGCGACGTATGATTGGACAGTGACATAAGCGACTGTAAACGGGCACGTGAGGTTAGCAGAGATTCACCGCTCTCATGTCCTTAAAAAAACGTCATAGAAAGAGAGAAAAAAAATGGAAGAAGGAAGAAAGAAGAGACTGACACAAAACTCTGAATCTGTTGGACAAAATATGCGTAAGCAAAGTTTCTTGATATGACATTAACACTATTCCACCTCACTCTCTTACTCTGCCATTTGCATCATCATTTTCGCATTCAAGAAAAAAAATACGAAAAGAGTCATTATTATGGTGACTTTAATATCTATCTCATTTGCCAACTACATACTGCTACTTTACTCCTGTGCTTCTTTTAAATCCCATAATAAATTACTTTAAATCACTTTTCCTTTTTATCTTAACAACGTTAGTGATACTTTCAGGGAACAAAAAAATTCTGAAAGTGAAAAAGATTTTGCTAGGCACGGAAATATAATCTTCTAAAGCAATTGTCAGATTCTCCCAAAAACAGTGTTGGACACAAACGCGAAAAACAGACGTCATAATAAGATTAAGTTTACTAAATCACGAAAAATATAACAAAAAAACAGTCTTAAAGAAGTTTGGTCTAAAATACACATATTATTCTAAGCAGCTATTATTGAATATTCGTGTGCAAGTGAAACTGAATAGCTATATTCAGAAGTCACAACACTGTATAAATTCAAAAGTGCAACGTCAGACTCATATTCATGGCTATCGAAACGAGGCCAAAGCAGTGTACATGGTGACGCATTAATGGTTTCTTCTCCAGTAACTTCGCGTGTACGTTAAAGATATATAATTATTAACCTGAATTGCCAATATTGCTGTAACAAAATAAATATTGCCTTCTACTATCTATAGCATTCATGAATTACATTAATGGTTTGTTGTTTTTATCTAGTCGTCAATAAAGGTGCATGCTTTTAAATGTACCTGTGTTTGAAGAAGTTTGGTCTAAAATAATTTAACCGATACAATAATATTTGAACACACAGAGAACTATATTAAAAACCAACTTTCGGCTTGTTTAGTTGGTTTTTATCAGTCAGTCTTCAAATAAATATGTTTTATGATAATTTCCTGTTGACTCGTATTGTAAGCGCTGAATACGAAACCATATATGTGTTTTTTTTATGTTTTGCATCATATAACCTACCAAATAATAAAGCAAACTTAAAATAACTATACAGGTTGTATTGTAAAGGCTTGTGTAGTCACGACTCACGTAATCACCCTGATTTAAGACTGCAGCTAATCGAAGAAGAAAACCAGGGTAATGGGTCCAAATCAAAACCTTACCAAACATATACACCAAAACCTCATGCAACAACCTTTAACAGAAAAAGAAGAAGAAACTCGTGCAGGAGATAATGTCTAATATAATAGCATGAATAGCCTTGCAATTAATTATATGTGTCGAGGTCAAAAAGCATGCTTGCTTTTCACTTTTGGGTATGTATAAAGTCATATATAAGCTGTAGACATTGATTAACATGAAATCATTCATCGCATCCAATGATCTTAATATTTCCCTTGTGTACAAAATTACGCGAGGTTGAATGAATTATTATAACTACAAAGAAGTAGAAATGGTTATAATGTTTACCATAAAACAAATAAGAAAAATGATATTAACAACCTATGAAAAGATGGTCAAAGTTGCAGGTAATTCTTCGGTAGAAAAGAGAGAATACTTTTCCTATAACATCGAGACATCAATTTCTTGTATGGGTCCAACTATTCAAAACTTTGTCAGTTTTTATACATTTCTTGTATGTTTTTATATTTATCTATTTACTAAAAGTAACTAAAACACAAACAGAAGGGGAAGAAGGATTTTGGTGGTGGTGATGTCTAAAATTTGTAAAAGTATAGTCAGGTTGAATTCGAGTTCGACTCAATATTTTAATTATCACCTTTTTCATTTGTCAACAAATTCATTGAATTTTTAAAACCATTTGCGGGGAAGGTAGTGTTAAATCCTTATTCCTATATTCACTAATTATTTGATATAATTCTGTTTAACCGCACTAAACGTCTTATAATCAAACATGAACAAGACTATTGAATGTTGATCGCTTCATCTTATAAAAATTTCAAATTGTCATTAATCTTATCATATATTACAATTGTAAAAGCATTGCCAGATTTGTAGTAGAGCAACTGCGGTAACCAAACAATAGTCTAACTCTAACCTATGTATGTACATGCATGTGGTATACACACATGACACATCTATGTATATACCTCTGTATATAAATGCATGTGGTATGTGCATATATACATATGAACACACGATTGATTTAATGCTCTGTCATATCAAATAACGTATTTACTATTATAAGCTGGTGGTGTCATTGAAGTCATCATTGTATGTTCTTCCAAATTCATAAAGTTACTGTCACTGATAATATTGGTGGGCCTTTTTCTTACAGTCACCCATTTTTCGCTATTATTTATCCTTTTTCTCCTATAAACTCCAACATACGCCAAGAGAAAGAAAAAGAACTCCAACCTAAATAACAAAAGAAATTAGTATTTTTGTTTGTTTTGTTCAACATTTTTACTTGGTTTTAAAACAAGAAGAGCTACAATTTCAGAGTTAAAACAGCTGTATAAGTAACGGTCCAATGGGTTTATTGGCAGTTAATCAAGTGAGGTTTATTGGCAAAATGTTAAAAGTGTTTGTAATGTGTTTATTTGGCAGTTGAAAATGCAAAACTATGCCTACAATGAATATTATTAGCCTGTAACCATACGGGTTTTAGATTCAATAGAACAAACGAAATTACTCAGACTACGATATTATTAGTTTGTATTTAGTTATTGTTGAAAGGTAAAAAACATTTATTTTGCCAGCGTTTGAATTTTTCATCTACCATTGTTCCCTTTCCATGATTTTTGGTTGACCAAAAAAGAGTAAATACGATACATTTTGTTTCGACACCGATATAATTTAATCTCTCTCTCATTTTATAAACATTTATTATAATTTTAATATAATTAAACAGTCTCCTCATTTTCATCTCTCTCTATTTAAGACAAGCCAAAGGTAGAACTGTAGAAGCCGATCTCAAAAAGTCTCCGACACACTCTAGTCTTATTTTGCTTCCTCTCCATCTTCTAGCCATGGCGATGGGGATGGCAAAATGCGTAATTTTCACCACTTTCCTGGCCATACTTGTAACGACATCTCAAGGAAGAGGAGAAAAAGAAGCAGAGGCAGACCGGATTACGTCACTTCCCGGCCAGCCTAACGTCACGTTTGAGCAGTTTTCCGGCTATGTCACCGTCGATAAATCCTCCGGAAGGTCACTATTCTACTGGCTCACTGAAGCTTCTCACCTCCCTCTCTCCAAACCTCTCGTCATTTGGCTTAACGGAGGTAACTATTTATTTTCAGCTAGTTTTTACTTTCGATCTATTTTTTCCTCCGCAAACTAGTTTCTGTCACACTTCTTGAATGATTCTTCAAAACGTTTGCTTGTAAATATTTATATCTAATTCTAGTAGTTATTTATAAACCACTCTTTGGTCTTAACCTTGATAAATATTTATAATATTACAATTTTTTTGGTTTGGCCTACTTAGGCATGGGAATAATGCCCTAACAACTGCTGGAGACTCACCATTTATTCGAGCCCACATTTCTCAAATAAAATAATTATGTTTGTGCTAAATTTGCCTACATTATACAACCTGTCATTACAAAATCTCTAAATGTATGTATTTATTGTACACCTATTTATGATATCGTAAGGCTTAGTTAAGTTGATCATGCATGCATGATGCATTCAATAGACCGTTGTAGTTTCTAAGTACAAGAGACGTATTTTAGACAAAATTATCTTGTAGCTGCTGAAAAAGCTAAATCATTAAATGCAATTTCCAAACTAGCATTGAGACGCTATTTATTACACAACTAACTTTTGGTCTCTTTTTTTGCCCCCTTAAATTCAACCTCTATGAAACTCTATAAATTTTGTTGTCATTTTTATTTAACAAATTTAAGAAACAGCACAATTAATTTCCTAGGGGTTATATTTCTACTAAAAAAATGAATTTGTAATTTACTTGTTTTGTTGAAATATCGAATTAATTTTTTATTAAAAATGGAAATTATTGATTAGGACCGGGGTGTTCGTCGGTAGCGTACGGTGCGTCGGAGGAGATTGGACCATTTAGGATAAGCAAAGGTGGGTCCGGTTTGTATCTCAACAAGTTCGCGTGGAACTCAATCGCCAACCTCTTGTTCCTTGAAGCTCCCGCCGGTGTCGGTTTCTCCTACACCAACCGCTCCTCCGATCTCTTCAACACCGGCGATGGCCGTACCGGTATACTTAAATAAAACTCACTGGTCCCACTTAATTTATACGGTTAAATCTTAACCGGTGTTCTGTTTTTGTGCATATCTTCAGCTAAGGATTCACTTCAGTTTATTATCCAATGGCTTCACCGGTTTCCGAGATACAACCGCCGAGAGATTTATATCACCGGCGAGAGTTACGCCGGACATTACGTGCCTCAGCTCGCCAGAGAAATCATGAACTACAACAAACGATCTAAGAGTCCCATCAATCTTAAAGGAATCATGGTAATTTAAAAATCCTCTGTTTCCATTACTAAAAAATCATATTTTTCGCGTTTGAAACTTTTAGAGTTTTGTAATTTACGTTTTGGAGGTTGGAAACGCGGTGACGGACAACCACTATGACAATCTCGGAACGGTGTCGTATTGGTGGAGCCACGCGATGATCTCTGACAGGACGTATCACCAGCTGGTAAACACTTGCGATTTTAGTCGCCAGAAGGAATCTGATGAATGCGAAACGCTTTATTCTTACGCCATGGATAAGGAGTTTGGTAACATCGATCAGTACAACATCTACGCACCGCCGTGTAACAAGTCAAGTGACGGTGGTAGTGGCCGTGAGTCTTCCGGCCGCCGGAGTATGCGTCTCCCTCACCTTCCCCACTCCGTAAGAACGTCTCTCCTCTGTTTTTTTTGGTTTGGATCCGGTTCACTGTTTTAAATCATTTTGATTTTTTTCCGGTTATCTGGAGTAGGTACTGAGGAAATTAGCTGGTTATGATCCATGTACCGAGAGATATGCAGAGATCTATTACAACCGGCCTGATGTTCAGAAAGCTCTTCATGCCAACACCACCAAGATTCCTTACAAATGGACTGCTTGCAGGTTAATTACCAAAATTGACTTCATGTTTAAATATTTTTGTTCAATAACTCTGTTTTGATTAAGATTTGATTTGGTTGTCAGTGAGGTGCTAAACCGGAATTGGAACGACACAGATTCATCCGTTCTCCCTATATACCGGGAAATGATTGCAGGCGGGATTAGGGTTTGGGTATTCAGGTCTGTAGTTTTAGGCTTTTCAAAAAACAAAATCCGATTCTAGTGAAATGTTGCGCCAAATGTTGGTTTCTGATAGTTGTTTTTTTTGGTTCAGCGGCGACGTGGATTCAGTTGTACCGGTGACGGCGACAAGGTACTCACTAGCAAGACTTAGTTTGAAAACCAAAGTGCCTTGGTATCCTTGGTATGTCAAGAAACAGGTATGTATCTCAAACCCGGTTCTCGTTCTGGTTAACTTCGTCTTCGTTGATGTAAACCGAGATTTGTGGAATGTAGGTTGGAGGATGGACGGAAGTGTACGAGGGACTGACGTTCGTGACGGTGAGAGGGGCAGGTCACGAGGTGCCATTGTTCAAGCCACGTGCTGCTTTTGAGCTCTTCAAGTATTTCTTGAGTGGCAAGCCACTTCCCAAGGCTTGAAAAATTCAAGTCAGAAGATCGGAGATTGATGTAATATTCAAAATCATGGCGAGAAACACAAAACAAAATGTAAAGTTTGGGTTATGACTTGTGAGTTATGGATGGGATTAGATTAAGTCTAGTCTATTGATGTCAGCTAGTAGTTAGTTCTTTATTGAATTGTGATGAAAATTGTTGCAAAAGATGGCAATTCTTTTCAAAATCTTATTAAATTTGTCAGCTGGATCAAATCATAAGTGAATCGAGACAAATTTAAGTGTTTTCAATTAAAGTTTAGAACAAACATCCAACAACTTATTAGTGCGTATAGGATGAGTATGAAGAAACCACAGAAAAAGAAAAAAAAAGGAAAACAGGAATAAAACAGAGGATCTCTAGCATCTTCCTGTAGAGTGAATGGTACACTTATTAACCAGCGACGATGGGAAATTATGAAAGATTACAGTAAAGAGAAAACTCAAAAATAATGAATCCATCGCCACCTTCTTCTGTCTGCTCTCTCCGACCAGGGAAGCCAACTTTGCTCTTCTCTTGACCGTTATTTCACAAGAGACCTAGTAACGGTTCCAGTAGGTTCTGCGTCTGAACTTGTTGTAGTCAGGCAAGTCTTGGATCGGACCAATGGCTGAGATGGCAATGTCCTGCACATATTCCCCACAACATATCACACATGAGTTTTCAACACTTCTTTTACCGTCTAAACCCCACATCTATTTTTTTTCTTCTTCCTTGTAAACACAAAGAGAGATATATATATATATATATAACTTACCTTGTCATAGATATATTTGTTGGCAACACGTTTAACAGTGCTGGCATCAACAGCATCGATCCTAGCAAAGAGTTCAGCGATTGGGATTCTACGCCCATAGGTCAGTAGCTGCATACATAGACCACAATCGTTAGAATGGGGAAGTTTTATCAGATTGATTTTGCAGGTTATCTTCTCATCAAGATGCTTAGACGATTGATATCATACCTGACGACCAATATCCTCTGCAATTGGGCTGGTTCCATCCATGTGAAGCAAAAGCGATGATTTCAGCTGAAGAGAGATATTTTAAAGTCAGCGAGAGAATTAAACGCTTTAAGCAGATCACATGGGTAAGTAGAGGAAGCTGAGTTTGGGTGTTAACCTGATTCCGTGCACGTGTCACATCATCGTCTGAGACTTTGTAGGCCAGCTTAGTGACCTCATACATAATTGCATATGATAAATCATCCAAGCAATCCGCCTGCATAACATTAGCTTACAACATGTCACAAACTGGAACTTTTCATATTTAGAAATTCAAACAAATATGAGAAAAAGATGGGGTTTACCTTAGCAACTGCATAGACACCAAACAGTCCAGTATCCTTGTAGTTGGTGTTGAATGCCATTATGCTTTCCGCTATTTCGTTAATGGCAACCCTCTGGGTCAGATGTGAACTGCGCATAGACATAATATCATTCATCAACATGATGAAAAAACAAGAAGACTGTTTCCGTTGAATGCATTCGCCAGAAAGCAAAACCTCACCCCATGTGTTTGCCACCGCCGACATTTTTGTTCCATGAACCCAACATAGTTTGCATCACCATAAGAGCAATAGAATCTGGATCTGTCCAAGATGCTCCCTCAAAGGCAACAGCGAATTGTGCAAGGGGTAGGTCGTCATCAATCATCCGGACCTGACAAGGATTTCAACAGACTTGACACTTAAAAGGATGAAAAAAAGAGAGATCAATCAATCAATCAATATAGGTCGAGTCTTTACCTCGGAACCTGTAAAACTAGCAGGCTCTTGGAGAACAAGTTGAGAAGTAGATGTTGGATCAGATGACAACTTGTTAAATAGCTTTTTCACTTGCTCAACAACTTCCTCATGCTTTACAGCTCCTGCAGCAGCAATCACCTGAAAATGTTTTGGACCAACGACCATAAGAATTCAAACAAAATTTTAATAACTGATTCCAGAAAATGACAAGAAAGAAGCAACCAAAAGTTATACCATCCTGGAAGCGGTGTAGTGATTCTTAATATAATTCTGAAGATCCTCTCTGGTGATTGACCTGACATTCTGAGCAGGTCCCAGAATAGTTCTTCCAAGAGGTGAGTGTTGGAATGCGGTGGCATGTAAATGGTCAAGAACCACTTCTTCGGTTTGTCCCTCAACCTAAACCAATTACAATAAAGTACAACTTTGTGAGTTAAACTGAGTAACACATAACCATACAGAAAATCACCAAAGCCTATAATATTTCCAAATTCACAGGATAAAATTTACTTCACGACCAACAGATGAATGATGAATCAGCCAATACAATCTAAAAAAGACAACACATCAATAAAAGATGGACAAAAATTCAATTTCGGAGGCAATACAATCTAATTGAGTGAAGAAACAGTACACCCAAGAAACAAAAGCCTCAATAGTTGCATTCTAAACTCCAAATGAATCAAGCGAAACACATAGAGTAAGATACAACATGTGACTTACGCTAATGAAACCTTAAAATGCAAAAGATAAATTGAGAACAGAAAATAAAGTTCAATTTTTTTAGCACAAATTCAAATGGCAGCAAAAAAAAATTCATTTTAAGCAAATGGAAAAGACCCAGACAAATATAAGAGACAAAGTCATAACGAATCAATCAATACAACATTTGACTAAAGCCAATACAACCTCAAAATGCAAAAGATAAATCGAGAAGAGATTAAGGTAAAGTTTGAATCTTTTAAGACATACCTCCTGCATTTCCCTGAGGATGACCTCTCGTTCCCGCTCAATCCTCCCCTCTTCAAACTTAGAATTCTGTAAGATATCGGCCAAGACATCCAAAGCCTGGTTCACATTCGAATCCATCACCTTCGCATAGTAAGTGGTCTGTTCCCTCGACGTGTACGCATTGAGATGACCACCAATGTCTTCGATCTCTTCCTCCAACGCCTTCACGGTACGCCTCTCCGTGCCTTTGAAGATCATATGCTCCAGGAAATGAGCCGTTCCGTTGGTCTCATCCGACTCGAATCGCGATCCGGCGTCGATCCAGACTCCGACGGTGGCAGTCTTGGCGGAGAGATTGGATTCGGTAGCGACTCGCAGACCATTGGGCAAGGTTGTGACGCGAGTCTCCGGTGCTGATAAGATGTGGTTGTGGGAAGCCAGGGTCGGATGCGGCGATGCGTATTTGAGGAATCTCTGCTCCGGATTGTCGAGCCTTTTGATGTTGTTCTTCATGATCTCCGCCGCTTGATCGTACGGCATGAGAACCGGCGGCGCAGGGGATGATGGAGCCGCCGAAGATGCCGAATCGACGGCTGAAATCGAAGAGGAACATCGCACCGCTTGTCTCAGAGACCATCGCCTCTGAGATCGGAGAGCTAAGGACAGTAGATTCTTCATCGCCATCGCTTGATGATGGCTTCTCTTTGCTCTCTCTCTCTCTCTGACTGTCTCTCTAGGGTTTGTCTAAAAGGCCAAAAATGGGAGCGACGACTCGAGATGCGAACTAATAGCCAGTGGTTGAGCGATACAGTGAAACGTCGACGTTTCTCAAATAGCTTTAAGACGATGTCGTTTTAATGAACTTTTTTGTGTCTTGACATTTGACTGGTTCAATTGAAGTAATGAGGCCGTATGTTGAATGTTGGCGGCCCATTAGTACGGGTTGGTTTTAAGACCCGGATCCGGAGAAACCCTAATTCGCAGATTACTGAGCAATATAAATAGAGTTTGTTATTGGAGATTGAACGCCCCCTAGTCATTTTGCGGAGAGAATCAGCTGCGTTGGGCAAAACCCCCACACGAAGATCACTGCTGTGTTCATCTCTCGTACGTAACTGAAGCTATGGCTACTGGTAAAACTGTGAAAGATGTCTCGCCTCATGACTTCGTTAAGGCTTACGCTTCTCACCTCAAGCGATCTGGCAAGGTTAGTGGCTTTTTTGTTTCTGCTTCTTTCGTGTTATAGTTGTAAAAACTTCTTTTGAGCTGATTCTTAATCTGGAAATCAGAATCCTTTTTCTGAATTTAAATAACTCTACATTTCTGTAGTAGTTTTTTGCCCGATGTGTTTTTCTCTATTGCTTGATTCGGTTAGAACTAGTTTTGAGTGAAGCTTGTTCTAAACATTTTGAATGCTTTTGATAGATCTCTTTCAATATAGCTTAACCTACTGATAAATCTTCTGCGATCAGCAATCCAGCTTAAATTGAAATGTTTAGTGTCATTTTTGTTGCTCTTGAGTCTCAAATGGCTACCGTGTATATTGTTTCGACTTCGTCATTCTAGTGATTCGCAATTATAGTTATCATGATGAAATGTCTCATGAATGTCTCTTAATCTGTTATTATGTCTGTTGAATTGAGAATAAATATATGTACAATGAAATTAATCGTCTTGAGATCATATAACTTAATATATTTTGTTTGCTTTGTTGCAGATGGACCTTCCCCTATGGACAGACATAGTGAAGACCGGTAAGTTGAAGGAGCTTGCCCCATATGACCCAGACTGGTACTACATCAGAGCTGGTAAGCTCCTCCTTCCCAGTGATTGTCTCTCTCTCTCTCTCTGTTTTGCAATGCTTATGAATGTTACTGATAGAAACATCTCTGTTATGATGCAGCATCCATGGCAAGGAAGGTGTACCTGAGAGGAGGTCTCGGTGTTGGTGCTTTCCGTAGAATCTATGGTGGCAGCAAGAGAAATGGAAGTCGCCCACCACACTTCTGCAAAGCCAGCGGTGGCATTGCCCGTCACATCCTCCAGCAGTTGGAGTCCATGAACATTGTTGAGATTGACACCAAAGGGTAATTACATTGCTCTTACTACCACTTTCTTCATTATCATATGTTTGAGGAAAATGCTAATGTGTTGCCATCTGTTTTGTTTGTTTTCTTCAGAGGAAGAAAAATCACTTCCAGTGGGCAACGGGATTTGGACCAGGTTGCTGGACGTGTCGCAGTTGTTGAACCTTGAAGACCTCAATGTTGGTTTCTTTTTACTTCTTCTCACTACTTTTGAAACCATTGTGCTGTTTTTAGTGTTCATCTTTACTCTTAAAAATATTATTATCAATTTTCATTGCTCAAGACTGCTCTCGCAATGTTCAGAAATCTTTATTTTTGGTGTTGGCCTTTGAAACAGTGAACAACTACTCTTCCCAAATATTGTTAAACAAAGAGTATCAAGCATATATCATATGTTAATGGTATTTTGAGTAATTGCGATTTGCGATCGAACAAAACCATTAATTTGGGGAATTTTTCAGAATTACTTGTTTACTACAAAAGGTAGGACAAGAAAAAGGAACAAAATCATGCAACTAATCGGTTGCGTTGCTTCATCGCGAATTGGAGGATTTTGTTTTGTAATATTGACAAGAAAAAAAATATTATTGAAGTAACGTGTAAACTGAATGGAAAAGCTTTTTGTTTAGAGGTCTTGCTGGTACAAGAGATCGCTCATGTAAGATCCATGCTCAAATAAATAAATTTCTTTCCTCAGCCGTCGTTGAATAATCCCATAAACTTGTTTCAGTTTTTTCATATTCTCACAAATGATTTCATAAGATGCAAATGGAGTCTCTCTTCTCCTACACTTACCTTTTGTTGCCCTTCTCTTTCTGCTTTGTATTGCTCTATTAGGCTTAGTTAATAGTTTCTCAGCAACCTGGTACAAATGAAACGACACACGCTTTGTTCAGAATTCAAAATCCACAAAAAGGATTAAGACTCCGCCTATGCAAATTCATCAAGTTCAGGTCATAACGACACATGCACAACTCTAAAGTTTAGGGTCAAATTCAAGTTCATAGTCTAATAGATTTAATCACTACCTTTAAAACTTGTTATAATGCTCAATGAATAAAAAAGGGAATTAGTGCAAAGAAATGGATGAGAAAACAGAGAATTATATATGAGGTGGAGATAACTACAAAGAGGAAGAGAAAACATAAATATATATTTTTACATCAGTTTATTTATAGTGGTGCAAACTAATGTAGTTTTGTATCAAATTTATGGAGTTGATGTAAAACAAGACAATATTTGCATGGTTCTTATAATTGATGTTAAACCATATATTTTGTATCATTTTTTATTAACTTATTCAAATTACTATCATTCCATTGATACTATTTAAATATTTTGTTTAGTATCAATGGTGCACTTTGTTTTCTTTTGGAAGAAGCTCTTTCTCCAAAAAATGGTGCACTTATAGTGTGAAAACGGTTTGTAAATGATATGCTAGTTTCTGTTAGTGACCTCCATAGATCTGACATTCTCCATAGGAACCTAGATGAAGAAAGTTTCTTCATAGTCAAGAATCCAGATCATCCAAATCTCAATAGTTTTATACTGAAGTTTGGCAACATGAGGCTTGCGAAATCTACAGGCGACACATATGTGGTTGGTGAGCCTAACTTTTCTGCTCCGGAACTAAGCAATTGTAAACCTCACCAAGGTCCAACAAATGATGTCTATCTTCTTGGTCTGATAATTGGATATGCACTATGTGGTGGAAAGCATTTATACATACAACCTATGCAAAAGGGATCCCTAATGCACACTTGGAAGCTACAAGTCTCTTTAACCGATTTCCAGAAATATCTGCTATTGTTAAGAGTTTGGTGCGTGTTCCTTACTGGTAGAGGTAATTTTATTTTCTTACTTTTCTTGATTTACATTATTCATCAAGCACACACACCTAATGGACGCTGTTTGCTTTTTTTATTTTTATTTTTCAGGTGTAGTGCATCTAGTAAATTTAGCCATGTTTTCTTCGGGTCATATGACAAGAAGGTAAGCTTTCTCCATCTTTGTATCAGCGAGATGTCTTGCTACTAATTGGAACAAAATGTCTAAATGTATGATAAAGATTGTGCCTAATATACATTGGATTGATAAGCTAGTTCTGGTGTTTCCAATGCAAATAATTGAAGTCTACTTTCTTGTATCTGGACATCTAAAGCACATTGGGGTCTTTTAACTTACTTATGAGCGATTTTTGAAAAAATAATAGGCTTAAACTGAACGCCCGATTAATGTCCGACGAGTTTCCGAATTTGATTGTAACTAAAATATAACTACTACCTTCAATGGCAAAAAAACAACAATTGATTAGTGTTGTGTTGATGTTTTAAATATTGCCAATGCCTTTTAAGAGATTGTAGTGTCCGTTGTGTGGTTGGGTAACATAACTATTATTTTGTTATAAACTGTTTATATCTTTTGAGCAAGATCCTAATGGTTACAATCTGTTTGTGTTTGTTTTATTCAGAGTAAGGAGAATCACTTCCCGTGGGCAACGGGATTTGGAAGAACTATGATCAATTTTACTGCTAAAGAAATCTTTTTTGGTCGTCGCCTTGGACGTTTAATTATGTTGTCTTCTTTCAATTTTGTGTTTGTGTCCTCAAAATATCACCAAACAAAACTCAATAAACAATTTAAATGGTAATGAACTATTGGAAAGTCGAGTGCCATTATTTAGCTTAAACAAACCAATGTGAACAAACTTGCAACCATTGCTTTGTGACCCGAATATATCCGAGACATTCTCGCTCATTGTGATGATTACAAAAGATAGAACAAGGAAACAAAAACTTGCAAGTTTGCAACTGATTTGGTTGCTTCGAATGCGAAAATTTTGTTTGTTCTCCAAGTAATGGATAATATGGACAAGAAAAAAGATTATTGAAGAAATTTGCAAACTGATCATGCGAAGCTTATATTTTTAGAGGTCTTGCTCGTACAAGACATGGCTCGTGTAAGATCCAGTTTCACTCCAAGACGATGAACTGCAGCATCTTATCTTCTTGTGTTGCGGTATGTTAAACTTGGGATCTCGAGGTATCGTCGGGTGCTTGCTCGACCTTCAATGTGCAAAAACAAAAAAACAACAACAACAGTTGATCTGTCCGATAATCCATGTAAATGTATCATCATAAATCTTTCAAGAAAGAAAGCTGAACTGAGAGTGTTTTTGTATTTACCTTCTGGGGATGAACGGACGATCAAAATACGGCATTGGTTGTGCCTTTGGTATCATTTCTTTCCTCAACTTTCGCAACTCTTCTTCTTCTGCTAGCTGAGTTATCCGTAAAGTTCCTTTCATTTTTTCATACAACACACTAATGGTTTCATAAGATGCAAATAGAGTCTATTCTCGTGTATGTGCTTACCTTTTGTTGCCGCTCTCTTTCTGCTTTGTACTGCTCTATGAAGCTTAGTTTCTCAGCAACCTGGTAACATGAAACGACACACGCTTTGTTAAGAGTTTCAACTATGGACAACTAATAAGAGGATGGAAGTAAGCAAACATAGTACCTGGTAATCAAAGTCTGCTCGTTCAACTGCTCGAATGTCTGAATGGAGCTTTAAGTCAATTGGTACTGTGATTTCTTTCACATGTGGTTTAACAAGACTCTGAAACAGAGAACAACAATGGAATGTTTTAACTAACCTTCTGCGAAAGCTTTTCTTACTTTCAACTCAGTATCATCTGGCTTATGTTTGATCAAGAAATATCAAGCTAAATATAAATGATCTGAGATTACAGAACTTTCTGTTAGGAAAAGCAAATGATGCTCTTACCTCAGGCTCATCAGTTGTACAGGGAAGGCCTTGAGCAATACGGGTTGTCAGTTTTTGTTCCTCCATCGTCATCTCTTGTAGCTTCTTTGCAAACTCCTCTGCTTTCATTCGTCCACGTTCCTGTGTAGACATGGACAAACAACGATCACGAATCTAATCAATCATATCCGGAACAACTGTTTTCTTAATTTGTTCTGTGAAGTTTATACCTCAGTTCTTAGTTTGAATGGCTTCTGAGATGTAACTTTGATCTGCTTCTTCTTCGATCGCCTACTTCCCATTGAAGCAGAGGATTCCACGCTCTGTTATAAATAGAAATGTCAAACCATCACACCACATCAACCATACAAGGATATATTACAAAATCAAGAGTTATGCATATAATACACATACATTTCTTCTGCTCCAGCGGCCACCATTTGAGTTCAGATTCGAAACACTGTAACAACACCAAAGCACAAAAATATGCATAAAGATCAATGGCTAATAGTTGAGAGTTTCAATTGAAATCTATCTTCTGTAACCTGTTGTCCCATGATGAAGAAACTGAGGCATGAGGTTGTTCTAGTCCCAGATTCGTGGCTGTTAAAACCAAATCAGATTGAGAAAATGAACAACTCCATGTGACTTGATCTTCCTCAGAGCTTTCCATACACTTAGGCTTCTGCATGCTCATTCCAGGCAACTCCCATTTCAGAACTTTCTTAATCTTATGATCCTCCTTTTGGTTTCCTTCTTCCTTGAATGTTTTCGCCTTTGAAAACGGGAAGCAGGAAAGCTTCTCGAATGCTTTAACGAGATGCATCACTTTGCCATATTCAGGGAGACTCATTCTCGCTTCTTCAAGTACCTTTTCTCTTCTCCTCTTCATTGAAGCAGCCGCAATTTCATCTGATTCCCCAACTTCTACTTCATCTCCTTCTTCCTCCAAATCGTTGCTAGATTCTCCAATTTCTCGATTTTTGAAGAATTCTTCATGTGATGCCCGGAGAGTTTCATATGCAACACATACACATTTCTTCATGTTCGCATTTGTCTTAGCTTCACACTTGCAGTCAATCTCTGCAACCACAGACGCTGAATCATTCTTCTCCTTGCTGGAATTCTTCTTCTTCACCACCACGAATCTCCTCTCTCGGATCCGATTCCGTGGAGAGAACACCGCCGGATTTGGATTAAGCTTCGATTTCGGATTCTTCTGCGCAGATATACTCGACTTGGCAAACTTCGTGAGCGGAGACCCAGAGATTCTCGCCGGAATCGCGTGCGAGACGTTAGGATTCGAATTCTCCGAGAATTTCGAAATCTCCTGAGCCTTAGACTGAAACCTGATCGGATCGGGAACTAGAGTCTCCGGTTTCAAATTCGTCGACTCCATCGAAGAAGAGAACAGAGGAGTAATTCGAGAATCGATAAATCAAAACGGAACAAAAGTTAGCAACCAATCGCACTTGGATTGGGGAGAAAATCCGCAGAAGCGCGAAATTAGGGTTTTGGGGTTGAGTGAGAGACGTAAATTGGTACGGAGAAGAGAGAGCAGAGGAGGAAATTGGGGGCGAAATCTGACCGTTGCGACTTCTTTGGAAGCTCGACTTGTAACGGCTACTCATTTACTGGATTTCCGTAATCACTACGGATTAATTGTTTAATTTCAAAATTTTGGTGTTTTAATTGCAAGAAACTTTGAGTTTCAATTGGCTTCGGCCCAAACCCAATCCAAACCGATGATGAAATGATTATTTGTTTTATATATTTTTTTCAACCAAAAGATGAGTTAATTTGTTTTAATGTGTTACACGTGAAAATCGCTACCAGTCTTATGTGAGGCAATCAAGGTCCGTCGTGGCTCCATGAACTCCTTGAGATAGAAGCAGCGGGACCGCATCAGTAAAGCCGCCTTCATAAGTCCGGGTTTATGAGCAGCATTTGAATCATAGCTATTTTTGCTGCCCTTTATTTTAATTCCTCTGGCTCCTCTGATTTTGAGCTTTTGTGTTTTTTGTTGGGTACCTCTTGGTATCAGACTTCGAACGTGTCTCTGTCTTCGATCAATCAATGAAAGTGTTAAAAAAAAGAAAATGAATGTAATAGCTTGAGAAGCACTTCAAACCGAAAGAAGAATAAACAAATGTGCCTGGATTTTGAAGCATCTTTGTTTCTAAGTTTGTCTTGTAGACTCCACCAAAGTAGTACCATACACATATTTTAATTTAATGTAACACGCTTACACGCACACACATTAAAAAATGAAAATTTCCTGTTGTACACTTTTACTAATACACCAGACCTAAATAAATATATACAACGGTTATAAGATGAAATGGCAGTCCTATCGTGTTTGTAGTTACATAGCCATTTTTTGTTTTTGCAAGCTCATATCTAATTGCATTTTTTTTTGTCTCTGTGCATAGATGTATATTTAGATATACGGGTATACCCTTACATGGTATGCGGTTCATGGTATTTACGGTGGTCAGTTCCAATTTTAGTTGTACAAACAGTAAATTAATTAAATTGTTAGGCGAATGGTCTACATCTAAAATGTATTAGCCTGCCAAATTCTGTGACCCCTACAAATATAATTTTAACTGAAACTCATTTTGATTTGATCCCATTAATTAATACAACTGACAAAAGTACTTAAAGTATAGGAAGCGCGTTATTCTTCACAGCGTCAGGGACCTTTTTGGAATCTCATCACCTATATAAACTTTGTTACTCACACTCCTCACCGTCATCGTAGCCATTAATTAATTTCCCCGCAATTACACACATCCCTCGACACTGAGGTTACGTAGCTCCACAAAAGGTACGATCAACGTCTAGCTTCTCTTGTAATCTGCTCTCTTTTTTTTTTTCCGATTTGGTTTCCTGCTTTCCGCAATTCGATCTCTCGTTCTAATACTCTGTGTGCTCATTCGTTTGTTTTCCGTCGATTTGGATCTCGATTTTTCCAGAGATTTCGATTTGAAAGCCTGTGTTTATATTTTTTGAAAATTTGATGTGATTATGTCCAGATTCGGGCTCGTTTAGCTTCTCTGTTCGATCTACGTCGGTGATCCGCGAAAATTCACATCATTTGTGAACTCATTTGCGCTTTTTTTTGTTTCTCTTAACCGGTTTCAATTGCACGTACCAGATCTGAATAACTTTCAATTTGTTTGATTCTCTCATTGATTTTACATGAATTGTGCATTTTCAATTTCTTTCGATGCTGGATCTGACTTAAGTTTAGGTGTTGCATATTTGCTTCTCCTTTTGAATGCTTACAGTGTTTGAATTCTCGGATCTGTGATGCTGAAATCAAAGATCTGAATTTTGGCTATAATTAAGGTTCGGCTTTTGATGCCACTCAAGTTAGTCAGAATCAGAATTTTAAATTTCCATGTTAATTTCATTCCACAGGCGCCAAAAATGGTGAAGATCTGCTGTATCGGAGCTGGATATGTTGGTGGTCCAACAATGGCAGTCATAGCACTGAAATGTCCAGCCGTTGAGGTTGTAGTTGTCGATATCGCTGTGCCACGGATCGATGCCTGGAACAGCGACCAGCTCCCTATCTACGAGCCAGGCCTCGACGACGTGGTCAAGCAATGCCGTGGCAAGAACCTCTTCTTCAGCACTGATGTTGAGAAGCACGTGAGGGAGGCTGATATCGTCTTCGTCTCCGTCAACACTCCAACGAAGACTCGTGGTCTTGGAGCTGGTAAAGCTGCGGACTTGACTTACTGGGAAAGCGCGGCTCGAATGATCGCTGACGTTTCGGTTTCTGACAAGATCGTCGTCGAGAAATCAACCGTCCCTGTGAAAACCGCTGAAGCTATCGAGAAGATTCTGATGCACAACAGTAAAGGAATCAAGTTTCAGATTCTCTCCAACCCTGAGTTCCTTGCTGAAGGAACAGCCATTGATGATCTTTTCCATCCTGACCGTGTTCTCATCGGTGGCCGTGAAACGCCTGAAGGGTTTAAAGCCGTTAACGCCTTGAAAGACGTGTATGCTCAGTGGGTTCCTGAGGAAAGGATCTTGACGACTAATCTCTGGTCCGCTGAGCTCACCAAGCTCGCTGCCAACGCCTTCTTAGCTCAGAGGATCTCATCTGTCAATGCAATGTCTGCTCTCTGTGAAGCGACTGGTGCTAACGTCTCTGAAGTCTCATACGCTGTTGGTAAAGACTCCAGAATCGGTCCCAAGTTCTTGAACTCGAGTGTCGGTTTTGGTGGATCCTGTTTCCAGAAAGATATCCTCAACTTAGTCTACATCTGTGAATGCAACGGCTTGCCTGAGGTTGCAGAGTACTGGAAACAAGTCATCAAGATCAACGACTACCAGAAAACGAGGTTCGTGAACCGCATTGTCTCGTCAATGTTCAACACGGTCTCCAACAAAAAGATCGCCGTCCTGGGATTCGCTTTCAAGAAAGACACAGGGGACACGAGAGAGACTCCGGCCATTGATGTCTGCAAAGGTTTGTTGGGAGACAAAGCCCGAATCAGCATCTACGATCCACAAGTGACTGAAGAGCAGATCCAAAGAGACTTAACCATGAACAAATTCGACTGGGACCATCCTCTCCACCTCCAGCCGATGAGTCCAACCACTGTGAAACAAGTGTCGGTGGCTTGGGACGCTTACACTGCCACAAAGGACGCTCACGGAATCTGCATTTTAACCGAGTGGGAGGAGTTTAAGACGCTTGACTATGAGCGGATCTTTGAGAATATGCAGAAACCGGCGTTTGTGTTTGATGGTAGAAATGTTGTTGATGCAGAGAAGCTGAGGAAGATAGGGTTTATTGTTTACTCTATTGGTAAGCCATTGGACCAGTGGCTCAAGGACATGCCTGCTCTTGCTTAGCTTTGAGTCTTTTGCCCATTCTCGAGACTTATTTTATTTGGATTTGTTTTTTTTCAAATAATTTGTTCTGCTTCTTCTTGCTCTATTTGATTCCAGGAGACATTTATAAATACTTCTTATGTGTTGGTTAGAAAAGAGATAATATATTTTGTTATTATCGCTGACGACGTTGTTGTACTTTGGGTATCAAATTTGTAAGCTTCTCAAGCACTTTCATAGTTTCATATTATAAAGCTTTTACTAGTTAAAAAGTGTAATGCTTTTCATTTAAATTTCCTTGTTAGAGATAGTTTCTTTTCAAATACAAACTATTCAAATAGACAAATACATACTCCTGAGACACCAACGGATGCTAGGAAAGGAGGGTACGATTTCTTAGGGTGGAAATGGTGTGAGCTTGCTAAGATGAGACCTCGAATGGTTAGGACGATCACCAAAAGTGAGGTTATGGTTAGTTGTGAGAAGAGAAGACCCTTGAAGAGATTTCTTGATAGTTTTCCGGCTATTGTTTGTTGTGCTGAGGCAGAAGTTGGTCTACCTTGTTGTTCCTGCAAAACAAAGAGAGAAAAAATTGGTATCTCATCAAAAAATAATTTGAGGCTGGTTAATGTGAGAGAGAGTACAAGTAAAGAGCACAACCATATGGAAATACAGGAAGAAAGAGAAGAAAATCTAGCTCTTGTTCTTAAGTCAAGAAATAGTTATGAAAGTCAACGAGTAAGGAGAGAAACAGAGGAGAGAACCCAGAGAAAGAGAAAGAGATGAAGGATCAGAGAAGATACAGAGATCAAGAAAAGAGTTTCATCGTTCTTGATTCAAGAGAGAGAGACAGAGACCTTGAAGGCGATGGAGAAGATGAAGGAGGAAGTGGAGATCTTGTTCTTGGTTCTTGAATCTGCACGCGAGAGGCAGGGATGTTGCTTGTTGGTGTAGGCATAGCTTCGTTGTTATTGCCACGAGAGTTCTTTGGAACCCAAGTTCCACTTAACCATCTTCATCAATCATCATTCTCTGTATATATATGTGTGTGTGTGTGTGTATACATAAATCTTATCAATAGGTTCTATCCTTTTATTGGTGTGTTAATTACGAATATTTAATACACATACTTTATTTCATTATACTTTGACTTACTCCACCTTTAAACTAACCAACACTTATTGTTGTTTTGACTTTTTACTTTATAAAGTTTCCTCATTTCTTGATCCTCTACGAAATTATTCAATTTATTGTTGTAAGCAACAATTATACTCCACGAGTTATGGAAATACGTTTTACAAACTCGTTAAATTGTTTTTATTATTTGTTAGGTTTAAATTTTGGTAGTACTGATACATGTACGTTCATCTTGGCTACCTATAATCACCGTAACAAAGGTACTCCAAATTGTATTATTAGAGAAACCTTATCAACCCCTAGTTAAAACTATAAGGATTAAAAAGAGCAAAAAGGTCTTTGTTCATGACATGGAAATGGAATAAGAAAGATGCTGACCTTAGACAACTGAACTCAAAACAAACTAAAATATTTTCCCCAAGAGAAGAGGTGCCGCTCCTGCAGCACCGGCTAGAACCAGAAGAGCATTTGGATCTATCTGGTAGCTTCTTCACCGGGAGGATTCCAGAGAGTTTGGGGAATTGTCTTGGCTTAAAGTCATTGTTGCTGTATATGAACACGTTGGAGGAGACTATCCCTGTAGAGTTTGGGAATCTTGGGAAGCTCGAGGTTTTAGATGTTTCGAGGAACACTCTTAGCGGTCCATTACCTGCAGAGCTCGGGAACTGCTCGTCGTTGTCTGTTCTCGTGCTATCGAATCTGTACAATGTGTATGAAGACATCCACAGCGTTAGAGGGGAGTCAGATCTCCCTCCAGGCGCTGATTTAACGTCGATGACAGAGGATTTCAATTTCTACCAAGGAGGGATTCCTCAGGAGATCACTAGGCTTCCTAAGCTGAAGATACTTTGGGTGCCGAGAGCTACTTTAGAAGGGAGGTTTCCGGGAGATTGGGGCTCATGTCAAAGCTTGGAGATGGTTAATTTGGGTCAGAACTTCCTTAGAGGAGAGATTCCTGTGGGTCTTGGGAAATGCAAGAAGCTTCGTCTTCTTGATTTGAGCTTGAATATGCTCACCGGAGAGCTTCTCAAAGAGATTTCTGTTCCCTGCATGAGTGTCTTTGACGTTGGTGGAAACAGCTTATCCAGTTTAATCCCTCAGGTTCTCAGCAACACCACCACCACAGCTTATCATTGTCCTCCTCTTGTTCACTTTGAAAGCTTCTCTATCGAATCCTACAACAACAACCCTTCCCGTCCTGCACCGAAAGCCAAAATGGAACATGATTTTTGTTGAACACGCATCACCTCATATAACCAGATAGATTAAATCTGCCACGCTTATTTTCGGGGGCATTTCCTGCTACCACGGTATGTTTTATGTACTCTCAGCTCTCTCCTCGATGCAATCAAATATTAGTTATTTCTAGAGTGGGAAGCAAGAGCTAAGTGCCGATCCTGCAATGCCTCCTGCAGCGGCTAGAAACACAGCAGTAGTGCGTGCCATTTTGAGGTCGCCACTCTCCCCTGGAAGTGGCTCCTCCTTCAGTGATGGCTTTTTCGATTAGGTCAGGTCAGGTCAGAGATGAAAATACAACTGGTGAGATTAGTTATAGCTTAGATCGAGTAAAGAGATGCCATACCTTTAGCCTCACAGTTCGATTGACAGTAAGGTGATGATGATAATAATAATTCAGGGGAGTGATCCTTCCTTCGTCTACAAGCTTTCTAAGAAGAGCAACGCTAGCTTCTAGATGCTCCTTATAGAGAATAACCCAGTGCTTGAAGCAATCAACGTTTTTGTTACGATTAGTGATGTAATATTCCGGTAACAAGAGAATAATGAAGAGGTACTTGTACTATTGCAACGAAAGACGAGTACAAACAAAAGAGAGTTAATTCGGGAGCCTCTCACCTCCCCTTAAAGGACACGAAGGTTTGCTTTCATTGAAAACCTAAGTGGGGTCGTCAAGTTGTTCACCAAGAGAACAAGAAATCTCTTACACACAAATCTCTAACGCATTTTGTCTCTACTTGACCACCATTTTCAGTCAAAGAGGATTAAACTTCCACGTTCATTGTCAGGATTTGATCCTTTTTTTTAAACTGAATTTGGTGAAGAGAATTAATTCAGTGAAATATTTTATCAAATTGTTAAAAGAATGATATATGCTGTCAAAACCGTTTTTATAGGGCGGAAACGTATTGTTTTAGTCAAATAGAGTTTAATGAGTTTCTTTTAATAGTTTGATACAATATTTGACTAAAACAATATGTTTCCGTACTATAAAAACGGTCTAGGCAGCATATAGCCATATACCATCAAACATCTAAAACAATGGAGAAAATATCAGTGAAGCATGCTATCGTTATCTTCTTGGCTATTATATCCGGTAAAATTTCGTATTTCAATACTGTAAGATAAGAAGAAAAGAAAAAGTCTAGGAGAAACGTGCAAAGATCAAAAGAACAGCATAAAGCTAGAGCTAGGCGTACCTAACGCCTTTTGAGCGAAGACTTTTTCATATCTAGAAAATTTGCAAAGAAGTTATCAACATGCATAACAGGAAAAATAAAGAGGAATCTTGAATTCTCTGAGGCAACGGATACATACAGAAGATCTTATCTTGTCAAATCCACCAAATATCTTTGCATAAATGAAGCCATTGTTTTTTGAACTGGGCGCTGCAAAGAGATAGTACCAAGATAAATTAACAAAAAAATCGATAAGATTTCAAAGAACAAATCTCACAAAAGACCCCAAGTGACTTTTATGTTCAAACAAGTATCGAATTCAACATAGAACATCCATAATGGCATCTAAGCACTACCAAAGATTCAACACTCCAACCAGAATACGATTGAGCATCAAAAGCAGCTAAAAGTATAAATTGTGACGTCTTAGAAACTCTTTCAAATGCATTTTGTTCAAGAAAACAGTGTTAGATGTAGTACCAGGGAAACTAATTCTTGGATTGGCATAGGGCTGCAAGGTCTCTAACGATTTAACAGGTCGCCACAAGTGCTTATTTCTAAAATCCTGCAACAGTGAACAAAAAGACAAAAAACCAAAAAGAAAAGGCAAACGACATTATTCTTCAATCACACATTTCAAATCGAAACCCCTCAGAATTCAATTCAAAAAAATCGATTTTGTTACCTGTGCCCCTAACAATGAATCAAAATCTTGCCAAAGGGTATCTCTTGCATAATACGCCAACTGTACACCTGAAGACTTGGTCATCGAAAGATGAACAACCAGAGATCCCACTGATAAGATCATCACAAAGAGCGCAATCCATTTTATCCTTGATTTGAACACCATCTTCTACTACCAGCCCGAAATCGAGCTCCTTCTTCAACTAGAGAGCCCTGAATCCAAATTCAAATCATCACAATACAGTGACGGAATTTGAATATTCACAAAACCCGAGAGCGAGCTTATTTTACAATATAATATTACCCAGGACGAAGAATTCAAGGCGAGATCCAGGGTAAAAGGAGGACAATTGTCGCTGCAACAGCCTCGAATTGGACGCGAAACGAAGCACGCTTAGGATCTGATTAGAGTGATGAATAAGAAACTGGAGATTTCTCGCATCTTTCACACAATCGAACTTTCCAGGGAGAAACAAACAAAAACCCGTGCAGGCAGAAGAAGTAGTTTAATTGAATTGGAGTCAGATCGAGAGAGAGAGGGAGAGAGAAAGAGATACACAGAGAAACTAGGAGACAAGTCACTGACAGATTTTCATGAAATCGAAGAACGGAAAGTATTTTGCTGCGAAGGGTTGCTTTGTTAACAGACAAACTCTGCTTTGCATATTATCACTCACCCAAAACCGGCTCAGATTTCGGTTTACGATTCTCGGTTACCCTAACCCAATCACATCCTCGACATTTTATCGGTTCAAGGCTTCGGTTTAAAAGTTTGACCGAAATTTTGTCCTAATACCGATAAAGTCAAAAACAAGCAACCGACGCCCAATTTGTTTTGCCGGTTCAAAAGTCATGTATTTTATGGCTTCGGTTATGTTCAATATGTTTGGTTGGGAAATTCGTAAAAACCGAAATATTGGTATAAAACTCCGGTCTGGGTATTGATTTGATTATGATTTTCTGAAATCTCTCGGATTTTGCATTAATGAACACATCAGATAAACAAATCTGAGAAATCTTTTATGGATCTTTGGTTTGATTCCATCGTTAGCTACACAAAAAATGGTATTTATATCGGAATCTATAATCCTCTGGATCAAATCTTTCATTAAGAAAGATGAAAAAATTTGTTAATAAAAAGTGTTAAAAACTTTTTGTTCTTCAAGATGATGATCATCCTTGGATCCGAGAAGTAACAGTGAGGAAAGTATCTTCAGGACAAGGGATCGTCAAGCCGCCCATAGGATGATGAAAACCGAATTCTTCTTCGGCTTTACTTAAAAGAGCTTGAAACAAAGGCTGGTTCAAGTAAGAGACTGGCACAATGTATCTCTGCTTCTTCTTCTGGCTCTCTCCGACGTACACCGCAAGAAACCCTTTTGGTGCTGATGTTTCTCTCCTCGTTCCTGCTACAGAGCTACCAAGAATCTTCTTTGCAGCCATGAAACCTCTTGCTAAAGCCATTTTTGTCTTTTGATTTTTGGAAGTTTCAAGTTCTTGGGTTACTTCTTGTTGGTGATGATGATATGAAGATATGATTCTTTTTGGGGTTGGTATATATAGAGATCAACGAAGTTTTTTGTGGGGCATACATGAAAGGAGTGTCCCATGGCTATGTTTACTCATATGCTCTTGTTTCTTCATGTATTACAAGTCTTTTGTCCTCTTATCTCAACCTCTGTGGTCGAAATTGTTTTTTCATGACCAAACTTTTCTATATGAACAAACTTATGTGGGGACATGAAGTTGTTCACCAGCAGAACAAAGAGTGTCTGTCACTATTTACGTTGTTCTCAACTATATATATCCAGAAATAGATCACATGGTATTGCTTTAATTTGAAGGATATTTATGTGGCTAAAGTTTTTTTTTCTATTATTTGTCTTTTGTGTTGATATGATGATGAGCACAATCTTGATGAATCAATGGAGGGTCCCAATTGTCACTGTTGGAGACAAAGTCATATGGTTGATTTGATGTGGACAAAGTAAACTTCACATCATCAGGTGGCACAACTAAAGCTTTTTTTGTCTTCATTATAGTAACTTGGAAAAGGGGTTACTCTGTTTAGATTCTCTTTAACTATGTCGACATACAAAAAGGATTAAACTGTGTCCTGTCTGCGGAAAGGTGACCACTTCTCATGCTCCTTCCATGGCTGCTTCTGGTTTCATCTTGCATGAGAAAGATGATGTGTAAATCTATGCATATATAAATCTAGAGCAAGTGAAACACATATAGATGGATAGAAGTATCAAGGAAATTAGCTAATCTTTTTCTTGGAAAACATAAAATTTATGCCAATGTCCCTGCGTACAGGTGATGGAGTTTAACGAAACACCTGATCATCCATCGATCAGTGATCAGTGTCTTGTATCTTAATTGAAACCGGGGAAGATGAAGATGACAAGGGCATTGCAAAAAGATGATATGTAAATTTGGCTTTGTTGGTTTGTGAATATTGTCAATGACAATGGTAAATATATGAAGCACAAAGGGAGTAAATGTTCCTCTGCTTTTCAACAGTTATTAAGGCATGAAACAAAGAAACTAAAAAAAATGCAAAACAAGAAGCAATTTTATTTAGTCATCATTTGATTACGGATGTGAACAAGAGAATTGATACAGATTTACGTAGTGGGGGCAAAGAGACAAGAAAGAAAGTTTAGGTACTTTTGTGTAGATGTTTCATAAAATGAAGGTCTTATTGTGAAATAATACAAAAAAAGAAGTTTAGGTACTTTTGTGTGATTTTGAATAAAATGAAGGTCTTAATTGTGCTAATATACAGAAAGAAACTTCTCTGAACTTTACCCGACTCGGGCCCCGAAGTCTCTCGCAGCCAATGAACGAACGACCCTCATTGCTTCTCTCCTTCCCTCCGTTTCTTACACATTAGCCTATCGCCCTAACCGTAACCGAACAAAAAAGGTCACAGAAATTCGATTCTTTCAAAATTTCAACATTGATTTAAGAGGTACGCTCTCAGATTTTTTCTCTTGCTTGGTTCATTATCTGGGTTTCTGTTGATTAGCTTTGCATGTGTTGTTATGAATCGAGTTCGCATTTGCTTAGTTGTGGAATGCTTGAATTCGTGATTGACTTGGTATCGAAAAGTTTGCTTGATTCGTGATTGCTTGTGCTCATTTCTGTAAAATCAGAGTTTAGTTCGTTGACAAACACATAAATTTGGCAGCTTTTTCGAAGAATAACAACAATTTAGGCAGGACAAATTGTCAGGTGGAAATGGATATTGGAGAAATCATTGGCGAAGTTGCTCCTTGTGTGAGTATCCCAACAAAGAGCGCCATATACGTTTGGGGCTACAATCAAAGCGGACAAACCCGTAGGAAAGGGCAAGAGAAGCATTTGCGTATCCCGAAACAGCTTCGTCCTGAGCTATTTGGCTGCCCCGCTGGTGCTAATTCGCGCTGGAACATACACATACAGCCGCGGTTGCATCAGATGGATCCCTCTGCTTTTGTACTTCGAAATGAAAAGGTTTTGTGATGCAGACATTGTGGTAATTTTGGTTAGATTAATGGTAAACTCTGGTGTTGTGGCGTTCAGGTGTGTAGGACAAGTGAGGAAGCTAGCAGCAGGAGGTGGTCACTCAGCTGTTTTAACCGATGCATTCTCGTTGAAGGAGCTGTGTGAATTTCAATTAGCAGACAGTGTGAACCTCTCAAATGCTTTAGAGATTCAAGAAGGAAAGAAGAAGCGTTCTTGAGGTAAAGATAACACCGGATCCAACAGTGGAACATTATTTGTCTTGAACATTCATCACCTCATATACCCAAATAGATTGATTGCAATGCTAATGCATATGTAGGTGCTAGAGGATTTCCCTTCCCTACAAGTCCCTTGTGAGTGGCTAGTACAGTTAGTCACACCGCTAAAACCAAGAGCTTTTTCGATATCTTCTTCTCCTTTGGCCCACCCTGGTCAAGTACATTTGACAGTAAGCATAGTATCGTGGATGACGCCTTATAAGAGAAGTCGAAAAGGTCTATGCTCCTCTTGCTTGCATGCCTCACGTCTGATCAAGGTTAGACCTCTTTTTTTTCCTTCTTTACCATAACTGTGACTCGTTTCTTTATTTGTGATAGCGTTTTCTTTTTCCGTTGTGGTTAGAGATAAGCATACCGGTTTGGTTTCACAAAGGCTCTCTTCCTGCTCCACCAAAGTCGCTTCTGCTCATTTTAGTGGGACCCGGAACCGTTCCGTGGGTTCATAGCCTAGAGGGCCATACAAGCTCAGTCTAGTCCGGTCGCACCAGTCATGTTCTTCTTCGGTTGCAGAAACCAAGGCACAGACTTTCTATACCGCGACTTTTGGGAGTCCCACGCAAGAGAAGGAGGAATGCCCTGTGAAGAAAAAGGTGGTGGCTTTTACACAGCGTTCTCTAGAGACCAACCAAAGAAGGTTTACGTACAACACAAGATCCGCCAGATGAGCAAGGAAGTTTGGGATTTGCTCTGTGATGGAGCAGCCGTTTACTGGCTTCTTGGAGGAGATTGTGTCGGAGGAGACTGGAGGATCAAAGGAGGATGCTTCACGGTGGCTCAAAGGCTTTGGAGAAGGCTGGGAGGTACAATATTGAAGCTTGGTCGTAAATCCAACTTCTTTCATAGGTGTAATGTTTGATTCATACTGTGAGGCTAATTAGTTTAATTAATTTTTGATCATTCACATTAGATGATTGGTTTTAACTGAAGATGAATTGTTGATTGTATGGATATAAGCAAAAAAAATGATACTCCCTCCGTTTTGTCATTTAACTACAGATTTTGTTCTTTTGGTTGTTGTCTTTCATAATTATCAGTTGAATAATACCGAAAAAAAGCTTGCTGTGAGATTTTGACCATTCATAATAGTTCCTAATGTGATAATGAGATTTGGAATTGGAAACCGAAAGAGGAGTACTGCAGAAACACCGTCTAAATTCAAAAAGCTAAAGACAAACTTTTTTTTTTTTTTTTTTTTTTTTGTGCAAAATAAAGACAAACTTCAAAGTTCAAACTTAACACATAAAAGGTTTAAGCCTCAGCTGATCATAGAGTAAAAGATGAACACTAAAAAGAGCACAAATGGTTTCAAAAGTAGTGAGAAGAACGACAACATTCAGATGCAATATGTGGAGCATATTTATGATTATGCAATAGTGACAACATTCAGATCCCCAAATCCTATTGCCCACTCAAGTGATTTTCCTCCCTGTGAATAAAAACAAACACAAACAGTTTATAACAAGAGACACTAGAGTTCGCAATATTTAAAGCATGTGTTAGAACACTAATCAATTGTAACAGTACCTCACTGTATGTAGGATGAGAAGACTTCAAGCTGACTTAGTTCTGCACATACAAAAGAGTAGACTTCTGCTAACAACCCTGGGAACACTCCCATAAAGTAGTCTAGAATTGTATCGGGAACATATCCAATAATATCGTTGATGTATTGTGGGAGATCGTTGTAATGAATTAGATAGTTTCTTATGATTCTTACGAGAGTACGAAGGGTAGTCAAATCACTGCTTGGATTAAATGCCTGTATATCAGCTTGTAGATCTAGAGGTAAAATCCAACTGTCATAATTAATCCAAATGAAAAGGTTTTGGATGCAGTTTCATCAATCGGTTAGTGTAAATCTTATCTCCTTCCTAAAGCAAGTTACAATTGGTTCATGTAGTTAGTTTCAAATATGTTGATATTCATTCAGGTGCTCATATTTCTACAACCTTGAGTGAGGAGTGCACTCATGTCCTTATAGATTCACGTATGCAAGTGAATGAAGCTCTTGTTAATGCGATTTTAGCCAAAAAATCAATCATTCTGACGAATTGGGTTAAGGTATGTCTGAGAATTTCATTGTCACTCCTCGCTTGTTGTTTGTTGATGGGTTTTTATTAACTTCAGTTGTTGGTCTAGCTTCTCGCAGAGAAAAGTATCCGCAGCGAATTTCCTGGAAACAGTCAGTGAGTGTCATATAACCTTAATGTTTATTCAAGTTGTAGAACAAACTCTTCAGTTACTGACATGCAAAGGATATTTCAGGTACAGACCATCAGTGATGGTGGAAGAAGCTTTGGTGGATGTAATGGAGCCAAACGTTCGCGAAGCATGTCTAGAAGGATTTACCTTTGTGTTGGAACCAACAGACACGGTATAATCTCTTATTTGTCTAAAATAGAATTTGACTGAATTACTGATATGAAGGCATTTACTTATTCTTTCTCTCTTTCGTTTTTACATATTTGTTTTTTTCTTTATGCAGTACAGATTTGGAAGTAGCTTCTCATCATTACTGAAAGTATGTGGCGCAGAGACTGTTGACACAGCAGACATTAGCTCCATGAGTCAGGTCTGTGCTTTTTTTTGTATTGGTTTGCTCATTTGGTCTTTCTGTAAGTAGTAGGCCTATGAACTATAATCATCAACGTTGCAGGATTCTCAGGATGGAGAAACTAACCGCATGATATGTGTCATCCCAAAAAGTTCAGGAGACAAGTTTGGCCATTTGAAGCATCTCAGTCTGTTATCTAGAGTGAAGGAAATGGATTTATTATGCGCTATCTTGTCCGGGAATCTACCTTCGACTTCGTTGATACCACCTTCTGGTGAACACACACACACTAAGACTGATATAGTTGCTTTTTCTTTGGATTTAATGAATGGCAAAACTCTTATCTTGAAACGTTTCCTGTTTGTAGTTGTCATTTCATCATCGTGCTCTACGGACGAGACAGTGGTAGCAGATTCTGATGCGGAAGAGGAAGAAACAACGTCGTCAGTTCATATGATCGATGCCACTGAAAAGACAGAAACACTAGCCCAAGACCGATAGTGCTTAGCACTAGCCCAAGACCGTAATACCCGAGAAACCCGAAAGAAACAATAAACCCTCTAAGTATGAAGAGAAATATGGAAGAACACAAGAGAATACTTGAAAGACTTTTAAGAAGAACAAGAGAGAACTTAGCTTTAGAACACTCTTTATTAACTTGTTCAATTTCTTGTGCATTTACAAATGAGGGGGTGAGGAGGTATTTATAGCCTCCCAAATCTACTTACAAAGTTTCTACACTCTTCTATAACCTCCTTAGGTCCTAGATATTTCTTCTTCTTCTTCTACAACTTTCTACAAATTATCTTACAAGTTTATCCTAATCTCTAGAACTCTCTAACATAATATCTAGATTTCTTGTCTTACAAGAACTAGAAAGTTCTACATAAATATCTAGAGAGTTATCTAGTAGAATTCTCTAGAAAATTTGAGGAAGTGATGACCTCTTATGATGTTTCTAGAGAGTTCTAGAACTTGGGCCTAATTTTGGGTTTAATAATAATTTGTTTATGGACCCAAAATTAAACCTTGATCAAAATCAAGTTTAATTTCAATACTCCCCCTTAAACTTGATTTTATCAACCATCCCGAGTTTCGAGCGAAGTAACTCGAACTGACCTTTTGGTAGTGACTTGGTGAAGATATCTGCAACATTATCCTCACTTCGAACCTCCAAAGCTTCAATTGTTCCATCAAGCACCTTCTCCCGTATGAAGTGATGTTCCAACTCAATATGCTTCGTCCTTGCATGGAACACCGGATTGTTAGCCAGCTTGATAGCACTTTGGTTATCTCCATATATGGCAACCGGCTTGTTGATTGGCTCAAACAAATCTTCAAGAAGCCTTCGAAGCCAAATACACTCTTGGGCTGCGAGCGTCGAAGCTTTATACTCCGCTTCAGTGGTAGACAGCGACACCGTTGCTTGTTTCTTGCTGCACCATGAAACGCTTGTGTCTCCACACAAGAACACAAAGCCCGAAGTTGATTTTCGACCATCTAGATCTCCACCAAAGTCAGCATCCGTGAAGCCATAGAGAGAGACCTTGGCATTGTACTTGTACATTAGACCCATGCCAAGAGTTGTCTTCACATACTTCAAGATCTTCTTTGCCGCTTCTAGATGTGGCTTCCTTGGTGACTGCATAAACCGACTTACAAGACCAACCGCGAAGGAAATGTCAGGTCTTGTAATGGTTAAGTATAGAAGACTTCCCACAAGAGAACGATAAGGCCGAGGATCGGGTAGCAAGGATCCTTCATCGCGCTTCAGCTTGATGTTCGCATCCATCGGAGTAGTACGTGTCTTTCCTTCGTGTACCCCGAACTTCTCTACAATCCTTCTTGCGTAGCTATGTTGGCCGATGAATATTCCATCCTTCATCCTTTCAACCTCCAAACCAAGAAAGTTGTTCAGCTCACCCAACATCTTCATCTCAAACCTTATCGACATATCCTCTTGCAGACGAGCAATTTCCGCTTCATCATTCCCGGTAATTATCAAGTCATCCACATAAAGAAGGACTACCACGTGGACTCCTCCATTCTTCTTGAAGAACAGACTCGGATCAGAGTTCGACGGAGAGTAACCGCAAAACTGAAGAAACTGAGCAAGCTTTCCATACCAGGCCCTTGGAGCTTGTTTTAACCCATACAAAGCCTTCTTTAGCTTGCAAACATAATCGGGATGCTCTTGTGATATGTAACCAAGTGGTTGCTCCATATAGATTTCTTTATCAAGTTCTCCGTATAGAAAAGCGTTCTTCACATCTAACTGCCATAACTTCCAGCCAAAGCTTGCAGCTAAAGATAAGAGTGTACGTACCGTAGTCATCTTCGCCACTGGACTGAAAGTCTCATCATAGTCTTCTCCATACTTCTGAGAAAATCCCCGAGCAACCAATCTTGCTTTGTGTCTATCAATGTTTCCATCCCTCTTACGCTTGATCCGGTACACCCATTTGCATGAGACGGGTTGGACATCCTTGGGTTTTGGAACCAAATCCCAAGTTTCATTTTTCTTTAGAGCATCCATCTCCTCCTTCATTGCGGTCTCCCACTCTTTAACTCCTTTTGCTTCATCATAAGATGATGGTTCTTCTTCATCAAAAGGAGATGCAAAGTAGCATGAGTAAGTAGTAACAAACCTTTCATCTCTGTACCGAGCAGGTTTAACGATGTCCCGTTTTGGTCGTTGATTAGCCAAGGAACCATGATCTTCCTCCTCCTCTTCCTCTTGGTTAGTGCTCCCCCTTTCACCTTGCATCTCTGGTTCAGAAATTCCACCATCACTTGGTATCTGAGCAGCTGGTTCATCGTCTTTAAGTGAGCCCGCACCATCTTGCTCAACCAAGACTTGAGGAGATCCGTAATATGAAGACACTTCATCAAAGACAACATCACGAGATACAGTGTATCTGTGTGTCTCTGGATCCATACACCTCCACCCCTTCCTTTGTTCATCATAGCCGACAAAGATGCACTTTTTCGCCTTTGCCTCCAGCTTGGTTCTTTGAGAGTCGAACACATGGACATAGCAGATAGATCCAAATATCCTGAGATGTTTCACTGTTGGCTTCTTCCCATGAACCATCTCATAAGGAGACTTCATATTATTTGGACTAAGCGGCATCCGATTGATGACATAGGCTGCACATCTCATCCCTTCTGCCCATAGAGCCTTAGGCAAATTCTTCGCATGTAGCCAGCTTCTACACGTCTCACTTAGATGCCTTATCTTCCTTTCTGCTACTCCATTTTGTTGAGGTGTGTATGGACATGAAAATTCTCTCTTGATACCATGCTTTCGGCAGAAAGAGAGAAACTCGTTTGACATAAACTCCCCTCCATTATCCGTCCTTAAGGTCTTGATTTTCCGACCCAACTCTCCTTCCACGGTAACCTTGAATTCTTGAAACTTGGAGAATACTTCTGACTTTTCCTTCACAAAGTATACCCAGGTGTACCGTGAGTAATCATCAACGAACAACAGCATGTAGCGGAACCCGGAATAGGAGGATGTTCTCGTCGGACCCATCAAATCACTATGGATCCTCTCCAACGGAGCATTGCATCGTGAAGTAGAATTGTCAAATGGAAGTCTATGTGATTTTCCATATTGACAACCTTCACAAAGCTTTCCTTCATCTTGAATCTTCAACTTTGGGAGCCCATTAACCAGATCTTTATTCACCATAGCCTTCAGCTTAGTCATATTTATATGGCCAAGCCTAGCATGCCAAATAAAAGCATTATCATTCGTACTCATCTTCTCAATGTACGAATTTGAGGCCGATAAGACATAAAGATCTTTAACCCGTGCTCCGGTGTGAACTACGTCCGCCTTTAACTCTTGAATATTCTTCAAGAATTTAACGTCTTTTGGTCCAAATAAAACGTAGTTACCTGAGTCCACCGCATTCACCACGGAAAGAAGATTCTTCTTAACTCCAGGGACATGGTATACGTTCTTGAGAGTGATTGGGCCTCCTTCTTCTCCTTCAATAACAATAGTCCCTTCCTTCTCAACCCGGTGGATTGAATTATCCGCAGTGATAATAGCTTCTTTCCCGTCATGACGTTGAAGACTAGAAAATAACTTCTCGTTTCCGGTAATATGATGGCTACAACCCGAATCCACAATCCAATCATTTCCAAGATTTTTAGTTGTGGATGTACCTGAAGATGCAGCCTCCACCGTGAAACATTTCCCCCAATCTTCGTCTTCAGTATGACTTTTTGATTCCGCCATATTGGTTTCCTTCAGCTTGACCCGACAGTCCTTTTTGAAATGCCCAAGCTTTCCACACCGGTAACACTTGAACTGCTTCTTGTCTCCCGTAGAAGATCTTTCCCGTCCATCATTATTCTTTACACCATCATTCTTGGTTTTTCCTTTGTAGCTCTGTTGCCTCCGAGCTACAAAAGCGCTCCCCGAGTCATCATGGATTTTGACTCCCGCCATTTGCGTGGCTAAGGATTCTTGCGAAGCTAGCAGATTTTCAAACTCCTCCAAGGAAGGTTGTGTAGCCCATCCTTGAACGGAAGTCACAAACGGTGTATATTCGGGTCGTAAACCACGAATAATAGACCGCTTTAACCGAGCTTCCGAAATAGACTCCTCCGGATTAAGAGTGTTAATCTCAGAGCAAAGGTTCTTTACCTTGATGAAGAACTCTGAGATTGAAGACTCCCCCTGCTTCGCATTCGCCAACTCGTTCTCTAACAGTTGTAGACGAGCCTCATTCTTCTTGTTGAACAGTTGGTCCAACGCTTGCCAAATGGAACTAGCGGATGTGCACCTTGAGACATGCTCAAATACTCCCGAGGATATTGACCTCTTCAATGCAAACTCCGCCTTGGCATTCTTCCGTGTCCATTCCTTTGTCGCTTCCGCTGTCGCAGCAGCTCCCATTGGTGGTGTGGTGCTACTGCCGCCGACGACATCCCATAAGTCCTCACTCACCAAGTATGACTCCATACATGACTTCCATAACCGGTAGTTAGATTGGTTTAAGATCTCCATTCCCAATCCAACAACACGACCCATTGATTCCATACTTAGAGTAAACCCGAGTTCTCCTAAGTCCCGATCTTGATGAGCACAAGATTAGAATGGCTCTGATACCATGTAGAGAAACCAGCACCGATAGTGCTTAGCACTAGCCCAAGACCGTAATACCCGAGAAACCCGAAAGAAACAATAAACCCTCTAAGTATGAAGAGAAATATGGAAGAACACAAGAGAATACTTGAAAGACTTTTAAGAAGAACAAGAGAGAACTTAGCTTTAGAACACTCTTTATTAACTTGTTCAATTTCTTGTGCATTTACAAATGAGGGGGTGAGGAGGTATTTATAGCCTCCCAAATCTACTTACAAAGTTTCTACACTCTTCTATAACCTCCTTAGGTCCTAGATATTTCTTCTTCTTCTTCTACAACTTTCTACAAATTATCTTACAAGTTTATCCTAATCTCTAGAACTCTCTAACATAATATCTAGATTTCTTGTCTTACAAGAACTAGAAAGTTCTACATAAATATCTAGAGAGTTATCTAGTAGAATTCTCTAGAAAATTTGAGGAAGTGATGACCTCTTATGATGTTTCTAGAGAGTTCTAGAACTTGGGCCTAATTTTGGGTTTAATAATAATTTGTTTATGGACCCAAAATTAAACCTTGATCAAAATCAAGTTTAATTTCAATAATCTTGAAACGTTTCCTGTTTGTAGTTGTCATTTCATCATCGTGCTCTACGGACGAGACAGTGGTAGCAGATTTTGATGCGGAAGAGGAAGAAACAACGTCGTCAGTTCATATGATCGATGCCACTGAAAAGACAGAAACACCAGAGAAGTCAGCTGCTATTGTAATAGAGGAGAGTGGGAGCCCCGTAACGATATTGGAAGAAACTATGAATCTGAATGAGTTTAAAAGCGTAAACTTAACGGCAGATACTGAAATGAAAGAGTACAGTGATGAGAAGAAGCCAAGTGATGTGACAATCCGAAGGGATCGAAATGAAGAGGCTGAAAGTGGGAAGTCGGAGATTATCTACACTCAGGATCTTATTGTTAGTGATTTGCGACTAATGAGAAATGTTCGGTCTACAGGAGAGGAAGGAGTAGTTGACTTCAAGCGATTCAGAAAGGTAAGACAGAAACCTTTGGATTCTGGAGACAAATGTTATTATGTTTGTGACGTGATGATTTGCTTTGTTAGGGACATGTTACATCCGGAAACAGCTTCAGTAGCCTAATACCTTTCGCCAAGGATCCATACAAGTAAAATCTCGGGTCTTTCTTTTTCTTGCTCGTTATCTCCTAATGTTTTGTCCTCTTTCTTTACTTAACCGTTTGTTTGTGGTGATGACAGAGAGTACGATAGCGGTGAAGTGGCAGAGTTTGTGAAAGAAGAGAAGAAGAGGAAGCAGAGGGAAGCCGTTGCAGAGGACTTGTTTATCAATGAAAAGGTTTCAATCAAATCATCAATAATCTAGAGATGATCCAGATAGTTTCTTTACACTTGTATATATCAAAATCTGCAGGCTGGAAAGCGTGCAAAGGCTGGTGGTTCCATTCGCGAGTTTCTCACTCGAAGTTGAGGTTTCAAGGTGAAATGAAATGGCTCTGGTCTAATTTTTCAGGGTTGTTTGTTCTTCTTCAAAAGGGCCAAGTTTTCACCTTTTTCCTTCCTTGGCATGACCATTTCAGGGTGAATCAGAAGAAGCAGCTTCGAGAGTCATGACATCATTCTGTTTGCTGGATCACAAGGAACTAATCAAAAGCTTTTTTTTTTTAGCCTCAGATGGCAAGTGTAAATGCATACGCATGTGTATAAACAACATAATGAGCTTTTGGTTTCTCTGATTAAAACATGTGGCCATTACTTCTCTGTTTATTCGAAAAGATACAAACTTTATCCTCTCTCTCTTGTTGTAAACACAAGCAAGCATACAATGGAGTGGCCATGGTCGGTCATCGCTTCTTCTTCTTCTAGCTGCTTCTTTGCTTCTCCTAACTATTGCTTGTCTATTACCGAACGAACGAATTTGAATTGTGGAAACAAGCATCCATCCAACAATTCGATTAAACCTTTGCGACAGAGCAATTTCGGCTCGAAGCATAATCTGGTCACTGGTGTGATCGGTAAACGTCGAATCTATGGAGATTCCGTTGTCGGGAGAAGCACAACAAGCAACAAAAATGCGGAGGAGACTGAATCATCTTCATCTCAGTCTGTAGATTGTGTTGGAATGGGATCAAACGTGGAGTGCGTCTATAACGGAGAAGACGAGGAGAATCAGAGCTCCGGAATCTTAAACGGCGGAGATGGATCGTTGCTTGAATGGACGGTTCTGATTTCACCCTTCTTTTTCTGGGGAACGGCGATGGTGGCGATGAAAGAGGTATTGCCGATAACCGGTCCTTTCTTCGTCGCTGCGTTTCGGTTAATTCCGGCCGGTTTGTTGCTGGTTGCGTTTGCGGTTTACAGAGGCAGACCTTTGCCTAAAGGAATCAATGCTTGGCTCTCCATTGCTCTCTTTGCTCTTGTGGACGCCACTTGTTTCCAGGTCTGCTTACTTGTCCCTGACCTCTAAGAGTTAACTTGATGATAAATTCTTGTCTGAATGATAATGATGGATTGGTGATGATGATGGTTTAGGGATTTCTTGCTCAAGGATTACAGAGGACTTCTGCTGGTTTAGGAAGTGTAAGGAAGTTTACTCTCTACTATTTTGAAATCTTGTCCTAAAATGGCCAAAAAGTTTGAAACTTTCTTTGTGTTGCAGGTTATAATTGATTCGCAGCCACTGACTGTAGCTGTATTAGCATCTTTCTTATTTGGCGAGTCCATTGGAATAGTGAGAGCTGGAGGTTTGGTTCTTGGGGTTGCTGGTCTTTTGCTTCTTGATGTATAATATTTTTATCATATTCATGATCTAAGCCAAGACCAAGCTAGTGTTGTTGCAACTTGAGGATAATGTATATCTGATTCAATACAGGTTCCATCAGTTACTTCAGATGGTAATAGCTTTTCATTGTGGGGGAGTGGAGAGTGGTGGATGCTTCTTGCAGCTCAGAGCATGGCTATTGGCACAGTGATGGTCCGTTGGGTCTCCAAATACTCGGACCCAATTATGGCAACCGGTTGGGTAATGATGCTCTCATGTTCAATGGCTTGTCCTGACTCCTGAGAGTTCTTCTTACAAAAGAACCAAACTAAACATGTCTCTGGTTTTTATCTGCAGCATATGGTAATCGGTGGCCTTCCTCTTTCGGCGATTTCCGTTATAAACCATGACCCGATTTTTAATGGAGGTATTCAAGAGCTAACCACAAATGATGTCATAGCACTTCTCTACACATCCATTTTTGGCAGTGCCATTAGCTACGGTGTTTATTTCTACAGCGCGACTCAAGGTTCTATTTTGCTACCTCCTCTCCTCGTGATGGCATCATCGCTGCTTTCGGTTTCAGATTTCTGATTGCTTTTATGATGTCTCTCGTTTGTAGGAAGCCTGACTAAACTCAGTTCACTCACATTCTTGACACCAATGTTTGCTTCAATCTTTGGGTAAGGCCAAAATCAGCAAACAACAAATCCATGATTCTTTCTGATCACAAGTTTCTTTACTCGTTGGTTCGTATTCTGATATATGTTTTGTTTGGAACAGGTATCTGTATCTCGATGAGACTTTCTCCTGGTTGCAATTGGTCGGAGCAGCCGTCACTTTGGTTGCTATATACTTAGTGAACTTTCCACAAGGCGACGATTGAGAAATTATTTTCAAAGCTTCTTATAAATGTAAAAACATCACCTTGTTCGATTTACATTTGTGTATATAACAAAGTGAATAATCGTGGTTCAGGCTTAACCATTAGCCAAGTTTCATATTAGCATAACAAATGAAGTTGTACAATTCGATACAGCATTGAGCATGTTCTCTTACTTAACTCCACAACAGTTACAATCATATATCAACCACAGTAGTCCCAAACCGGACCATTCTGGAACACATAGCGGTTAAGTCGTCTTCTTGTCCTCTGTTTCACTAGTTTCCATCCCAGCCATATCATCCATATCAGCAACTAGTCTCTCCACAGGGACCTTGGAAGAGGAACTTGGCTTGAACCGGATCCAATCCACCTGACGGGAATCTGGTGACTGGAGCAGGGACACCCAGAGTTTGTGTCACAGCTAATGGCTTTGTTGGGCATTCATGTTTTTTTTATGTAGACTTTCTTTTTCTGTCCAACTCACTTGTCTGCTATGTAATGTGTGTGTAAAACTTGTAGCATATGGTGTCTTTGGAGGAATTTGATGTCTTTGGAGTTTGTCCAAAGTTTTAAGCACCTTGTTTTACAGCTTAAACATGAATTTTGGACGTTTTCTTATCATTATAATGACTTGACCGTAATTTAAACAGTTTATCGTACAAAAGCAACCAACAGATTCTTCTATAGTTTTCTTCACGAGGAATGCGAACTTGCATCTCACTTTACATCCGCTGCATAAAGGCCGAGTAAGACCATTGTTGGCAACTACATCAAGAGCAGGGCTTATGTGTCCTACCTTGAGATAAGAAAACTCTCCAAGCACACAATCAACATCGAGAGTGACTCCACACTCGTCACAAGTATAGTAACAACATTCACTAGGATCCATCACCTTGTACTCACATATATCACACCACAAATCACGCCACTGGCGTTTCCAACACCTTGGCGTAGCGACAGAAAGTGATCATCACACCTGTGTTTCACCTTTCTTGGTAAAGTAGTAAACTTGATGCATAGAGCCTACTCACAAACCGTACAGCTTAAGGGATTCTTAGTCTCTCTGTCACAAGCGTGACATTCTTTAGAACCTTCCAGTGTCCAATACAAAGGATGTGGATGCAGATCATGGTGAAACGGTTTGGACAGGGTCAGGAAATCTTCTGTCTACAAACTTAATAGAGCCTTGGTTATCTCTCAGGTCAAGAAACACAATTGAACACGAGACGAGTCAGAGATTCCAGCTGGTACTGCTTTGAGAGACTCCTTGGCACATGTTGTGTGCTTCGATCCTGATGAACCTTCTATATGTCTCTGTCTTGTGTGTTTCAGGGCACGAATGCTGCATCGGAGCATAAGAGTTACGATCTTCCTGGTTATGCTGTAGGTTAATCTCCCTTTTTAGGTGAATGATTCTTGTTCTTAATTCTCGTCATCATAGTATTGTGTTTGTTTATGTGACTTGTCTTATCTCTAGATATACAGTTTCAGTGATGTGATATCTTGCCTGTGTCCTCTTTTATCTCATGTAGGATATAAACACACATGGAAAGGGCTTATAACTGTGGAACTCTTTAAAGAAGGTTCCCCTTAAGCTGTGGACAAGTTTCTTGATCTATGGTTGGTATCTAAATCCCCTTCTTCTCTTTTCAACTAGATAAAAGACGACAAGTTTAGGAATTTGATTCCACCTGTTTGTTACTTTTACCTTGATAGAATTAGAGTGACTTCTGTTTCTTCGTTTATTGATTTTGATCCTCAAGTCACTATGTATGTGACACTATTCTAGCTTAGTTCAGTGGTGTAAGTAATGCAATTGAGTATTGTTGCAGTCAAAAAGAATGGAAGTACAAGCAGGTCACTCACAAATCTCTATACCTGTAGAAGAATGGACTGCTAAAGGAAAGCTCCCTGGTCGCTTCACACTAGGTTACATGTGTTTGTTCTGTTATTGCAGCCCAAAACATGAGGCCTTCATGCTGCGGACACCAAAAACCAAAGGGAACAACAAGGACTTTGATCTTCTCATCACAACCGCACCAATCCTCCATCTTAATTGATCGGTTTAGATGTGGCTCTACTATCAATAAACAAACTCTGATTGTACTAGACAGGCCAATGTGATATATTTAACTTCCACACCATTGCTTCTTGCACTTAGTATTAAAGTTTCTTGCACTTAGTATTAAAGTTTTTAGCTTAATGAAGTACGAAATGAGTAAAATCAAGAACTAAATCATCAGTATAAGTAAAAGCATCAGTAAACCAAGTCATACAAAGCACCAACAAATCTCCGAACAAAGTGAAGGAAAAATAAGTGGTACATTCAACAAAATAAAGTTAAAAGCAAAATCAGCAAAATAAGGATAATATCTTACAAAATAAAGTTAAACCATAATGTTTATCATCTCTTTCTAGTTGTCAAAGAGGGATTTTCTCAAGAAACTCGCTAAAGATCTCTGAGTTGCTAAAATGTCCCGAGAAAGCCAAATAGTAGACTTCCATTAGCAAACTCGGAAACAGCATAGTAAAATATTCGAGAGCCTGAAAACCTGTTTTTCCCAAGATCGCCTGAGACAAAGAAAGACATAAGAATTGTATCTAGGTTAAAACACAAAACAAGTATTGATAGTAGAGCCACATCAATACTTGGTAAGAATAAGCAATGAGAATGTTGTTCGAGTATTTCTCACACTTTTGATGGTTTTCAACCTCCAGTACTACCATTTCCATATTTTCTTTTGTGAACTCCATCTCTCTGATAGTGATGTCACGGCCTTGATACATCCCTTTGAAGTCTTTCTCCCCAATTCGTTCTCCTTTACTCATGAACTCTGAAGTATTGCTAAGATTAGCCATGTGGGAGCGATTCAAGTTTGGACCTGCCAAAATTATCTTTGAGTGTCCAATCCGGGAAATATTTTACTTCTACAGAGGGTAAATTGTTCTCGGAAATCAAAGAAAAGCAGAAAAAGCATCAACAACATCACTATCAGATGACAAATACAAACCCTAACAACACTACATTGAGCTTTCTGAGACAGCTTGGGAAGGGAAGACCTTTAAGCTTTGTATTTTGATTGAATTAGATCCCTAATGCCAGATGTAGTAGGCACGATCCGGTTTCACTCTTCAGAAAAAGGGGAACGAGGACAAAGGCAGCAACTTTGTTTTGATTGCATTTGTACGTACGAAGACCATTGCTGAGCTGTTTCCCTCTTTCTTTGAGCTGCTTCTGCTTTCGAGAGTAATTGCAAAAACATTGCAAAGTGACCGTTGTGGTGTTGATCCGTAGCCTCCTCCCATTCCTTCAGGCCCACAATAGGGCCCCTTAACGATTACTTTAGGCGACGTCGTTTCCGCTTACTTCTTAAAACCTCTTCGTTTTGTGCTTAATATTAGGAAGAAAGGAAACAAAGGATGAATATATAAATTTGATGCTCAAAAGAATTGGCAATAAGAAAGGGAAAACGAAAGTTCCCTGTGAAGTGAATCTCAGGGAAAACAGGTATAAATTCTCAATGTCTTTTCTTTCTCTAGCCAAGAACAACACTTGAAAGGACTAATAGGCCTTGGTAAATGAGAACAAGTCCATCTCCCGAGTATAAGTGGTCGCTGCTGTGTCATCACAATCTTTATACACCAACAATATATGTTGTCCCAAAATCGACATATATAACTGGAACACAAGATGTTGTAACGACTAAGAGACGATCAAAGAGAATAATACGAAGAAAGAGCAGACGAGAAACTCCACTTTAGACTGACAACTGAGAGAATCCATGACCAATAGACGAGTAGTGAATCTCTGGTTCGAACTTGGCATCCCCGAATGTATAGGTAAACAAATGCAGCATTGAGAAGCGAAAGAGAGAAGAAGAAGGTAACTTTACTGAAGAAGCTATTCTTCGAATTCATGCATATGATCTAGAAGATAGTTTGCAGCCAACTCTTCGTTCTTGTTGCACGCAAAGAAAACTTCCAACACCAATGCTCTCTCGAATCCCATCGCTTCCAACTGTTTTTTTTTTTTTTAAATCAATGTGAAAATGAGTTTATTGATCATAAAGAGTGTACAAGCTTTCTTCTTTAGGGGAAAGACCAAAGTTCTAAGAGTTTAAAGAGAGAGAAAAGGAACAGACCCGTTCAATTGCTTCACGTTCTTCAATTGTGACTTGGATCGCCTGAGGCTGTGGCATTCCCGCCTCGCCAAAGAGGTTGCCACTGCATCATTATACACAACACAAATTAAACAAGAAAAAAAATCAGTGTTTAAGTAATCAAAAGCCTCCCAAAGTTTTGGTTTTGATGTGTGTTACACATGGATCATAGTAGTGAAATAACTTAGGGATTATTGTACATACCTTTCTCCTCCCGCTTCAATGGGTTCGTTGATTAAGCGTAAGAAGTCAGCTTGGTGGTCTTGAATCAAACGCATCAAGTTTGGGTTCTGCTTTCCCAGTTCCTGAAGCATAGGCTGCAGAAAACGTGCGAACGAAATCATTTGAAACAATACTAAATGAAAGCCGAGGGTTCCTCTGCGAATTGGATCAACATACCTGCAAGACTTGAGGGTTTGCTTGCACCATTGTTCGCAGAGCTTGGAACTAATATAACCAAGAATAACAACAAACACGTTACACATTTATGCCTGATACACCTCTTTCTGTAAGCAAAGTGTAAGAAAAGAAACAGCTCATACCTGTTGGCTGTTGCGCAGGAAGTCAAGTGTTCCAGCACCAGGATTTGCTCCAACATTTGGCAAGCCCTGTCAAAAGATAAAGAGTAGCTTTAGTTAACACACCCATACAATCTCAAGAGTTTTGCAACAAGTAGGCTTTTTCTATCTCAATGTATATTACCTGTGGGAAGAGATCCAATGGATTTGCATTTGGACCACTTGCGGGTGCTGGTGCAGGTTGTTGAGCCTGTGTTGGAGGATTTGCCGGTGGTCCACCACTAGCTGGGGCACGGGCAACTGGTGGAACTTCAGGTTGCTCAGGGATTCCCTGAAACATGAATTGTTCTCTCAGTTTAGTGACAAGGAATATAGTAGTAGCAAGGAAGGCATAGAGACTAGTGACCAAAATTTGCCTATTAAACAAAGTTGTATGAGGGGGCACGGGATCTACAGCGAATTCAGAGAAAATAATTGAACTCACGGAATAAAGATATTCCACAGCTCTTTCGGGGTTGTTAAATGCAGCACGAAGTGCTCGGATAACAGTGTCACGATCCCAGGTTCCTCCACCCATGTCAAGAATCTGCTGAATGGTACTCTCTAAATTACTTCCAGCCGCTAGATTCGATGCTGCTTGTCCGTAAACATCAGCTTGACTTCTATCTCAACCAAGAAAATAGGAAATATAATAAGACTAGGTAAATTTCTGAGCGAAGCAAAAGATTTAGATAGCAGAGATGCTAACCCCGCAGCAGCTGAGTCTGGTGTAGGAGTGCTTGCTGGTATGGACGCAGGTATGGACGCAGGTACGGGTACAGGTTCAGGTTCAGGTACAGGTGCAGACATAGGTACGGGTGCAGCTACAGGTGCCGGTGCAGGTGTTGAAGCGGGTGTTGGTGGAGGTGTAGCTGGTCTGCAGAGAATTAGGAAGATTAGAGGCAGAAGAATGAAAATAAAGTTAGCATAGAAGGGAATAACAGTTTTGTCAGATGAATTCCAAGAAGGTTCCAAATAGAAAACGCTTGTCTGAAACTCACGTTGTTACAGAATTCGGAGTCTGAAGAGAAGCTGAAGGCTGTGGTGTTGACAGGGAGGCGTCGACTTGGCCTAAACCAAACACGAAAATCAGGAAACTGGTAAGAACCATGACCATATTCTTCATGCCCATCTCTCCTTGCTTTCTTTCCACTGCCCCTGACATCGTCTTCATCGTCGTCGTGTCATCATCATTATCATCATCGTATTCGTACTCTCTACAGCGTCCACTCTTCTTTCCTTCCTGACCCCAATGATAATTTTGGTACCGAACAACTGCGCCGGCACTAGTATGCCCTGAGACGTGGTGCCTAGGACCCAAAGCCCGCCTAGGATACTCCGAACCGGTAGCAGAAAGTGAAAGTAGAACTCTTTGTCACCAATCTGCAAAAGGTCCTGAGAGTGAGAGAGGAGCTTGACGTTGGGGTTCGCAGGGAGATGAGGAGAACACCTTCAACAAGGCAGCCATTTTTGCCGAGCGAAATGTTCATTCCGCCGCCGCCCAGGGGTGACAGGTCGACGTCGACGGTCGATTTCGAATTCCGGCCGAGCATTATAGAGTAGAGTATGACTGGATATACTATACAACTCGAAATCCTCCCGTTGGAGCTTCGCCAATCCGCCCTCTACGTCACTACCGCCTCCAACGCCCCTAGCCATCCCGTAAAGTTCTCCGGTGATTAATTTTATCGATACTGAAGTGGGAGGAGCTCAGAGAGAGAATCTGGGACTCAAAATTGTAACAATTTCTGAAACGAGAAAGATCTGTTTGGAAACTGGTTTATCTGTATCAGAAGTCCAGGTAGGATAGTGGAAAGTCGAAACCACAAGGAAGGTGTCTTTGGTCCTGATTGGCATAGCTTTTAATGGGGCTATAGCTGAGTAGCATAAGCTGAGAATAGATTCAGCTGTAAGCTATTAGTTAATAAATTTATGATATATGATTCAAGAGTAGAGGCTGTTAGATACAAAATTACAAATGTGGACATAATTTTATTAATAGCTTTTATTTGTTTTTTAAAGAATTAAGGGTATTAATGACTTTTAGCAATGTTTAATGCTCTCTGCTGTTGAAAAGCTCATTTTGAGACATTGAGCTATAGGCAGTTAGAAGCACTTCCTGCTCTTTTTTCTGCTCAATTAATGGCTTTTAAAAAGCAGTAAGCTCACTAAACTGCTCTCCTAGTGAAATGACGATTACACCCAAGTGATACACACACAATCGTCTTTAAATTAGAATCTGTGAAACGATTTTTTTTTTGCTAGATGATGTGTGGAAATTGTGAAGATTGCTTTCGGTTATCTCAAGGAATCAGCGAAGTCAACGACTGCTAGATCATTATGGTGGGTATGACTATCATTCTGATTTTTATGGTTTAGGTTGGGTTATTTAAGCTCCAAATATGCTACAACTTGAGAAAATGCATTGATTTAGTCCTACTTACTCATATATATCTACTATACCCCTTCAATTGGTTCAATAACTAACTCCTACCCATTAAAGCTATAGGGATTAAAAAAGAGGAAATGGAATAAGAAAGATCCTCCCCAGCCAGTCATGTGACCTTTGACAATTGAACCTAAAACAAATCTCCCAAATTTTATAAAATAACGAGAAAAATAATAAGGAGAAGAGGTCAGGGTCCAGCTAGGTCCAAGGTCTAGCTACCGAGCTTAAATAGAAACATAAGTAAAGGGGTCACAATAATAATAAAATACAGAAACTAGCAGTTGTTTAGGATTACATTTTTCTCTAACTAATCAAAAGCATAGTAGAAAGAGAGTAAGTGCGGCGGCTCCTGAAGCACTGGCTAGAACCAGAAGAGCAGCCTGTTTTATGCCACTTCCACTTGGAGGGGAGAGCCTCCCAGAGATGAGTTTGCACGACTTGTCAGCTTCTTTGTGAAGTGACCAATATTTTTCGTTCTACAAACATGGCAATGGCAATACAACTGAGCCAACTGAGCCGTGGGTGAAGTTAGTTAGTTATGGCTTAGAAGAGCAAAGAGATGCATACCTTTAGCCTGAAGCTCTTCAAAGTTCGATTGACAGTGTGAGCATGATAAGGTGATGATGATAACTCAGGGGATTGATCTACAAGCTCTCTAAGAAGAGCAACGCTAGCTTCTAGATGCTCCTCGTAGAGAATATCCCACTCCTTGAAGCAATCAAGGTTTTCTGTCACACACCGGATAGCGATTGCTGCAGCTTCCTTGGCTAGACCAGGGTTTCCTGTAAGTAACAACAGGAACACATTACAACTCCATTTTTGTACAAGAGAGAGGGAAGCAGAAAACAAGCTAGGCTTCGTTTGTTTTAGCACCTTCTTCTCCAGCTAATTTCAAGGAGAAATTGAATATCTGTCCCACAGCGTTTTCTCCACTCTCTGGTGCAAGGGCTACTTCTTTCAACAAGGGATAAACTGCCTCAAACCTCTTTGTATCCTGTGTGCATACAAACAGAGATGAGAGACCAAGGCACTTGCTTGTGACAAACAAATGCATCAAGGTTTTGTTTTATAAGTTCCAATACTACTAGTGATTAGTGCTTACCTCTCTCTAGCGGATGAATCGGGGAATGTAAGCCGCACCAGGATCTCAAAGGAAGAAGCTGGAATCAGCCGCTCTCCCTCCCTAGAAGGTCGATTTACAAGTATGGTCGCCTCTGGATTCGACAAAATGCTGATAAAAAACAAAACAAGATGAGATGCTTGTTGTTACATAATAAAAATAGACAGCAGAGGAGAAGTTTGGACTCACATCTCAACAAATTGGAGGATGAGATCCATTGACTGAAGACTGCAGCTCTTGTAATTATGGACTAGTGGTAACAAGACATGCGCCCATGAATACAATCCACAACCTATATCACCTTTGGAGGCCTGCGCCACAATCCAAACTATAAGCCCGAGCTTGTCCTCCCCTTGATACATAGGACTCTCCCTCAGCATCGCCAAAAAAGGAGGAGTCAAAGCATGCGGGTTACTACGCAATACCATCGCTAATCCAATAAATATCGCCTCCTAGAAGTAGAGTAATAGAGTTAGACAAAAACAAAGGCTACTGAATACACCATTCATTAAAGTTGCTTTTTCCCCAAAAATTACCTCAGATATGGAAAAATTATCTTGTGCTACCCAATCAGCGTGAATGCGTGTGAGCGCAAACCGTACAAGGCCAGTGAGTGACACTAATGGAAGTTTGTTCATCCAATCAACTGATTTTTGGTAGACACATGTAGGAATATGAGATAAGGGAACCTGTTTATTAGCAAGAGAGAGCAAGATATCAGCTTCAAGAATCCAACCCTAGACTTTGATTCGAAAACGTAAAAGAAATGGCTCACCTCGATCAGCGTGGATACACTAGACTCATTGAACATCTTCATCCATGGAATTGACACTTGGGAAAGTTTTTCCGTATAGTAAGCCATAAATCTCAAAGTCTGTTCCTCCGGACTCAACCAACAATCGGCCTATTAACAAACAATCAATAAATTTTTGGGTCATCGAATTGAGGAAACAGATTTAGCCCAATTTCACATCGCAGTCACTTACCCGTAATTTTTCGATGAAAGTCGAAAGATCTACAGGATTAATCTCTGCCGCAGCTCTGGAGAAAGCTGCTATCGACAAAGCCACTATCGGCTTTTCCTTCGGATCCACATACCTCCTCTTGACCTCGGGAAAGACGCGCTTCGCGTTTATGATTCTCTGCCATCCTTCGTCGTTGCGGTAACGAGAGAGGGAGCAAGCAGCTTCGGACAAAGCCACTATCGGCTTTCCAGTTTCGTCCGCCTTATCCACATACCTCTCCGCCTTGGGATACACTTTCTTCCTTTCATCATCATCGTCCGCCTTCGATTCATCTCTCATCACCGGTTGGGACAACAAGGCTTTCTTCCATGGACCATCGTTGGCCTTGGGATTCGGATTCTACCCTTCCCTTTGATCGGACCCATTAGGTTTTCTGACTTTTTTGTTTTTCGCTTTATTTCTAGATAATTCTCTCTCCCGTGTGAAAATAGAGAGACGAGAGAGACTACCGAGTTATTATAGGGTTGGCAAACGGGAAATTGGGAACGGGAATGAGACAGGAATATTATAGGAATCAAAATAGTTGGGAATCAAAATAGTTGTCTCATTTATTTAAATTTTGGGATAGGAAGGATCCAAAAAACAATAAAACATGAAAAATTAAAAATAATAAAATTCAAAATGTAATCATAAAATTCAAATCTCAAAATTAATAATCAAAGTCAAAAGATAGAGTAATTATCAAGCCCGTGAATGATAATATTAAATTTCCATACTTATCCTCTCAGGCCAAAAAAGTATCAACAAAAGGTATAAAGGAAAGAACAAAAAAGTATCAACAAAAGGCACCAGACGGCACCTGGTGCAAGGGAGGCCAGGTAGAGATTCGTTTCTTCACCGCTGATGGCAGAGGCAATGGCAATCCGATCTGCACTCAATTATGCTCTGGATCAGGGAATAGTCAGTCTCAAACTTCTCTCATACGCTCAGGATCTCATTGGAGTCATCAATTCGCAGGAGCAATCAAAGAAGATCTATAGTCTTCTTTTTGATATCTTCACTCTTGCTTCAATGTTCGATTCAATTTTTTTCAATTTCATCCCTAAATCTAAGAACCTCTTGGCTGATTCTCTTGTAAAGAACGCCAAAAAGTTTTTGTTGTTTCAATGCCCCATATGAACCCCACTGTGTAGTTGAACTCGTTTAATGTTTTAATGAATGTTGTTCAAAAAAAAAGGAAAGAACAAATTATATAAAATTGAGTGAATGACTAAATGACAGAAGCAAAATCAAACATCCATTTGATCCAAAAAAAGTTGAGAGAGACAATAGTATAGGCAGGAAAATTGAGAACGTATTTGTTAAAGCAATTGAGAGCGTATAGTATATCTATAGCTATCTATATATTTTTTAAAATTCAGGCTTGTTTTCTATCAAATTAAAATTATTTTATTTTGATCAACTCATCGATTACTCTACCTTTTGACTTTGATTATTAATTTTGAGATTTGAATTTTATGATTACATTTTGAATTTTATTATTTTTAATTTTTCATGTTTTATTGTTTTTGGGAATTCCTGTTTCATTCATGTCCCGAAAATAGTATAGGCAGAAAAATTGAGAACGTATTTATTAAAGCAATTGAGAGCGTATAATATATCTATAGCTATATTTTTTTTAACAAAAATCTGGCTTATTTTCTATCAAATTAATTATTTTATTTTGATCAACTCATCGATGTTATGACTTAAAACGATCTTACATGTCAACACACTTTCAAAATTTAAATAATAGCCATACAAGGCACCAGAAAATTCATCAATTTGTCAAATAAATTATATCCAAACTCATAAACAAACTATGAGTAAGATAATCTAACATTCTACACGTTAGTCGTATCAAAATTCTATACGAAACCGTATTTCAGAAAATTGAAGAATGGATTAGATAACTTTGATGAATAAGCATCTCAAAATAATTGGTTATGTTGTCAAAGCAAGTCTTAGAGGAACATGTCTGAGATGTCAAAGCATTAGATGCAGAGAAGATTAAGTAGAAGCTGGAAATGTCTGAGTAATATTGTCACGTAAGACCTTTGGATTCTACCTGAACGTTACTGAAGAAGACGAAGCTCACTCACTACACTCTCTCTTTCTCTGGTGGAGTTTTGGAATTTTTGAAACTTCATTCCCATTATCTTGTTAGTAGCAAGTACTAAGTAGTAACCTTGTAACAATGTTATAGTTTTAGCCCTTTACGTTTTAAGTGTATGTTAGTATGTTGACCATACTCTTAGCCATATCTGAATGTTTGTCAATTGGACCCAACTCTTGATAACCAAAAGCAATTCGACACAAGATTTAATCTGGTCTTCAAATTTCAACTACGTTTTATTTGATATATGTTCATAAGTTCTATAACTCTGATTGAATACAGAACAATCTTGCATCGTTTCTAAATTTGATTTTAATATTTTTTTGACCGTACCATTTCGTGTCGGTTGAAATTACTTATGAACAGAACAATCTTACATCGTTTCTAAATTTGATCTTACATCGTACTTCGTACCATATGTAATAACTTTTCTAAATAGTTGAGCGAATGTACATTATGAATGAAATTAAATAAAAATTCTTTTCTTGCTTATGTTAAATGACTACGACAAAAATAAACATATTCATTTAACAAAAAATAAATAAATAAACATATTCGTACGGAAAGTTCTGATTAATTTCAGACATATACAGTATTTGTAGTTATGGTGAAAGAAAATTAGACTTTTCTAATCATATAACCAACACTTCTTCTTCTTTTTTGCAGCCACTTGTTTCCATCTTATATTTTTAAAACAGCTGTAAGGACTAAATTATCTTCTTTATATTTTTGACATCATAAGTTCTCTAATTCTCTTCAATTGGGGGGAAAATATTACTTTTTGATAGCTTCATGTCTTTACGGGAGTCTCATAAAGACATGTAGAGGACGTGGATCATGGATTTTGCACTTTTTCTATACTCTGAACTATCTTATATTATTGTACCCTTTTGATTTTTATTTCTTTGAACCAGTGTTATCATATAGTCTAAGTCAGTAAACTGTACTTGCTTCCCATCATTTTTACCCATCAAAAACCCATGTAATATGGTTAATTCATTTTTCACTTCCAAAAAATAACCAAGAACATGCATGTATAAGTCACCGGAAAACTAATAGCATAGCAGCAAGTTCTCAGTAACAAAACATTTTTACAAAGAACATCACCCCTGGTCAATCCCTAATATACATTATAAATGAAATTAAATAAAAATTCTTTTTTTGCGTATGTTAAATGACTACGGCAAAAATAAACATTCGTACGGAAACTTCTGATTAATTTCAGATATATGATTTGTAGTCATGGTGAAAGAATATTAGACTTTTCTAATCATATAACCAACTCTTCTTCTTTTGGAGCCACTTATTTGCATCTTATATTTTTAAAACAGCTGTAAGGACTAAATTATCTTCTTCTTTATATTTTTGACATCATAAGTTCTCTAATTGTCAATATTGCTTTTAATCATAATCAGACGACTAAAGTCACTAAACCAAGAATAAAAGCAAAATTATTGTTTGGCCATGAAAATAGGATAGAAAATAGTATAAAAGCTTTATACAGAAAACCCTAAACTCAAGGTCAAGACACCAATTCCCATCACGGTTTTATCGTAGAAAAAATCCAATTAAAAATTTGATGCATTTATAATTGAGATCTTAATTTAATTACGATTTCTTTTCTTTCCTTTTTCGGTTTCCTTTTTTCGGGATTTGGTGTATTAATTTTAGATCCACCGGCGAAATCACTCGAGGGAAAAAAGCTTCGACTTTTCTTCTCTCATTTTCCTTCCTTTTTGTCTTCTTCTTTGACAAAGCTCATTGATTTGTCTTTGATCCGCGATAATCGAACTCTGTTATATCTGGCTGTAACACGCATTCGAGGAAACCCCCATTTCGGATTCTCGTATCGAATTTGCTTGAATCATTCTACAGAGCGACGGCGGGAATCTCAAATTCGGATCATTTCTGGTTTGTGGGAAATCTGTGCGGTCTGAGAGAAGGCCACAAGGAATAGGAAGAGCGAGAAGGAGTCGAACATCGTCGGATTTGGGATCGAGGAATCGAGAAGCAAAATCGGGATCGGAGAAGAGGAATCGATTCGGGAGGTGATGTTGTTTGGTTGGGGATTGGGTGGAATTAGGGTTTATTCCGATTGGGTTGATCTGAAGACAAGAGTGGGGCTGCACGAACAAGGATGCAGCTTCACATATCGCCTAGCATGAGAAGCATCACGATTTCGAGCAGCAATGAGTTTTTTGATTTGATGAAGATCAAAGTCGCAGCTCGTCACATTTCTTACCGAACTCTCTTCCACACAATCTTAATCCTCGCCTTCCTCTTGCCTTTTGTTTTCATCCTAACCGCTCTTGCGACCCTTGAAGGTGTCAACAAGTGCTCCTCCATTGGTAAACCCTTCTTCTTCTTTTTAATTCCTCCAACCATTCTAGATTCTGTGTATAGAGACCTGTTTGTTTAGGATCTGTCGCCTACATTCTCTTTGATTGAGCTAAGTACTTTGATAAATCTAAGCATTGTCACAAGCATCTTGTTAAGTTGTTTGGATCCAATGGTTAAGTTCGGCACTTTGAAAATTTCTTGTACATTGTCCACAAATGAATTTCTGAAGCGTCCCAAGGGAGCTAATTCAGCTTCAATTGTATCGTAGTATCTATCTAATTATGAGCTCATGAAAGTTTCTTGTCTTTACATTTTCTGCTCCAGATTGTTTAGGGAGGCGGTTAGGACCACGTCTTCTTGGTAGGGTAGATGACTCAGAGGTGAGTGATTGCTTCATTTCAGATTATATAAAAAGTCACAAGTTGAATTTCTCTGTATCATTTATGTTAAGTTAAGCCTGATCTTGTTTTTGTTGCAGCAGAGACTAGTTAGAGACTTTTACAAAATTCTAAACGAAGTAAGCACTCAAGAAATTCCAGATGGTTTAAAGCTTCCAGATTCTTTTCATCAACTTGTTTCGGATATGAAGAACAACCACTACGATGCCAAAACATTCTCCATTGTGCTTCGTGCTATGGTACATCCTCTAATCTTAAAGCAGTTGTTAGATACATTAGTAGGGTTTTTTTTATATCCGAAATGTTTATGTGATTTGAGTATTCTTTCTGAACAGATAGAGAAGTTTGAAAGGGATATAAGGGAATCCAAATTTGCGGAGCTAATGAACAAACACTTTGCAGCAAGTTCGATTCCAAAAGGAATTCACTGTCTCTCTTTAAGACTAACAGATGAATATTCCTCCAATGCTCATGCTCGGAGACAGCTTCCTTCTCCGGAGTTTCTCCCTGTTCTCTCAGACAATTCATACCACCATTTTGTTCTAGCTACAGACAATATTTTGGCTGCATCGGTTGTGGTCTCATCCGCTGTTCAGTCATCTTCGAAACCCGAGAGAATTGTCTTCCATGTTATCACAGACAAGAAAACCTATGCGGGTATGCATTCTTGGTTTGCGCTGAATCCCGTTGCTCCTGCGATTGTCGAAGTCAAAAGTGTTCATCAGTTTGACTGGTTAACAAGAGAGAATGTTCCGGTTCTCGAGGCTGTGGAAAGTCACTACGGTATCAGGAACTATTACCATGGGAACCATATCGCTGGTGCAAACCTCAGCGAAACAACTCCTCGAACCTTCGCTTCCAAATTGCAATCAAGAAGTCCCAAATACATATCTTTGCTCAACCATCTTAGAATATATCTACCAGAGGTAAAACATTTCTGCCTTTTTCGTCTATATAAGCTGTGTGGCTTACTGTGTAGTTTAATATCTTGAGAATATGAATGTAATGCTTGTTTGTTTTTGCCTTTTCGAACAGCTTTTTCCGAACTTGGACAAGGTAGTGTTTTTGGATGATGATATAGTGATTCAGCGAGATTTATCTCCTCTTTGGGATATTGACCTTCGAGGGAAGGTTAATGGAGCTGTGGAGACTTGTCGGGGAGAAGACGAATGGGTTATGTCAAAGCGTCTTAGGAACTACTTCAATTTCTCTCACCCGCTCATTGCAAAGCATTTGGATCCTGAAGAATGTGCTTGGGCTTATGGAATGAATATCTTCGATCTACAGACTTGGAGGAAGACAAATATCAGAGAAACTTATCATTCTTGGCTTAAACAGGTAAAGACTTATCAGAGAAGCCTGCATTGTTTTTTGAGTTTTATGATTCGAAATATTGGCAATTCCTTGATTTTGCTTTCTGGTTTTGGTTTTGATGTGCAGAATCTGAAGTCGAATCTAACAATGTGGAAACTTGGGACATTGCCTCCAGCTCTAATAGCATTTAAAGGTCATGTTCAGGCAATTGATCCGGCTTGGCATATGCTTGGATTAGGTTATCAGAGCAATACCAACTTAGAAAATGTAAAGAAAGCTGCAGTGATACACTACAATGGCCAATCAAAGCCCTGGCTCGAGATAGGTTTCGAGCATCTCAGACCATTCTGGACCAAATATGTTAACTACTCCAATGATTTCATCAAGAGTTGTCATATCTTGGAATAAGCCAACAGAAAGCTTTCAGATAAGCTTGAAGCAGAGTGGAGATTTCGCTGGTGCTCGGATATTAGCTGAGCGATGAAACCAGTTGGAGAGCTGCATGAGAAAGATAAAGATTCATTCTTCTGTAAAAATAGAAGGTACTCTTTTTTGAGATTCTTTTCGGTTTCGATTGAAGATTCCAAATTCTTGGATCTGTTATAAGAGGACTACCTAGAAGAAATTGAGTTTGGTTATGGTCAGACCAGAGACCAAGGAACAACAACAACACTGTTGCATTTACTCCACTTGTACTTTTTCTTTATAGTTGAGTTCCTAATTTTTGACAGTTAAATTCCACATTGTTTTTTTTTTTTTCTTACTTCTTGAGATAGTTTTTAGTGATTTTTATATGGGCATTATTGCTTTGTTAAGATCCCTATTTGTTCAATTATGAGACTTTTTATTGATGCTGATCCTTTTTGTTGTCAGATTCAGTTTGCTTGATCTCTCTCTCTCTTCTATCTCTCTCTATTTTTTTGATGTTATTTTTGAGAATTTTTATGACGTTCACAAATTTGTTCTGCAAAATTAAAGGAAACACGTATGGTTCTCTTATATTTTTGATATTTATGTTATGTCATTAATCCTTTAGGATGAGCCCTAAACTTTATGCTAGTTTAGTTCAACCATATCAGCTTAATTTGGAATTTTAACATTTTTATTTCAAAAATAAATCTTAATACTATCTTCTATAGGATTTCCCCATTATATATATATATATATATAACTCTAGTAGGAGAGACTGGAATTTTTTTGCTTAAAAGAAATTTCTGTCATAGTCCTCTGGCTGTGGCTCCGATGATTTCATCAAAGAAGAAGAAACTCAACTGGTTGGAGCTTTGTCCGGACGTCCTGCGATGTGTCTTCGGAAAATTGAGTTTCACAGATCTAAATCGAGCTAAATTAGTTTGTTCGTCGTGGTACTCAGCTTCGAGAGGCTGCGTCCCAAGAAATCAGATTCCATGGCTGATTCTCTTCCCGGAAGCCAACAACAACAACAAGACTAACAGTAACAAGAGTAGTTGCGTGTTGTTCGTTCCAGACGACAGAGACAAAGTGTACAAAACCAGAGATCTCGGTTTTGACTTTGCACAGAGTTGTTGTCTTGCTACTTACGGTAGCTGGCTCCTGATGATGGACATTGATTGGAATCTCAACATTCTAAACCCTTTAACCGGTGAGAAGATTGATTTACCACTCACAGAGTATCACAAAGGAAGTCCACCACCTCCCTATGCACAACCTTATCATTTTGATTTTGATCCGGAACACGAAGATCTGTACCCAAGCCTAGCTTGTCTCTGGATAGACCATGTAAGCAAAGATTACCTAGTTGCTTGGAGGATGGTGGAGAAAATCTTGGTTAACAAGACAGGGAGTAACACTTGGCAAGAGATCTCACGTTGTTTCGTGTCGACATGGAGGAGGGAACAACTGGTCTACGAACACAAGACACAAAAGCTCTACTTCCATCAAGACGGTAGTGTTGTCAAGAGCTGGTGTTTTTCAGGAGATGACGATCGTCCACAACTAGTTTCTGAAGATTATCCTCCAATCGTGTATGCTTATTGGGATTTCCTCCCTGATAGAAGCAAAGACGAAGACGAGCTATATGTGAAGGAGTATGTTGACAGCAGACTAAACATCGTAGTGAGTAGAGTCTCTGGACAGGTTTTGAAGGTAGCTTGTGCGGTTCAAAAGTCCAAAAGATGGTTCTTCCTCGTCTACAGGATGCACCCTATCGATCTTAATTGGGAAGTAGTCGATTCTTTGGGTGATGAGGCGTTGATCTTAGACATGGGCATCACAGTTATAGCCAAAGACATTCCAGGGATCAAGAGCAACTCAATCTATTTCAGTGGTCTCGATTATGGCAGAAACAATCCAGACCATATATTTGTCTTCGATCTCAACACCCACAAGATTGAAACTTTGCCACTATGTGTTTTCTCCTCCATTCCTTTCTCCGATGCTAGATGGTTCTTCCCCGGTTTTAGCAGTTAGTCTTTATAGAGTTATTTGCTTCCAGTTTTGTTTTTTGTTTTGTTTCTCAAGTGTTTAGTGTAAGCCTTGTCATGAAGAAGCAGAGGAGATCTGATTTATTTATACTAGAAAACAAAACAGAGATTTAATAGTCTCTTTCAGTTGTGTATCTGATGTATTAGTAAACAATCTATTCCGATCACAATCCAAGGCCAAACTTAACCAACAACATTATATATCAAGCCTTTATAATTTAAACTAAAATCTGAAAGCCATAGAGAGTAACTAATTATAAAAACTGATCTCTTGGACTTTCAGAAATATTTGACATTACTTTACTAATGATCAAGAGAGCAACAAGATACAATCCATGTGTTTCTTTCGGTCCCCCCCAAAACCTGTCTATGTACATCAATAAATAAACTACAACTAAGAGCATCTCCATTGAAAGTATATCAATAGATTCATTACACTGAAAAGTATCTCAATAGATTCATTACAGCTCTAACCAACATTCGTTAGCGGTTTAAGATTCGAGCTTACTAATAACTACTAAACCACTCAACGCCTAACAACATGCAACTTCCTCATGTTGGATTTCGGCCAAGTACAGATGTATGTTAACCGGTTTAATTATTAACTCTTAAACCCAATAATCTAGTATTTTCCTTTTAATGATTATATGCTTCGTTTATTTTTTGCTTCCAGTTTTAAATCTTGATGGAATAATGCCAATGATATATTGTCATTGAGTTTAGTCTCGCAATTCTAGAAGGCGGTCAAGAATTCAGATTTAGCTCTTATTTTGAATTCTTGAATGACAAAAAATAAACAGAGCTAAATCAGAGACTCCTTTTGCGTGTTTAACAGTATCCATTACTACATATATGAAAGGGGGAAAAAATGGCTTGACACTCTTTATAATTCTGTATATCAGTATCAGTATCAGTACACAATCTATACCAACCACATGAGGGACAGGGACGACGAAACTCAAGGACCAGAATCTGACTATCTCTCTCTTTATATTAAATTTTTATTCTATCTAGATCAGAACTACATCAATAAACAATTAGCGGTTTAAGATTCGAGCTTCAACATGCAGTTCTTCCTTATGTTGGATTTAGTTATTATAAACTTATAACTGTATGAGAACCGGTTTAATTAGTTATTAACTCTTAAACCGAGCTTAATATACTAGAATTTTCCTCCCTTTTATGAGGTAAAAATCTCAATATTTTATGAGTCACATGAGACGAATATATGAATATATATATATATATATATATATATACAATATAAAATACATATGTTCACTAACATGAGTTTTGATGTATTTTTTGTATTTAATAATGCAAAATAAAAAACCATCTCATATATTAGGGTTCTTAACCAAACTAGGAGTGCTCTGGAAGTCATCGAAGGCTTCATTATAAACAAGATCGAAACTTATTTGGGGAGGTCTCTTCGTTGGATCAAACAAGTTGAGCAATTAAATGGGGCAGATCAGAAAGAGAGCTCATCGGCGGAGACGAGAAGAAGGAATTCCGGGGAGTGTAAACTGGTCGGAGCTTTGTCCGGATCTGCTGCGACGTGTTTTCGAACGATTGAGTTTCACAGTCTTAAATCGAGCAAAATCGGTTTGTTCTTCGTGGCACTCTGCTTCCAAAGGCTGCATCCCAAACCGGAATCAGATTCCATGGCTGATTATCTTCCCAAACAAGAGCAACAAGAGCAACACTGGCTCGTGTGTGTTGTTCGTTCCGGAGGACAAAGACAAGGTCTACAAAACCAGAGATCTAGGTGTTGAGTTTGCCAAGAGTCGTTGTCTGATGACTTGTGGTAGCTGGCTCTTGATGTCCTGTCCTAGGAGAGATGTCTACATGATCAATCCTTTAACTGGTGAGAGGATCGATCTACCAAATACTGGGAAACTTAGAGACAGCTTGAAATGGGAGAAAGCTTGCTTTTGGATAGACAACGAAACCAAAGATTACATAGTAATCTGGCGGATGGCTGGGTGTAGTATGTTTATCAAGAAAGGAGATGATAACAAGTGGCACGAGTTTCCTCTCTCGAGCTGGAGAGAAGACATGATCTTCAATCCCAAGAATCAAAAGCTCTACCTCTATCATCCTAATAACCATATCAACATTTGGGATTTCTCTGGAGATAAACCGCTCCAAGAAGATGGGTCGCATCTTGATTCTTTCTGCTTCAACCACTATGATTTTCCTAATTATATTGACGAAGAATCTGAAGAAGAACTCTATTGGGAAAAGTTACTTCACGACACCACACGCATTGCAGTCACAGTCTCTGGACAGGTTTTGATGGTTGCATCTATAATGTTTAGCTGCAAAACATGGCATTTCCGAGTCTACAAGAGAGACCTCGTTCAGAGCCGCTGGGTTAAACTGGATTCTTTGGGGAATCAAGCGTTGATCTACGACATGGGTATCACTGTTGTCGCCAAAGGCATCCCAGGGATCAAGAGAAACTCAATCTACTTCAGTGGCAGAGATGATCCTGATCAAATCTTTGTCTATCATCTCTCCACCCAAAAGATGCAAACTTTGCCACCTCATGTCTTCTCCTCCGTACACTTCTCTCATGCTCGATGGTTTTTGCCCTCCTAGCCTCCTCTACTTCCTTTTCATGATTTCTAAGCTTAGATTATTTGCTTCTTTTTATTTTTGCTTCCAGTTTTAAATCTTGATGGAATAATGTTATGTCAATGATAATATTATCATTGAGTTTAGTCTCGCAATTCTCTGCAAGCATATGACATTGACAGGTTTCAACGAAACCCAAATTGAGTCCGCAAGTCGTGAATGGAGAATGTTATGCCTATATGTTTGGGATAATCTGTATAGAGATAATTATTCTGAATTCTTGAATGACAAAAAGTAAAAGCAGAGGATTTCAGAAACAGAGCTAAATTAGAATCTCCTTTGTGTGTTTAATAGTATCTGAATCATTACTACATATATATGGAAGAAAGAAGAAAATATTGGTTCAACACTTTTTTTTTATAATTCTGTATCTATATATCAGTATCAGTAAACAATCTATACCAAGCACATGAGGGACGGAGACGAAACTCAAGGACCAGCAAATCTGACTATCTCTCTTACATGACTGAGCACACGCATTTGTTCATCTTGGGATCACCTTTAGGCTTCTTTTCTGTATTCAAACAAACATGTCTCTCTCTCTGTCAATTTCACAAGAGATTCTGCAGAGGCTTAACCTTTTGAGGAAATGTTTTTTTTTTACCTTTTTCAGTAACCGGAGGTTGGATGATGACGTGCATTGTGGTGACACCTACAAGACTAGAGACAGGGCTTCGGTAGTCTTTCACCGTCTTGTTGTTCTCCAACACTTTCCCTGCGCTTATCAATTTCACCTCTTTCACTGTCCTCGGTCCATTCTCCTTCTCTACCTCCAATCAAAGTATCAAACACAAACCATAACAAATGAGACAACTAGTTTAACTATAACTAGCACAAACAGTTGAGCACAGCAAAACATCACAGAGAGTTGTTAACCAAAACAGCAAGGAATCTTGTGCTTTCTCAGCGAATCACATAGAAAAGTCTCAGTTTTATCCAAATCTTGCAATGATACGAGAGACGAGTGAAAACAAATACATTTGCGAAACACATTCTATTCGAACATGATTTCTCATAAGCAAGTATTGACCAAAACCATTGTTCCGAGAACACTCAAGCCTTTACAATGTTAGAATCTGAAAAGCCAAAGTGTAGCAGGTAAGCATAAAAACTGACCTCTGGGCCATTTGGAGATAACAGTTTCCTTCAAGGCCGAGACAGTTGTAGCATCAGGGAATGCTTGAGGACCGATATCCGAACCATCAGTTAACCGAAACTGGATCTGTAGTTGATTATCAACTTCTGCCATCTGTTGCAACAACTAACCAACAAAGCTTTTCCTCAAATCCAAAGGAGAAAACACAAAAGACACCGAAAGCACTTGACAGTTTCTCTCTGTATCAAATCCCACAGGACTTTCTTTGCTCTTTATGTATTCTATCTGCAAAATGAGTCAAAAAGAAACATTTCTTCTTTAAATAAGTGATCGTCAAGACAAACGTGAAACCTGAAGATTAAGGCTTTAATCAATGATCTTTTAAGAGAGAACATGATTTCTAAATCAACCGCATGCAAAACAGCAATAAACAGAGGATTTTGACAGAATACAATTACGAGAATATCCTGTAAATAAATGTTAAAGAATCAAGAAATCAGCAAAACCAGAAAAATAAATTAAAGTCCTGAAAGAGAAGGAGGATCTGATAAATGAACAGAACTCGGAAAACTCCAAAAGGGGCATGCTTTTAATCAAGGAACCCAGATTTGAAACAGAGCCGGGAAAAAGGAAAACCCTAAAATTGGTGATTCTTACTTGGCTCTGTGACTGATCTGAGCCGATGAATGAAAAGGAAAGGGAAGAACACGCATCGGAGAGGAGAGAGAGTTGCGAATTGAGATCAAGAGATCTCCTGAGTGTTGAGAATCAATGGCGGTCAAAGTTTCCATTTTTCTCTGATATTCTTCCCATCTATGCGCCTAAGAAATTGCCCATATCTCTCTCTTCTCTCTTCTCTCTCTCTTCCTTCTATCAAAGCTTAAAAAAAACGAAGAGTCGATCCTAATTTTGTTTGTAAAATTCGACAATTTGATATATTGAATTCACAAGTCGAGAAATTTTGTTACTTTCTGTGTTCCAAGCAATTCTTAAAAATACTTGTTTTTTACCCTTTTTTATGTGCAACAATAGCTTAATTAGTTTTACTCATGTAAAATAACTTTTGCTTAGCAATTACAAGGGTTAATGACATGTATATCATTTTAAAACTAAGAAGATTGCCTTTCATAATGACATGTAATATCATTTTATATTTTAACATTTTTCATTAATGAACAAGAATACAATAAATCCATCAGCGTTTACAAATAATCAAAACTATTGGATTTAGCTACCCTTGCCAACATTTTTTATAACAACACTATATTTTCAAGTCGAATTAATTTATACAGTTAATCCTGATTATCATTTTCAAAATGTAAGATTCTTACAGTAGGGAATCTTTGTTCGGTTGTTAGTTAAGGCATAAATGGCATAATCCTAAAGTCTTCGTCTTTGCTTCTATTTGGGAGGAAATCCACAAGCATACATGATTGGAGGATAATCTTTAGAAACTAGTTGCGGATGATCATCTCCTGATAAACCCCAGATCTTGACAGCATTACCGTCTTGATGGAAGTAGAGCTTTTGAGTCTTGTGTTCGTAGACCAGTTGTTCTCTGACCCATCTCGACATGGGAAAACGTGAAATCTCTTGCCAAGTGTTACTCCCTGTCTTGTTAACCAAGATTTTCTCCACCATCCTCCGAGCAACTACGTAATAGGTTTACTGTTAAAGAAGGAAAACCTACGACCAAATGCCATTGAGAAGAGCTTAATTGTAAAGAAAGGCTTAAGAGCTCCTTCTTCTTTTCCTTTGCATTGACTTCGACCGTGTTCTCTGGAGAGGTTGGAGATAAGTTAGACGAATGAGATGCTGATCTGATGGTGGTGATCTCTGGATCTGCCTTGAGACGAACATCACCGAGTCCATAAGCAATGCTCCCCAACTGGAACAAAACAGGCTTCTCATCATTCCCTCCGGCGCCTTTTGTTGATCTTGGATCAAAACTCCTACTATCATCCGCTTTTCTATGCTTCTTTACATGAAAACCCTCTCTATTGTGTCCTTTCTTGTGATTCTTTTCCATTGCTGAAGAAAAGCAAAAACGAAAAACTATGTCATCATCAAGTGTTTCACAAAATGTATGCATACGTGGAGATGTTTCCAAGATCATAAGCTAACATCATAGACAAAATGAGTAGAACAGAGGACTTACTTATACCAACGAATATCCATGTAAATTTCCAATCTTTTCGAAACTTTACCGGCAATGGCTTCCTCCTTTAGTAATCGATCCTCTCTTCGAAGAACAAACAACACAAAAGAGAATGATGAAGTAAAGAAAGTTTTGACCTTTATAAAGGAACGAATCCATACAACATTAACCGTTTTATCTTTTAAAAACAGAGCAAAACACACAAATAAAGCCTAATCCTTTGAAAATTTTGAGAGTTAAAGAGAAAAAAGTTGAACAAAATAAAAGAATGAAACCATTTGGTCTTTCTTTCTTTCTTTCCAAGCAACTACGTAATCTTTGCTTACATCGTCTATCCAGAGACAAGCTAGAGCTAGGGTTTGGCACACATCTTCGTGTTCCTCCGTATCATAATCAACATGAAAAGGTTGTGCATCTTGAGTTGGAATTCTTCTGTGATACGGTAAATCAATCTTCTCGCCGGTTAAAGGATTTAGAATGTTGAGATTCCAATCAGTGTCCATCATCAGGAGCCAGATACCGTGAGTAGCAAGACAACAACTCTGTACAAAGTCAACACGAGTTAAGATTCTTCAAATATAACTCGCTAAATACCTAAATCCCATCTCTAATCGAAGGTGCAACTGCAACTGGTCGGTTGTTGGTTAAGGCATAAATGGCATAAACCAACGACTAATCTGGTTTACAATTTAATTGTCTCTGGTCTTGGTTAACCTACTGGCTCAAGCGATCTTGGTTCAATCTGGTTCCTTCTTTCAAACAATTATCTTAACCACCACGTAACATCATCATACATCTCTATATATACATAATACATTACCGTTGTTGCGTTTCAAATATTGCTTTTCTTGATTTCTCTTCTCTCTCTCTCTCTCTTTCTCTCTCTCTCTTTCTTCCATTAACATGGCTACGATACGAGAAGATGGTGCTGTGCTTTCGGCAACTTTTAGGTGTGCTGTGGTGGATTTGAAACCCAGCGATGCCACCCTAAGCATCTCCGCCGTAAGCTATTCCTCCTCTACAAACCGAGAATTGGCCACCAAATTCTGGAGCATCTTCCACGAAGATTCAGGCTTGGTTTCTGTCTTCACTAATCAGGGAGAGATCCGTGAAGAGGGTCCTTTTGCAACTCACATGTTCCCGGCATCGGCATCAAGAAGGAGCCGGTGCTCAAGATTCGATCAAGGCGCCGGAAACAGCCTCTTGCGTGTCCTTCACCATTCAGCGGCGGAGGTTGCCTTCTTCAACCGTGACTTGGCTCAGCCTCTTCTAGTCAAAGGCAAGTACGTTCGGTCAGATTCTCGACAATCGACGACAGGTGGTGGTGGTGATCCTCTCGTGAAATTGGTGATCGGCGATTCAAGGTTGAAGCTTCTTGATTCGAAGCGTGGGGAGTACATACACAAGTCCCACGGCATTCGATTCACCAGGCTCGACAAGTACGAGAGTACTGATATCGCGGCGGGCACAATCATTGTGTTGGTCAACCTCCGTGACCCATTTCCAGTTGGCGGAGAAAGAACCCTTAATTTGCAGGCGGGGCAGTTTAGGGTTCCAAGAGGTTTGGAATCAAATATCTGGAGGGTTCACGATGACTTGAACAACTGTGGAGATTATATTGTGAGACTTGTGCGTTATATTGATCTTTGCACCAACCCGATCATCGATGGTCCAGCTGATTCAGAGGAGTATTTGAACGATCTGTGGAACCAAGAAATGCGTATGACGATGAGGCAACTTCTTGTTGGTGCTGAGTTCTTTGATCCTGCTGTTTTGGATAGGATACTAGAGATTCTGGGAACTCGGATCAGTGAGTGCTTGGACAAGACCTTGACAACTATTGGGAGACGATTGGAGTTCAGAAGAGTTCAAGAACTTCAATTGTTGTGATGCAGCAGTCATTCCTTTTCTCGACTGAGTTAAGCTTTTAGTTATCTTTCCTTTTCTCAAGTGTTTTCCTCTCTTTAGATAAACTGCAGTTTTCCTTTTCATATGTCGTTTTAGTCTTTAAATAGAGTTGATGTCTCGACTTGTGAGAACACAATTCATCTTATTATCAAACAAAGAAGCAACGCCTGTGTACAAGTAAATGTTTTCTTTGCTTAGGATACAAGTAAGCAACGCCTGTGTACAAACGTTACCCAAAGAAAGGTTTCAAAACAAAACATGAAGGTTTTGCTTCTATATTCTTAAGAAGACTCCTCCTTTTCTCCGTTTTCCCATCATCTTCGTCTTCGACCAGAGACTGTCTTTTTCACAGCCCCAACAGAGACTAAGAACTGATCAAGAGAAGAGAGAGTCCTCATATCATCCGGAGGGAAATAGCTCGCTGCTTTACCCATTAGCGAAGTGAAGAGAAGAGAGAGCGAAGGACGCGTTGCATATCTTTCCCCTAGAAGATCATCAAGGAAGCCAAACGCAGCTAGAAACTCTGACTTTCCTGCGTTTATGGGAGCTTCGAAATGAGCTGGGATTATCCTTCTGAATCTCCAGTCACGGACTATCTCATCGATCCAATCCCTCACCTGAACTCCCATCATTGATCAAATCAAAACAAACCAAAAAAACTATTTGAAAAAAGTTAATGATGCAGAAATAAGGAACCTTCTCAGGGACTTTGCTAAAGACCAATGTTTTTACAATGGGAGAAACGATCAGCTTCTGAGACATTTTCGCGAAGCTTGCGTTTGGTTCCAAGAGATTAGAAGGACCTAGAAACAGAATTTGCAGAACCATTCTTTCCCATCCTGCAAGTTTCAGAGCAAACAGAGGCCATTGTGGTCTAAACATCTCTTGTTTGATTTGAAAACATTTGAAAACAGAGGAATTTGATGTCAAGAACTTCTTCTGACCTTTTTGGCGGGTGTTTGGGTTATCAACCACAGGGTCATTGGGAACTTGTTTTCCTTTGCTGAGTATCTTCACAGCCAGTCCGTTCTTAGCAGAGGCCAACAAGGAATCACTGCTGATACTCGAGGGAGGTTTCCGTGGAACGAAGATCACAGCATCAGTGACCAAAAGTGTTCTTGACCGCTTGTGGTAGAAGGCTACTTCCACATAGGGACCAATCCCAACTTCTGGAGAGCTTAGGACTTTCTGCTCGATCTCATCAGCCCATGGCGTAGATAAGTCTCCGTCTTTGATGATTTTAGCGCGGAAGATACCGAAAAACTCGAGTGGTAAGTTCAATGGCCAGCTCCATTGTCTTGGCGCCACCCACACTTGAGCCTTTGGGAACTTTCTTGAAAACGGACCCACAAAGATCTTGTGCTCATATGCAAACGTTGGCAGGACTATGTACTCAACCGGAGCTCCCAACTCCTTAATCAGCTGCCACAAACAACAAAACCGAAATGTCAAAGAAAGTAGAGAAATTGCTACAAAGTATGACACTTTAGCATTTCAACAGTTCTCTGGACACAGTAATCATAAAGAAGAAACAGAGTTTGGGGGTTCCTCAAATGAATAGTAGAGAAGTAACTGCAAAGTATGACACTTTAGCATTTCAACAGTTCTCTGGAGACAGTAATCATAAAGAAGAAACAGAGTGGAACCTGAACACACTCTTTGGTGGGAGCAATAGGAGCGTGAACCCATAAACCACCAGATTTTAGTTTGATGACAGTCATTCGTATATTCGTCGACACACTGCTAAATCCTAAAGCTTGTTCTTGTTCAAACATCCATATGCAACCTTTAACCGCCTGCAAACATACAAAGGTTCAAACTTTTGTCAAATTTTAAGAGGGATTTGGGCACAATTGACTTCTGATTCTGAAATTGAAGGTGATTTATGAAGGTACTCTAATGAAATCTCAATGAACGCAAATAAGAAACCCAGAGAGATGGAGAAAACGTGACCTCGGTTCGGATGGTGCGCCGGTTAAGGAAAGGGCCAAGAGGAAATGGGAATCCAGTGAAGTTGATATAAAAGCGTTTGCTTCGATCTCCGTCCACGTCATCTGCAACGACGGTCTTGCTCGTCGAAGAAGCAGAAACCGTAACCGGACCTTTGATTTCCCGGTTTATGGAGATGGGTCGAGCAAACTTCAATGAACCACCGAGAAAGTTGGTGTTTTGATCCAGTTGAAGACTGGGCTTCGGAAGAAACGAAGAATGGTTCGGGAGATGAACGGCCATGGCCGCTGCCGCCATTTTCTTCTTGGCTTCTCGGTTTGATGCTTTTTTCTTTTTTGTTCAGCTGAAATGGAATGAGAAGCTGATGTTTTGACACGTGGATGGGTCTAGTGGATATTTCTTCCTACGTGGATTTTACAACAGAGGAAGAAGAAATTGTGTGGCTATAAAAAAACGGAAATTTGAAGATACTCCTATGATTTAGCTTAACTGGTACTAACGTCATCGCCAGTGCCTGAAATTCCAGGTTTTTTTCTTTGTTTTCACTTATTTTTTCTTTGCTTTCAGTTACATGACAATTCCACAATGTAAAAGGCTCCTGATAATTTGTTTCTTTTCGTTTGCCATATTGGACTCGGTTTGTTTCACTGTAAAAAGAAAATAACAAAGGAGATTTAAATAAGGATTGGTAGTCAGCAAAACGGCGTCGCACTCAACGGATTACACGTCGTCACTATTCAACGGATTACACGTCGTCACTATTGGTTTTTGTGGCGATGGTTACGACGCGCTATGAATTGCGCGTGGGAGTATCAATCTATTATAGATCACGAAACAAATGCAGCTTCTTATCTGTGACGAGGCATAACGACGACCCAAATTATGAATTTCGGCCAAAAAGGTAAGAAAAATGTGACAAGAACAGAGCAATTACATAAAATCACTAGAAAAATAGTAAAAAATATACACCAGCAAGCAAATACTACTAAATTAATTGCCATAATTACATAAAACGCGTAATGTACTGTTCGCCAGCTTCGAGGTTTAAATATAAAGTAATAAAATTCGAATGTTAGTCGAAGAAACTACGGATCTTGAGAGATCTTTTCCCCGAAAAAGAGAAATTTGTGTCAGATTTCAAGGTTTGACCTGGAAATTATAAAATAAAACCTACTCATTATAACTCCCATTCCTCAAAAATCTGCTTAGTTCTAGAGAAGACAAAGAGTCATAAAGCAGTGAGCTTTTTTTCTTCTTAAGAGTATTGTAACCGATGGCGAGAATTGCGTTGATGGCTGCGGCGGTTGTGCTGGCTTTCCTGACGGTGGCGCCGGTGATGGAAGTGGCAGCGAAGAAATGGACGGTTGGAGATAACAAGTTCTGGAATCCCAATGTCAATTACACCATTTGGGCTCAGGACAAACATTTCTACCTCGACGATTGGCTCTGTATATTCTCTCTCTCTCTCTCGACATTTGTTCTTAATCTTATCAGTCACACTCTTGATTAGATGCTTTTAGATCTCATGTCAAAATGGGTTTCGCTTTATCCAACCCAATCATTCATAGCCATAGTCTTGTCTGAAAACGACCACTAGATACTTAGTATTTGTTAAAGTTTTAATTTTGAAACCAATCATTTCACATTTTTAACTCCTTGGTGTCCCTGGTTTGGTATCCTGATTTGTGTTTTTGACAGATTTTGTGTACGAGAGAAACCAATACAACGTGATAGAAGTGAACGAGACGAACTACGTAAGCTGCAATGCCGAGAACCCGATCGCTAATTGGAGTCGTGGAGCTGGAAGGGACTTGGTTCATCTCAATGTCACCAAACGTTACTATCTGATCAGCGGAAGTGGTGGTGGTTGTTTCGGCGGCATGAAGCTCTCTGTTTTAGTTGAGAAAGCGCCTCTCGCACCAGCTGAAGCACCTGCCAACAACAGTGCAACAAGAGCCTTTCCCGTCTATGGTTTTTTTATTCCGGTGGCTGTTTTGGCAGCAATCGGGACAATTCTTAATTTCTTTTGATGGGAAATTATCGGCTAAATATGATTCGGTTTTAGATTCTTGGCAAAGTGAAGCTTTTGGTGTTATTTTTTTTTCTTTTTTTTTATGTTGGATTCTTGGATCTCTAGTCATTTGTTCTCTGGATGTGTGTGTGTGCCTTGCGAGACTTGTAGTGGGGCAAATCAATTGTTGAAAAAGATTTAGTGTAATTTGGTAATATTGAGAAAATCTTCCAAACTTTATTGGGCCTATATTGTGGGCTTTGATTTGGAGCCATAAATGGGTTGTTGTCATTGCTAACAAGTATTGTTCGTGATGGACAGCAACAACGAGGCGAGTTCAAAACGCCGTCTCTTATGTTTGTCATTTGTGTTTTAACTGATCACTTGCCGTTTCTTAGTGAAGAACAAACTCTTGCTCCGATCCAATCATGGCAACGGGATGTGTGATGATTAACGATTAAGTCATTAGTTACTTACTTGTTGACTTCTTGTCCACATTTCATTTCATTGTATTCTTACCATAGCCAAACTAATTAACAATGTCCCGATTCGTCTTTGGGCAGCTTTTGAACTAGTTATGAATGTATCATTAATTATGGTTCAGTCATCAGTGTCAAGTGTCAACCATAAGCCAAGCAGCTCCCACAGTCTCATTCACATAACCAGATTCTCCACACATCACAAATCATGTGAAAATCACCACTTTAATCGGATTGAGCGATCATCCAAATATAGTACTATATAGGTCCATACAATTCAACAACACCAAAGGCAGTTCTTTCTTTTAACTTTTTTCTCTCTCTATTTTTTGGCTAAGAATGTAAATATTCATTATAAAATGAAATGTTTAGGTGCTACAAATTGTATATGCTTGACCTATCTTAAATGGTCACATGTCAAAAAGTATCAAAGTATAACCAATCGAACAAAGACAATTCTTATTTCTTACTATGAGAGTATAATTATATATATTACATATACAAGTAAGACGCTACCTTTCTAATATTGCATAAAGCTATAATTAGACTTACAAAACCCTTTGATTTACAGAAATAGAAATGGATTATTACTTAGTCTAACAACTGTACACCAATATAATTCTTCCTCTCACGTTCATTATGAATAAAGAAATTCATGTATGATCAAACTATTATAGTGTCCAAAACTAAAATATCACGAACACGCTTAAACCTTGTTTAGCTAGGGTTTAATCTAATCATCTAACTCAAACAGTGGACACCATGATTAGTCTCATATGCCTATCAAAACCCTAGATCTTTTATTTAAAGTATAATATCGTCAATAACCAGGAAACAATTATATTAAACAAACAAAAAGAGACAACCAACGAGTACTATTTTAGTTTATTGAGTTCAACTAAAGCTGGCAGATTAATTTATATCACTAGTTCATCACATCGAAAATGACGTGATTGTAAATTAATTTGACCACGAGACAATTGAAGATGTTTAATTTTAGTTCAAACTCTTAAAAGAAATCCCCTATCAGTTTTAAAATGATTGTTCATGTGTGGTTTTCGGATTTTGGACTATGTAAAGAGCCTAAAAATAACGAATTAACTGTTAAATAATAGCTTGACCCTTATCCTAAAGTCAACCACACGTCACTACAAAACAAACAGCTCTTCAAGGTTTTTTTTGGTCATACGATTTTTGTTCACCATGTTTCTTCTTACACACTATGTATCAAGTTACAGAAAAATTATAGCACTATTTTAAAAACTACTTTGTTTTTTAATGATGTATTCATTCGATCGGCTCTATACGTATTCTTTTTTTGGTCGTGACAATTCTTTTTGACCCTTCTCGAGTTTTACTCATCGTCTTTAGTCATTGAATCCCGTAATACCCTGTATATTCTGTAGGCCTGGGCAAATTATCCGCTATATCCGATTCGATCCGTTATCCGCTTCGATTCGATCCGAAAAATCCGGATAACCGTAACGATACAAATCAAAGCAAATACTAAAATTCAATATCCGTTAAAAACGGAGCAAATAGCAAATATTGTTTCTGAAAAACCGAATATCCGATCCGATCCGTATATTATAAAAATTACATATATATACATATATACTAAGAAATTTGTTCATTTTGTCTTTAGAAACATACAAATCAACAAAAGTATTGTTTTCACAAATATAATCCATTCATTTATATAGTAAAAAGGTTTAATAACGTAGCAATAGCTTACTTAAAACTTTAAAATTATTTTTGCAGTATGTTTATTGTTAACGATGATGTGTTTAGTGGTACCTTTATGATTAATTAATTTACGTTTTTAGAACTTATTTTTAAAGGCATATTATAAATTATGAAACAATAATATATTTAGGGATGTTTCTATCTAATTTTCAATTATTTATAATTAATATATTTTTTTTGTTTTTTTAAATATATTTTACGGATCGGATCGGATATCCGCGGATATTTTAATTTTTGACGGATATCCGGAAATTTTCGGATCGGAGCGGATCGCAAAATCAACTATCCGGATCACACGGAGCGGATCACGGATCATATTTTCCGGATATCCGCTCCGTGCCCAGGCCTAATATTCTGTGAAACATTTGTTAGTTTCTCTTTGTTTTTGGGTCGGTTTGAATGTTTAATCTAATTTAGATTTTTTTTTAATTTACTTGATCGTTTCCTTTTTTGTTGCGTCTATAAAATGACACTAAAATTAAAATCCTGATTATCATCAAAGCATGTTGTTAATGAGGTATCAATGGGCTGTCACTTGGGTGTCAATCAAAAATTAAATAATGATACTAATTGCAAAAAAAATGTCAATTAAGTAGTTTATGTTGATTCCCTTAATTACTCTTAACACTCTCAAGAACATGCAACGCAGACACTAGTTCTGTTTTGTTTCAACAAGCCCAAAAATATAATTTAAGAAAACTCAAATCGTTGCACGAATATTCCCAAAATTACGTTATTATTCATTATGCCTTTTAATATTTTAGAGATTAGATTAGAATCATTAGATAGAGAGTCGTTTGACAGTTTTCAGCTTCATTTAGGTTCAGTTTGGGCGACAATAGAAAAATACTTGTAATGATTCGAGCGGTATAAAGTATAGTATCAATTAATGGACCAAAGTCGTGGGACAATATTGATATTATGATTTCGGGCTTGTTGAAACAAAACAATTAGCCAATAATCAATTTTATGATTTCGCAATCAAATGGATCCCTTTAAGGACTTTTCTATTAAAAAACTCCAATCTTAGTGGATATATCTATTAATCATACACAAATCTCTCGTACAAATCAAGTATTATAATACGTTTTCGTGTATATTTATAATTCTGTGAAGATTTGTGTTCAAAATTACTTCTTTTTATAGTTTCTGTAAAACACGAATGCACAACAGCAAAAACCCAAATAAAAATGACAAGGCATTAGAAGTATACTATTTAAATGTTTTTGAACTCATTATATATCAAAAAATCTAAAACAAAAAGTTAAGCTCTTTTTTTTTTTTATAAATAAAATTGCATAATAGTTCTTTTATGTGGCTCCTGTAATTGAGATTATGATCGACGTGACATAAATCATATGCAAGTTGGTCCTTTGTGTTTGTTTATGCAGGAATAAGCGTTTTTTTTTGTTATATTATAAGGTGAATGCTCTTATTGGCTATTTTACTTGTCACATTTAATTCCCACCTGTAAAATTATTGACATTTACTTAGTAAACAAAACAAAAATTCATACATACAAGTATACAACCTTTTTATAAGAAAATAAACAGATAACAATTAACATATTTTCTGTGAAACAATATGTGAAAAAAGTGGACTCGTATTTTAAAGAGAGCATACTTGAAGAAAACTGAAAACACATCGATAAATAATTTGTCGCAGTTGTCAAAGATTCGTAACATTGTGTCTAATTATGAAGTAATGGTTGTTTGAAATACTTACACTTACAGTGTTACCCAAATTTGTGATTAGCTTTGCATAGACTATCGAGCCACAAATGACCAATTGTTTAATGTTTGTTAGTGAATATTGGACTATATATATATATGTTCGTTTAACCTGAAAAGTGTATTTTGTCGCTATTTGGAGTGTGGGTCGAGTGGCTGCCTCGCAGTGCCGGTCTTGTGAGGCAAACTTCGGAAAAAAAAACAACACAAACCTCTATGATCATTATTTGACCGACACAATTTTCTTATGCTGATGAGATCCGACATGAAGTTATTGATATTCGATTATTGTATTTAGTTATCTTCAGATGCCAATTGTTTAATCAAGTATTAATTATCCTTAACTCAACTAGTTAACTTTCCAACTTTAAAGCAAGAAAAAGTCTAGTAAAGATCCTAATGTTTGTTGACTCATAAAACTTTACCATATCATAAGTATAAATAGCATGTTGACAAAAGAAAAAAGTACAGATCGCATTTAAGATGACTTTTACAAGTTAAACACCATCAATTTGGTTATCCGATCAACTTTAAAAACAAAAATATGCTAGTTGCATTATTTTTCAATAGTAGTAATTAACAACAACAAAAAAAAAACTTGAATATGAAATTCAGAACAGAGAGATTGGACCACAATAAATTTAGTAATTATTAATATAAATTAAAGAAATTCCATCTTTAGCCCGCAGACTTTTGAACACCAATGTCAAGACTGCACGAAACCGATCTAGAAAATCAGACATTGAAACAGAAGACTCTTGTCTCTTTGTTTCTCTCTATATATATTCATAAACACAGCACAGTAAATATCAATATCTAGAGAGAGATCTACAAAGATTTGACATATAGTTGTAAATTTTATCTTACACAAAAATAAATTGATGGCGGTGGAAGACGATGTAACTTCGATGAGGACGACGACGTTAGTGGCTCCAACAAGACCTACGATTACACTTCCTCAGAGACCACCTGCGATCGAAACGGCGGCGTACTTCTTCGGCAGTGGGGATGTTCTTAATCTTAGCCCAGGCCCACTTTCTTTTGTCTCGTCTTTGTTCGTTGATAACTTCCCTGACGTCTTGACGCCAGATAATCAAAGGACGACGTCATTTTCTCAGCTTCTCGCCGGAGCTATGTCGGTATCTCCCGGCGGCGTCGGAGGACGCTCTACGGCGGGTATGTTCGCCGGAGGTGGTCCGATGTTTACAATCCCTTCTGGTATCAGCCCTTCTAGTCTTCTCACCTCTCCCATGTTCTTTCCTCCTCAGGTAATTAATTCTTTATTATCCTTAATTAATTAATAATTAAAAGCTAACTTAACCTATTTTTTCTTCTTAAAAGTTGCAACTTTAATAAAACTTTTAAGAACAAACCCGCAAAAGGGGAAAAAGAAAAGAAAAAGGTCATAACAAAAATGTACTATATACATGATGCACATATAGTTAGTTCTTACTTTGTTTTTCATTTTTCAATTTGCAACTCAGATACTATCGAACTTATAATCACGCAGTGACAACAGTAATACAAATCAACAATTTTAGTAACTACAAGCCGGTTTTGGGCATTCACATTGTTCTTGTGGTAAAACATTGTTAATAATATAAAAGCGACATTGTTTCATATAGTTTCGTACACTACAAGAAAATATTAGAATTTCCAAGAAAAAGTTTTGACCTAGTATGGCATCTACTAATGCAGCAATCACCAGCTCAGACCAGCTTTGTTCAACCGCAACGACCGGACACATTTCCTCACCATATGCCGCCATCGACATCCACCGCCGTCCATGGCCGTCAATCTTTCCAAGTTTCGCAAGCCGATCAAAGAGCTAGAAACCATTATAATAATCCGGGGAATCATAACCGGTCGTATAATGTGGTGAACGTTGATAAACCGGCGGATGACGGTTATAACTGGAGGAAGTACGGACAAAAGCCGATCAAAGGGTGTGAATACCCGAGGAGTTATTACAAATGCACGCATGTTAATTGTCCGGTTAAGAAGAAAGTTGAACGGTCGTCGGATGGACAGATCACTCAGATAATTTACAAAGGTCAACATGATCACGAAAGGCCTCAGAACCGCCGCGGTGGTGGTGGAGGCAGAGATTCCGGCGACATTGGTGATGTTCATTACGTTGGTGGTGCAGGGCATATGATGGAATCTAGTGATGATAGTGGTTATGGTAAGGATCATGATGATGACGATGATGATGAAGATCTTCCGGCTTCAAAGATGAGGTATATATATATATATTGTAAAAGTTTAACTAATTTAGAAAGAGCATACTGTGTATACATAGTATGTTCAAGACATTTTGCATGTATATATACAAAGAAAAGAATATGAAATCTAATTACTTCATTCATATTGGGATTGTAGAAGAATCGATGGTGTGTCGACGACTCACCGGACAGTGACCGAGCCAAAGATTATCGTTCAGACAAGAAGTGAAGTCGATCTTCTCGACGATGGCTATAGGTGGCGCAAGTACGGACAAAAAGTTGTCAAAGGAAATCCTCATCCGAGGTATAATAAACAACTTAACTAATTTCATATTTTGTGTTGTGCTTGTGTTCATATAGTTTCGTAATATTGACTCTATATGTAGAAATAATTTGACTATTATATACTATTTCTCATTCGTTTTGGTTCTTCTTTTTTTTTAATAGGAGCTACTATAAATGTACAACGGCAAATTGTACGGTTCGAAAACATGTAGAGAGAGCTTCAACAGATGCTAAGGCTGTGATTACGACTTACGAAGGTAAACACAATCACGACGTCCCGGCCGCTAGAAACGGTAACGCTGCCGCAACCGCAGCTGCAGCGGGGACGTCGGACCACCATCGTATGAGACCAATGTCGGGGAACAATATGCAACAACATATGAGCTTCGGTAATAACAATAACAATACAGGCCAATCTCCGGTTCTTTTGAGATTGAAAGAAGAGAAAATCACTACTAATTAACCTTAAACCGAGGATGTGGAGATTGATTTAGCCGCTCGGTGATTGAATTGATACTGAACCGGGCTACTACTTATTGACTTGTAACATGTGTGACGTGAAATGAGTGCATGCTTTCATAGTATCATTTGTGATGTGAATTGAGTGCATGCTTTTGACTAACGAAAAGAAAGTAAATCAAAACCCCCTAATAGGTTTTGGTTTTTTTTTTTTCTTCTTAAACTGTTAATTTTTTTTTGTATTTAATTGTTGATTAAAAATATGAATGTGACATACAGATTTTTTTTGCCTTCAAAAATATAGTAACTGTGCTTTTTTCCCCGCAATGTATAAGGTAAATCTATTTTAAATTACAAAGAAAAAAGATAAAAGGGATTTGTTTTTCTTGTCGCTTTCTCTTCCAAAAATTAAGGAGGATTGTCTAATTATCCGTAATTATCTCTCTCTCGATTCGGTTCTCTCTATTTTACATTAAAAACTATTTCCTTAATTTTTTGTTTTTTTTTCCTTTATTTTCGTTTCCTTATGGTCTAATGCGGGGATTGTCCTCCCTGCGTTGGACCCGTTTACCCGACCCGGGTCGATACTCACGCCGCCCGGAAACTCTCCCCTGAATATCAATTTCTTTATGGGTTGCTTAAACTCCAAGCATTCTTCTCCGGCGGGTCCTCCACGCCCTCTCCGCCGCCGTTCAGATACCGCTGTCCACCGAAGTCATCCCCAAAATAACCATAACCGTCATGTTCTTCCCAGTCCGCCATCTCACCGCCGTGTCGTCAACTCATCTCCGACAAAACATCGCAATAGTGATAATGAAGCTCCAAAATCGAGGACGACCGGTGTTAGCTTGAGATCGGGCTTGTCGCACGGCAATGTAGAGGCTGAGCAGGTGGCGGCTGGTTGGCCCTCTTGGCTCAGCTCCGCCGCACCGGAGGCCGTTCATGGGTGGGTCCCATTACGCGCCGAGGACTTCGAGAAAAGAGAGAAGGTAAAAGAATCCTAAATCCCTAAACCTTATTATAACCTTGAGATCATTTTACATTTCTTGCGAGACAAGAAACAACCCTATCGATGAACTCAACAATTAGTTTTTAATGTTAGATCGGGCAAGGGACGTACAGCAACGTGTTCCGGGCTTGTGAGGTATCGACGGGACGAGTTATGGCTCTAAAGAAGATACGGGTCCAAAATTTCGAAACTGAAAACATAAGATTCATTGCGAGAGAAATCATGATTTTGAGAAGATTAGATCATCCCAACATCATGAAACTCGAAGGGATCATCGCTTCACGGAATTCAAACAGCATGTACTTTGTCTTTGATTACATGGAACACGATCTCGAAGGTCTATGTTCATCTCCCGACATCAAATTCACCGAGGCACAGGCAAGAAATAAATGCACCACACAAAACCCTAACATCTCCTGTAAATAACTCTGTTGTTTCCTCCTTTCTGATAACCCTAACTATTTTTGTTTTCAGATAAAATGCTACATGAAGCAGCTTCTATGGGGAGTAGAACATTGTCATCTACGAGGGATCATGCACAGAGACATTAAAGCCGCAAATATTCTGGTGAATAACAAAGGAGTTTTAAAGCTAGCTGATTTCGGATTAGCCAACATTGTAACACCAAGAAACAAGAATCAGTTAACGAGTCGGGTTGTGACGCTATGGTACCGTGCACCGGAACTTCTTATGGGCTCTACGAGTTATAGCGTATCCGTTGATCTTTGGAGTGTTGGATGTGTTTTCGCCGAGATTCTTACCGGAAGTCCACTTCTTAAAGGAAGAACAGAGGTGAGATTAAAGGGAACAAAACAACTAAACCGATAGCTCGAAAAAAAGACTCATATTTCAGATAGAGATTCATTTGTGTGTGTGTTTGTTCTCTGTAGATTGAACAACTTCACAAGATCTATAAACTCTCTGGATCACCAGCTGAAGAATTTTGGGAAAAGAACAAGCTTCATCCTCAAACTAAGATGTTTAGACCACAACATCAATATGAAGGTTGTCTGAGAGAAAGATTTGAGGAGTTTCCCAAAACAGCAGTTCATCTTCTGGAGAATCTATTGTCTATTGATCCAGAGAAACGAGGAACAGCCTCCTCTGCTCTCATGTCAGAGGTGGAGAAAAAAAAAAACGTAAAACTTATCCAAAATCAAACTATATTTTAATCCCAAACTCTTCTCTTTGGTTTTGCTGTTATTTCAGTACTTTAACACAAAGCCTTACGCTTGTGATCCATCGACGTTACCTAAGTACCCTCCTAACAAAGAAATGGATGCTAAGTACCGTGAAGAACTTCAACGAAGGTATCTCAATCAATTGAGTTTCACAAGCTCTTTAGATATATGTGTCTACGTAATAACGTGTGTTGAGAGAATAAAGTATATGTTTTGCAGGAGAAGAGTTAGTATACAGAAAAGAGATAACTTGGCACCCAAGAAAACGGGTAAATCACGTAGAACAGTCAAAGAGCCAACGCACCATAGCAAATTACCAACCCAACAGGTATAGAAGAAGTTTCTTTTGGATTTAAACCGGAAATAAACCGGTGAAATTCCCGTTCGTTATTGAAAATTTGGTTAATTGTTTTTTTTGCAGGAAACGAAGAAGGAAAGCGGGACAGAGATCAATGTACAGACGCCATCGGAGACATCCCAAGCGATGACGACCAGAAGCGAGTTTCCGTACGCCGGTTTATCTCAAACAACGGCGCCGGCGAGCGGGTTTGCATGGGCCGGGACGAAGAAGAGGAAAGAGAACGACGCAGCTTCAACGCTGACTTATAACCAACCCGCGGGATCTGCGAGCCACGTCAGTGGTATGAGCATGGCTTTCGCTAAGAACACTTTCGGGTTAACGATAAATGAAGACAGACCGAGCTATCTTAAGCCGCACGTTTCTCTAGACTCCTCTGATGTGTTGTTGTTTTCTGGCTTGCATCACAAGAAATCTGATGGAGATACGGTTAGTCAATTGCATTATTCCTAGATTCGATTCTGCTTTAGTTTTCAGGATTCGTCGCGTTAATTTGATTGTAATATGTTATATATGTTAGGATTTGACGAATATTGGGGCGAATCCGAAGATATTTCAAACAAATGGGATGAATGAGATATTACGGAGAACAGAAAGTGATGCCAGAGTCGGTGTTCGAAGACCGCCACGAATAGAAAGAGGTTAAAAACGGGATAAACTGAATTACTATAACAAGTTTTAGCCAAGGACATATGTTTTCACTTGGCATCATTTGTAGTCCATTAATTTTTTTTTAAAAATTGTTACAAAAACAACCAAGTCGGTCTGAAAAGCTTCAATTTCAGGTTTTCGAAATGTTATTTTTGTTTATATCTTACGAATTAATCTCCTTGTAGGTTTGCGAGATTTTTATCACACTTTTACATGCGTGTGTTTTTTAGAAATGTTTCTAATGTGACATTTAATTTGTTAACATAACCAATTTAATGTTGGTAGGGAGTATATAAAAAGATATATACTATCCCACACGTATAGATATAGTTAGACTGACATTCCTTGACCACGGAAGTTTCATATATTGTAGAACAAGTTTATATACATAAAAAAATGATAGATGGTTGGAAACAAAACCAAATCTACTTGATTCTCTGGTCCAAACCGAACCAAATGTTATCCTGAAACCGAGAAACATTCTTCTTCGTTAACTATGAAACCGAGGCGCACCGAAGACACAAGGTTGTAGGACCAGTTTTGTAGTGCTTAGCTAAGTACAGTGAAAGAATGATTTTGATCTGGTTAACTTTAATTGATTTTCCTTTGTTTTCCGAGTCACAATATCTTTCTGCTTACCTTATTTATTTATAGAATCAATATGAAGTTGCTAAACAAAACAAACAAACGAAAAAAATCAAATCTTGGCGGCATAATGCACTACAAGTTATGTACAAAAGTTGCTTGGTCTATTTTTTTTTTTACTCGAGTCGCTCGGTCTTTCGTTTAAGTTAAAAGAAAAGAAAAAAAGAGATGAAATTTAGAAGAAATAGAAAACTAAAGAAAGAAACAGTTCACTTTTCATTTCTTTCTGATAAGTTCTTAGTCAAAGAAGGAGAAGAAGCAATGGGGATTATTGTGGAAGAGGTCCGGTTTGATAGTTCAGAGGACTCGCAGCTGAGCAAGAAAGGCAGCACAGAGATCCAAGAACAAGAACTGAGGACCTTGTACCCTCTGCAGATCCAGCAGATACTTGTCGTCCCGAGTTTTATACAACTGTTGCATACATCAACAACAAACAAACATCAGAAACAAAGGTGATATGAATGAATCTGTGCTTATCAATCTCAATCAGCAAGTTGGGGCAAGGAGGATTCTAACCTGAATTTCGAACTTGATAACATCAGGCGACTTAGCAGCTGCGTCGTTCTCTATGATGCTGGAATCATCTCCAAAGTAGCTGTTGTCGTGCATGGAGTTACTGAGCATTAATCCATCTGCATTGTTAGGAACCCATCTGCACTTCATGTTGTAGTGCCCTATCTTCTTCCAGCACACATTCAAATCTTGCAGAGCTTTCAGGACTTCTGTCATTATTTCACGGGGATGAGCCCTAGACTGTTTGGATGGATCCCAGTGGTTGTATTATCAATCAAAACTAAACAGATATAAATCACAAAAGCTTGGCTTTTAAGTTTAGATTCATACCTGAAGTCCAAGAGCCCATTTTCTCTCAACAGGGTATTGAGATCTCAACCCAACTCCTTGATACTCCATCAGTCCTGGAAGCCGATGGCTAACGGGTGAAGCTACGCTCTCTGCTGGATGCATACGCGGAGTACCTTCCTGATTCATGTTAAACATTCAATGATTACTTCAGAGATCTTTAGCTACAGACAGAAAGGACAATGAAGACACACCATGGTCTCCTGAAACTCGGCCCCGAGGTAACCACTAGAGGCACGGAACCGGTTGTCCAGTATCAGATAGTACGTCACAGTCCCCTGGAAGACAGCAATCAACAATTCAGCATTGGAAAGATTTACCATTGAATAAAAAGTAACTAGAAAATGGACAAGAAGCCGAGAGAAGCAGATACATCATTCTGTGTCCGGTTGCGGAGAGATTCAATGAGCAGATTTCTGTCAAATCCCATATTGATAACTTCTAGGAGAATCTCCTCGTCAATCTACAAACGAAGCCAAGCGCTTTTAAGCCTTCTTGCAAAAGGGGAATAGAGACCATCTCTAATGAAAATAAGAGCAGATACGTTAGATTTACCTTTTTCGCCTGCTGCACCGTATCTGGAGGAGGGACAGCTAAATATCTTGGAAGATGAGCTTGGAACCAAGGGTGTTGCCGGATCTCAGGAATGGTTACTCGTTTCATGGGGTCGACCACGAGCATCCGGGGGATCAAATCTCTAGCGCCAGAAGACAAATGGCTTGGCAGAGTATATATCCCTCCCTAAAGGACAAAAAGAGAAAAAATGTAACTCCAAAAACCCAAATTTAAGCATTACTTCAAAGAACAAAAAGGTCAACTATAAGAACATCCTGTGAAGTACCTTTATCTTCTTAAAAAGGTTGGGAATGTTCTCATCATCAAAGGGAAGAGTCCCACAGAGAAGAGCGTAGAGTATCACACCACAGCTCCAGACGTCTACTTCAGGCCCAGCATATAATTTCCCCGAAATTACCTGAAACAATTTACAAATCTCGATACTAACTGATCATTTGAAACAAGCCCTACTTATACATGAAACTGAAAGTTGAAGAACTTACCTCCGGAGCAGCATAATTTGGACTTCCACAACTTGTCTTCAGAAAATGACCATCTCGCATTATATTGCTCAGGCCAAAATCCGCAATCTTTACATTGCATTTGGAGTCCAAAAGCAAGTTTTCAGGCTTAAGGTCTCGATGAACAACCATATTCCTGTGGCAATATTCCACTCCCGAGATTATCTGCACCAAAGCCAAGTTATATATAATTTTTTAACACTCAATGGTTGCTTAGAAATTACATGTTGATAAGAGGAAACAAACCTGCTGGAAAAAGTTCCTCGCTTCGTCCTCCTGCAATCTACCCTTCTCTACAATATAGTCAAATAGTTCCCCAGAATTCACATACTCCATGACAAGATAAATATCTGTCGGAGTCTCTATAACCTCATAGAGACGGATGATGTGAGGATGCATAAACAGTCTCAGGATTTTGATCTCTCTCCTCACTACATCAAAGAAGAAAACAGAAACAAACACCAAATGATTTCAACAATATTCCACAGCATCGTAGTCGTGTGCGGGGAGATACACAGAATTGTACCTTTCTCTTCCATCTCCATGTTCTTGATTTTACGGCGATTGAGGATCTTGATTGCAACTTTATGTCCTGTCAATGCGTGCTCAGCTATCTTCACCCTACCAAAGGAACCAATGCCAAGAGTTCTACCGAGCTTGTAATTCGGTAGAATCGATTCCACGCCACCTCTACTACCTGATGCATCCATTTTCTACACAAAGATGAAACCACACCAAAAATAAGCCAAAGCCCAAAAGAGTTATATTAGATCTACTAAACAAGGCACCAAACAAACAGCAAAGAGTATTATAAACAGAAGCAAGTAATGTTCACTATATGAAGATACTGTGATCGATCGGTTGCATTCAGGTTAATATTGGATACTAAATTTCACTCGTTTACTCGTCTGAACATGAGACTTCTAGCGAGAATAGGAACATCATCTTGAGTTAAAACAAAAATTCAGTAGGTGATCCAATAAACCTAATTTCTCTTCAATCCGAACTTTGCCATTTTCACATTTCACCACTCATTTTCTTCGTTTTTTTAAACTAGAAGACAAGCAATTGAAAATACAAACAAGTGAGAGCAACGTGCATGACGGATTACCAACACTAACGGAGCTTCAAATAGCAATTTTCAACTATCCCTAATTCGGAATAAGAACCCTAACAATCAAATCGCCGGATTTCTAGAAATAGATCTCTGGTACCCGATAGAGAAGCTACGATTTAAAAGAAGAATCATAAACACCCGATTTGCGAAATTAACATGAAAAAGCGATAATTTGTTTCCGAAATTGGAAGATTGAGATGTCGAGCTTGCCAAAATTAAGAGACAGAGAATTCGCAATCAGAAATGCAGTAAGAAGACAAAATCCCAAAATTTCTGAGCTAAAAGTACCAGAAAAGCGTGATTGAGCTTCGGAATTGAAGATCCAGATCAGCTTAAACCCAGAAATTGAGAGATTCTCTCCCCTCTCGTCGCTCTCTCGTTGCTTGTAGCCTATAGGCGCAACAAAGAAAATATTTGATTTTTCTTTTGTTTCCATAAACGGGTTAATTTTAAGCTAAATTGCCCTCAGAGTTACACTTAATTACGATGAATGCCCATATGCGGACGTGGCAAAGAGTCATCAGCTTTCATCTTTTTTGCAAAATATTCTGTGTTTAGCAGAGACACTTGTGGTAATGATTAACTGTTACTAATTAATTTTCTAATAATTTACAGAGTTTCCGCTTTAGTGAAAGAAAACGAAATCTCTTCCTTTAAAATAATACGATCGCATAGCCAATGTCAAATGGTTTGAGCTTCTCGGAAAAACAAAATAATCAAGATGGAACATATGTATGATCTTCAGGCTTCCTCATACGTTTCCAAACACAATGACTCGGATTGATATGCAAACATATTTTAGTAGTAGAACCGAATCGAGTTTAGTGTCTTAGTTGAGTTTAATAATAGCCATTTTTCAGAGAGCTCGACGCAAAGATAAGAGATCTCTGGAACAAGTCGAGGACCATTTTATACATAATGCATATATTTAGCTTTCTCTAGGGGATAGAGTTACATTTTTCTCTAATCTGTCTTTGGAGAAACCGGTTATTATAAGAAAAACGAAACCCACACTAGTGGAAAGAGTAGAGCAAGTGCGGCTCCTGCAGCAGCGGTTAGAAACAGAAGAGCAATGTGTGGCATATTGAGGCCGCCACTTCCACGGGAGAGTCTCCGCGAGATGAGTTTGCACGACTTGTCAGCTTCTTTGTAAAGTGAACAATGGGCTCCTCCTCCAGTGATGGATGTTTCGTTCTACAAACATGGCATGGCAGGTCAGGTCAGGCCAGGGATGAAAATACAGTTATAGCTTAGAAAAGTAAAGAGATGCGATGATACCTTGAGCCTGAAGCTATTCAAAGTTCGATTGACAGTGAGAGCATGATAAGGTGATGATGATAATAATTCAGGGGAATGGTCCTTCCATTCGTCTCCAAGCTTTCTAAGAAGAGCAACGCTAGCTTCTAGATTCTCCTTATAGAGAATATCCCACTCCTTGAAGCAATCAACGTTTTCTGTCACACACCGGATAGCGATCGCTGCAGCTTCCTTGGCTAGACCAGGGTTTCCTGTAAGTAACAAGAGTAACAACACATTACAAGTCCATTTTTGGACAAGAGAGAGGGAAGCAGAAAACAAGTTAGGTTTCGTTTGTTACTAGCAGCACCTTCTTCTCCAGCCAACTTCAAGGAAAAAGTGAATATGTGTCCCACTGCGTTTCCTCCTGGTGCAAGGGCTACTTCTTTCAACAAGGGATAAACTGCCTCAAACCTCTTTGTTGACTGTGCGCAAAAAGACAGTGATCAGAAGCTACAAACAAACGCATCAAGGTTTTAATTTGTTTTATAAATCCCAATGCTACTAGTGCTTAGTTGCTTACCTTTACTCTAGCGGCTGGAGCAGGGAAGGTAAGCCGCACCAAGATCTCAAAGGAACAAGGTGGAATCAGCGACTCTCCCTCTCTAACAGCTCCGTTTACAAGTATGGTCCGAGCGTCTGGATTCGACAAAATGCTGATAAAAACAAACCAAGATGAGATGCTTGCTACATAGTAAAATATACAACAAGAATGAAGTTTGGACTCACATCTCAACAAATTGGAGGATGAGACCCATTGACTGACGACTGCAGCTCTTGTAACTACCGACTAGTGGTAACAAGACATGCGCCCAGGAATACAAGCCACCACATAAATCACCATGGGAGGCCTGAGCCAGAATCCAAACTATAAGCGGAAGCTTGTCCTGGCCTTGAGAGCTAGGTATCTCCCTCAGCATCGGCAAAAGAGGAGTCAAAGCATCAGGATTACAACGCAGTACCATGGCTAGTTCAACAAATACCGGTACCGCCTCCTAATCGTAAAAAAAGGTAGAGCGTAATGGAGTTAGACAAACTGAATACACCATTCAATCACACATGCATATATGCTAAAAAAATTACCTGCGATCCGACACGAGAGAAAGCGAGAAGTGGCCCACGTTACGAACTTGCCTTGTGCCGAAGTTGGAAGTCTGTTGATCCAATCGGCTGATGTTTGGTAGACAGAGCTAGGAATATGAGATAATGGAAACTGTTGATTAGTAAGCATCAGGTTCAATAAATAATTTTGATTCGAAAATCTCTCAAAAGCTCACATGGATCAGCTTCTTGGACAAAGGAGATATCTTCAACCATTGTAATGATACTTGGGAAAATGCCTTCTCGAGGTAAAAGTAATATCTCCATAAGGCCATATCCGGCAAATTCTGTTTACAGATTACAACAAAACTGAGAATTGATTTTGATTTGTGGGTTTATCGATAAACAAAGGAACTTCACTTGCCATGATTCCGGCGAGGAAAGCCGCAAGATGTGAGGGATCGATCTTTGCCGCGGCTTCGGAAAAAGACGCTAACGCCTCTTTAGCTTGCTCCGTCTTCGATTGTTCAACCACCAGTTCACCGAAGACGTTATAGCTGCCGTAAGCTAGGCTTTCTCTCGGAACAATCTTGCCGCCATCGGCTGCCGGATCAGCCGGTTTTTGCTTCGGATAGCGATTCGGGTTGCCGACTCTCTGCCATCCATCGTCGTCGCGGGAGTAACCAGTAGAGGTTTTAGTAGTGCTCGGATCCCCATACCTCTCCGCCTCCGGGTAAACGACTCCCTGAAAGCAGCGCTTCGCGTTTATGATTCTGTGCCATCCTTCGTCGTTGCGGTAATGAGAGAGGGAGAAACCAGAGGTTTTACAAGTGCTCAGGTCCATTAGGTTTTCAAACGATTCTCGCTTTTTTGCAAAATCTTCTGGTATTGATTAATTGTTACTAATAAACTTTCTAGATATAAACAACCGGTTGAGTATGTTCTAGCAAAAAAACCTTTACTAACTCTAACAAATACCGGAGTATAATACAAAAACCGGTTCATTCTCGGTTAACAAATGTACAAGACAACCGTTTGAGTATGGTTTTCGATTTACTACAAGATTGCTCTAACCGGTATAGTAACTAACATTGCTTTCAACAAAAGCAACTTCAACAGCAAAGAGTTGTTTGACTAGATTTCTTCTCAGGCTTTGCTTTTGAATGAAGAAGCCGAAGATCTTAAGGTGAGATGTCTCGTGAGTACTGTGATGCTGAAAGCGCAGGATCTCTGTAAGCAACAACCAGTTTCGAAAAGAATTCGGACATGTTCTGCTCTCTTGCGTCCGCTTTGTCTTTGTTCACCAAACACTATAACAGAAAAACATATTATGAGAAGCATTGCTGTCATTGCAACAGAAACAGAGGACTTTATGCTAAATACTATGACATAATGAATAATGATATGAGTGAAGAGTAATGATCGCTTGAAAAGCATTTACCTCGGTAGGATAAGATCTGAAATTTGGTAAGAAGCGTCTTTGGCAGTAAATACTGAAAAGGAGGGTGAGAATCGGGAGGGGAATAGTTAAATAAGATGCCACCGGAAGCTCTTTAAGCCCGAATAGTCCGACTGCAATTATGTGCATTAGTACCAAAGAGAAGATAGTGGAGCTGTGTACTATTGGCCAAAACTTTCCACCCGTTTCATACTTAGCCGCATATACGTTTAGGAGCTGCAACACAAACAAAAAGGGAAGAGAATGCAAAATTGGAATCATTTTAATGTTTCTTAATGATAATGTATACTCTCTACGGTAAGAGTAAGATTGGTTTGGTTACCTGGTTACGGTAGATGACATATCCAAGACAGTAGTAGACCAATATGAAGGGAAGTATCAACGGTGAGAGGAAGAAGTAAGTTGTGCCGAGAAGTCCAAAAAACAGAATCCTTGGGATTTCTACGTAGAAAGGAGTCGAAGGGACCTCGAATTCTTTGTCATCTTCGTTGCAGAAAAGATTCGTCACAAAACTCCAGAGAAGAGGAACCAAACGGATGATCTCTGATGACAAACCAGTCCATCCAGTGGTCACAACATACGATATGAAAAACGATGCCTGCATATATTAAAATGATGATTAAAACATGATTCTGAAAGAAAAAAAAAAAAAAAAAAACAGCGAAGTGGATTTTGGTGTTTATTACCTGTGCTGGCACAGCTGCAGCAAGCACACGGGGAATGTTCTTAGGCTCAAGGAAGACATTAACACGATAAAGAGCAGATCCGGACAGTACATTTGCAAAGAAACTGCTCCATATGGTAAAGACTAGAAGCTTGATGCATGCAGATTTCTCAATCTGGCTATGAGAAACATATCCTTGCATTGACGAAAGCAGAATCATGATTGGTGGTACTATCAGAAGGAATAGCTGGAATATCAGACTCGGAAGATATCCCGTAATCACTTGACTCACGTATTTCCTGCAAACATATATATAAGAAATAAGAAAGATTACGTGGTTCAAATGAAAGAAAGAGGGTGTTGAGTGTTGACTCACATGTTGAGAATGTTTTTCAGAAAAGGGAACCATGTTTCCAGCTGGTGAAGATTAGCAAGACCCTGAACCAATACGACAGGCACAATGTAGAGGATTAACAGAGCTACGAAAGCCACGAAGACGACGACATTGGAGATCCATCTTCTCACAAACGATGCGGTGAAAAACGGCCAGTGAACATCTTGAGGCTCAGGGGCTGTCTCAGTTAGCCACTGCGTTGGATCTATTCCTTGCTGAATGTTTGATGCTATTGCAGCACCGTGTCTTGTCTTAAAGGAAACGAAAGCCGCTGGGACTTCCTAAAAAGGGTTTCAAACATGTTGAAGAATGCGAATTTTAATTGATCACACAAAGACAGACAAATTCTCTCACCTCTCCGGCTAATAAAGACTGTTTCAATCTCATGTCGTCTTCTAACTTGTCGAGCTTCTTTTGGTAATGACCAACCGCATCAACACTCTTCCCAAACATCCCTAAGAACCCATCCCGCTTAGAGTCTTGCCGAGTTATGCTTCCGGATTTTACTCGAGTAAGTTTCTTGTATAGCTTCTCAGCATCATTCTACAAGTGTTCATACGAAATCAAGATACACATATCAAAGATTTCTAGGCATCAATTGTAGAAACTCTTAGTTGGTAGAAGAAGCTTTACCATGAGAACCTTTAACTTGTCTGTCCGATGAACCACGACGTGAGAAAGATACGTGGAAGAATGATACTCCCTGAAGAAACTCTCCACTGTTTCACTAATACTGTTTCCAGACACGATAGGGACGCCACTAACCAGAACCGTGAATTCTTGTGGCCGAGGCTTGGATTCATAAAGATGAGCAATTCGCCTCAAAGAAATGTACTTGTGCTCCTGAAAAGTTTAGCTGAAACATTCAGACTTCACACATTCAAGCGCAAAGGAGTCAGCATGAGTGAGAGAAAGCAACAGGCAGCTTCTTACATTGTAAAGTAGAGAGCAAACAACTGCTGTGAAGATGTATATTGCACAGAAGTGAATCCACAACCTGAGCAAAACACACATACATGATACAAGCATAAGAAGTTGGTTATGGATCATAATAAGGAAGGCATTATCTTCGTTTTGCTTACTTGTTTGATCCATCGTTAACATTATAAATGCTGAAGGAATCAAGAGACTTGTTTGGCAGGTCGAAAAACTCTTGGAATTCGGTACCCATATAGTTCACTGGGAGAAGGATGAAGATGCCAACCACCGAAGCAAAGCTAAACACTCTTATACTGCCAAACAACAACAACAAAGAAGGTTCAAAAGTTTCACATCATTCATCAAAGAATAAGTTAAAAGAATCAAAGGAATCACCTCAAGACAAAAACACGAGTGAGGACCAAAGCATCTAAGCCAAGATTAGAGAGGATTTCGTCGTTTGTAGGATCCAAGGCTCTTTTGACCCAACCAGCTGTAGGCAAGAGCCTGTCGAGGTTGAATCCATTAGACCGCCGAGATTTGCCTTCTTGGATAAGCCGTGGACCGTACACAGTGGCGTTGCCAGGCTGTTTTCTCAGTATTGAATACAGAGTGAAGAAGAGAAAACAGAGCCCAAGATTGATCCCCACTGAAGTTAAAAGGGCTGACAGAATCATAACTCCCAAATTGTCTCTTCTTCCTAAACCAACAACAGGATTGTTCTGGTTTCAACAAGCCTGGCAATAAATGCAAATTGATTGTTATTATGAGTTACATAGAATCAATATTCAAATGAAATCAAACGAAATATCATTGCAGTCTTCAGCGAAAAAAAAAAAATTGGGAGCGAAATGAAGAAGATAAGTGAAAAGTGAAAACTGTATGACACAAACGAATCGAATTTTTATAATTGTGAAGAGCATGAAAATTACCAGCTTAGCTAAATAAACGTTTTATAATCTGGATTAGATAGAAGTAGAAGACAAGAGACGATTCTTCTTCCAACAGGCTTAGAGATTTTCGATCAAAAAAAAACAAAAACAGGGGAAGAGATCGAACCTGTGGCATGAATCAGTCAAAGCGGTGTTCGTCTTTATGGCCTGACCATACATAAACAATAATAAGTCCATGAAGCGACACGATACCCAGTTTCTCGTTTGCTTCATTCCTTTTTAATCATTCATAGTCTGGATAGATTCAAAAAGAAAAGCGTCGATATCCCAATTTGATAAATCATTAATGTTACTTACCGGGTCCGAAGCTCCGAGTTGATAAACCCGCTGGAAAACACATGGATTTGATTATTTTAGACAACGATATTTGATTAGTTACGTTAAAGTATCAAATAAGGCCCATTAAGATGTTTCATAAGCTCAAATTAGGAGTTTTAACTATGAGCCACGCGCATATTTGGAGCGTGCTACATAATCCCCGATATTTTCTGAACGAAGCAAGATTCCATCCATCAAGAGACGACACTTGTCATGAAATGTTTAAATTCTCCTCTTCAGACAACATGTTTTATGGTTTAAGCAAAACTAGAGATTGAATGCTGTGATATGAAAATCGAGCTAAGTCGAAAGGAAAAACAAAAAGACAAGGCATTTTAGAATGCCTCTAATGTTTGATCAAAGCTTGTTTTGCTCATGAGTTTATGACCAATGTTCGAAGCGAAGACCTTGTGGTTTCAAACGTCAAGTGTTCTTACCACAAAGCAACGGTCACATTGGTCGTTCGCATGACGCCTCTCATCTTATTTAAGCTCTTAAAGATGAAGGCATAAATATTATTATAAAAAAAAAACACTTTTAACGAGATTAAATGGGATTTTGTTATATCTTAACAAACAATCTCTCATAATAATGATAGTTGACGATTATTTTGAAACGGTAAGTGTGGCGGAATGGTTCAAAGACATTATTAATGTGACCGTAGAACCAGAGAAGAGAGAAAAAAGATCACAGAAACAAACGACAACGTTTTTGGGCTGTGAAAGTACAGCAATTTCAGATGGCTTCGAGAGCTTGAAGAACGTCAGCTTTGACATCTTCAAAGTCTTCAACTCCAAAGCTGAAACGAACCAAGTTGTCTTTGATTCCATACTTTAGCCTCTCCTCTTGCGTCAGATCCCTATAATAAATCATCATCAACCACCCAGAATCCATTCATTATAGAGGCCAGACCACAAATCCAAAACATATGATCGATCTTGTCAATGACGAAAGCAGACATACCAGTAGGACATAATGGCCGGTTGGTCCACGATGCTTTCGCAGCCACCAAAAGATGGTGCTATGTAAGGAATCTTGAGAGAATCCACAAACTTGATTGTTGTCTCAATGTCTCCATCAATCTACCAAAGATATATGATCACGTTTTGAGTATCACTTTACTCTTATTTAGATGTTAAATCTTGAGATTAGGTTGATGAATAGTTCATTACCTCGAAACTGACCACACCTCCAAAACCAGTCATTTGTCGCTTGGCGATGTGATGCTCTGGATGACTTGGCAGGCCTGGATAGTATACATGACTCACCTGCAAATCAATACGCATCCATTGTTACAGTGTTTGTGTCAAGAAATGTACTAAAAAGTAATTACACACACAAGATGTATTGCATACCTTAGGATGTGCCTCTAAAACTTCGGCCATCCTTAAGGCAGTGGAATTCTGTTGCTGTACACGAAGATGCAATGTCTTCATGCCTCGGATGATTAGGTACGCAGCGTTCTGTTAACAAACATTTGTATGAGATTTCATGAAAATAAAGGACTAGTAAGAAAGAGAAATTCAGGAGAATGGTCAAGTGTTTCACCGGGTTAAGTGTGCCTCCCAACACATGATGCAGATTGCGAATTTCTGAAATCACCTTCAGTGAGCCACAGATGCATCCAGCAAGAACCTAAGGCAATGAGAAAATAAATCTTTGTTAATAAACTATGCAACCAAAGAGGAGAGCTTAATACTTGCAACATTATTTACTCACATCATTGTGTCCTCCGATGTACTTTGTAGCAGAGTGCAAAACAAGATCAGCACCAAGAGCAAGGGCTTTCTGATTCAGAGGTGTTGCAAAGGTGCCATCGATGCAAACAAGTGTTCCCCTCTTGTGGCATATTTCTGAAACTAGCTCAATGTCGACACATCTAAGGAATGGGTTTGTTGGGGACTCAGTAAAGAACAGAGAAACTTCGTAGTTATTCACAGCAGCTTCAAGCCCCGCGATATCAGCAGGATCAATCACAGTGACCTGGACGTAAACAAGACATTAATCATCCAACTTGAAAAGGGTCTCTGTGGATTGAAATTTGGGTGTGAGAGGGTTCTTACAGTGATCCCCAACTTGGGAAGAAAATTCTCCATGAAGATTCTTGTTTTCCTGTAGCAATCCGTAGTGGTCACAATGTGTCCACCAGCAGGAACCAATGCCAAAAGCATAACAGTGCTTGCACACATCCCAGACGCCATAACCAAGGTTGATTCAGCACCTTCAAGTGCACTGCACAGATATATCAATCAAACAAATCCAAAACCCATCAACATCAGAATCCTCAGGTGAAAAGAAAGATATAAAAGGCAAGTCTAATACTTACCTTATCTTCTCCTCAAGTACCACAGTCGTAGGGTTTCCATAACGACCGTATTCGAAACTTGCACTCCGTTTCTCCTACAATAATTCAAGTTTTTTGAACAAAATAACAATAGTCAACAGATTGTTTCAACCCAACGATTAAGTTATTCTATTGTTTCAACCCAGCAAATTAAGTTAATCAATTTAATGAGCCGCCAAAATCAATCCAGTGAATATTAGTACTGTATTCCATAAAGCAACAGACTGGATCAACGACGAAAACGCACCTTGAAGTCAATAAGCTCAGCAGTTTTCTTGAAGAAGTAGGCAGATGTGTTGACTACAGGAGTGGTGATAGCATCCGTCACTATGCCACGACCTAATCTCTCACCTGCGTAACATTTTTATCGCAATTTATCTAAATCTGATACGAAGAAATGATTCACAGATCAGAAAAGTGGGAAATGGATCTAGCTCCGACGTACCGGCATGGACAGTCAGGCTCCCATCGGAGCTCAAGAATGAGGGTTTCGAATCCTTCAACTGTACACTACCTATCTCCCTAATCCCCTCGGCCACCACAACCTCCTCATCGACGCTTTTCAGCACGACGGGAGGAACGGTGGCGGAAGCGGCGGCGGCGGCAGCAGACGAGGCTGCGGCTGCAGCTGCGGTGGAAGAAACCGCAGGAGCAGACGAGGCAGCCGCCGCCGCCGATGGTAACCCGGAGGATGGGTTGTTGGACCACTTCGCCGCCACGATCTGCGCGACACCGATGTTGCTACAGTTTCTGCGGGCTTTGATGCTCAGCTGACGGACGAAATTAGGGGGAAACCTCAGGATCATTGAGGAAATCCGACCGTCGCCGGTGAATGACGACGACATACCGGCCGTGGCATTGAAACGGCGGCGAGATGATCCTCCGATCGGAGATCCGGCCAGATCTGGATCGGGACGGCATTGGAAGGCGGGGATGGAGGCTGAGGAGGAGAAGATCGAAGCGCAATGGAAGGACGAGACGGCCATTTTTCTCAATTATTCTCTCTTCCGGTTTCTCTCTCTCTCTCTCTTTCGGTGAGGTTTGGTTAGGTGCGTGAGGGCTTTCTCAATGGGCGGGTTTTTAAAAAGCCAAACTGCTTGTCGTTTTGCGTTTCGGGTGACTTAACCACCCCTTGGGGTTTAGATTAACTTAACCAAATTCCAAACTAAACCACGGTTTTAGTTTTTTATACAGTTTCTAACTTTCAACGTTTTGCAAAAATAGACCTCGTTCTTAGCAGCAGATGTTATCCATTTTAACAGAGGATAATTACTGTAAAAAAATGGAATATGAGAATGAGTTGAACCACATTAACTGTTATGAAGCATGATACATGCATGTTGACAATTTGCTCAGGAGACGGAATCTGTTTTTTTTTCTTCTATCTAAATCTAACAAATAATTTACTAAATTGTATATATGGATAATGTTCTAACACCACTGACTAATTGGCTGTCAAACCAAATTTGGTATTTTTTGTTTTCACAGATGACCTCTTTTTAAAGCTTGTAGTCTTCAAATAGAATACATATTGCTAACGATTTGTGAAAAGTACTGATTTAAGTCTAAACATTATACTTATAACATTTGGAAGTTAAACATAACGGTAAACACATGAATATTGTATCTGACTTGAAAAAAGTTAAAAGATATACAATTCAGTAAAACGAGAAACGAAAACTCTAATGGAATCACTGTTTATAATTGTTTTCTGTATAGCAGCTGCTCCAACAAAATAAAGTATAAGTGAGAACAAGTGGGTGCTCCAACAAAGCATAAATAGATAATGTTCTGTGTCCAAACCCAAAGTGTTTTAGAACACGATCACACTTCAAAAGCTTTACAGTTTGCATAGTTTGGAAATTTTTGATGTTGCAAGGGAAAAAGATAAAAACTGATTTAACTGCTATCGTATTGAATAAAATAAAAAGCATAAGAAAATAATCATATTTATTAAGTTTTAATCACTTTATACGAATTAAATGAAGACTGTTATACACTTGCATGAGTCAATAGGAAATAATAGATTTGATTAACTTCTCTAATAATTTCAACCCACAACTTGTATCCTATACACCTCTAGTTGATGATAGCAAATGGACCACAAAAGTCTTTTTTGAATTGATAATTCTATATATATTTTTTTGAAAATCATACATATCATTATTACTTAAGTGATCGTAATATCACTATTCTTTAAGTTATCATCCATGATCCATACAGTGGAATTAAGGAGAACTACGTGGTCCACTAAGACACTCATTTCAAAAAACATAAAAAGTAAAATTTCCCATTATAGGCGGATCTCCACCTCTTGTCTACATCAAATCACTCTTTACTTTCTCTTCAATGGCTTCTCATCCTGACCATTCAAGCTCTATTGAGACTCCACCAAGTCGATTCATCCACATAGGATCAAGCTATTAACCAAGACGTGAGGATGTTCAAACCTCCATCTTCTCAGCAAATGCTGAATTACATATTTCTAAAATGCAAGTTTTACTGTAAGAAAAAAATAGCATTTCATAAGACCATTTTTCTGGATTCTGTCTCGCTTTTTCGTTTTTATTATATAAAATTTTCGATCTGGTTGTTTCCTTCTGAAGTGGAATTAGATATTCTTTACATACAAAACTCAGAATCGTGTACGCATAACAACGGATGGTGTTTATTGAATAAACAACGCACCAAATAGAAACTCGGGTTTAAACCAAAATGGTATTATGATTGCTTTTTTCAGACAGAAGTCAGAAGGTTTTGTTTTTCTTCGTCAACGAGGAACAGAAACAAAAACAAAAAAGAAACGAAAAAAATGTCACCGAAGGAGATGATCTAGCTTACGAAGAAAGAAGTACATATGGAGAGAACAGTCACTTGGGCTTCTTCATCTTCTTATTTTGAAGAGAGACAACAATTGGTTTAGTGATGAGCCTTTGCTTCCGCCTTCATCTGCGAATTCTTCTTTATCTGCATATGACAAAACATTTCTTAACACCACTCACGCAAATCACATCGTAGAAAGACGACCACATCGTTAATCCGAGACAAACTTTTCAATCAATGAGAAAATCTCCGACTAAACATCAAACAGAACATGAGATGAAATGGAGCAAAGTAGCATTCTTTCAGTTCACGTCTCTAATCAGTTTAACTATACAAATGATAGCCAAAAAAATCGAAACTTCGAAGTATCACTCACGCTACAACATAAATCATATACGACCCGATCGAGGATACAATGTTCCCATCAATTCAAAAGCCACAATCATCCATCGTACTATGATGAAAAGCTTTAAGACATCGACAACAGATAGATCACGTATCCTTGATTCTCTAATCTCGAAATCTGATAAAGCAAGACAAGGAAGGCAAAGGTGTACCTTCAAAGCCTTGAGCTTCACATTCCCGTAGATGAGACCCAACCCGAAAGCCGAAGCACGAGCCACCTGAATCGACGACACAGACGACTCGATGAGCTCAAAAAAAGTAAATTTCTACAGCTAAAGACGAAGTCTCAAAGATACAGATCGAGAAATCGGAGAAAGGGATAAAGAGAGATTTCTGTTACCAGAGCAAGAGTGCTGGTGCCGGAGTAAAGTCCTGGAGGCGGCGTCATTGATAAGATTACTGGCAGAGAAAAACCCTAACCCCAAATTCAGATCGAATCTTCCTTCCGAAATCTCCGATTCGCGAGAAGTGGAATGAAAAAAAGAGCTGTCTTCGTCTTCCTCAGAAAGAATATCATTGGGCTTTATATGGGCCTTAGTATATAGCTCTTTAACATTTCTTCAGGCCCGTTTTTAGAAGCCTCATTACCCGCCTTAATTTCAAACTTTGCATGCAAACTTATTACGAACAAGGTAAAAAAAAAATCGGCCGTCAAATGATTTTATTAATTGAAAATTGAGAAATATTAATCATTTTTGTTGTTGTTTCTCATGCAATTTTAGTTTAAAATGAATCGATTATATAGTTTTTACTTGCATCAGATTTATGATAAAGAAAGGGACATGAATCTACCAAGCATTTAATTTCCTTTCGTTACTCGACATGTCAACGTGTTGCTTTTACTACAGCCTCATCATTCATATTTGTTACATAAAAAACAAAATGCTAAAGAATAGTAATAACTACAGATTTTGACTTGATTTATAAGTTAATACTCCAGTGTATTTCTAAATTGTATTGTAGACTTAGACTTGTATTTGTAAAAAGAATACGTATCGAAATAATTTCGTTGAACTGATTTGAGCTTACCTAACACGAAAAGCAGAATGTATATAGTTTCAAACAAATTGGACATGCATTATTCAAATACCAAAGCATGGGTAGTGTACATAAATGTTCATTAAAATAGCTTTAACGTATTGGGAAAGCTATCGACAATAACAATCTGAGAATTTTTATATAAAAAAATGTTTGGACAAATCAGTGTAGTGTGGACCCTTAGATCAGAACATCGTCGGCGAATCTGACGGTGAAGAATCCACCAAGTTGAGAATGCTATTCCAGTAGTTCTTGTTATCCTCGTAGTAGTTGTAGTCTACGGCGGCGGCGGTCGCCTCATCGTTTTTCCCGGTGGAGTGACTCCGGCCGATTGAATCTCCGAGAAGGAGGCTTGTGAATCCTTCCTCGTTTCCTTCTGTTGGAGTTGGGCAGTTGATTTGCCTCATCCAGTCGTGTTCGGTGTCTTTGACCAGAGTCACGTCGGAGGAGGTTGAGGACGAGACTGCGAATTCAATCATCGCCGGAATCTCAGAGGACTCGATGTTATTGTCGTTTCTGTTTCTGTTTTCCGTTGGGATTCCCAATGGCGTAATCACGAGAGGGAGATTCTCGGAGAATGTCAGCGTCGATGTCGGAGATTCAAGCTGTTGTTGATCTACATTACCAAAAAACCAATCAAATTCGAACTCAGTTTGAGTTTTTGTTATAAAGATGACAATATCTCTTACCTTGGTTTGGCTTTGTCCAATTTGTTGATGATGACTTGTGAGTGAAGCAATGTTGAGGAGATGAGTTGTTGTGTATATGGAGAAGCTTAGATTCTCTAGCAAGCCTAGCTTCAGCTTCGAGACGAGCGCTCTCCCACTGAGCCATGTGGCTAAGTGTGGCTGTGTTCTTGGATTGGCCAGTGGAAGAGTAAAGAGTCTCGTTTTTGTGCTTGTGAGTCACCGGATCTATCCCCATTTTAACCAGACGCTTCTTCAAGTGCGTGTTCCAATAGTTCTTGATCTCGTTGTCTGTCCTTTTTGGCAAGTGAGTTGCAATCGCTGACCACCTAAGAAACATGACACACAACCACAACATAGATCATCAACTTGGTTTAAAAGCAATCTCACACACACAAAAAAACATATAACTTCTTTTGTTGTTGTTGTTGGAGAGAGTGTGTGTGACCTGTTTCCGAGGAGAGCATGGAGTTGAATGATGGTTTGTTCTTCTTGAAGAGTGAATTTGCCTCTCTTGATGTCAGGTCTTAGGTAGTTAGTCCATCTGAGTCTGCAGCTCTTTCCACACCTTTGGAGACCTGTCAGGAGTTTTGAATTGAGAGAAAAGAGTATGTGGAAGATGAAAGAAAGACTAGTACATGTGTGAAATACTATACCGGCTTTCTCAGGCAAAGAACGCCAGCTTCCATGGCCATGTTCTTCAATGTATGCCAAAAGCTTCTGATCCTCTTCAGGTGTCCAAGGCCCTTTCTTTAAGCCACCCTTATCACAGCACGGTGATCTACCCATTGAAGGCTAATATATCTACACAAGCAACGGTCTTCTTCTTTTGAAAATGGTGTTCTTGAATCTGATTCACGGTGTGTATGAGATAGTGCTAGTCATTAGATGATGATGAGGATGATCGCAGAAGCTGGTCTCTTGGCTTGAGTGTGATATATAGAGGGAGAGACATTAACAGAGGATGTCTCTGTTTAGGTTCTGTAAGCGCCCCTTTTCTCGGTCTTTGACATTGATTGGCATTCAATTAGATGGGGCCGAGTGTTATTATTAACATTTGTGGTTCCAAAACCTTGATTTCCTTTTAAAGATTCTACACAGCTCCACCCATTACGTAGGCATCTTTACCCAACGGTAAAAAAACGGTTAAAACTTCACAACCTCAGAGTCAGAGTATATTTTCAGGTCAATCAACATCTAGTCCATAACACTAGCTTTGATAGCTTAGGACAATGCCATAGAGAAGAATGCTTTCTTCATTGTCGCACTTAAAATTAACTCTGTGGTCCATTTATGATCTTGTTTAAAACCATTCTTGCTGTTTTCCTCAGTTGTCTTACGTCAAGGTTCGTTATGGACTGACTCTAATCCCAACATGTTCACATCCGCAATGCCTTCATCAGTGTTTTTGGGATCAAAGTATATTGAAACTAGCTATAGTCTATTAATCTATGTAATAGCCTAGGGTCAAAAGAGATGCTCAAGGTTTCTTATTACAGGTATCCTAATAAGGTCCAGTTTCTACAATGCTCTTATTGTTTTCTTCATATTCATTCTCTCTTATCTCTTAGCTATTACTAGTTACCTTAATTAGTTACACTACTTAATAAAAAAAGGTGTTTTTATTGATTTATTGTTTCACATTTTTGTTAGCTTTCACTAGAAAGTAGAAACTCAACAATAGTAAATGCTGTTAAATGGCGGTGAAGAAGAGGAAGCTGGCACTATAATGGGAAAAATCAATTCAGACAGAGAGGATTGATGATATTTGAAGTAACTTTGAGCAAAAGAGTCTTTATGATTTATAAACCTCAACTATAGAAGAAGAAACAGGAAAAATGCAAAGTAATTGCAAGTAATTATTGATTGGTAAACCTCTTCCCTATGAAAACAACAATAGTCTTGTCCCAACACATTTACACTAATAGCCAACTATGACCGCGGCATGAAAGTTTTACTGTGTCCTAGCCTAGGTATGCAAGAACACTGTAAATTTGGAAGAGATTTTAACCTTATAAATGAAGAGAGGAAGCACTTTTGTGGTGGGGAGCAAGAAGAAAGGAGATGAAAAACCTTTCCTTGTGTGATTATTTCACCATTTAATGAAAGTCCCACTAGACTGCTCTTGGTGTCAACTGAGCAGAAGATCTATTTTTTTCACAAAGATAAACAAAAATAGACAATGAATGATGAAAAGCATCCAGAAACTTAACCACCGAATAGCTACTAGATCCGATAAGGTAAAAAACCAGCATTTTGTTTACCATTTAACCACAAAAGCTAAAAAAATTGATCTCATATGATGCTCTTAAGTTCTTAACAACTACTTTTCTCGTCAGTACTAGATTGACTCAGAATCTGACAATCTGTAACTTATTTCCTAACTGTTCATCATGCAATTTTTTTTACCAAATCTATTGTGTTTGGATAGTTTACAGGTGATCAAACGTTGTCGACAAAGGTAACTTTTCGCTGCCAAGAAAGGTAGACGATTTATGGCGGTGACGGTGACATTAAAGAGAATTTACTAGACCAAACAAAGAAAGAGTATCCTAGTGTGTTCAATGGCAGCAAAGAAAGGATTTATTTAGGTGGGCTCCAAGCTTTTAGGGAGAGAAGAAAGTATCTCCATCGACTCCAAGATAAACCATAAGACAAAATTCCATAGGCCCGAAGCAATGTATACCAATAAAACCAAAAAGAAAAAAAAGCAATTCTTTGTTATAATAACACAAGAAAACTGAAAACATAAAAAAAATCAAATTGGCTGCAAACGACGTAAAGGACAATGGGGACACCTCTTTTAATGTCTTGCTCAGCTTCTACTCTTTATGGTCCTAACAGTAACTTTCATAGATGATGATGATGACGCCACTTGTCATGTTCACATACATCCACGTAGCTGAACCTCCCTAGCAAAATTGAGAGGAATAAGAACCACTGAGCCAAGAAGAGGGGCCAAAGCTTTTAAAGTCAACTGATAATCAACCATTTGGCATTTGCTTTACTTGCAAAGCCTGATTTGTTTCTTTCAATTAATCTTTGGCAAAAGAAGATTGTATTACTGAGCCCTTAATGGGCTTATGAAGTATACTATTGGGTTAATGGGCTTATAAAAGTCACAATTGATTTATACAAAGTGGAATACAGTATTTTCGTGGGAGATATGGAGAACATATAAATATTGAGGGGTCGATTTGCAAATGTTCGTGATATTATAGCTGTATAGTTCCGATCACAATTTTGCTCAGAGAGAATCGAGGGTCCTCCTTTTTGCGTCGGCCTTTTGCTTCTGTGTGACCGTTTACAAATCCGACTCAAAGTATTAAACGCCTCACCGGAGATGTCGAGCTCCGGCCAAACACAGTTCCGCTATACGCAGACGCCGTCGAAGGTGGTGCACCTGCGGAATCTTCCATGGGAATGCGTGGAAGGAGAGCTCGTCGACCTATGCAAACGATTCGGCAAGATCGTCAATACCAAGAGCAATGTCGGCGCCAATCGCAACCAAGCCTTTGTCGAATTTGTGAGCTTTTTTTTTCTCCTCCGATTAATTTGATTTCTCCTTTCCCCAATTTCTAGCTCCTGGGATTTGGTTTAGGAATTGATAAAAGAGAAATTGGAACTCTAGTATCTCACCAGGAATCATACACTATCTCGAATAGTTCTCTGAAGCTTTAAGATGTGAATCTATGGTTGACTCTTGTAGCTGAATATCTTTTTCACGATGTCTCTATCGAGTATTGACATATTATGAATTTGCTTTACAGGCTGACTTGAATCAGGCAATATCAATGGTTTCGTTTTATGCGTCGTCTTCAGAGCCTGCACAGATTCGAGGCAAAACTGTTTACATTCAGTACTCAAACCGGCATGAAATAGTAAACAATCAGAGTCCTGGAGATGTCCCTGGAAATGTCCTTCTTGTTACCTTTGAGGGAGTGGAATCTCACGAAGTGAGCATCGACGTTATCCATCTGGTAAGTGCATTAAGCTCATTTCATGTTTCTCGCTTACTTAGCACTGTGATTTTGCTTCCCAAGAGAACTGAGTGTGAGCTTCTTTCAGTGATTTTATCTTTCTCTTTTGTTTGTCAATGCGTATTTCTCAGTGGGAATTAGTTAAATTTTATAAAAACTTGAGATTGATGCAGAGTGTTTTTATAAAAGGATTTCAAACTTGTTATATATCCAAACCTTTTTTTGAAGATTTTTTTTTTTTCTTAAAGACATACCCTTCCGATTACAGTATATCAACATTAATGAAATGCTCGAATCACAGATGTTGATGCCTCTTTATTAAAATCTTTCTGGAGAGAGTTTGGAAATATTATCGTGTTCGTCATGCCCATAAGTGGACAGGTGTCAACTCTGTACTTATCTGGGCTTCTCCTTTTTAGTCCCAATCCCACAACATTTGAGTTTCTTTCAACCGATTTGGTTCCCTTAGTTGTTCTCACTCCACTGTATTAGGGTCTTGACTCTTATCGAATCTAACTTGTTTCAGGTATTTTCTGCTTTTGGATTCGTGCACAAAATCGCCACATTTGAGAAAGCTGCTGGTTTCCAGGTTAGATGTCGAACGTCTTGCCTTGTGTGGTGAAAATGAAATGATGTTAAACTTATTATTATCTGTCTTCATAACCTGCCAGGCACTAGTTCAGTTTACTGACGTGGAGACTGCATCAGTGGCAAGAAATTCGCTGGATGGTCGAAGTATACCCAGGCATGCTCAATTTCTTTATGCATGCCTTCGACCCCTTTGTTCTCTCTTTAAGATATTGCTCTACTGATCATTTCTTTTCTTTTTTTTTGAAACTTTCCAGATATCTGCTTCCAGAACATGTTGTCTCTTGCAATTTGCGAATGTCTTATTCAGCTCATACTGATCTAAATATCAAGTTTCAGTCCCACCGTAGCAGGTAGATTTTTGATCCCTTGCAAATGTGCACCTACATATACTAATCTTACGCTAGTAAATTCATAAGTTTGACTCTTGTAATTACTCAGGGACTACACAAATCCATACCTTCCAGTGAATCATACCGCAATGGATGGTTCCATGCAGGTAATTATTTCCTCCACCACCTGTTACCTTTCTTACATTGATGGGGTTATGTTAAATTGCTAATCATCAATGACATCACTGCCTTCAGCCTGCTTTAGGTGCTGACGGAAAGAAGGTAGAAACTCAGAGCAACGTCCTTCTCGCTTTGATTGAGAACATGCAGTATGCTGTCACCGTGGATGTTCTTCATACGGTGAGAAACAACACATTATGCACATTTCTGTTTCTTAGCTTTTGCTTAATCTCTCAAAAACTAATAGCTTCCCCCGTTTGCTTCTCATAGGTGTTTTCTGCGTATGGAACTGTCCAGAAGATTGCTATATTTGAGAAGAATGGTTCAACACAAGCCTTAATTCAATACTCTGGTACATCCCCTTGGATCATCTCACTAATAACATCTAACTGTGATCTGATTCATCCCCGAACATGTATCGGTTATTATAAAAGAAAGTTAACTCTTGTGTAGATATCGCAACGGCGGCAATAGCGAAAGAAGCACTGGAAGGACACTGCATATATGACGGTGGCTACTGTAAGCTTCGACTATCATACTCTCGTCATACTGATCTCAATGTTAAGGTACATAAATATTTGTTGCTTTTATTGACTTGTGGGTGGGAAAGAGAATAACGGATGATGCCTGCAAGAACCGTATGCGTTTTTCCCTCTTGAAACATGAATTCCAACTTTCTTGCTCTTTTTAATTAACTAATCTTCTTCTATCTACCGTGATTGAATGAAGGCTTTTAGCGACAAAAGCCGAGACTATACACTCCCTGATCTAAGCCTACTTGTGGGCCAAAAAGCTCCCGGAGTCGCAGCCTCTGCGCCGCCAACAGGTGATGGTGGTGGTTGGCAGAATCCGCAGGCGCAAACACAGTACTCAGGCTATGGTGGAAGCCCATATATGTACCCTTCATCTGACCCCACTGGGGCTTCACCTTCAGGCCATCCTCCTCCTTACTATGGTTGAATACTCTCTTTTCGTTTTCGTTTTCTTTTCTTTTCTGTTGTCGTCTTCTAAAGACCCAACTGTGGGAGTTTCCATGTTTAGGTTTCACCAGCTACTTATGTTTCAGGTAAAAGTGTGATTGTTCTTCTTCTTTTCTTGGTTTAATAGACATTTAAGTGGGATAACCAAATAATAAATCAAAACGAGCCCATGTTGCCTGTCCTATGTTCAAAACTAATCATAGATTAGCACCATAAATGATGATGATGTTAAGGTGTAATGGCCACTACAAGAAGAATTCCATCTTCTACAAAGCAACACAACACTAACGGAAAATGAATTAGATTTTTAAGAGATGCAAGTTTTAACCACTTTATGGCAAAAATAATAAACCCTGCTTATACTACAAGTAAGTAAAGATTTGAGGACAAACAAAAATTTAAAACCCAATTTGTGGACAAATTGCTTACAGTTCTAAAAGGCTCTCACCAAAGGCAAAAACATCAGTTGACTGAAATTTTAAACAAAATTGATTTGAAGGATAGAAAACAAAAGGAAATTACTTATTTGAATAAGCTTTGGCTTTCTTCTTAACTCGTTGAGCCATGGCAGACGAAGCTGCAGCTGCATTTCCCGCATTTTTCATCTCCGAACCCTTGATCTTCATCTGCACCGATTTGATAACAGAATTCATCTCGTGTCTCTCTTTCTTACCATCTGGTTTCAACTCTGGTTCCGCCTCTGTCTCCTCCGCAGCTGTCACTTCCTCGTGCCTTTTCGGATCTTTCTTTTGCTTCTGAGCTACTTGCCTAACGTATGTCGCACTCCTGCCAAAACAAAACAAATGCATAAACTTCACAATTCGCAAACACAAATTCTCAAACTTTCACACACAAAGTTGAGACTTTTTCATCACCAATCTTACCTTTTAAAGTTTGGATCCGTAGGGTCAAGAGCAAAGTGAGGATCCGAGAACAAAGCTGAGAATCTCGGATCGTCAAGAGTAGCAGCAGGTATCTTCTCTTCTGCAATCTCTTTACTATGCTTTTTACCCTTGCGTTTAATATTATACCCTTTGAGAGCATTCCCATCATTTGCATTCTCATCCGCTAGCAACAACTCGAGCTCCGCTTTGCTTCTTTCTTCTGCTGCTGCCACATCCTCCTCCTTGTCCTTCTTCTTCCTATTCTTCTTGCTCTCCTTCTTAAGAGAGGGTTGCTTCATAAAGAAATCGTCATCACCATCATCTCTCACCCCCTCAGAATCATCATCCGGAGAAGAAGAGTCATCATCATCATCATTCTGTTTATTCTTCTTAGCTTTCTTCTTCTCGCGAACCCGCCTTTGAACCGACTCCCAGACCGTTTCTGACTTCTTTTCTTTCTTTTCCAACTGTTTACGGCTCAGATCTTCTAACCCGGTGTTGAATGTCACCTCCATATCCTGGTCATTCTCTTCCTCGCCGTCTTTATCAGAATCAACACCTTCAGTTTCAAACAAGGCTCGGTACTTTTCTTTCCTCTTCTCTGCTTTACTCCGGTCAACACCTTCGTTGTCGTCCTCCTCAGATACACTCTCACTCTCATCATCAGAAGCTAGATACTCCTTCAGCTCAAGTTCTGCCAACTATGATTGACAAAAAAACATACACACACAGTATTAGAAATCTAATCAGAGCAGAGCTATAGGAGATGCTGCTAAGCCTAAGTAAACAGACCTGATCAGGTTTGAATTTCTGATTCAAGGTTTTAACGCGGTGTGGCTCATCTTCATCCCAAGAAAGATTAACGTTACTCATCTGCAGCGCTCGACTATGAAAATCCAAACCTACGTAGTTAGCAGGTGCCTGTAAATTTATAAAAATACTATCAGATCATCACCATGAGTTATTCACCATAAGACCACAAGTAGAAGAATGCTAACGCAGACCTCAGTGGCAGTATCACGAGGTGGATGTACGAATTCCATGGAATCGGGAATAAATCTCAAGTCGAGCTTGTTAGAGGATCTCTCAAACTCCATCCCATCACATGATGTGTACAAGTAGTCTGCAGTAGCACTTGAATCACACACCGCAACACCATAATAGTACCTTAAAACAGAGCATTTGTTCAATGTGAGTTTTTAGCATTAGTCTCTCTCTCTCTCTCCTGACATATATAGCCTTAAGAAGACAGATTTTTTAACCGTACCTTAATCTACTTTTCTCGTAGTCACGTAGTTTCTCATTGATGACGTCCTCGTCTTCCTCCTCAGATGATTCTTCATCTTCATCCTCGTCGTCGACACCGTCTTCTTTCTTCTTGCGGCCTTCAATGGCCGGTCCGTGGATTTCCTCCTCTTTCATTCTTTGAAGTCCGAAATCAGATGGATAGACCGCAACTGACAAAAGGCTTCCATCTTTTGGGAGTAACGAATTCAAAAGCGCGTACAAGTCTTTGGCCTATGTAACAAAATCACATATCAGCCATAAGAGAGATGAAAGAACCAAGCTATGATTTTGAAGCGAAAAGAGATGTAATTTGAGAAATTACCGAGACATGTCTCCAATCCATGCCAACAATGGCGAGTCTGTGAGTTTCTTTTTCGATAGTGGCTATCTTCTCTTCCTAGAAAACAATCATCGTCACCAAAATGAGAAAAAAAAATACTCAACCAAAACAGATTCTATAACAAAAGGAATATGAATAATCAAATTACCGGAATTTCTGGTCCGTCGTCTTCGTAGATAGCTTCGTCGTCCTCATCAGTATCCTCTTCTTCCTCGCTGTCTTCTTCTCCAGACTCTGCTTCCTCGTCAGATTCAGATTCTTCATCCAATTTCAATCCAAGCTTTTTCTCACTCTTACTCTCTTCCTCTTCAGATTCTTCGGATTTCCCCTCATCCATAATCTCTTTCTCATCCTCACTGGATTCCTCATTGTCCTTTTCCTGCATTTTTTCCTTCTTCTTCTCTTCTTCGTCTTCGTCTATACGGTAAAACTCCTTGAGAGAATCCTTCCCTCTCCCTTTCCTCATCCGTTTGCCACGCTTATCGACCGGAGCAGACGCCTTATCGGCGAGCACGCTCTGGAATCGAGAGTCAATCGCAACTTTGGTCTGACGCCTCGGAACCGTACGGAACCTCGGGTCCGTATGCGCCGACGAAAACCTTGGATCCTTAATCATTTGGTTTGCTTCATCGGATCCTTTAGCCTCGCCGCCGTCTCTCTTCCGTTTGTTCTTCGAACCCATTGTTGGATTGAAATCGAGAATTAGCGGAATTTTTGTTCAGGGTTTAAGGCTGCGAGAGAGAGAGAGAGTTGTCGACCAAAAGCTAGGGCTTTTATATCTCAACTCTGCTAGGTTATAGTATAAAATAAAATTATGCAAATAAAAACTATATTATAAAAAAAAAGAGGCAACACACACCTAGGCACGAAGTAGAGAGAGTTATCTAAACGCGTGTCACTTGCTCTCTCTTTCCCCCTCACATACGATTCGATTCCCATTTGATTTTGACCCTCAAAATTCGACGAACTTGACATCATGACGACGACGAAGACGACGACGATTGTGATGCTTTCCACACGTTGAACTCTTGCTTCAGGAACCCTCCTTGTCCCTTCAATCTCGCTTTTCTCCCTCTTTCTTCAATTCGATTCAGCTTCTCTTTTGGATTACGAATTCCGATCAGTTTGTACGAACTAGGAAGCTCGGATTTCTTTCAGCTGATGGATTGATCTGATTTCGTGGGATTTTCGATCAGATGCTTTTGTATTGATTCAATCAGGTGAATTCGGAATTTGCTCTATGTTTCAGGACTTCGCTCGATCTGCTTTAATTTCTGGGTTTGATCGTGGATCGAGTATTGGGATCTAGGGTTCATAGATCGAGTCGGAATAAACTCGTGGATCCGATTCATTTCTAGCTCGATTAGATTAATGTTGGTAGAGTCGATTCGGATCGGTTTCTGCTAATAATCCTCGAGGGATTGGAGTTTGTGAGGGAGATGGTATATTTCCATAGCTCAATCTCGGTCTGCAATTCCGTCGACCAATCTCCTTCATTGATCATGTCCAACTCTTCAGATTCCCAGCCTAAATCCAGAAACACCCGTAAATCATCATCATCATCATCATCACCGAACTGTTCCAAATTCCCAGTCTGCGACGGATCTCAATCGGCTGCAATCGACGTCGTCATCCTGATCGCGGTGATCACGGCTTGCGGATTCCTCTTCTTCCCTTACGTCAAGCTCATCACCCTCAAATCGGCAGAGATCTTTTCCGATCTCTCGGTTCTAGTCAAACACGAGATTCAGCAGAACCCGATAGTGTACGGATCGTTAGCTCTGAGCATCTTCTGCGCTGGAATCTCCACTTGGCTGGTTGTGCTCTTGTGTACCATGCAGAGATGCGGGAAGCCGAATTGTAAAGGGCTTAGGAAAGCTGTTGAGTTTGATATTCAGCTTGAGACTGAGGAATGCCTCAAGAGCTCCAACAGCAACAATGGTGGTAAGAGCAAGAGGGGGTTGATGGAGTTGCCTCGTGTCCATCACCGAGAATTGGAAGCTGAGCTGAAGAAGATGGCGCCGCCTAATGGGAGAGCCGTGCTGGTTTTCAGAGCTAGATGTGGTTGCTCTATAAGGAGGTTAGTTGTTTCCGGGCCCAAGAAACAGCAGAGGAAGATCAAGAAATGAAGAGAGAGCTAGAGAAAACAAAAGAAAACAAAAAAGGTTCCATCTTTGGGATCGTTATACTTGTCTTTGGTTAGTTTTTATTCCTCATACATACTTTTGTTAACAAAGAACTTAATTATATGTATGTGTTTAAATAAGGTACAATGGGAATAAGCATTGTAAGGATATTGTGGGATACTGGTTATAGTGAAGAACATTTCGGGAATCTTGCCTATGGAACATCATGTGTGTTTGTGTCTGTGTTTGGTTTACTATTCTCTTCTTATGTGGCTTTGTTATGGTCTTATGGAGCTTGAGAAGAGATGAGCGAGATTTCATTCTTTAACTGTAGAACATGCAGCTTCATCATCATCTTTTTTTGTTTATAAAGGCACTCTCTCGAGTCCCTCTCTTTCTCTCTGAAATTTTGATGGCTTTACTCTCAGCATGTTGGCTATTGATAGAATCATTAGTGATTGATCAAGATGGTTTCTTGAAATGATCCTGCAAGAAATTATACATGCACCCTTTTGTTCTCTTTCTTTGTCAACTTCTTCTTTGGCTCTACTTTTTATGGCTTCTCTCCCTTTTTCTAGCGGTTTACAAGGCCTTTTCTTTGGTCTTAGTCACGTTCTCTAAGCTTTTGTGTTGTTTTCTCCGAGTCATTATAGTCAGAATGAAAGTTAGGTGTAATATTGAGTCTAGCTGTCTAGGCAAGAAATCAAGAACACCCTTGTTAACTTGGAACTTCTAAAAGCACTCATAATCCAGTTCCTGCCTTTCTCTTTTGAATTAAAGATCAAGTGGATAGTCAACTGAAAGTTATTTTCTAGCTCTGCAAGAAGGTGGTGTTCTCGAAGAAGAATTAGAAGATGAAGATGATTGTTTCTACGAATGTGATCACGAAGATGTTGTTGACCTTCTTGATGCTAAGGAGGAAGGTGAAGAGAAGGAAGACATTGTGAGTGTTATGAACATGGAGAAGAATCATGAGTACGAACGTCAGACTATGCCAATGGATCAAGAAGATGAAAATTCCTTAGTCGATAGCTGTAAAACAGGATAATCGTGTGGATATGTGAGCTGCAGATATTTTGGGCCGAGCTTGTTGAAGCAAGAAAAGCCCAGATAGAAATATCACCAGTTGAAACTTCTGGTCAATAATATATGGGGAGTCATATAGGCAGTCAACATTTCAATTTAGCTAATAAATTAATACTAGATAAGACCATGAGTCATAAAAAATGTGAATACAATGTGACAATTTAATTCATACAGATTCCAAGTATGATAGATAGACATGTTTCCATGTTAAATCTCTATATAAACTGAAAGAAAACTGTTGTAAGCTGTTAAATCATTTCATAAGAAAATGGAGAAACTAGGAGTAGCTTCATCCGGTCTCTTCTCCTGTCTCCTTGTCTTGTTCTTGAGTTCAGTTTCAGGAATCACAGATGATCTTCAAGATAAACAGGTAATACTATATACCGATTTTATTATTATGATCTCTTGTTTCTCCTTATGATGGTAATGATGATGATTGATAATTATCTATGAAGGTGTATATCGTCTACATGGGTTCACTTCCTTCACGAGCGGAGTACAAACCAATGTCCAATCACATTAGTATTCTTCAAGAGATCACCGGAGAAAGGTGTGATATAATTAATTAATTATTGTCTTGTCTCTGATCATATTAGTTATAAATAATCGTTTAACCAAACCGTTAAATATTATATAGTTCGGTCGAAGGTCGTTTGGTGAGAAGTTACAACAGGAGTTTCAACGGTTTCTCGGCGAGACTCACTGAGTCCGAAAGAGAAAGAATAGCAAGTGAGTGCTCTTCGATGGTGACACAATTATGTTTTTTAAAAAGGTTTAAATAATCAAAAATGTTTTTGGCTTTTGTGTGTTGTACTTAGAAATGGAGGGAGTTGTGTCTGTGTTCCCAAACGAGATGTTGCAACTCCAAACGACAGCGTCTTGGAGCTTCATGGGGTTAAAGGAAGGGAACATGGCAAAGAGGAACCCAACCGTGGAAAGTGATATCGTCATCGGAGTCATAGATACTGGGATCACGCCGGAATCTCAGAGCTTTTCCGGTACCGGCTTTGGTCCTCCTCCAAAGACATGGAAAGGTGTTTGTGCCGGCGGCCAAAACTTCACATGTAACAAGTAATTCTCTTAAAACTAATTTCTCTCTTTAAAGATTACAAAGAAAAATACAAGTTGATATGTTGATTATTTATCAGTAAGTTGATTGGGGCAAGAGACTTCGTACAAGAAGGGGTTAGGGACAGTGACGGGCACGGCTCACACACGGCGTCAACGGCAGCAGGAAACGAAGTGGCGGGCATAAGCTTCTTTGGACTCGGCAATGGAACTGTAAGAGGAGGCGTTCCGGGATCTAGAATCGCCGCTTACAAAGTCTGCTGGTTACTAGGGTGTCCTTCGGATGCTGCACTGTCTGCGTTCGATGAAGCGATTGCTGACGGTGTGGACATTATCACCATCTCTGTCGGAGGTAGAACCACGCGTGAGTTTGAAAAAGACGTGATCGCCATCGGGGCTTTTCACGCTATGACCAAAGGGATTCTCACCGTTGTTGCGGCTGGTAACGGGGGTCCCACAAATAGCACAGTCACGGCTGTAGCACCATGGTTATTCTCCGTTGCAGCCAGTACCACTAACCGTGGCTTCTTCACCAAAGTTGTTCTCGGAAACGGCCAGATACTTACCGTAAGTATCAAGAAACCTTGTCATTTCTATAATTAGTAACCTTTTAAGTGAATTTCTCTTGGTTTTTCCTCAACAGGGGAAGTCAATCAATTCTTTCGATATGAAAGGAAACAAGTACCCTCTGGTATACGGAAAATCTGCTGCTTTGTCTACTTGCGACCCGAAAACCGCAGAGTAACTTTCTTCACAAGAAACACTTTCTTCATGACCTATACTTTTTTCTTTCCGATGAAAATGAGATCAATTCTTTTTTTTTTTCAGGCTTTGTGTGTCAAAGTGTATAGATAGCTCCCGTTTGAAGGGAAAGATCTTAGTGTGTGGTAGTATGCAAGATTTGGGAAGATCTGTATTAAAAGGACCTATTGGAGTCATTTATAAAAACCCTAGACCAGACGTGGGCTTCATTGACCCTATACCTTCCTCTGGTTTACAAGAAAAGGAATTTGAATCTCTAGTCTCTTACATTGAGTCCGCAGAGTAAACAATCATCTTCTCTATCCTTCATTTCATATATACATCTTCTCAAGATTCTCCATCTTTATTCTTGTGTTTTCTCTCTCTCTCTCTCTCTCTCTCTCAGTTCTCCACTTGCGACTGTTCTAAGAACTGATACAATCTTCAATCAGACATCTCCTGTTATTGGTTCCTTCTCTTCTCGCGGTCCCAACTCCATCGCTGTTGATATTCTTAAGGTAAAATACAAAACATTAATTTATGATATCTCTTCTCTTTTATTTCTCCGGGTTGAGAGACAATGGTGGATGAGTTTCAGCCGGATATAACAGCACCAGGAGTGGAGATCCTCGCTGCATATTCACCTGATAATTATCCGGGTGAACCGATATTTCACGACAAAAGATTTGTGAACTACACTGTTCTCTCCGGTACTTCCATGTCTTGTCCGCACGTTGCAGGAGTCGCTGCATATGTCAAGACGTTTCACCCTGAATGGTCTCCTTCCATGATTAAATCTGCCATCATGACAACCGGTAAGCAAAAACCCTGATATTCTCCCTTTCTTGTTTCACAAGTAATTCTCTGTACGTTCTGATATTTTGCCCATTCTTGTTTCACAAGTAATTATCTCTTCACATCTCTTCTCTTAACTAACCTTTTCAGCTTGGCCGGTAAATGCTACTGGAAGTGGTTTCACATCGACCGAGTTTGCTTATGGATCTGGACATGTCGACCCAGTAGCCGCTATAAACCCTGGACTTGTCTATGAATCAGACAAAGCAGACCACATCGCCTTTCTCTGCGGCATGAACTACAATGTGACTACCCTGAAACTCATTGCCGGTGAAGCCATAGATTGCTCCAAAGAAAGCCAAATCTTACCTAGAAACCTCAACTATCCTTCAATGTCAGCTAAATTGTCTAATAACAGCTCATTCACCGTTACTTTCATCAGAACCGTCACCAATGTAGGTACGCCAAACTCTACATACAAGGCAAGCGTATCCCCCGGTCACGGATCTAAGCTCAGCGTCAACGTCACACCAAGTGTTCTCTCTTTTGAGACGGTGAACGAGAAGCAATCTTTCAATGTGACTGTTACAGGCAGCGATCTCACCTCAGAAGTGCCTTCTTCTGTGAATCTAATCTGGTCTGACGGTACTCATAACGTGAGAAGTCCCATTGTTGTTTATACCAAATAACTAAATACTCAACAAGCAACATCAAATCAGGGAACCATCTTTTATGATAAATAATAAATATTTTTAAACACTGTTGAATTTTATGTCTCTGTTTCTTCACTCTATGGTAAGGTCATTGATATTGGTAAAAGTAACTAAAAAGATCATTAGAGTAACTTAAACTGATTTGTCTCTGTTTATAGCATATAATCAGTTGTACAAAAGGATAATTAAGTTAAAACTAATGATCTCTTTATATCCATCTTATCCTTAAGAAACAGAACTATGAAGGGTCGAGTGGTCAAATTGGTTCTTTTAATTAAAGAGTTGAAGTTTTTCTTTTATTGTTACAAGTTGATTTTTTTACTTTAATCCAAAAGTCCGAACATTCCCAACATGTTTACAACCAAGAATTGCATCAACAAGAGAAAATCACTCAAGATTGTGACTTGACCCTTGAACAACTTTATTTATTTAAGATTAGACTCAGGGAAGAAATTTCCAACAAGGCTCTTTCTCAGCAGCTTCTTCATCATTATCATCATCATCTTTCTTCTTTATAAAGACACTCTCTTGAGTCCCTATCTTTCTCTCTCTCTCTCCTCTCTGAAATTTGATGGCTTTACTCTCAGCATGTTGGCTAATGATAGAATCCATAGTGATTGATCAATATGGTTTCTTGAAATGGTCCTACCTGAAATTATACATGCACCCTCTTGTTCTCTTTCTTTGTCAACTTCTTCTTTGGCTCTATCTCTTCTTTTTATGGCTTCTCTCACTTTTTCAAGCGGTTTACAAGGCTTTTTCTTCGGTCCTGGTCACGTTCTCTAAGCTACTATGTTGTTTTCTCCAAGTCATTATGGTCAAAAGGAAAGTTACGTGTAATATTGAGTCTAGGCAAGAGATCAAGAACACCCTTGTTAACTTGGAACTTTCTAAAAGCATTCATAATCCAGTTCCTATCTTTACCTTTTCATTTAAAGATCAAGTGGATAGTCAATTAAAAGTTCTTCTAGCTCTGCAAGAAGGTGGGATTCTTAAAGAAGAAGCACAAGAGGAAGCTGATTTTTTCTGTGAATGTGATCAAGAAGTTGTTCTTGATGCTGAGGAGGGTGAAGAGAAGGAAGACATTGTGATTGTTATGAACATGGAGAAGAATCTTGAGTACGAACGTCAGACTATGCCAAAGGATCAAGAAGACGAAAATTCTTTAGCCGATGTTGACGAAGAAGAAGAAGAAGAAGATGTTGTAAACTCAGATGCAGAGAATGATCTATCTTCTCTAGCAGATAGCGATAGAGATCATCCCTCATCTTTATCTATTACAAGCTTGGAGTCAGTGCTCGTGATAGAGAATCAAACTCATGATGAAACCGATGAAGTTTACAAGAAATACTGCGAGAAAATGAGATGGTATGACATCCTCAGCCGCGATAGAACATATGGACTAAGTAAGTCTCTTTGCTATACAAAAAGAAATCATTCGACTACAACTTACTAACCATATCTTAATTTCGTTAATTTTAATATATTAGGTGTGATCATAAACCAAGAAACGGCAAGTAGTTTGAGCTTATGGGGGAAAACGGCAGAGAAGAGGCTAAAACAAAGCATAGAGAAGGATCTTGAGCTAGTATATGTTGCTCAGTTATGTTTATCATGGGAAGCTCTTCAGCATCAGTACATCACAGTGAGAGAGACTTTGAATCCCGCTGGTTCGAAAGGCGATGGTCTCTCAAAAGAGTTCCAGAAGTTTCAAGTTTTATTAGAGAGGTTCTTGGAAGATGAAAGGTGTGAAGGAAAAAGAGTCTTGAGCTTTGTCCAAAGAAGGTTTGAGCTGATGAGCTTCTTTCAAATCCCAGGACTTTCCGGTAATTCATTTATTTATTTTATCATAAATACTCGCATCATTTTTATATGAATAATACTAAGAATTATCTTGAATTATATAATACTACTTTTGTTGGTGGGTTACATCGTGCATGAATTGAGAGTTCCTACAGTGTACTTTTTAATTACGTTGGTTGGAACCAAAAGGAACCATAATCTACTTTTATCTTAGTAATAGATAAATGAATATTATCTCGTTTTCTTTTCTTAGGAAAAAATTATAAATTTGTGGTCGAAAGATGAGTTTGAACATATTCCTTGACTAAAAATGTCTAAAAATCTCTCTATCAAAGATTCATGACTTTACTTCTTATGAAAACATTTTAAAATTCCAAGCACCTTTCATTTTGGATACGACGAATCTATCAATTAGTTTTAAAAAGTAAATTAAATACATTATAATTTGGAATTGTAATTTGCATTTCTAAAATATAGTCAAATTTCGGTTCTAACCGGTTACGTGTCAACAGAATCTCTTGACGTAAGTTGGTGGACAAGTCACACAACTCACAAGAACAACCTTATCTATAACGTTTTTATCAATTTAACTATTAAGAAAATGTCAACTCTATAAGTTGACCAAAAAAATAAATTTTGTGCTTACAACATTCATAGCAATTTCAAATTCTAATTTCAATGAACTGTTCGTATAGTTTCATTTATCTAAGTTTCTTATCATTTTTTTTTTTTAATAAGGATATAACAGAAATGGACGTCATGAAGGAGATGAAGAAAGAAAGGACAAACAAGTGTTGAAAGCGATAGAGAGATGCATTGAAGTCTTCTATGACTTTGTTAAAGTAGACATCAAGAGACCTTTGATGTGGGAAAGACTTAAAGTCTCTCTTGTGAATTCTCCTCTTATGGAATTGGAAGATCCTAGAGACATTAACCTTTTTCTTGACTTAAAAAATTCACTTCAAAAGGTAAATCTTTCAAGTCTTTGACTCTCCCAATTTTTTAACTGTTTTACTAATTAATCTCATTTGGATTTGTGAAGAAGGAACAGTTGCTGAAGGATGTACAAGGAAACAAGAAGAAGAATTGGTTCAAGAAGAAATCTTCTAACTTGGAAGAAGAGCTTGAGAGAGACGAATACTTTATGCTAGTAAGATTCATATTGCTAGACTTAAAGCTTGTGTCTAGAGTTTTACACATGTCTTTGGTCTCATCTTCACACCTGGAGTGGTGTCAACAAAAGCTCAACAACATTGATTTCAATGGTGGCAAAATCTCTAGAACTTCCTCCCCTGTTTTATTCCCATCTTGATTTCACAAAGTATGGTTTTTGGCCAATTGTAACTATTTTGCCAAGTCTATCACTTTAACTTTAAAATCACGAGATAAGAGAGAAATTTAAAAGCTTGATCCTTTACCACAAGGAGCTTACAAAGCATGATAATTTGCCAAGCTAAGCTCCACTGTAGTTCTATCACCAAATCTACACAACTATGCTTCTTAACAACTCCAAAGACAGATTATTTATAGACAGTAAAAAAAAAGGAGCTTTCAGTCTCACCATTGATACTTAGCAGCAACAAGAACTTCTTCGTACTTCTCTGCAGCAGTATCCCAGCTTAAATCTTGTGACATTCCTCTTCTCTGAAGCCCTTCCCAACTCTCCTTATACTCTCTGTACGTCAACAAACAGTTTCCCAAGGCATGAATCAGCTTACCTGCTTCCGCGCTATCAAATGTCCAACCTAGACCTGTTTCACTATACGGGTCAAACTGTTGAACCGTATCCCTCAACCCTCCCACGGCATGGACCACCGGAATGGTTCCATAGTTCATTGCGTAAAGCTGGTTTAGACCGCACGGTTCGAATCTGGAAGGCATCAGCAAAATGTCTGCACCAGCTGTTATTCTGTGAGCTGTTCTAACCGAGAAACCAACCCATCCTCGTGCTTTATCTCGGTACTGATGCTCCATTTGTCTGAGCACTTCTTCAAGATCCGGTCTCCCTGTGCCTAACATAACCAGCTGAACATCCTGACTCATCATCCATGGAAGTGCCTCAGCTATCAAATCAACACCTTTCTGGTGATCCAATCTTCCGATAAAACCAATCAGCGGAACATCAGGCCGAACAGGTAAACCGAGCTCTTTCTGCAATGCAGCTTTACATTGGGGTTTACCAATGTGAAGAGTCTCCAAGGAGTAGTTGGTATACTCATCAGAGTGCAAGTGAAGATCAAATCTTGGGTTCCATTCTTTTGTATCAATCCCATTCACAATCCCACCAAACTTCCAGTCGTTTTCATTAATGATATTATGCAGACCCCAACCTCCTTCTAAGGTCTTAACCTCCCAGGAATATCCATGGCTAACAGTGAGAACTCTATCCGCAGATTTTAGACCAGCCGCAAAAATGTTAAAGTGCTCACCTCCCACAGGGTCATATAGCTTGAAGATATCCAGGTAATGGCTCGGTAAATCCACGCAGGAGAAATCTTCTACCGGTCCACGACCCTGATTTTACACCAGTAGCTTAAGCATAGATCTCTGGATAGCATGAAAGTAAGTCATGTCTATGGAATGAAGAATTCACTAACCTGGTGAGCAATGTTATGGATTACAAGGACAGATCGTGTGTATTTCATTAATCCGTGATCTCGGTAATAGGCTTTCAGGTATACCGGAAGCAACGCAGTGTGCCAGTCATTTGCTATAAAAGCCAAATTTCCATCTCCATAACACACACCTCCACAAGGAACATACCAAGGAACCTGAAAAAAAAAAATCTCCATAAGCCGAGTTTGATATAGGAGACAGCATAACATTGATTAACCGTTCATGATCTTGGAGTAGATGTTTACCTCAACAGCAGCCTTGCAAAATAAAACCATCCGTTTCAAGATATCCTGAGTTCACAAAAACCAAACTTAGTACATGAAGGCTGAAAAATGAAAATGCTTTCCGGTAGAGAACAACAGGGAGATATAAACCAATCTTACAAGTCGGTTTCCACCGTAAATGTTATTACTCAGATGCCGAAACACAGGGCTCTCAATGAAAACAAAATCCACACCATCAATATATGCATGGAAGTATTGTACTTCCATATCCTGCAGAAAAGTGTGCTCCATATGAAATTTTCCTTACTTCAAATATGGATTTCAAATATGAAAGCGAAAAAAAATTCCATTGTTGATACATTAACAGTTTTTATACCTGCCCGGCCACCTTATATCTCTTCCGCACCCCCAAGTCTTTGGCTTCAGCATACTCTGCATACCGAGGAACCACAACCTAACAAGAAACATATGAAGAAAACGATTCACTAACAGGTTTTAGTTTCGATGTCCATAACCAAACAGAGAGCTTATTTGACATGAGAAAAGGCACTCTGATGATAATATTACCATAACCCTATGTCCACGCCGAGCCAAAGCCTTTGGCAAAGCCCCAGCTACATCCCCAAGGCCACCTATAAAAAGTTTCAGAGACTTTAGTTCGTGAACTCCAAGAGAAGCCTACTTAGGCACGAGGAAAACAAAACCAGCACAATCGATCAAAGATAACAAAATGGAACAATTACCTGTTTTGGAAAATGGAGCACACTCTGCAGCTACCAATATCACATTCATGACATTTGGTCCAGCCAGTGGAGGCGGCTTGTCCTCGTCCCTCCCAGGTTCATTAGTTTCACTACTAGCTTCTTGAGGTTTTTTCTCCTCTCTCGTTTCCATGTACTCCTCTGTCTTTACACTTGATGTTTCAGGTGTTTTAGTCAGGTAAGACGGTAGAGGGTCTGACCAAAATGCACCAGCGCGAGATTTACCAGGAGAAGTTACAGGATCAGAAGCTTTCTCAGAGGAGATCATAGTAGAAGATGGTTTATAAGGAGGATCTAGACTGGAGTCTACTACGCTAGACCAAGGTTTCCCATTACTGGCTACACTGGACGGCTTCTCAGGAGCGGTTACAGGGGAGGAAGATTTCACAGATGGTGAGCTTTGTTTGCTCTTTTCTTTGTATAAAGATGACTTGGCATTGCTGATTGCGCTAAGACTACCGTTTGCGTCTCCATCCAACTTATCTTCCTTAGTTTCATCAGTATTTGCATTCACAGAAGAATCATACTCTTCTTTGGAAGAAACTTTACCATCATCCAAATTAGGTGTGCTCTCTTTAATAGACGAAACCAGCTTCCTCCTTTCAGCAATCTGAAGAGTAACAAGATAAGATTAAGTGACAGAATGTCAAAGAACAATTCAACACAAGATGATCCTAAAACTACTCAAGAACAGCCTCCAAAGCAGATTAGGGTAAAATTACGCAGTGAGTTCACTCTCAGATCATTGCACAAACAGCTCATAGTGTAAAAGATTGGCTTTTTCTAATTCTCACTTTAAATCATTTCCAAAAAGTTAAAGACTTTCGCAATGAAATTCAGTGCCAAATTGAAGGATTGATCTACCTGCTGAAGAAGGTTCCTTTGCATATCAAGAACCTTCTTGCTCTTCTCAATGGTAGCTTGAAGCGCGTCCTCTGGCTCATCTCCACTCGCCGGTTTAGAAGAATCTGGGCCCGTAGCCTCCACGCAGCTCGCAAACTTCCATCGATGTCCCAGAACGAAGCTCCGGGCACGAAATGAGAGCGACCCAGAAGCGAAATCAGGAGAAGACACTCGAACAACACTCGAATTCCGAAGCGTAGACGAAGTGACTCGGCGCTGGCTCTTGATTTGACACAGAAGAGGGAAAGAGCTCTCAGCGACTGATGCCATTTGCTTATTCGGTGAATTGCCTCGAATTCAACGAGGTCGAAGATAAAAAAAAAGTTTTTTTTTTTTTTATGAGCAGATCACACACAAACTCCGAGAGGTTTCATTCACGAAATCGGACAGACCGAAGTGAGAAAACGAAGCCGAAGATGATCCAAAAACGGAAAAACTGAGAGTGAGTGGCGAAGAAAGAGGAGTGCTTTGCGAGTAAATTTACGGCTATGTTATTGTTAACCAAAGAGAGACGATTCTAACCAAATACAAAACAAAACAGAGTGGTCGGAGAGAGATCTTTGTCCAAATGGGGCCCCAAAGAGAGAAATCACCATAAACTCAATACCATCGCGTGATTCATGAGAGAAATATGGAATTTAAACATTTTTGGATTAGGCACTTCACTTGCAGTTGCAGATGATCTATCGCCACATAATTTGATTCTTCGAGATTTCCCGTAGGCAATCGGAATCGTCCAAAATTACAAATACCAAGGGGGGTTATTTGGAGTAGAGCTATGTAGGTTTTAAAGATTTTAAAAGCCAAAAACAATGTTAAATTTATAAAGAGCTTTTGTTAGATTTGGAAAGAGCATGTAATCTACAAAATCAATTAAAATATTTTATTGTAATGGACTTTGAAAATCTAAAGTTTATAGATAATATTTTGAATGTTTTGTTTCATGAGTTAATTTATTTAAAATTTTATCTCCCAATAAATTTTAACAATTCATGGAATCAAAATCAAATTGCAAACTTTTTAATAACAATGGATTTTATATCGATTTTAAAAGTCATCAAACTGATAAGAATAGATTTTAATGAAAATATCAAAATATATTAATTAATTAATAACAACAGATTTTGAAATTTTTAACAATTCTCACAAATTTTACTTCCAATAACCCCTTTCAAACGTCCATCAATACTATTTTAGTTTTGTTATTTGAAATAAATACCAACATTTCATTTAGCCATAGCCATATGTTCCCATGTTTTTATTATTTTTATCATATTTTGGACACCGTCCAATTTCTCTAAAAGAAAATCAAATTTCATAAACCATTCCTTTTCAATTTCACTTTATTGCAATACGATATATCTCATTTTATTGACGTCACAGCTTCTAGCATATCACTATATCAGTCCTACTCCTAGTGAATTTCCGAACAAAAAAAATCTTTCAATCTTTCTCTCAAACTTATTCAAATCATTTCTTATACACTTAAAAAAAAAATACATGGCTTATTTGTTTGACAAATTTAATACAGCTTATACAAGAACACAATCACATTTAATCAATTAATCTTTTTTCTTAAATTCAATACACGCAAACCATAAGAATCAAAGTCGACCTCGCCGAGAGATGTTTTCATTTGTTTAATCTCTTAGCTAGCAACAGAACACACCTTACGGATCTCCCCGGCACGACCCGTAAGAACTCCGATCCGACCCATTTTGACCATTGAGACACCAAAGTCATGAAAGAACGTTGACCCATGAGTTCTTGCCTGCTGCAAGACATAAGCCCTAGTCTTTGAGTTGTCCAATAGAGCAGCATCCGACTGGAAAAGCCCTCTTCTTTTAGCCACTAGCGTGAAGTAGCTCACGTCGAATGTTTTGAAACTTCCCGGATCCATCTCTAGAGCCGTCGTGGTATCGGTCGGCTTGCATTTCTTCCTCAGGTTAGCGGCGTACTCCGAGTCCAAACTCGGGTCGCTGTCTCCTCTTCCGGTGAAGTTGTAAAGCCTGTTTGTCATTAGAGGACAATGTCCCAATCCAATAGTGTGTCCACCTTTACAAAAAAAATATATATATCAACTCACTACCAAAATGGGTTTCTAATTATTAGACTAGTTTATCATTTTACGTGTACGTACCTGAAAGCACGACTAGGTCTTTCTCGTTGAGTCCCTTAGAACGAAAATCGGTGATAAGCTTGGTGATGTTATCAAAAGGTGATGGCAGGTTAACCTCGTTGATATTAGAAACCCTACCGTCTCTTCTTCCGGTTTCAACTTCCCATGATGGTCCTTCAAGCTAATAAATCAAACCAACATATTCATTCATAGTGAGTCCAGAGAGCTCTATATATATGCGTGGTGTAGAATATTCGGATTAATTACTTACAGCAACCATCGCGTCCCTAGTGATGAGGGCTAGGATATCAGAGCAAGAAACAATGCCCGGACACACTTTTTCTAAAGCTGCCTTGGAATCGTCTATGATTCCAAACCCTCGAAGGCTTAGGTTAGGAACAGCATTCTTCTCGGTTTGATTTTTCGGTAGATCTAACAAAATTGATCCGTCACATCCCTGTTTTATTTGCGATTGACTCATTAGACCATCGCTTTGCTAGAGATCTCAATGTGATCATAAGAAATATGTGACATATTGAAATGGTTATAAAACTAATACAGAAACATACCCGAACAAAGCAATCGTGGAAGAACATTCTAAGCAAAGGAGCACCAAGCGTAGGCGCTTTCTTCATCGCAGCGAACACGATCTTTTTGACAATACCCTCCGCTTGTGGGCATGTTTTGCCGTAGAAACCTACCTTCAAGCCTTGCGCATTGACTTGAGCTAAAAACAACACAAGCAACAAGCAAGAGACAACTAATAGCTTAGAAGCACCCATTCTTGAATTTCTGTTTAGCTCTTAGCTTTTGTCTTTTGCTCGAATGATGATGAATTGTTTATGAAGATTGAGGTTATTTATACTCAATTATGTAAACTGGAGTTGGAATATTAGAAGAGGTTGTGGTCAGAACATTGAAATTAATTAACACCAAAATGTAGTTGACTATCACCGGTCTGCGGTGGAAGGCTTGTTGTATTTTTGTTGTTCTTATGATCAATCATTGGTTTTTGTCATGAAAAGAAGGCAAATGGATAGAAGTCGCACTATATTTTTGTATATAGTATTTGTATGATCGTGTATATGATATGTATGTTTGTATTTTCTTATGCATGCTTGATGTATAGTGCTACCAGAAACAAATGGCTGCCTAGTTGTAATTTTTTTGTAAATTCCGTCTGCTTTCATCACTAAGACATCGATCAGTTAGAATATAGTTAAAACATTGTCTAAAAATTAAGCTATTCTTTTGGGTCGTTCTCGTTGACAATATATATACTTTGCAGAACAACGTTTGCTTGCTTGTAAAGTTAGACTTAGGTAACAAATAGTATGTTAACTGCCAGGAGACACATAATGTGATCGTAATCTATATACAATTGTATTACAATAATACTACTAATTTATTAATAATTGCCTTAGCTGGGGGACAGTAGTTTACTAGCACTTGCAAGAACCTAACTAGATTTTTGTTTTATCTTATCCTATTAAGCGTATATACAGTACATGCATATGCCTGTAGCCAAAAAAGAAGTATACGATCTTTGTCAAAGAAATTTTTAATTCGTGGACGTTATCAAGAACAGTTTAAGTATATACGTATAATCTTTATCAATGAGATGTTAAATTCTTGGACGTTATCGAAAACAATGATTTGCTCCCACATGCAGATATGAATATGATATATCAATGCATTATAGGTTCCTTGTAATGTTTCTTGCATGTTCTTCCAACTACACCAATCATACAATGACCTCAACGTTTTAACCTCTTTTAGCTACCGCCATGTTCTAACATCCTAACAATTTGAGGAGTATTGTTTATCTATCTAATTAAATTCCCCGCCTTGGTTTTGATTTGTTATCTTATCATATATAGACAGGCAAGTATTGCCAATACATTATTCATTTAATTAAATACAAAGCTCTCTCTTTAGGAAAATATACAACAAAACTGTTTCATCCTTATACAAAAGGAAAGGAGTGAGCTTAGTAGCGTTTTGAAATACCGTCATGGTAAAGCCTCAGAATCACAGCTGCGGTTTCTTCAATCGCCTTATTCGTCACATCTGCAAAACCATAAACCATAAGAACAACATTAAAAGAGAAAAAAAAAGACAGAACTTTGAGTAGTAAAATGAGAATGGTGTTCTAACTTCTAAGTACCTATTAGAGCCCATCCGGGGTTTTTGGCATAGATCCTTGTTGCGAAATCTAGCTCTCTCCGAACAAGATCGAACCCCGAGTAATTGTTCTCTGCTTCTCTATCCACGCCTAACGTTTTAGCCCGTGTCCTCCTAATCGCTTGCAGCACAACGAGTTCGATCTTCAAACCGAAAACCTTCCTCGGCTCAACCTCGAAGAGCGTCTTGGGCGGTTCCACGCCCATCACAAACGGTACGTTCGCGACTTTATACCCTTTCTGAGCAATGTAAGTCGACAAGGGCGTCTTCCCTGTCCGTGAAACCCCGACAAGAATGATATCAGCCTTGCTTAAGTTCTCTGGTAAAGTCCCATCGTCTTGCTTAATGGTAAACTCAATGGCTTCGATTCTTTTGAAATATGCATCGTTGAGAGTCTTGACCCTGCCTTGAGCTCCACGGGTCAGACCTGATGGTGAAACACCCAAGTGAGACGCGATGCCTTCGATGATTGGTCCTAGAATGTCAACCGAAAGCACTCCATGTTGATCACAAGCTTGTTTTGCGGATTTCGACATTGAAGGATTGGCTAAAGTGTAGAAACACATTGCCTTTTCTTTCGCCGCCTGCTTTATAATCTCTATCAGCTTCTCCTCATCCTCAACCTGACCAATCCCCATGCCAAAAACAGAGTCATGACTCATGACCATTCCAAAAACTCTGTTTGCTTCTCCTATGTATGACCACTAATTGCAACTTCCACACAATGAAAGACACAAACATTCACTGAATGATAACAAATTTCAGAGATTGTCAACCTCAAATATTGCTTATTATCATCCCCCAACGGGACAATTCCAAAACTAAAGTCATCACAACTCTTAGAGGTCCAAGTCGTCTCTTTACTCCTATGATCACTGTCTAAATGCAACTCGCTGCAATAAAAAGCACTAACATTTACTAAGATGTAACAGAGAATTTGCAATCTTTCGAACGTAATGATCAGATTTGATCTCTTCTATGAGGCTATGAGCAATCTTACTGGCACCATTCACGAAATTTCTCTCTAAATCTCATAAACAGCATTGTCTTATTCTTTCTCGGCAATTCTATCATCTCATTTTGATTTCCCAGATCATGCTTGACAATGAGATGATAGAATTGCCGAGAAATGTGAAATTTGCTTACCCAAGAGAAGAGATGTGTATTTACAGAAGACCCACGATTGAGCATGAAATCTTCGAATTGACCCAAAGCGGCGTTAACGGAGTGCTCCGCCGTCCACCCAGTCCCGTCGGAAACCAAATATAGAGACTTTCCCGCCGTTATCTCCACGTCATCACCACCACCGTCTATATTCGACGTCGTCTTCCTATCAGCGTCCTCCTCCTCCGTTACTTGACGGCGAGGCGAGTTATGTTTTGGACGGTCAATTTTAACACCGGATCGTAAAGCTCTGGCCATGGACCAGCGATTCAATCTGGGACTAATCTTCAGCTTCGGAGTCGGAGGACTTGAAGCTGTTATCGGAGGATGTTCTGAATCAGGTTCGGGATGGCCTGAGACGCCGTGTATATTCATCGTCGAGGATGTTACGGTACGTTGTTATCCTGTTACGCCGGTGTCACCCAATCACGCCGGTACAAACGCGTTGATCGCTAAAATGATTTCAGCGTTTTGAGATTGAGAAATTGATGAACAAATGTCATCACATTTGGGCTTAGAAGCCCAATATAGTAAAAACATTATCCACACACGCCCAAAAAGACCAGTATACTAAAAACAGAACACATGCAAATAAAAACACGTCGCATCAATCGAGCGTGCTTACCACGCGCTCATTTCCAATAGACGAAGGAAGAGCCTCGACCACAAAATCAGTATCGAACCGACAAAAGAAGAAAGAAGAAGAAGTGAAACCATTCTCTCTCCTCTCTCCCTCTCTCTCTCTCTCTCTCTTCACACGTATTCTGTGTTCTTTTCAACTTCCGTCTCTTTCGTTGCTTTGCTTCTATCAATCTTGTGACTTTCCTGGTCTATCTGTTACCTTAATATCATAAATCTGGTAAGCTAAAATTGACAGCAACCATTAAGTTTCTACATTCTTCGTGCGCTGGATTTCTCCAAGTTTCTAATTGTTTGGTTGATACTTATTCGATTGTCTTTGTGTTACTGTTACTTTCGTCTATGAACTCATTCAATTATAATTTTGGTTCATGCTCTGTTCTCTCTGCAAACAGTTTGGACTGATCACTCTTTTATATCAATCTCTGTTTATTCTTTGATTTAGGTCTCTGGGTTTGTGGAGAAATATTTAAAATGTATCCTTGTGGCTACGTTGCTGAGGTCACGAACCTGTCTCCTCGAGCCACTGAGAAAGATGTTCATAGTTTCTTCTCTCATTGTGGAATCGTCGAGCTCGTCCAGATCACTGGGTACTTCTTAACAAACAATCTCTGCATAATACGAGACATTTAGTCTCTGAAATTCTTGTCTAATCAATGTATATATCAATATGGATTTCAGATGCCAAGGGGAGGATGCGTTAACGGCCTATGTAACTTTCAGAGATGCGTATGCTCTTGATATGGCCGTGTTGCTTAGCGTAAGTCCTTTCCTTTTCCCCAATTGAAATCAATCTATCTTCTCGGCATTGATTTTAACATTTTCAGGGAGCTACCATCGTTGATCAAACCGTCTCGATATCCATGTACGGTGTCTACTTACACGAATCTAGCAATCCCACACTCACACAAGAAGAAGTTTATGATACTGTAACGGTAATAACTAACTTAATTCGACTAGATTACTACACTGATCTAAGTCTGTTAAAATTTAAAAAGACTCAAAATGTGTCTTTTGTTTTTTTGTTTTGAAAGGTCACTCAAAGTCACGTGGACGCGTTTGCTCCATCTCCTGGAGAAGCAGTAACGGTGGCTCAACAAGTCGTCAAGACAATGATCGCTAAAGGCTACGTTCTAAGCAAAGACGCGATCGGTAAAGCGAGAGCTTTGGACGAGTCTCAGAGATTCTCGAGCTTGGTAGCGAACAAATTGGCAGAGATCAGCCACTACATTGGCCTCACGCAGAACATTCAGTCGAGTATGGAAATCGTGAGATCAGCGGACGAGAAGTTTCATTTCTCGGATTTCACTAAATCTGCGGTTCTTGTGACCGGAACGGCTGCTGTGGCTGCGGCCACCATTACAGGCAAAGTGGCTGCTGCAGCAGCGACTAGTGTGGTCAACAGTACTTACTTTGCTAATGGGGCTTTATGGTTCTCAGATGCTTTGGGCCGGGCTGCAAAAGCAGCGGCCCATATGGCTGGTGGAGGAAGCGATTGATTTCAAACGTGTTTTAGGCTTCTTTGTTTCAAAACATAATTAGAGTTTCCATATGTATGAGGTTTTAACTTTTAACTAAGTTTTAAAGCATAAAGATGGTGGAAACCAAAAAAAAAAAAAATACCATGAATATATAATCAGTAATATTGCATGTTATTCCCTGTATGTTACATTACATGAGAAATTGGAGACCAAATTTTTAATTGTTTTTCGCTTATTTTTTGTAAGACTAAAGATGCATAGATATGAATAATATAAGCTTAAACTTGATTAATAAAAGGGATGGGTCCTAGAAACCTCCCTAACTTGATCCTTTCCTGTCTGTCTGACTCTCTCTCTCTCTTATATGAGAGGTTGATGAGATCCACAAGAAACTCCAAATTCATTTGTTATTGTCTCCCAAATTTGTAAACAACAAAGCATCTGATCTTCACTAGCTAGATTATAACTTCAAAATCCAATAGAAGCACATATATCAGCTGTGATATATAGTATCATTGGTTGTATATATACATGTATGTGTTTGATCCAACCGCAGACGCAGCCGCAGGCTTGAGATTAGAGATGGCGTTTCCTCAACATGGTTTTATGTTCCAACAACTCCATGAAGACAATACTCATGATCAACTCCCTTCTTGTCCTCCTCTCTTCAATGGTACGTAGTGGTGCTCTCTTTCTCTATCTCTCTCTCTCTCTCTCTCTTTACATAATTTAAGTTGTAATTTTGATGTATATAGGAGGAGGGAACTACATGATGAACAGATCCATGTCGTTAACGAACGTGCAAGAGGATCACCATCAATCCGTTGATGAGGAGAATCTGTCAGACGATGGGTCACATATGATGCTAGGAGAGAAGAAAAAGAGGTTGCAATTAGAGCAAGTTAAGGCGTTAGAGAAGAGCTTCGAGATTGGGAACAAGCTGGAGCCAGAGAGGAAGATACAACTAGCTAAAGCATTAGGGATGCAACCGAGACAGATCGCCATTTGGTTTCAAAACAGAAGAGCTAGGTGGAAGACTAGACAGCTCGAGAGAGATTATGATTCACTCAAGAAACAGTTTGAGTCTCTTAAATCCGACAATGACTCTCTTCTTGCCCACAACAAGAAACTCCTCGCTGAGGTACATAATATATATATATATATATGCATACATATAATTTAGTTATGTCTATTTAAAATGGTATTTAATTAAAAAAATTGGCTTGATTTTGGTTGGGTTGTTTAGTTTTACAAGATTGATAGAATAAAAATGAAACCAATGTCTCATAAACTTCAGAATTTTCCCTTTTTAAGTTTTGTTGAAGTTATCTCTAAGATCTTGTTGCTTTCAGTTTATAAATGCATTTATGTTAATATTAAGTAGGACTAGAGTAATTTAATATGAGATGCAATAGATTATTGTTAGGCACATGATCCAACACCATAAGATGTTTGTCAAAAGACAGTAGATGTTTTGTTTATCAAATAAAGGATTCTTCTTCGATCAGTGGATACATTTAGTTAATGCGTCCCCATATCATAATCATGTTATAATGGCATGTGTAGGAACCGCTAACCAGTAACCAGATCGATAGGAGAAGTATATAAGTATATAGTTAATTAATTGAATTTATCATTCTGGGGTTTTAAATGATTCTGTTAGTTATGATGTCAAAATGGATTATTTATTAAATTGTAACTAATTGTAAAAAGTAACTCAAGTAAATGAAGAAGTAATGATGTCTGACTTTCTAAAACTTAACATTTGGTTTGATTGTGATGGTTAAAGGTAATGGCTCTAAAGAACAAAGAGTGTAATGAAGCAAACATAATAAAGAGAGAAGCAGAAGCTTCATGGAGCAACAATGGAAGCACAGAGAATAGCTCAGGTATCAATCTGGAGATGCCTAGAGAGACAACTACGACACATGTCAACACGATCAAAGATCTTTTCCCTTCATCGATTAGATCATCTGCACATCATCGTGATCATGATGATGATGATGATCATCATCAGAATCATGAATTGGTTCAAGAGGAGAGCTTTTGTAACATGTTTAATGGCATTGAAGAAACGACGTCAGCTGGTTACTGGGCATGGTCTGACCCAAACCACAACCAACACCACCACCAATTCAACTGATTCATGATCTTATAGCTCGAAGAGAACATCACCATCATGGCACATTATCATAATCATCAACATCATCATCATCATCAGAAGAAGAAACAATTTATCTCTTATTTGAATTTGACTCTTTGGAATTTATTTTGTTTTCTTTGGGTTTGTGGATCATTGTTGAATATATTTCGAAAATTTGTTGTTGCTTCAATTTAATTAATGATCATATATGGATGAGTACTTTATTAATTGAAGCTAATCTTATGATCAAAACTGGACTAAGTGAGAAGCATAGCATTTAGCAAAAAGTTGATACGAACACACTCCAATTTACAGTCTAACCTTCCTCAAATTATTATTGTTATACATATTCTGGAATTTTATATGATTTGATGGGTTGGTACAAATTTATTAACAAAATAAGGAAACAAAAGTGAGAAAGATTCACATGCATGTGACTTCGAGTGGGATTCCAGCTCTGTCATTGACGTAACATGATCCATGACTTATATTATATGCAGGATTGTTGTTTTTTAATAGATATTTTATTAGTCTATTATCTTTGCAAGTTGCAATATATATAATTTAATACAACGAAGTTATAGTGTTATACTGAATTACAGTATATACTGAAAAATAAAAACTGGATTTTTACAATCATACATGTATGAAAATTATGGACTAATGGAACAATAATTATCAAAAAACACTAAGGCGTGCGTCACTTAAGTTGCATTGCATGTATATATATGGGGACCAAATATTCACGTTCAAGCGCAAACCGTAAAATCACCTCTTTTATATATATTCTTTGTTGGTTCAAAATGTTTGAATGAAAACTATCCGATGGTGGATTTTTAATGAATCCAGAAGTTTTATTACTCACTTCAAATAACTAACATTGTACATACGAAATTTTAATTAATTTATAACAAATAAAAAAATCATAAATAATAGCAAGGATTGGAAAGAGGAAGATGATTGAAAGCACACGTTCCATAACACAGAGAAGAACAGACCAAAAAGAAGAAAACAAAAGTCGGAACAGTGTTGAAAGATTTCACTCTGCTTTTGGGTTCTTTCTCTTTGAGACGAATCTTGAATTTTTTTTGAATCATTTTTTTATATAATCACTTTTAGAAAGCTAGAGTTATATATTATTATTGTATTTGTTTACGGATTTTACATAAGAAACCATATTGTTTTTCACTTATCCCATATTAAGAAGGCCACATCTGTCCCTTTTACTGTAGTCAAGAATTCTTATCTATTGCTATTCTGTAACTATTACATTGTGATAATAACTAACTAACAAACTATTATAAAACCAAAAAAAAAAAACTAACAAACTATTAGCACAACGATAGATTACGATAATATAAGTCATGCATTCCATTTAATTGTGTTACAATTGATTTATTATTCAATTGATGCAATCAATTAAATATATACTACGGGCAAATTATTTGCTCCTCTCGCTTGTAAAGCCAAATTCCATGGGCCAAGTATGAAACCTCCTTTAAACGCATCAAAACATACATCAAACCCTAATTTAGGTTTCAGCTTCTGTTTAATCCCAAATCTTGTAAAATGGATTGGATTACGGATGTAAATCTCGCTTCCTCAGGCGCTCGAATGATCCTCCTGTTGAATTTCTTAAGAGTTTTCTGGAAACGCTCTAGATTCTGACCATTTTTGTCAGCCTCTCCAAGCTGATTCAACATCATCTCAGATCTGGTTAACATATGCATTTCACTCTCTAAGTTTTTAATGTTCGTTTCCTTCTCTTTCAAGTCCTTCTCGATCAAGTCTTTGGCTTGATGCAAGTCGTTTTGAAGTACTTGTTCGTCAAAAATTACGGGACGTTGAGCCTCAGAAACATGTAAGAAGACAATAAGGGTGACAACGAGAAGAACAAAGGAGATCTTTGCCATGTTTAATGATTAACTTCCCCTCAACTTAATTTGAATTAGATCAAATTATAGCTTGTTAAAAGGAAAATATAGACGAGAGGAGTGAGTTCGTGTATTTATTTCTTACAACATTTATAGTTTTATTTGTGCGTAAAAATAGTATACAAACGCAATCTTACTTTGATAGTCAACGAATGGTATTGACTTTGTTACTTAATTATCTTTGGTTACCCCTAAATTTCGCAAATATTTTGGTAATCTCATTTACAACTTTCAAATTTATAACCTCCAATTATATGAAAAGTATTTTTAAAAATTTCTGTATTTAGACATTTATCATGTAACGGTTTAGTGATGAACCAACATAATTTACTAACAAACAAAAAAAAAATTAATTAATCACTTGAGTGGGTCATAGACAAAGAAAGCGGACATGATAACACTATAACAGTCACATTATCATGTTTTTTGTTTGGAAGTTGCTGGGTTTGCATTTGGGAAACTAAACAAAATTCAAAGCAAATTTTACCCAGTACTCGAAATTAACTTATATATGAGGACCCATGCCCCATGGTAAGTTCCTATGCAATTACCTCGTAACTTTGCCTGTCAGCACTTTATAGGTTTTATGTTTTCTTAAAAAGACTGGAGCTCTGTTTTTTTTTTTTTTTTTGGTCTAAGTCCATTAAAAATATATAATCTTTCCTTCTAGTTGTTCAAAATACACACAAAAAAAAGTCTGCATGTTTTCATTATTAGTGTCTTTTTATGGTTTTCACACATATGACAAGTTTTATATTACCTTCTGTTATTCTATATATTTCTCATATACGAAGATTAATTTTGAAGATCAAATGATGATGGTATGTATATTCGTACGTATGGACAAGCTTTTCATTTTTTTTTTTGTAAACTAATGTGGTTCACTACTGGCTTTTTCTGCCACCTTTTTATCCACAAACAGTTAATTGAGTTTTAATCTAACAGAAGGAAAAGTGTCATTCTTCTTTCTTTTTTTTTTTTTTTACATATACAGTATTATGATACCATAAATAATTAAATAGTAATACTTCATTTCATTGTATTAATTAATTACAATAGGATACAACTAGTATAGTGTGGGCAAATTATTTGCTCCCCTCACTTGTAAAGCTAAACTCCATGGCCAAGTTCAAACCTCCTTTTAACACATCAATTAAATACCCTAATTGTTATTATTTAGTCAATTCCTCCCTCCGTTTAATCCGAAATCCTTCAAGATCGACTGGATTATGGATGCTGGTTTTTTGTTTCTCGCAGGTGATCTCCTGATGTTTAGCCTGTTGAATTTCTTGAGTTTCTTTTCAGAAGGCGCCTGAGCCGGTGCCAGCGTCGGGGCCAGCTCCGGGGCTAGCACGGGGGCGCTCGGCATCTGTTCGGAGTTGCTCAGCGTTTCTACTTGAGATGGCAAACCTTGATCGCTCGTTTTCTTGGCCTTTAAGTCTTCTTCAAGGAATCTTCCCACGCGGTGAGCTTCATAAGCGTGGAGAGAGGCGATAAGAACCAAAGCGAAAAGAAAGAAGGAGATCTTTGCCATGATTAGAGCTCGGTTTTCCCTTAACAATCAATTTGAAATTAGGTTCAAATAGTTTGTTAAAGGAAAAGAGGCGTTATAAGAGATGTGAGTTCTTGTCTTTTGTTTTTAGGGTTTTTTTATACTATTATTTTTGACTAATAATAGTACGTGCATGTAACCTTTAGATTGATGGTCAGCGAATTGATTTGCCTCGGATCACTCATCTCTCTCTGATTATCCATAAAATTCGCAAAACATTTGCTAAAGTCATCCAGTTTCAAACTTTTGTATTTAAAGCATCTACTTATAGCTAGAACATCAAAATATCAACTACTTTTAGATAATTCTTTTCGTGTAAAGGAAGTTTCAACCCTCTCATATAGTTGACGTACGCAAGAAGTTACCTTGTCTTAATTTGAAACGATACAATGGCAAAGATCTCTTCCGTACTATCCGGTCTTGTTGTGACCCTAGTCATCGTATTGGGATGCAACATCGATGAGGTTGCAGCGAGAGACGTGAAGCTAGTGAAACTCCGCGATGTAAAACCCGAAACTTTGAAAACATTGAAAAAAGAAGAACAAGTAGAGCTCATGAAAGGAGAGGCAAAGACCAAGCTTCTAAAAGAGATCGAGAAGGCGAATAAAATGCTCAGAGAGTTGAAAGCGTCCAAGAAGCAATCAAAAGGTGATATGAAAGACGAGTTGGGTTCTTTGGTGAAATCTGAAGCGCTACTTAATGATATTTCAAGTTCTCTCAAGAGTGGAACGTTCAACGCTAACAAAGCTAACATTTTTGTTGAGAAAGAATCATTTTTCTACAGAGCATGGAAGGAGAATGCTTATCGTTCGATTGTTCCGGAGAAAGAGAAAGAGTTTATGAAGACGATTAAACACATTGTCAAGTTATTAAAGAAGACTTAATTAGAAGAAGAAGGAGTGAGTTTTTGATATTTCAAAAGAGAAAAATCGTGTCACACAGACACATATATATATATATATGTATATATCAACGGTTTGTTCTGTAAAGGTATTTTGTAATTAGTAACTACACTATTTTTTGTAAAGCATATTGAACTTGTATTTGGTCCGAAATACTAAAATAAAATGTCTGGAAATTTTTTAATATTAGCATCAATTTTTCCCCATGGTCAACCAACCCCAAAGTAGGTCCAATTTGTTAAAGCTCATAACATATATCATTTTCAAATGACAAAAAAATGTAATTTAGATCAAAATATCACTAAAAACTTTTTGTTTTTTGGATTCGCCATATTGGACTTGGACATCAATAAGCTGCTAAAATATCCTTCATATCCTTTATTCTTGTTGTTAGAATTCGCAAGCTATCTAAAGTACTAGTCTTTTGCATTAGACTCCGGCCGCTCCAAGTTGAATTCTGATCCCAATTCCCTGATCCGACCATAGTTGATATCGCTGCTGCGATTAAGTGAAACTTGGGTCGGAAGTAAGAGCTTTCGTGAGGGTTTCATTGTATAAACGAAGACGATCCAGATTGGACGTAGAAGAAGAAGAGAGGACGGTTGATGGTGAATAGAAAGGCTTGTTGATGAATCTTGAACTGTTGTCGTAAACTTTGAAATTCACACTGTTCTTGAATAGAAAGGTTTGTTGTTGTCGTAAAGTTTGAAACATATAATAAGTCCATTAATATATGTTGCATAATGATTTAAGAGTATGAAATTATATTGTTTAGGAAATGTACTTGGTTTGATCTTGAAGTCTCTGATCAGTATATACTTTCGCCAAGTCTTTGTTTTTTTAACTTAGTTTTATCTTTGGTATTTCATATTTTCCCAAAGGTATAATAGTTAGAGAGCACACCCAAACATACACAACAAATAGAACACAGAAACAAAATAGAATTACAAAGTATCCAGCCCTTTCGCATTTATCCTTTACAGAAAAGACCTTCACAAATTAGTCTTTTTCCATTTTCCTGGCCTAGATATAGAAGAGAAAAAGTAATGTAGTTGTGCAAAATATTTTAGCATGCTTTTCCGACCCGGCAATCCAATGCTCCGGCGTATTTGGTAAGCTTTGAAACGAACAGACCATGTTTTGGCTTTATCATCTGTTGTCTAGAGTGTGAACACTTGAAATGAGGATTTCCAGATTGTCTGAAATAAGCTCCGTTCAAGAAATAATCTTTCTCCGATCTCCAGTTCCAGTGTCTCCACACAAACTCCGGTGCGTAATCCCTCTTTGTCGCCTATATACGTATATACACGTATTTTTTAATTATTAGTTCAAAAAATAACCTCAAACTTTGGTTTCATACTTAACAAGAAGATATGATGTTTGGTACCTCTTTGTAATGAGGCTTGTGAGGAGGAGCGATGAAACGGTTACCGTGGCTGAGAATGGTAGGACCTTGGCTACCTCCGATAGCGTAAAGCTCCCAGTGAGTGTAGTCATTGTTAACAACATGCACGAAACCCCATCGGATCCTCGGCATCCTCTGCACAAGCCCTTTCCCAAAATGATTGTATGCCACTGTCACTTGCATCCTCTTGTCATCTTGGTTGTGGTCTTGTGCACCAAGCAACATAACCTAACACACAAAATACAATAATTAACAACTTTCATTACTTTGAGTTTTGTCAGTAACTCTAATGATATAATTAACGAGGATTTGAATACTCACATCGTTGTGGTGAGTGAAATGAGAGTTAGAGATGGTGATTCCGGTGGAGCCCATAATAGCGTCGATGAGACCATCTTCGCACTTAGACATGGAAATGTGGTCAAGCCAAACGTTTGTTGCACCAAAAATAGAGATACCATCTCCATCAGCCCTTCCTCTTTGCCCAAAGTGGTCAATAGTATCTCTGATGAGACCACCACTGCTGGAGACGATGTGATGGACATGAAGCCCATGAATGATGACATTGTGCACATACTGTATCGTGATCCCGGCACCGTATGCGACGTGCACGTTAGTGCCACGAGCATCGATGGTCTTGTGACTGTTAATCATCAGTTCTTGCTTCAACCTAATGCTCATGTCGTGCTTGAAGATGATCCAGAGCGGCTCTTTCTGGATCACAGCGTGACGAAGTGTTCCAGGTCTAGGGTTCACCACATCATCATCTCTGTTGCTCGTGACCACGTAGATACGGCCGTGTTTGCCTCCCGTGGTCTTGTAACCGAAACCACGGACGCAACGGACGAGATCCTTGCGACGCTTCGCCCAATCAGGCTTGCAACGCCAACATTTATCGATGGGGTTGCTTGCGGTGCAAGGTCCCTTTAGCTTGCTCCATTTCCCTCTTCTTCCTCTTCCTCTTCCTCTGCCTCTACCGCTTAGGCTCCTCCTTGTGCTGTTCCCGGGACTAGAAGTCATCTCATTGTCCTCCTCTTCCGTCTCCTCAACAGCAGTAGAGTTGCTGGAGAATTATTAGCAAAACCAAAACCATCATTAATTACCCCCAAAATATTCTCATTTTTCGCTATGTGTTTTTATTAACCAAATGATCATCGTTAATTCATGTCACGCTCGTCTTATATAATATCGTAGCAAGTCCAGCTACGCCTCAAGGTCCAGGAGTATTAAAAAGTAACAGATATTGAATCTCACTTTCAAACTATAATCGATTATTTTCTAGCCCTTGTTAGAACTTCTTTTTTTATATATCAAATTGTTAAAACTTCTTCTAATATGATTTTGTATTTTAATTTGAATACAATCAGAATAAACAACTAATGTCATCTGACTACGGAATTGCTCTCTAGATGACAGAATCACAATCAAACGTGGTTTGAACTAGAAACATTGGGTCGGATGCAAAATATAAACAGGACTTACTCGTAATGGCGCTCGTGGAAGTGGTCGACGATCTCGTAAGGGTCGGGATGATAAGTCAAAAGGGTACGTTCACGAGCTTCATTGGCCTTTTGTACCCAATACTCATCGGTAGTCTCCGCAACATTGGCTCGCATGGTCGGAATTAAACCGGCAATACAAACCACACAAACTAATAAGAAAAGCCTAGCGGTCTCCATTTTATTTGATTACCCCTTTTTCGACGGAGAATTTTTATATTTTTTTAAAAGGGGTAATCTTTTTATATATTTTTGAAATATATGTGGAAACTACTGAGCTTTAAACATGGTTTTAGGTAGTTTTTCTGTTTGGCCCCTACGAGCCTTTTTTGGTATATGAAGCGTATTGCGAAGTTTGACAAACGTGAAGGCTGGACTTTAAATAATAAAAGAGATCGGCGAAGAAAGTTAACTTCTATATTTAGAAAGTTTACCCGTTATGTATGGAAAGCCACCATAATTTACCTGTGGACAGGTTTCTTTGTTTTATTAATTAACTTTTCCTCCTTTTTTTTTTTTTTTTTAATTTTGTTTTCTATATTTGGATGCTTCTATAAAGAGACACACGACTGCTTTCTCAATATTTTCAACCAATTTTAGCAACAAAACAGTTACTTTTGAATCCTCATCATATTCATACGTATCTAATAGTAGTGAAAATGTCAGTCTGCTTAATTCTACGTCTAATATAATTATCTGAGTAGTTTTACAAATATATATATATATATATATAATTATCTGAGTATATCATCGAGTACCGTACTAAAAGCTTAACTAATTTTTCAAAACATATTATTTTCACTCACTATTGAGATGAAGGTTCCTGATTATTTATCAAATGACCTTTTTCTGGTCTTTATAAAATAGTATACATAATTGACTAATTGTCAACTACTCAACTAGAGATCGTAATGGTAAAAATATTCGAGGTTTTTCTTCAACTATTTTGATTTGGACCTTTAAAAAATAAATTGAGTGGAACGTGAAAGCATGAATTGATTCAGAGTAGTATCTAGAACAAAACAAAAAAAATCTGATTTTTTTCTTTTGGTCGTAAATCAGTTTGTTACATACCTTTAATTAGTAGTTGCTGAAGAAAGTTCATAGAAAGAGAAAGAGAAAATAGGTATCATGATTTCACTATAATTATACCATCACATTGTTAAAATAAGCAATGAAGTAGCTGAAGTGATAAGACAACTAATCGCGGACCAATTATTCATCTCCAAACCAATCACACACATGGTTGACAGGGTAATTGATTAATTAATCGGTAAACCCGTTCAAGACGAACAGAACAGAGTCAGAGAAATAAAATAAACGACGCCGCCTGAGTGCCACGTATTAAATTGAGAGAGTAGGATGACTACTTTTATTGGAAACATCGACGACTGTGGATGAGTGAAACTGACGCAGCGAGTCTCGATCCAACGGCTGATAATATTTCGTCTCTGATAATTCGGTAAAAACAAAAAAATACAGTAAATGTTAATTAGGGTTTTCTCTAATCTCTTGTAGACGCCACGCCACATATATCCAGCTCTCATCTTCTTCATTTTCTCTGTTGTTCTTCTTCCAGAGACTCGAGAACTTTCATTTCCTCTACGATAGAAGCAAAAATGGCGAAAGGTCCCGGTCTGTACACCGAAATCGGCAAAAGAGCCAGAGGTAAAATCTCCAACTCCTCTTTCATTTCGTCGAATCTGTTTGTTGTGCCAAGCGATCTGATACTTTGCAAATTAGGGCTCCGTTAGGTTTTCTGATCTCGATTGTTTGTTCTTAGATTATTGTGGTTTCTTATAACGATTGGGTCATCGATCTAGTTATGCAAAGACTTAGTGAATGAGATACAAAATGATGGTTTCCAGCGACATTTGTGATGGGATTTCAATCTATTTGTTTTGTTCTTCCCTCTTTCGTTTTCGAATTTGGCCCCGATTTATATGATTCATCTTGGATCTGGGTATATCAATCTATTATCTCTCATGTTGTTTGCGTTTCTCACCATTTGTTTCTCCTCGGAGAATGTTTGGTAGATGAATACTATCTGAATGTTGCTATTGCGGATTTGCAGATCTTTTGTACAAGGACCACAACAGTGACCAGAAATTCAGCATCACCACCTACTCTCCAGCCGGTGTTGTAAGTTTCAACTTCATTTTAACTATCAACTCTGCATTCTTATTGATGATTAAGATTACTGGAATGCGCTCTTCTTCAGTGTGATTAGCTTTAACTTTACTGTTGAGATTTGAGTTGTTTAAGCTTTGTGTGATCCAGCTTCACAAATGTTGGATAGTATTCTGTTTTTTTTTTTGTGATGAACATTGTGTTTCTTCTATCTTGGACATTTTATAACTCAAAAGCTGCATTTTTATCTTGCTTTAATCATAGGCCATCACTTCAACTGGAACTAAGAAAGGTGACACACTGTTGGGAGATGTAGCTTTTCAATCCAAGCAAAAGAACGTTACTACTGACTTTAAAGTCTCCACAGATTCTACCGTAAGTATATTCTCTTTACTTGTTTTTTCGCTGTTTTATGGTTGAGCAGCCACTAAGCTAACAACTATGATGTGTGTATTGGTTATCAGGTTTTGATCACTGCTACGGTTGATGAGGCTGCACCTGGATTGAAGTCAATCTTCAGCTTCAAGGTCCCTAACCAAAATTCCGGCAAGGTATTGTGATAACTATACAATCATCTCTAGTTGTTATAGTAGTTTGATATGGCTTTTCTAGCTTGACATCTTTAATGTGTTTGTCTCCTCTTCGAAACAGATTGAGCTACAGTACTTGCATGACTACGCCGGTATTAGCACGAGCATGGGATTGACTCAGAACCCGACTGTCAACTTCTCCGGTGTGATCGGCACCAACGTCTTGGCAGTTGGTACTGATGTTTCCTTCGATACCAAATCCGGCAACTTCACCAAGATCAATGCTGGTCTAAGCTTCACCAAGGATGATCTTATCGCCTCCCTTACCCTGTAAGTGAATTTGAGCGACAGAAAACTGTTTTTTTTTTTTTTCTTTAATTTTGGTAAAGAAGTGAATTGAGTTTCTTTGTTGTTTGTTAGGAATGATAAGGGTGATTCGATGATCGCGTCGTACTACCACAGTGTAAACCCGCTGTTCAACACTGCGGTTGGAGTAGAAGTGAGCCACAAATTCTCGAGCAAGGACAACACGATCACCGTGGGCACTCAGCACTCGCTCGACCCCTTGACCTCGGTGAAGGCGCGTGTGAACAGTGCGGGCATTGCAAGTGCACTCCTTCAACACCAGTGGAGACCAAAGTCGTTTTTCACCATCTCAGGAGAAGTTGACACTAAGTCCATTGATAAGAGTGCTAAAGTTGGATTGGCTCTCGCTCTCAAGCCTTGAAGAATTCATATGATGGTGGTTTGTTGGTTCTTGGTTGCTATAACCTTTTAAGTAGGTTTTTCGACATGGTTCTTTTTTGTTTTTTTTTTCTCTCTCTCTGCTTGGTTCGTTCTTTTAATGGCGGCTACTACTGATCTTTCGTATTTTCTTTTCGGATTTGTAGAGAATAAAAAAGGATCGTCTTGATGATGATGAAACCCTTGAGATCCTTTTAATTTCTTCTTTGCTACCTTTCCACTCGGATTTATTGTTTTCGGGTCTTTTGTTCTCTGGGCTAAAAACGAGCATTGATATTGTCACGATATAAGACTTTTTCGAATATTAGTGGAAACATACAATTAGAGATAGATATAAATTTATAATTTCAATTTTCACAAGCAAACTGAATTCGCAAAATAATTACACAAATATCACAAATACAGACAATGTATAATACGGACCACAATCAAAGACAGGACAGCAATATGTTTGTTTTTTTTTGAAAAATTTGGGAGAGACGACCAAGACCAGTTGACTTTTGAGTGGGGCCCTTAGTCGTGATGGGTCTGGTTGGCCTGTAACAATCCATTGCGAATCTGCGTCGCCACGTCAGAGACGGCGCCGGGACCGTGAGGGATAAACACCGCCGATGATTTGGAGTGAGCTCCGATATCTCTCATTGTGTCAAAGTATTGAGTCATCATCACCATGTCCAACACATCCTTCGCCGACGTCCCTGGCACGTTTCCGGCGAACCCGAGAACGCTGTCTCTCAGACCGTCCACGATCGCTTGTCTCTGCCGAGCGATTCCGAGTCCCGACAGGTATTTCGACTCGGCTTCTCCTTCTGCTCTCTTGATCTGAATTATCTTCTCCGCCTCTGCTTTTTCGTTCGCTGCCACTCTCATCCTCGCCGCTGCAACGATTTCTTAGTCAGAAAACTTGATTCCGATATTGGGATTTTGAAGATCAAAGATCCAATACTACTTACCGGCGTTGATCTCGTTCATGGCGCGCTTAACCTGTTGATCAGGCTCGATGTCGATGATTAGGGTTTGAAGGATCTCATAACCATAAGCGGTCATGGCTTTGTCTAGCTCTTCTTCCACGGATTTGGCGATTTCATTCTTCTGCTCGAAGACATCGTCCAAGTTCAGCTTTGGAACACATGCTCTGATCACTGACAAAACAAAAACCAAAATGAATACTTGACCGGAATAATTCAATTATACTTGGAGCTCAAGAAAAAGATGGAGTAATTACCATCAAAGACGTAGGCTTTGATTTGAGTCGTTGGATTGCTAAGTCTGTAAAAAGCATCACTTGCCTTGTCAACTAAGACTCTGTATTGTATGGATGCAACTACTGTCACAAACACATTGTCCTGAAACAGAATCATTCCATTAGAACAACTGGAGCTACATGCATACATATTATATGTGTGTCTGTGTGTCTGTGTCTCATGTGTTCAATGTTTACATACCTTTGTTTTGGTTTCGCATTGAACATCGAGTTGCTGGAGACGGAGAGTGAGGTGACCGGCGACGTAATCACCGATGATCCAGGGAACAAACTGGAGACCAGGATTGAGAACTTTCTCAAATTTGCCAAATCTCTCCTTGATCGCCACATCTGATTGCTTCACCAGCACGCAGCAGAAAAGGTTTCCCATTAAAAACTCTTCTTCGGATAAGAAGAAGAAAATTGAGTTATATCTCTTTGTCTTGCTCTGTAAAGTTTGTGGAAGAGAGGAAACTCGCAGGAGAGTTATATAGATAAGATGATCATGCCAACATGTCATTTGATTCTTCCTCGGAAATTTCGTATTTGTTATTCAATAGTGATATGTTCTTTGAAAAGTCAAATAGTATTATCTTGGAGAAGACTAGATTATCAAATTTGATAAATTTCTTTCATTTCTCATCAAATACTTTTGCTTTTATCCTCTTTTTAGTAATGACTAAAGCTTCATTAAAAAGCATATCTTTTGAGTAATAGCAGCAAATGGGGAAAAAAAGGGGATCACTGATTAACATTTTATGATTATTATATCAGTTTTCTCAAGTAAGAGGATAGACAATGAGGATAGCCTTGTCAGATAGCAATAAACAAGAATTATCTTTACTTTATGTGTTTGTAATCTTTGTATATTTAAACTCAAAATTGTAGGACTTGACTTTACTTATAACACTCTGCCTCCGGCTGTAAATTGTTAGGGTTTCCAAATTAACAAGATGGTTTATTAATATCCTTATCTTGTTTTAAATTTGGTTTATGTTTGATGGAAAAAGGTGGATCACAATACTTGGAAGTTGGAATGGTCCCATTATTCTTGTATAGTTGAATGTAGTATTTCTTATCAAGTTAGCGCACATACACAAAAAAAGACAAACTACAGCAAAAGAAAGCGAGTTTGCTAAATATAATACTACTTTTGGATACTTGGAAGTTGATACGGTCCATTATTCTTGTATAGTTGATTGTAGTATTTTTTTTTATCAAGTTCCACATAAAAAAAATAGAATCAAACAAACTACAGCAAAAGAAAGCGAATTTCAACTCTATATAATACTTATGAATAAAAGTCGTTTGGTCTTTGCGGCTCGCATGTTTAACAAAGAAAATGGATAACTTGCATTTGAGTAACTGAATAATTTAACGTAAGAAATGGTGTCACTGTGACATAGTAGTATTTTTTATATGTTGATTATTCGATTATCTGTCTAAGGGAACAAGCGGATGAGTCCAAAAATCAAACGAGGAAAGATTCAAAATTTAAAAGCGTAATTCCATCCACACTTGTATTGAAGATTAGGTTGCGTTGCGTAGTGGTCAAGCCTTTGTGAAGTGCGAAAACAATTAATAGCGAATGACAAATGCACCACCGGTTAAACAGATAAACACTAATAGACTACTGTTAAAGAGATCAATAGACGAAGAAACATAAGGTGACAAAGATAAATCCACAACTTTTGATCAAATCTTAAAATCGGTTAAGGATATTATCGGTTTTACATGGGTTGTTAAAAAAAGAGCCTCTAAAGATTTCATGCACCTTTGGGCTTAGGAGACGGAATCTGATGACGATAAGGTGAAGAACCAGCTTGACCATGAGGGCTAGACAGCGTCCTAAACACGGGTTGCCCGTTTCTTGACCCGAACCCACGGCCCGACCCAGCTTTCTGTCGCTCGGCTTGCATAGTCTGGAAGTAGTAAGAAGAGCTAGCCATGTCTTTGAGATGTGGGAGTGGTTTAAGGATTTCGACCACTTCACTCATTTTGGGTCTCATCTTGGAGTCACGGCTAAGGCATTGAGCTGCGAGCTGAGTCACTTTCTGAGCTCCTTTCATGGAGAAATGACCCTCCAGCCTCGGATCAAGCAGCCTGTAGACTCTTCTCTTGTCAAGGAGATGCGGTCTCGCCCACTCCACGAGGTTGTGCTCGCCGTTTGGTCGGTTTTTGTCCATAGATCTTCTACCAGTCAGCATTTCCAGTAGAACCACACCAAAACTGTAAACATCGCTCTTTGATGTCAAGTGACCTATAAGCAGTGACAAACAGACACTCGTTATAGTTATAACAGTGCTAATAGAGAAGAAGTGATCAGAGGAGTGAATGAAAAAGCAAAGACTTACCAGTCATGACATACTCGGGAGCAGCGTAGCCATAAGTGCCCATGACACGAGTAGACACATGGGTTTTGCCTTCATCAGGAGCATCTTTGGCAAGCCCGAAATCTGATAGTTTTGCATTGTACTCCTGAAATTGTCACATTTGTAAGAGTTCAGTAGCAACAAGGAAGAAAGGCTTGTTGTATACATACATGTCAAAGTTAGAGATAAAGAAAACATACTGCATCTAGTAAAATGTTGGAGGTTTTGAAATCCCTATAGATAACCGGCTTTAGAGCTTCTTCGTGAAGGAAGCTGAGACCCTTTGCAGCACCTAATGCAATCCTCATCCGAATTGACCATGGAAGAGGCAACGACCCTTCAACAACAAGCACGAGTTAAAACTCACAAAGATCAAGATTTCTTACCATTTATAACTGACAAGACTAATCAAACAAAGGCAATATGCCCCTTTAGACCCACTTCTTTAAAACTAGAACTATGGATGGAAGGGATTTAGCTTATTGATTAGTGGGTCAAATATAGTCAATCAATATTTAACCATCCAACATTTGGAGATAGAAAGGTTCCAACTTTAGCAATATGGGGTAGATGCATCTTTAACTCTTAGCTATTTACTATTTGAGTGGCAAGCACAAGAAGAAAGAGCTAAACTTTACTGCATGTATAACAATATGAAGGTTGTGATTGTTTAACTTACTTCTGAAAAGGTGATTCTCCAAACTTCCACGAGGCATAAACTCATATACCAGCAGCCTTTGATCATCTTCGATACAATAACCCACCAGTTTAACAAGATTTGGATGCAGAAGATTACCGAGATAGTTAATCTCAGCCTGCAAGCGCAAAAGCAGAAACCTTTAGTACTGTCTTAAAGTTTTCAACAGTGGAAAGGGTAAAGAGGACAAAGGATCTTACAAGCCACTCTTTATGACCCTGAAGTCCATCAGGGTTTAAGGTTTTGACAGCCACAGTAAGACCAGTGCCAGGCTTAACAGGAGCAGTTCCGTTCTCCTCGACCCATCCTTTGAAGACACAACCAAACCCACCTTCGCCGAGAAGACTTTCCGGTCTGAAATTTCTAGTTGCCAACTTGAGATCAATGAAAGTGAACTTCTTTAGGTGGGAATAGATCTTGAGTTCTTCACTTATCATTGGAGTCGACATGGAGCTTTCAGCATTGCTTGTTGTTGTTGTAGAAGAAACCGGGCCAACCGGTTGATCATTTGATTTCAAAATTGCCGACGTACTTCCCACTGTTCAACCAAAACAACAAAGAAAAATCTATCATTAGAAAACCATTCAAATGTCCTTCCTGAGGCAACCACATTCACATAGCAAACAACACTGCACAATTCACTTTGAAGCAAGAAAATCTCAAGGAGACAGATTCATCAAGAGAGCTTGAAAGCCAAAAGGAGAAGAAATCGTTTAGGAAAATTCCTAATTATCAAAAGGGAAACTCAAGATATACATTTTAACACCAAATTAGTTTAGCTACAGTTAGGTAAGCCAACCACAATAGCATTGAGGTTTTGCTAAGTTTGTCAAATGGGGGAAACAAATACCCTAGATGGTAACATAAGCTTTTGTGACAATCACAGAAACAACAACATAAATAAGTGATTTTCATCCCAAAGGAAGGTTTTTTCTTAGCTCAAAGGCACTGAAAATCCTATCTCGAGATCAAATTGCAAAATCAAATGGACAAGAGAAAAAAAAATCAGAAGAAGAATGGTAACATAAGTCTTGTGACAATCACAGAAACAACAAGAACAAAAATAAGACCCAAAGGTTGGTTTTTTCTTAACTCAAAGGCACTGAAAATCCTGAATTGCAGAATCAAATGGACAAGAGAAATAAAACCCAGAAGAAGAAGAAGAAGAAGGAATATATATACCTGTGCTAGTAGAGGTACTGAGAGAGCTATCAACGTCTGATGTCGAAGGTACGCAACAAACCATAACCCTAAATTTGAGCCAACACCCATTTGCTGCCTTTTCACCTTCACTGTTTCTGACATTGCTCTTCTTCTTCTTCCTCTTCTTCTTCTTCTCGCTCTCGGTTGATTTCTTCGATTGCCAGTTCTCCATAACTTTGACGGAGTCTAAACCCATCTCCACGAACCCAGAAGAACAACACTACGGAACCTGATCAGACCAAGACACGAAACAAAACCCTATAAAATCCAAGCGAATTTGAGAACACAAAAGTTGAGATTTTTTCTGAGAGGGAGGAAAAAAAAGGGTGAGCTTGGTCTAGAGAGAAGTAAGATTCACTTGAAAAATGGATTAAACCCCAAGTTGCGGAATTTTAGTCAAAAAGGGAATTGATGTCTGTGTGGAGAGAGATGTGCAGAGAGGAGAGAGAGATTGGGCATGTGTTTGTTTGCTAACTCTCAACAGTTACAAAACGCATATTTCGTAGCCCCAAAACATGTAATTATCTATTTTAATATTGCCGGACATATATTCCTATTTTGCCCAAAACTAACCCTTCTTTTGGTAACTTTATTACCAAACTCCAAATGGGTTAACACTTAAACACTCTCGTGTTTGTTTTGTCATAATTATTGTTTTTGTTCTTTCTCAATCTCAGAATAACTCTCGTTTTATTAAAAATCTCTTGAGAAATTTCCACCTCAAAAACAAAATCTACAGAGATTTGGAGAGATCTATGAAATATTTGCTCTGTGCTTCTTTTCCACCTCATAATCAAATTGCTTTTCATTTTCACCTTTTCCTTTTTCGATATAAGCGAAGCTAAAACACAAAATGGGAAAAGGATTAGCAATACATATGTTAATATGTATACTAGTACTATTAATTTTAATATTTGTAACAATATCACTCAAATTTTACAGGTTATATCTATTTAAAAGTTTGTGTCCAAAAAATCCGCAAGCACTTTAATGTAAGAGATGACTGAAAAGAACAGTATCTACCTAATAAAACTCAAGCGTTATCCTATTTTTGAACTAGTGTTATTGATTATTAAGAGGAGAAAATGATAGAAAGTATTAGAGTACGTCACGGGTGACTCATTTATGTTCCATGTAATAATTATCATAATTCAAACTCAACTGCAGGAGTCCCTTTCACAAATTGACTATATACTGGTATTCAAAATAGGAGCTACATTTAATTCTAGCAATTATGGGAGAAAAAGAAACTTGTAACATGTAGAAAATAAATAAAAAACAATGATTTGAAGTTTTGAACTGCACAAGAACAAAACAATGAGCAAATCTTCAGTAGAAAACCAAAAAAAAAAAGCAGACTGATGTCCCCTTAGGTTTTTCCATTAGAAGAAGAAGAGTTCTTGTAGTTGTGGAAGAGGTTAACGAGACGCTCGAGAACGGCGGCGCTTTTGGAGAAGTAACCGGAGAAACCAACCGGAATGGAGGCCGGAGGGAAATCTTCAGGCGGCATAGCAAAAGGATGAACCATTTTCTCCATAGTCTCGAGTGTCAAACAAGAACCAACCTCTTGAAGCCTCTCTGGTCCCATTATCGGAAGCGTGTGTTCCCTTAGCAATGACTCTGCCTCGTCGTCATTATTCTGTCCTCACAAAAAATATTTTAAAAGTTAAAACATTATTATATTTCACAAAGACGTTAAAAGTTTGAATTTGTAACAATAAAGTGTCTAATAGTCTCATTACCTCCAAGGGAGACAAATCAGCTCCACGGCTAAATGTAAGTTCGATGCGGAATCTCTTCGGGTCTTCAAGTGATACCTGCGCATCCATTTTTATTTGAATTCAGAAACATATTATTTTGAAGCATTTTGATGTGAAAGTGTGAAAGGGAATATGTAAAATGTAAAACCTCGGTGTTCTCGAAGAGCCTTAGGACAATGTAACTCATGTAATCGAGTTCCTTTGTTTTACAAAGACGTTCCAAGGCGTTTTGGCAGATGAGACTTTCTTCTCCTTGAAGTGATTCGTCGAGGTTACAGTATCGGAGGACGTTCATCAGCGAATGAATATGCGATTCCTGTTACATCAATCATTATTTAGTTTCACTCTAAGCAAGAGTCTTGAACAACAAGAAATGGAGACTGGAGGAAACTTACAGATGTGAAGTAAAGTCGAGTCCTCACATGACGTTCAGGTGTCTTCACATTTGCGTACCTAAAACGGAAATGCAATTAGAAGGAGGAGTAAACAAAAAAAGAGAAGAGGAAAGAAAAGCAGAGACTATTGTTTACTTTGGATCTAATCGGTATTTGGTTTCTTTGTCATCATCTTCATCTTTATCAGCTGTACCAGGTCGTCTCAAATCATCGCTACTGATAAAAAGCTTTGGTTGGCTATTTCTATCTTCCTTTTTCGAGTCAGGTAATGACAAGGTGACTTGTTCTTCTTCTTGGCTTTCTTTCAATTCAGCAACGCTCATTGCTTCTTCTCTAGTATTCCTCAAGTCTATCAATATTTTCCCCATCAAGCGCCGAGCAATCTTTTTACATTAACGGAAAAGAAAGAAAAACCTTAGATTTGATAAGATGGGTTTAGTAGTTTAACTTCTACGTTGGGGTTGGTTGATATATTAGTGGATTTATTTAGGGCAAAAATCAGGGTTTATGGCGAATTAGGTTTTAGGGAAAATCAGGTTTTAGGGCGAATTAGGTTTTAGGGCAAATCAGATTTAGGGTAAAACCCTGATATAGGGCAAATCAGGTTTTAGGGCAAATCAGGTTTTAGGGTAAAACCCTGATTTAGGGCAAATCAGGTTTAGGGCAAAACCCTGATTTAGGGCATTAGGGTTTAGGGAAAACCCCTTATTTAGGTCAGAACCCTGATATAGGGCAAATTAGAGTTTTGGGTTCATTGTTCTAGAGAAACATAATTACTAGGTGTGATATTGGATGTTAATTTTAAAGATTTTGATAAATTTCGTTTTTGTTCTCCCCAAAATCATCACTTACTTCAATCAACTATATGTTTTAAGGAGAAATATTTTTCTTCAGACATTTGTATTCAAGCATTCATTGTTGTTTAGCTCTTTTTCCGAGCAAGCTTCTGGCTTTAGCGTTTGTATCAAGTCACCATAGTAATTTGGACCATCAGGTAACTAAAATTTCTAAGTGCGGAAAAATAGCTAGAAAATGTCACCTTTGAACCGATTTTAAGCTTTTGTTGCGGATTGATTCCATACTCATTTGGGATTACACCATCTGCAAGCAACTGCAACCACGTAGCACATGACTTAGTCATAAGCGAATACACATACATGCAAAGAGAGATCTACCAAGAATGGTCATAGTTTCAATCAGGCATGCGAACACTTCTTTAGAAGATAATGCGACATTGAAATGCAAACTATTATAATCACGAGATTCAGAAACGGGAAAGAAAATACTCAGTATGTACCTGTGCAACTTTGAAGAGTTCATCTAATCCTTTTAGATCGAGATGGGAATTATGCAACAGGTCGTACCTGGTGATGATAAGAGACATCACAACAGCATATTCAGAAAAAGAGTAATGAAAGCTAGGTGTAAATCTAGAGACACACCAAAGAGACTTGACATATAACTTACTTGCATGAATCATAAACATCTGGAATCTGCGTGATGTCAAACCGGCTGCAATTGAATCTCCACTATTAGTTCTACTCTTACTCAGAAAACTCAACCGGAAATAAGATCTGATGATAAAAAACTTACTCTTTTCTTTCATTGTAGAGATCTCTTGCGAGTTTTATCCACCGAGCAAACATGAGAAGGAACCCTTCGCTACCACATGGTAATCCAGAAGCAATCCGGTCACTGTCAATGTTTGTCTTGCCTAGGGCCTTTGCTTGATCGTATGGAGGAATTATATCATATGGCTCAGTGAGGTTCTCGTCCTCATCCATTGCAAGTAGTCTTACTTGTTCAGTCACATTCTTTGTTAATTTGACCTATTATTTAGAAAATAATTTCAGCAGATAAGATATTAATACGTTGTTGTGCAAACAAATTCAAAAATGGTTGGTGTATATGTTTCATAATAGTAGATGGAAAAGTACAAGTACCAATTCACGTAGGAGTTCATGAGCGTTGGGAGGAAGTCCAGCTCCATCAGTCATCCAAGGGAACTCTTCAAAGGAGCCATGCTCATGTATTATCTCTTGGCCAGACGTTACAATCTCATTCAATCTAGCCTGCAAGGGCAAGTGGTGTAATCAAAACTGTTAAACATAATCCCTCATTCATGAAGAAACCATAACTACAAACACCAATTGAGGAGGCCACTTTGAGAAAATAGTAAAGTCTTTTTTGACGAGTTGTCAAACTTAAAATGACTTATCATAGAAAGAGACAAACCTTGGCCGCTTCCATTTCAATGCTGGCATTATCAAGACCATCCAACATGGATGAGTCCTTGCTAACCAAAGAAACCTAGAGACATAAGATAAGATATTTAGTGATCATATGACATTACAAAGCACCACAGTATCTCAGTAAGAGAAAAGGGCAGACCAGGATTGGCGTCAGCTGTCCTTCTAGGTCAAGCAGGCCTTTAGCAAAAGCAGCTGCAGACATCTGTCAACAGCGCAAATCAGTTCAATCAGAGGAACTCTTCTATCACATAACATTGTACAAACAGCGATGAGTAGCAAAGCTTGGAGTATATGTTCAAAGCTGAATGTCATATGCTCATCTTCACTATTAACAATGATAAGCTGTACCTGAACACGTCCTTCATCAGAGCTGTAAATTTTGAGGTCATGACGGTATGTACTATGGAGACGAAGCAAACCAGTCCCTTCACCTGCAAGCATATGCCATTTCATCGACACATTCAGGAAAAGATAGTGCTTCATGAAGTTGTTTGTGACAGTTGGAAAGTAACAGATAAAGACAGATCAGGTGCCCTTACCTGGATACATATTGTTGCGAAAGTATCTACCAAGTTCTTCTGCCTGCAGATGAAGCAAACATCAAAAGATTCAGAAAAGATAACAGCAAGGGTCTGCATTGGTGTTAGATAAACTACCAAAAAAGTACTCCCTTATGAACAACTCTACGATCTTTGCGATACATATAACATTATTGAATGGTAGTATACCTGCTTTCTACCAGCGTGTGTCAGAACACCTCCATATTTCAGTACCATAAGAGCCTCTACTGGTCTTTCTTCTTCACCTTCGCCATCGTTTTTTGGTATTTTAACCCACTTCAGCGGCTTCAGTTGAACCTTCCTGTATATACCAGAGAAATGTCCACCCTGCATATCAAAGTTCTCTAATATGAGAGGAGAAACCAATTCCAAACAGAAAATGTATAGAAGTCTCAAAATAAGAACATATGACAGTAACTGCGGTCTGGCCGGTATAGTTTTAATCCGAACTGCTACTACTATATTCACCAAATATAAAGTCGGTTAAAAAAGAAATAAAGATACACTACCTCTTCAAGAACTGCTTTAACTTGCCGAAGCTTCTCAGCATGTTCAAGGTCTTCTGCATCACTGTCACTTTCACGACCTGGTCTAAAGATGAAAAAAGGAAGACCATAAGGTCCTTACCAACCGGAAATTCAACTGTCAGCAGTATTTACCGCAGCAGTAAGTAGAACCAAATCCCCTTTGAACAAAGGTAGGTGTGGTGAGCAGATATATAGCATGGAAAAAGATTGGAAATGCTGGACCGGACATGCTTTTGTTTACGAGACACAAATGGTTGAGTTCAGGGTTCTACCTTGAACGGGGAACTAACATTCTTGTGGCATCTAATAGATCTTGCAGCTGGACGGCACTTTTCAGTTTGGTCTGCAAAAGGGTAGTAATTGACACAGTATAAGCAAACTAATCAAGGTAAAAAGAAGTTGACGATAGATCAGCTCGAGCTTCTCACCTCAGCTCTTGGCTTTCCACCATTGTACTTCAGCATCAGGTTTAACAGCTTCTCCTCTGTAACTTTGAGTTTCACCTTCTGTTTGGGAGTTCTATCGCCACTGTCGTGTAAAACAAAGTTTAGCACATCTCAGGTCCTGGCTAAACAGAGAGATGTATAGAAGGGAGAAGTGATTGAATGGTAAAACATACTGTCGAATAACTGCAATGACGCAACGTAGCTCCTCTGACTGCCCAAAAGTGCCGATGATGCCACTGCCCTGGCGGGTTAATCCTTCATTAGTTTGTACAGGTTCGTTCACCTTCCATGGCAAAGTGGGAGGAAGAGTCGATGAAAGATGAGGAGCCTTTGCATCCAAACACATTTTTCGTAGCACACAAGCAGCATCGTCGTAATACCTTACAGAACAAGAGGTTTGTGAATACTTAAAAGGTGAAAACCGCATTTTGAGAGTTAAATAAATTGAAGAATGCTAGCTTACTTGTAAGAGTTCTTCACAAAACTCCATCCATTTACATCACAAACATATGAGCATCCCTCGGACCGTAGAAGATCAAACCCACAGACCTGAAATTTGAAAAATTGTTGAAGAAACAAACAAACCCTGCAAGACATAACGAGAGCCATAGGCTTGGATTTTACAACATACCGCTTGTCTAAATGCAATGCAAACTTCTCTAGCCATTTGCTTTTCAGCAGGTGTTAGCAACACTGGATATCTCACCTGTTCAATAAAATATCCAAAAAAAATTAACATCAACGTCTTACACCTTCATGAAACATTAGCAAATCATGCTTATACAAATGAAGGTATGTTAAGACGTACTTCCTTGCCATCCGTATTCCTCATAACAACACCATCAACAACAGGCGACTTTCTTGCTTCAGCATGTGCGTATTCAGGACCCACTGTGTACACCTGTATTTAGCAAACAGATTGTTAGCTAAAAACTCGTGAAAACCAAGATTGACGTAAAATATTCTCAGAAAGGCACGATCACAACCTTGACATCAGTTCCTCCAGTGGCCATAAACTCCTCATATATATAAGAACCTTCTCTCCTTACTCGTCTGACTTCAGGATGAAATTCACTTGATCGGTTCCCAATCTATAGCAAAATGAGGACAAATGAAATACACAAGGCAGAAAAAGAGTTAAACGGAGGAATATGCCAATAATTATTAGAATAAACAGTTCAATCCAGATGAAGTACCTTGCGAAACAATTCCTTCATGCCTCCGCCTGCCGAACTAGGGTAGTATATCATTATACTATGGTCATCTCCTACAGATGCAAAAAGAACTTAAAATGATAGCACATAGTAAACAGATAATAAGCTGCGAGGTCAATGCATGGAAAAGAGAGCAAGAGAAGCGCACCATTGACAGGCTTTTCCACAAATGGCTTCCAAAAGCGTTCGCCATTAACCTCAACAAAATCTTCTTCCTCGACAAAATAATCAAGGTCTTGATTTGGTACCTTCCTATTCACACAAGCATACCTAGGAACTGGGATGCCATACATCTCAAGGTGCTGTAGATGCACACAAATAGATATATCATAAGTAACTTTATAAGAATTGACTAAAGTGCACATAACCAATTATCTTTCAGTCTAATATGTATACCTCATACACCTTCCGGCGATCATGAAGAAGATACTGTGGATCTAGTTCATTCACTAAAAATGGCCTGAGTAAAAGATGTTCCAAACGTCAACCTCAGAAGCCAGACTCATTTAAGTTTTGCCAAACATTAATGTAAGCTATAGCATATGTTTGTAAAGTAATGAAAAGTAAAACTCACTTTCTTAAAGCAGCATATGCCTGAGCCTTCTCAAGAGGATATCCAGAGGAATGAAAAGCAATCAAACAGTCACAAATTGGCCAACTGAAACAGAAAACCATTTGGTCAAGTTTTGATTCCAGTATATACTTTGTACTTTTCAACTGCACTTTATCCTAATCCACTAATAAAGAATCATTCATTACAGGAAATAAAGATGATAAAAAGCCAAAACTCAACTCTATTTCTTACACCATACCTTTCTATTGGATCTTCCAGTATAACTTTATCCCCAAAATGTAAGATCTGCGGATAAAATTTTGCAACAAAGGTGTCCATGAGATCACAAAATAAAAGAGGAAAAAAAGAATACACCAAAGAATCTACAGAGACCAGTCACCAGCGTCTTTCTGTGGCAAACTAATGCCAACAACTTGGGAAGGAACAAAAAAAAAAAAAAAAAGTTACATAAAAGCATCTTCCAATAACATTTTCCCAAGAATCAAAAGCATCACACAGAATAAAGTCATAAGAGTATAAACCAGAAATGATCAAATAAAAAAAATCATATCATTTACAATCAAAAGAGCTACCTCAAATTCACCAAACGACTCGAGTCTGTCCAGAATTTGCCCCATGGGAGCTGAGAATACCTGTAAAACACAGACAAGGAACAATCTATGAAGCGAGAACACAAATATTGAACAAAATGAAGCAGTCACTATCAGAATTAAGAGGGGGGATCAAAAACATAAAGCATCCGAATCTGTATGGTCAGTAGAAAACGCGAAAGACGAGCAGCAAAAAAAGGAAACAGAACCTCGGAGCCGCATTTCACCTTCTTTTCCATGACGCAGACTCCAATCTTTATCTTCCCACCAACACTTGCCCCTTCTTCCCTCTCCATTCTCTCTCTCTCTCTCTCTCTCTCTCTCTGCCTTTCTATATACCTTTTCCCCTTTTCCTGTTTCTCTTCCTCGCTTTACACAGCGTTGTATTCTCTCTCTATAGTCCACAGATTCACAAATCAGACAAACAAACAAAAACAATTCAGCAACAGAAGCGAAATCTCGCCAGTTTCAAACGAATAGATATGATTAGCTCTTTGGGAACAAAAAAAAGGAGCATGGATGAAACGAAACAAATCCACCATACGAAAACAGTAGAAGATCTCGCAGAGAGGAAGAAGAAGACCAAGAGAAACTTACCAGTAAAACAATGATGATCACAAGGCAGAGCTGTAGAGCGATAATGCGGCTTGAGAAGAAAGAAAATATAATAAATCCGAGAGATTTGGGATATAAAATATATTAAAAATATCTGACGGAACGGTGAAGCACGAGGAGAGAGAGACATTCATCAAGCGTCACAGGCCGTTGCGATAAAAAATAAATAACAAAGGTTTTATTTTAATTTTCTAGTCAACATCCTTGGACCCAAACTGGACCCACAATTTGACGTTAGTTAACTATTGTGCTCGAGCAAAATGATTAAATGTGATTAGAAACTAAAAATATATCACATGGTCCATCACTCCATTGTGTCACCCATCCATGTTATATGTCATTTTTAGCTTATGGTATTACATTTGGTAAACTAAATGAAATGTAACAAAAGGAGAAAATATGGAGGAAGGATAAGATTTAGGATTCCGGGATATACAGTAAGAGAAAGAAAAAAGAATTGTAGTTTAGCTTTTTGGTTGCTTTCGAACTTTTTCTTATTCCAAAAAGTTTTGCATATTCCAACCAAAACACAATAGGTGTCATATCAGGTTCTCTGACTTTCTTTACAGATTATAAAATTCTACTAACAACTAACTCGTTAGGTATGATGTCGATTTGTGTACATATTATACATGTAAACAATGCATGTACTTCTCTAATTCTCTTGTACTATACGTATCAGATGCAAAGGAATATAAATAACAGATTTTCTTCGTTAAGAAAAATCATTTAATAATAATTCTTCTCTTTGTTTCCATTAAGTTTTGTTGGTTTGACATGGAGAAGGTAGGTTGTTTGTTTGACATGTTACTATCGTTTGTCGATATCAGCGAAAAAGAAAGAAAAACCGATGTCGTAATATTATAATCAGCTATTAAAAGAATAACTAAACTTGGGAAGTTGGGATGACGAAAGTTTGTGTTCACGAGACGTACGTATAATGCGACTTTCAAGAACAAATATGTGTCGTATATATGTATATTCGAAACAGAATGTCGGGAAACAAGAACTTTGAACACTAATAATGCCTCGAATCAAATGCATACTACAATTTTTATTAGGTTTAGAAATACTCTCTATACAAAGGTGAAAGGTCATAATATAAAAAAACTATTAACAACATTGAAAATAGTAATTAAAGAGAATTTGTACCGAATGAAGAAGGAACGACGATGATGTGCATTGTTGTGTTGTTTGGAGGAAGATGCAACTGAAGAGGATAAAGCTTTTCATTCAAAGGATTTCTAGAGCAAACCATAATATCTTCGATCCCTGTTTCTTCCTCTAGTCTCTTCTTTAATTCTGTTAACTCGGTTCCATTGAAAATCAATGATTTTTGTTCTGTTTCGTTATCTATGTTCCCACGATCATCTCCGATCTCATAACATATCAGCCTTCCTTCGGAATTTGGTGGTAAAGTCATAGTAAACGAATCATCTGACTGATAACAATGTATATTTAAACATCAATAACAAAAAAATGTATTTTCAGAAAAGTTGTATCACTTTTTACGTGTAGTACCTCAATCCGTGAAAATGTGGAAGAACTATGAGTAGATTCAGCATCATCTTTGATAACTCGAATTTGGAGAACATCAACACTCTGTGTGACTGTACGACTAGGAATGTCGTGTGTGATAGAGTTTCTCCACGGTGGCAATCCTTTGTTGGCTCTTACAAATTGTCCGTACCGACTCTTGAACCGTACATGTATACCACTGTCCGATATTGGCTCCCACTCGGCCGATGAATCCAACTTTTCCGGTAAGGTTTGAAGTACCTTGTTTCACAAGTTATTATGAATTACACACAGCTTGATTGGCAAGAAACCTAATAATTTCAATGGGTTAACTCTTGTTGCTAACCTCTGGAATTTAACAAATGTTACTTGTGTTTTTAATACAACGTATGAGGTTCTTTTTTAAAAATGTAAAATAAAAACACAATCAAACCTTCATACGAATTTGGATGCCTTGTTTCTCAAGAAACCTTAAAAAAAATAGCAGCATCAAATCGTAATGATACCTTTTTACCGGTGGCTCCGAGGAGGAAATGTACATTAGTGGCGGTAAGGTATTTGCCGTAACAGCTTTGGAGACGGATGAGATTGGATCCAGGAACAATCTCGACCGTCCATCGGGTGTTTTTTGTTGTGCCCCGACGGTCTTGATGAACGGATTCTTGATCATCATCGGCGATTAGGTATTTCTCCTTGTTGCTACGGAGCCGTACAACCGCTGCCTTTCGGAATATCTCCATCTCGCTAGACCGCTACTAACATGACAACGACAAAGGAAAAAGAGGAGACAAAAAATGGGATTTACAAATGCTATTCTCGTTTATGTTCTGCCACGTAGGCAAATATACAGGTTTCTGGATACTTATCTTTCTTTGACGACGGTTTTCTTGACGCTTACCTAGAAAACCAAGCTGTAAGCCTGTAACAAGCTATGTTTTTGATGTTTGATAATAAAGCTCTGACCAGATTCAACCAACAGATAAACATATGCAGTAGAACTAGAACCTAGTATTATGTAACTACATCAATACATATGCGGATAGTTTCGTCTGTTTTCTTGGTTGCTTTATGATAAAAGTTCTTATAGAGTAGACACAATATTCTCAAATTGTATAAATCAGGGTAAAATTTATTGAAAATTCGAATTAGTTTTGTTAGGGCGAATTTGCAACATCCTCTCGGTACTTTTTGTTCTTCCTTAATCTCAAAAGGTATATCATCTCATACGATGGCCTTTTTTTAACTTGGATATGGTAAATTCTGTTAAAAAGTTGCAGTTATTGTTCACTGGTACCATTTTTTATTGTCCATGAATAAGCTTTATGAATTATGAGATATCATCACGAAATCTATGAGCCTTTAAAAAAAATTGACTTCTGCTCAGAAATATGAATGTCTTCTCACTGATTCCTTTTACAGAATCTCTGAAGTCTGACATGTGAATTTATTCATAAAATCATCACAGCAGCAAACAAAATTACCAAAACACGGACCAATCAGAAATATACTTTATTTTAATGAATTAGATATTGAGATCAGAGTTTGGTTAAGAAATTCTCAGTCACGGTTAATCTGAAACACGGACCAATTGGTTGCTCATCATATCTCGTATCAATTTTCTATCCTTAGTCAAAGTGTCAAACCAAATCAAAGATCGAAAAATATTTATATCAAAACGCGAGCTTCGATCTAACAAGACATAAGAAAGACAGAGCAAAAGGGATCATCAGAGACTTAAATACTAATAATCATGAAGATTTTCTCCATCATATTGTTGCAGTATTATCTCATCAACTGATCTATTTTTTTCATCGTGCACTAATAAAAAGAGATCAACACTCGAAATTCCAAAATCATAAACTGGAAAAACATTGACTAGAAAAAACATGAACAGAGAAGACTTAATTGAGTTGTGTCGGGATGAGGGATGGATGATGACTAAAACTAATGTGTGGTTGGTATTTAAAGGTCCCCAACGGCGGTTCTTGGTTATAAGAGCAAACCCTAGCGATTAAGGCCCAACAATTGGTTTGAGTAATATTCACGGCCCAATTTGGAGTTTTCAGCCCAAATACCGAATTAAAACTACTGTAATTTACCGATTTACCAGTAGCCGGAAAAACGCCGACAAAAGTGAACGTCGAACCCCAAATGCAAATCCCTCTCCGCCTTTTTCTTCTCCATATTCGAAATTTCTACGCGTCTTTGCGGCAACTCCTTTGAATTTATCTCTCTCTCCTTCATTCGTCTTCGAGTTCTAGTCTCCTATCATCGCAATTCATTTCCAGTCCTGACTGTAGTCCCGGAGAATTTGGAGTTTCGCCGGAGTTTCCTCTGCCTATGTATGATTGCCGATGATCAAAGTGCTTCTTCCCGATTGTGGTCTCGTCTGAGGGATCTGAGTACCTAATTTCATCTACTATCAAGAGTGCCAGAAAGCAGGTCTCACAAGCATCCCCGGAAATTTTGTTTGTTCGTTTTTTCAGTGATGGTTTGTTTTGTTTAGTTATGAATTTGAGATTTTGCAGCAATGAAGCGGGTAAGAGATGATGTATATGCTTCTGGGTCTCAATTTAAACGCTATCCTTTGAGCTCTTCTCGACGCGAATTGTGAGTTTCTTTCTCTTCACATGAGAATATACCCTCTAGCTATGCGAATTTCTTCTGTTGCGTTGACTGAGGTTTTCAATTTTCTGACTTCGATTTCCTTTTTCAAGTCTTTCGTCTTTCATGGTACCTGTAGGCTGTAACTGTAAGCCACTGATGGTGCTATCGTTTTTACATAAAATCTCTACTTGTTGATTTCCGTTTTGCTTGCAAATCTATATATCATTTAATCATAGGCTTTTCTATAATCTTGCATGGAGAGTGAGAAATTATAGGTTTATTTTATAATTTGCTACGAACAACTTATGATTTGAGTAATTAAGTGACTTAGTGAGATTAATTGGTGCAGATATGGACAATCTCCGGTTCCCGGCAGTGGTGACACCGAAGAAGAAGGAGGAGGAGAGGAAGGGAGAATCGCCTCTCAGAAATTGACAACCAATGATGCCTTGTCGTACCTCAAGGAAGTAAAGGAGATATTTCAAGATCAACGGGAGAAATATGATAGGTTCCTTGAGGTTATGAAAGATTTTAAGGCTCAAAGGTAAGGCCTTTGACTTTCTATCAGCTTGAAATTGTGAGCGTTGAGGTTGTAAATTAACAGGCGGTGTCGAATTCATTCTTCCTCTTGCACCTGCAGGACCGACACGAGCGGTGTGATTGCACGAGTCAAGGAATTGTTTAAGGGACATAACAATCTAATATATGGATTTAATACCTTCTTGCCAAAGGGATATGAAATAACGTTTATCGAGGAAGACGAATCTCTGCCTAAGAAGACTGTTGAATTTGAAGAAGCCATCAATTTTGTGAATAAAATTAAGGTGCTCTCTGGAATTTTTTTCTTATCGCTCGGTTGTGAAGTGCCCTTTACACCTAGTTTCTCAATGCAAGACTTTCTTTTTTTGCACTGCAGACGCGATTCAAGCACGATCAACATGTCTATAAGTCTTTCTTGGATATTTTGAATATGTACCGAAAGGAGAACAAGGAAATTAGTGAGGTTTACAATGAGGTAATATACTTCATCTCTCCTGTAATGCTACTTCAAAGTTTCATCAAACATTTTCTGACACTCGATTATATGGTGCGTTAGGTATCTATCCTTTTTGAGGGTCACTCAGATTTGCTTGAAGAGTTTACTAGGTTTTTGCCAGCGTCTTTGCCCTCTCATTCAGCAGCTCAGTATAGCCGGAGTCAGGCCCAACGGTACAATGAGCGAGGATCAGGCCCTCCCCTGATTCGTCAAATGCAAGTTGAGAAGGTATGCTATTAGTTTCATAGTTTCAATATTTTGTTTTTGTTTTGTCGCGTACTTCAATTTTGTGTCTGATATATCTTTTTATCACCAGGAACGCCTACGAGAAAGAGTTGTTGCTTCTCGTAGCGGTTATACTGTTGATCGTTATGACGTTAATGATGATAAAACGATGGTGAAGATGCAAAGAGAGCAGGGAAAGCGTGTTGACAAGGAGAACAGAGAAAGGAGGGGCCGCGGTTTGGACATTAAAGAAGCTGAGCAAGATAAGCTACACCGTTCTTCAGAGAAAAGGAAGTTATCCAGAAGAGCGGAAGGTGCTGAAGCATATTTGGGGTCTGCTTTGCAGTCTGAGAAAGACAATTTGAAAAGTAAGAAACTCCTGCCAAGCATATGTTTACTTTCTTTGTCCCTCGTCTATTTGCTTCAGAGTCCTGGACAGTGGACACCTTGACTCTTTCTCTTCAAAAGAGAATGTAGTTTTTAATTTTAGGTTTGTGGTGCGAAGAATCTATTTCTGTTTTGTAAGATATTTACATCCTTTGTGCTAGGCATGTACAACCAAGCATTTGTTTTCTGTGAGAAAGTTAAGGAGAGTTTATGCAGCCAGGATGATTATCAGCAATTCTTGAAGTGCCTCAATATGTTTAGTAATGGAATTACCCAAAAGAAGGATCTGCAGAAAATGGTATTCCGAATTGCTTTGGTTTTGTGATTAGGGAATTATCTTGTGGTAACTTTGATAAAATCCCATGCATTTTCTTTCAGGTTTCTAAACTTTTTGGGAAAATCCCTGATCTCATGGATGAGTTCAATCAGTTCTTTGAGCGTTGTGAGAGTATTGGTATTCAAAATGCCTAATGTGATTTAATAGTTATCACTTGTCAGCAATCTTCTTCTTTCTGATCGTTAACCTTTATTGCAGATGGATTTCAGCACATTGCTGGTGTTATGAGCAAAAGTATGCTGCTATTTAAACTCCTCGGCTATGAATAGTATTGTCTCTTGCCTTCATACTTTGTAAAATCATTACTGACATTGGTGGTACACCTGCTGCAGAATCATTTAGCAGCGAAGAACAAGTATCTAGCTCAATAAAGGTGGAAGAACAAGAAAAAGAACATAAGCCTGACCTCGACGCTGTTCAGGAAACAGAGCAATGCAAGGAGGAGTACAGGGGAAAATCTATTCAAGAGCTCGATCTATCTGATTGCGAGTGTTGCACTCCTAGCTACCGGCTCCTGCCTCCAGATGTAACTAGATCTTCTTTTCCCAAGTCGCATTTTGAGCATCTTTAATGGATGCTTACATACTATTAGAATTTTATTTGCAGTATCCAATACCAACTGCGAGTCAGAAGTCGGAGCTAGGAGCTGAGGTTTTAAATGATCACTGGGTGTCTGTCACTTCAGGCAGTGAAGATTACTCTTTTAAGCACATGCGAAGAAACCAATATGAGGAGAGCTTGTTCAGATGCGAAGATGATAGGTATATCAGAGTGAAAATTATTCGATGAAAATATACATTTTGTAGGTTGAAGTAATTGGTCCTTTAAACTAACTACTGGTTATAACAGATTTGAGTTGGACATGCTGTTGGAATCTGTGAGCTCTGCAGCGAGAAGTGCAGAAAATTTGTTGAACATCATCACAGAGAAGAAATTAAGTTTTTCTGGCTCCTTCAGGATCGAAGACCAATTCACGGGTCTGTATGCTTTTCTGGGACCTGTAGTTCGTAGTTATATATTTTCTTCGTTCCCTTTGGATCTTACCTTTACCAATTTCCTATTGACATTTTCGCAGCCCTGAATTTAAGGTGTATTGAGCGACTCTATGGCGACCATGGTCTTGACGTGATAGACATATTACATAAGAATCCAGCCACTGCACTTCCTGTAATTTTAACTCGTTTGAAGCAGAAACAAGACGAATGGAAGAAATGCCGTGAAGATTTTGATAAGGTCTGGGCAAACGTATATGCGAAAAACCATCACAGATCACTTGATCACCGCAGCTTCTATTTCAAGCAACAAGATTCAAAGCACTTGAATGCAAAATGTAAGTAGACTTATTGCTTTCACTTATTCCTTTCTCATTATTTCAGTTTCTTATCCTTGTTTCGTAAACCAGCATTGGTGGCTGAAATTAAGGAGCTGAAAGAGAAGTCTCTTAATGAGGAGGATGTACTGCTGTCTATTTCTGCTGGTTACAGAAAACCCTTAAATCCTAGTCTTGAGTATGAGTATTTAGACGGAGCTGTTCATGAAGACATGTATAAACTAGTCTGGTTTTCATGCGAGGAGTTATGTTCTACAAAAGAACAGCTCAGTAAAGTTCTAAGGCTTTGGGAAAATTTCCTTGAGGCAGTGCTGGGCGTTCCTCCCAGGGCCAAGGCCACAGATCGTGTTGAAGATGATGTTACAAAACCCAAGACTCTCGATGAGAATCACATTGCATCTACTAGCGAGGAGGCTAATGTGAGTTCGGGAGCAGACACAGCAATGTTGGCTTCCAAGAAATTTAAATCTACTGCCACCGGAGATGAGAATGCTTCATTTGGGGGTGGTTTGTTAAATAAGGACTCGACAAGGAATGAAAATCTTAAAGATGCTGATACAGCCAACAGAGATGGTGTTACCTGTTCTGCTGTGAAACCCCAGAAAGAACAAAAGACTGGAAATAGAGCCGAGAGAAGTTTTGAAATGCCTATCCCAATGGATATTAGCGAAATAGTAGCCACCTCGAGTTTATCAATTCCATGTAGGGGAGAGAACAATCATGTTATAGTAGGAAAGGAAGACTTGGCAGGTACTTTTCTGATATAAACGTCTAATTTTCGTTCTGCTGCTTGTCTATTTGTGTTGACATTTGTTACTTTTACAATCAAGGTTCACATGAGATCAAAGCCAAACCAAGCAACACTCTCAGTGATATTCATCATGGTGTAGATAGCATTGAAACTGCTCCTTCGACTCAGGTACTACATTTCCTCTTTGTAAATATTTGTATATTCACCTACCTACCCCACTATTGCCCAGAGTTTTCCGACCCATGAAGTATTACTTCATATGGGACCTTGGGGTGGAAATGAAGTAAAAAATGTGATATATTTTATAAATTCTGCGTTTTTTCCTGGACCCTTCTGAGTTCTGACCATGCGAAACGGTCCTCGTCATTTTACTAGGGAGGTGATGATGGCAAAACGATAGTTTTTGCAAAGGCAATAAGGTCATATTCTTCTAAAGACAATAAGAATTCTGATGAACCCGAAGGTCCGTCCACAACTGAGAAGGAGGAAGGTGAATTGTCACCTCATGGTGATTTCGAAGACAACTTTGGTGTTTATGAAGATGCGATGCAATCCACATCCAAACCAGAAAATTCAGCAGATGTTAAAGTAGCGAATGTGGATGATGCTGACGATGGTGATAGTGAAAATGCTTCAGAGGGTGGTGAGGATGCATCTGGAACCGAATCTGGTGGTGACGAATGTTCACAGGAGGAGAACAGAGAGGAGGAAGATGGTGAGCACGATGAGATTGATGGTAAAGCTGAGAGTGAAGGAGAAGCGGAGGGATTGGATTCACATATATTAGAAGGGGACAGTGAGTTACTTCCGCAGTCAGAACGTATTCCCGTCAGACCTCTTTCAAAGCATGTAGCAACGGTTTTACGCGGCGAGAGGACAAAAAATTCTCGAGTTTTCTATGGGAATGACGACTTTTATATTCTTTTTAGGCTTCACCAAGTGAGTGCATCGTTTGATATGATTCCTTGCACCAAATTATTGGCTGAATTTTTTTCTCTCTAGCAATGATATTGAGCTTTATCTTCAGATCTTGTACGAGAGAATTTTGTCTGCAAAAAGGAATTGCTCAGGCGGTGAACTGAAACTGGAAAACTGCAAAAAAGATACCAATTCCCTTGATCCTTTTGCAAGGTACCTTCCTTTCTACAACCGTTTATACAAGCCTCTGTAGATTCCAGTACACTTTTTTCCCTAAAGTCTGATCTGATCTGTTTGTTGTACAGGTTTATGAGGGTTTTGTATGGTTTGCTTGATGGATCAGTTGAAAATACCAAGTTTGAGGATGAGTGCAGAGCTATTATCGGAAATCAATCATATGGGTTATTCACGTTGGACAAATTGATATACAAATTGGTTAAACAGGTTTAGTGACAGTGGCACTAGTGATCTAAGACTAATATTTTCTTACATTCCTAAAGTGATGTTCTGATATTTTTCATCCGCAGCTTCAAGCTATTGTAGCTGATGACACGGACAACAAGCTGCTGCAGCTGTACGAGTATGAGAATTCCCGGAAACCCGGAAGGGTTATTGACTCGGTGTATTATGATAATACCAGGATCCTCCTTCACGAGGAACATGTTTACCGGTTGGAATTTGTATGAACCCTTTGTGACTCTCTCATCTCTCCTGGTTTTAATACATCAATGTGATGGCTCATGATCAGTTGGAACTTAATTATCTTTTTTGTTTAATTCCTATGCAGTCATCCTCGCCATCTCGTTTATCTATCCAGCTTATGGATGACATAATTGAGAAGCCAGAAGCTTGTGCAGTTTCTATGGATCCCACGTTTGCAAGTTATTTGCAAACTGAATTTCTTTCCACCTCATCAGGCAAAAAAGATGATGGACATGACATTGTGTTGCAAAGGTATAATAAAGTTCATAATTTCCACTTCTTCATTTGCTCCTTTAGGCTTTTGCATAAGCCTCTACAACGTCCATGAAAAACGCACTAGAATTTTATCGATCGCTGACATCATTTGATAGATTCTAGTATCTCTTTAACACGCTTGCATTTTATATTTGGTTTTGTTTTTTCTTTATCTTTTACTGGAAATTGGTGGGATGATATTAATTAATTAAACCAAATTCCTTTTGGCAGGAACCTGCGTCCGTACACCGGCTTGGATGATCTTGCAGCACTCTGTAAAGCCATGGAAGGTGTCGAAGTCGTAAATGGCTTGGAGTGCAAAATGTCTTGCTCTTCTTACAAGGTAAACTAATTCTCTCAAAAATATCTTGACTTATACGGATTTCAAGCAGTTAAATCTTTCTGTATGTAAATGCTTCTCTCTACTCAATACTGTGTGCATCATCAGTCAATATATATATGCATCTCTTGTAGGTCTCGTACGTCTTGGACACAGAGGATTTCTTCCACAGGAAGAAAAAGAAAAAGAAGACCCAACACTTACCGCAGTTTAACAAAGATAGAGTAGAAAGGTTCCATAGGTTTCTCTCATCCTCAAGATAACAACAACAACAAAGCTTTCTCTTGGGTTTTCTTCTTTCTTTTACTTCAAAAACACACATGTAAAACCGAGAAAAGTCGTCTAATTAGGTTCGCTTCCCAACTTTGTATATATAATTTATATTCTTAGTTACTAAAAAAAACAAAAATGTTGTCTCTATCAGATTGTTTTCCTTTCTATAAATACAATATTGAGAGAGTGATCAAGCAGCACAAAAAAAGAAAACAACAAATGTTATTCGTGTTTATAAATCGATTTTTTGTTTTACTGAAAAAACCTTAGAACAGTCTTATTTTTAACTAAACTTCTTTTACAAATAGGAAACATAAACAATATATTGTTTCGAGCGAAATATCAAATCACTAGATATATAATCTCCATAAACTGGAAAAACATACAAGAATTAGGAGACTGAGGCTCGTTCTTCCAACACAACATAGTTCAAATTATTCGACATGGCTATATAATGGATAACACATATTAATTAGCTAGTTATATGACTTAATAAACGGTAAAATATATGATCACTGAGGTAAATGGTATCATAAGGTTATTACTAGACTAGGATCAGGCCTGCGTGATGAGCATGTTACTGATTTTATTATTATTAATATACTAGATATTAAAGTCCCGTGCAAGCGCGGGTTGTTTGCGATAATTTTTCTGTTTGATTTTATTTATATTCATTGATTTGAAATTTTGAATTATGATGGTTATATGTTAACTTCCATGTTTTGGTTATATTTTGAGTTAACCCAACAATTAACACTAACAATATGATCAATTTTTTTTATTAAGATATTAACACCTTACTTCATCTCGAGTTTTCTATTTCTAAAATTTAATATGCATTTGACTCAACGTTAAAATTTGTAAACATGGTGTAGAATCGCAATTGCACTCAAAATATGATGAAAAACAAAAACATGTATAACTTCTTACATATATGCTTTGTTGTGGTAGCATATGACAATTGATTATTTTCTATTATGTTAGTTTTGTAAATATAAATTGTATTTTTGAAACAAACATGTCACCATTCTTAAAATTTTCATGCTTTTCGTTGCAATGAAATTTAAATAATAACTCGACTTCTATTTTTTAATAAAACAAACTCTAACTCTAATTTTTTATTAGCTTTTTACTATGTTAAATAATTTATATTATATTTTTTACTTGTAAGCACATTATAACATTTTTAAATAGGATAAATCCTTTGAGTTAAAACCTAACTATATACTATTTCAAGTTAAATATTTCTTTATTTCATCTCCATTTTATATTACAACTTTCTTTTAACTTTTAACATCAAGATATCACATACTTTATATTAATCAATTAAATTGTTTGTGTATTTTTCTTAGTTTTGTTTATGTGTAAAATAAATATATATAAAGAAATATTAATACACATATATTAAATATCTTAAATACAATTAATGATTTTTTTGCTGATGTGGATAGCCTAGGAGGAGAGAGCAACTCTCCTATTATATATAAGATTAGTCTAGTAATTAGAATAAATAAACTAATATTATTCAAAAAATAAACAATCAATTTATATACAAAAATAAGATACATGTCAAAATTTTACTTTACAAAAATAAGTATAACATAAGCAAAATATATGCAAACTTACAAAAGTGATACACACAACAATATGAACTAAAACACTATTAATTGAATCAAAACTAATGTCTTAGAAAGTACATATACATGAGATTTATAGGATTTATTAGATGCCACATATCAGTAATAGCGACCGAACCACGAAGGAAGCATTTGTGAGAGATTCGAGATGCACAGCAAAACGACTCCAACAACGAACCACGCCACCATCTGCACCATTAGAATAACTGGATGGCTTCGGGAAAGAAAATTTATCGCGAAGAACAAACCGTCCAGTGTGGTAACAATGGAGGTAAACACACCATTTATCGCCTCAAGGCTAAGAAACTCGACCCGACCTTCTTCGAACTTCACCATCACATGCAGCTCCTTCAACATTAATTACTTTTACCTAACCCCACGTACCATCCTAACATTTTCATCATATGCATATTTCTATATTTTGCCAAAAGCTTAACAACCGGCTATAATAGTTTGCATTCTGGGTAATTCACCCAATTTGTTATTTTCAGAAAATTCCCACTCAACGTCCAACTTCTTCCATAATCTCAAAAAAGAAAACTCCATCCATTATTGGTTCATATCTAATAAATCACCCTGTGGAAAGTCTAATTAACATGATAATCAAAAAAATAATGGTTGGAAATTGTGGGTGGTTGATAAAAAGTAAAGGGTCACAATAATAAGAAATTACAGTTAATTAACGAAACTGCAGATTTCTGGTTGGAAACTAGCAGAAATGATGTACTAACGACTAACGAACACACATGTACACTAGCAGAAATGTGTTTTTCGATCTGGAATATTGTCAATATATATTTGATCATTATGTTATCTGTCCATGGATTTCAAAGTATAGTTCCTAAGGAATAGTTTTTCAAACTATACAATCAATTACGTATAGTTTCAGTATGTTACGCAAGGCATGGGCTTGCTTTTCTTGGGCCCAGAACCGAGCCAGTCCCACATATTTCTTATTATAAAACAATTGAATGGTAAATTAATTTAATTGACAAAAGAGATTTAGGGGGTGTTTATTGGTTGTATAACTTTAAATCAAGTCCATTAGATTTAAAGTAGATCAGATTTAGTTTTGGTTCATTTAAAATGATTCATTATTCATTTTAAAATCTAAAGGTATATAAGTTTCTGAAACTTTTTAAAAATCTATGGCAATGTATTTACAAAATAGGCATAATATCTTTGATATCAATTGATTTCTACAAGAGAATTGAATTTAATAAAAAGTTAATATCAAATGAATATAGAAAAGTAACATATATAAAAATAAGGGCAGCCTAAGTGCATTCATAAAGTCGTCTTGTCTAGTAACATTTCTTCTTCTTTGTATTCCGTTTCTCGTTTGTCTTGTTCCTAATTAATCTCTCACACACACACAAAATGAACGATGAGAAGAGAGTAGAAGGAGTGACCTGTCGTTTAAGTCGTTGTGGATACTATTACTATGCCTATGCCTTCGTAATGTCATTCGGTTTTCTCTATTGAGCAATCTACACTTTGCGGTTCGAGCTCGAATCCTCCGATGGCTTTCTGTCCAAATACGTGTAGGGAAGTCGTTGTTTATACGGATGATTTATTTAGTGGTGTGATATTGGATGATTTTTCTAATTGCATTAATAAAACCAATGTTTATATATCATGCATGGTTAGATACGCAATATTAATGGGTGGTGGGAGTATTTTGTACCTTGGGATGGTAATAAGGTGCTTGTTCAAAGATGTTCCGGTCCCAACACATCGGATAGGAGCAGAGGGGCGGTGGAGCTGCTGGTTCTTGGCCGTGATGATATTCATGTATTGCATCTCAGATAATGTCCCTAGAGCGTGGCTAGTTGCCTTGCTGCTTATTATAGCAGGGATTTCGATCGTACAACTCTCTTGGGCTCCGGCAGAAGATTTTACATCAAACACTATGGACGTCACCATGCTGGTGGGAATCGTGTTTGCTTTCCTAGGTGTGATAGGATCCACTTCTTCATGGTGCGACTTTATTGCAACTCTTTTATATTTCCCATTAGTCTTACTCATCATCTCCTATATTGATCCTCGGGAACAGGTACTAGATCATGATTTCCAACCAGCTGATCTGGTCTGAGCAGAGAGCAGCTTATCTCAATTGTTGTTTCTTCTGTCTTAGAATAATATGTATCATCTCCTATATTTTGTCGGGACGATATCTTTATATTTTGATTAAAATTAAGATACAACCATCCGTACGACCTTGATTCTCCATTGATTCTCGTTTGCGTTGGACCACCTATCTTAATTAGCTAAATATCATATTTTCGACCAAATATAAACACGAGGAGAAAACCATGAAACATACGATGAGTGAGATCAAAGAAAGTTTGACGATACGACTTGGAAAGTTTATTGTTAGACCCATTACGTAATGCTATCAACGAAAGTATATAATAGTTCTTTCCATTGTACGTATGGAATTATTTTATGTATAGGAAGATATGTGTGACCATTTTAAAAAGTTATTTCTTCGATTATGGCAAAAAGATACCAAAGTCAATTTTTCTATATTTTGTTTTAGAACAGAAGATAATTAATGGTTTATGGGTTTCGACGAAACCGTTTCGTATTGTTTACACATTAAAGTTTGACCAATGAATATTAGTTTTGTTAGATCCGGATATAGTTATGATAAACAATTATATACGTCAAGGATTGAACATTTACATAGAGTTTTGTTGTTATGATAAACAAAAACGAGTCCACTATATCAAAGTCACTCAGGCAAAAATACATGGAAATGTATTAGAACACTATTAAATGACTCAAAACTGATGTATTAGTACCAAAAAATTTGTGGAACTAGAAATAGGATGGTTATTAAGGTATTTGTGGCTTACTATTAAAAAAAGTGAAGTTTTATTTTCAGAAGGACAGTTCATGTTAATTAAAAAAACTAGACTTTTTCACTTATATTTTGTTTATGTTTTGCTCATATTTTGCTTAGGAACCCGATGATTGCATGACCCAATGGAAAAGGTTAAAAATGCTAATCGGTAAACAACCTGAAAAACCTGAACCGTCTACTTTTTTTTCTTTTTGGTAAAAAGCCGTCTATCTTCTTAACCTACTTACCTCTTTTGCAAACTGTAATTAATGCAAAGCAGACGCGTAAACAATATCTTGTCACTCTCCATTGTCTTATGCATTTTTTAATTCGCATAAAGTTTGTTTGATACCAAATTTTATATAAAGTTTTATGCATTTTTTTGGGTTTGATTAAATATTAATATATATTAAAAAAAAAAATTATATAAAGTTGTTTTCGTCTAACATAACCGGAGTGTTAAAGTAACAATGTTGTAAGAAAGAAAATTAGAACTGTCCGTACGAAATTATTTCTTAGATACCAAAGTCATTTTTTCTATATTTTGTTTTAGAACAGAAGATAATTAATGGTTTATGGGTTTCGACGATACCGTTTCGTATTGTTTACACATAAAAAATTTGACCAATGAAATTTAGTTTTGTTAGATCCGAATTTAGTTATGATAAACAACTAGATACATCAAGGATCGAACATTTACATAGAGGACAGACTATTAAAGCATAAGGAACAAGATGAACACGAGACTTCAAACAAAAGCGAAGGACCATCAGACCATGAAACATTTACGAAGATAACACGTAAAAGGGGATTGAAATGATGTAAGAAATTTTCTATTCATATTTGTTTATAGTAATTAATTATAACATTAAAAGAAGAAACACAAAAATGATTAATTTGGTCCAGCAGCAGCAGGAGGAACCATAGTACAAACGGTTCTGAAGTTAATCATAGGTAAACTTAGACCATCAATGACTTTCAAGAAGCAAGTCTCAGGAAGTGTTGCGTAAACAGCTCTACAGCATTGGACTGTTAGCTGTTTGTAAATTCTCTGTAACACAGCTACCTTCAACGCACTGAAACAGCCCGGTACTCTGTCTATCTTTGTTGTCGAGCAATATACGAGCGGCGCACCTGCTTCCGATGGTCGGGGAATGAATGCCGCCATTAAGGCTACCAAGAAAAACACCACTTTGGTCTGTTCTGGTTTCATTTTGTTTTTGTTTTTTTTAGTAGGTTCAATATAAAATAAAATGGTTTTGAGATTTGGATTTTGTGGAGTTGAGATCGTTATTGTTTCAGTGAATAAATAGAGAAGAGTTCGTACTGTATTGTGGAAATTTTTTCTTATATATAGAAGTTATTCGAAGAATGGTTGACTATAAGATTAATTAATTAGGCCTTTTAACAAAAAAAAAATAAAAAAATAGAAGATTAATTAATTTGAATCCTTTAGAAATTTATATCTGTTTGACCCATATATTATTAGGAGAATAACAGTCAAAATAAATAACTTTTATAATGCATACTATTAAGGGAAAGTTGATTAATTTCATCACTAGATTAAAAGAAAAATGTCGATCTTTATCTCTCTTGTTAACAAACCTCAACGTAGGTTACGTGTGACACAAGGTGCAAAGTCAGAAGTTCACACAAACTCTTCTTTATTTAATTAAGGATATAGATTTTGTTCTCTTTTCAAACTGAACTAAAGAACGAGTCCACTAGATGAAAGTCACTCAAGGAAAAAAATACATGGAAATGTTTTATGAGAAAATGCCTTACTTTTGCAATCATTGGTTTCTGATCAATAAATACATAAAATCTTTTTTTTTTCGTTCTCTGAGAAACGTATAGAGAGAAACAGGTCATATCCCTAGAGAATGATATAAAGAAACCACATATGATATTACCACAAAATAAAAAGACAAATCAAACAAACAACAATCTATGGCTCAACGACAGTCACTTGTTCCCACTCTCCATCAACAGCCTCTTTGACTCTTTCCACTGTTTGACCCATATTTTAGGAGATTAACAGTCAAAATAAATAACTTTTATAATGCATACTATTAAGGGAGAGTTGATTAATTTCATCACTTGACCACTATTGTAGTATTTTGTTTTTATCTCTTTTGTTAACAATCCTTTACATAGGTTACGTGTGACACAAGGTGCAAAGTCACAAGTCACAAGTCACAACACAAGAATATAAATTTGGTTCTCTTTCCAAACTGAACTAACGAACGAGTCCACTAGTTCGAAGTCACTCACGCAAATGATTTATTAGAAACTGAACAAGACCTATGAGCAATCATTAGCTCCTAAGAAAAATATAAGCAAAACATAAACAAAATATAAGTAAAAATCTTGCATTTTTAATGTAACTTTATAAAAATAAAACATATGCCTTTAAAAAAAAAATGAACAAGACATCTCTCTTAATTTTATAGCCACATTCATATCGGCTATAATGCAAACGATTATAGCCGGTTGTTAAGCTTTTGGCAAAATATAGAAAATACAGATGATGAAAATGTTGGATGGTGTGGGGTTAGGTAAAAGTAATTAATGTTGGTGGAGCTGCATGTGATGGTGAAGTTCGAAGAAGGTCGGGTCGAGTTTCTTAGCCTTGAGAAGATGATCGCCGAAGAACATAACAAAGACCATTTTAGTAACACATAAAAAAAAAAAAAAAAAAAAAAATAGATAGAAGTTTATTGTAATAGAGGATGTTTTAAACTATAGAGGATGTTTATTGTAATAATACAGAATGTTTCAAAATTTAGATAGAAGTTTCAGCTTTTGCATTTTGCTTCACCCACTCAATCAACAAAATTATGAATCTAAATAACATCGTCTGCCTCATGTGTCAATTAACTCCAACCTCCAACTAAGCAAAAGTATTTAACCTCGTATTGTTTTAATAAGGGTTAAAAAAAATTGTGAAATTTTTAACGCTTCAGAACACATGCAAGTGCAGGCTGAGCTCGGACATTGGGTCGATGGACGGATGATAGCGACGGTTGTGCTTCTTAACTGTCAACTCGTTACGTTCATCAAACACGTGGCTCTCAGGGAAGATTTTGGACGCTCTCATTTCCACCGCCGCCGTCTTCTCTAGCATCTACTTCGGAAATTTCACAATAATTAGCTCCTAAGCAAAATATAAGCAAAACATAAAAAAAATATAAATAAAATATAAATAAAAATCTTGTATTTTTTATGAACAAGACATATCTCTTAATTTTATAGCGACATCCATATCTTCTATTGGAACTTAGCGTTTCCCACTATCATTTCTACTAATCAGTCGAGAGACAAATGAGTCCAGAAAAGCAAATGATAGTGGAACCCACTCTTTGTAATGAGTCAAACAAATGTTCGGATATTGATACATACCAATTAGATTTTCCAAATACTCGTACCAAAAAAAAAAAAAAAAATCCAAATACTATTCAATTTTTTATACCTCAAACGCCAATAACATACATAAATTACATCCGAATTTTGGCACTTCTTCATACAAATTCAATAATTGTTTTTAAAATATGTTTAACAAATCAAGACTAACCACTTCTAAAACCCAAAAAAAAAAAAAGACAAAGCCCTTTCTTCCATGAAAAGTCAAAAAGTTTGTATTGTATATCATCATGTTACAACTACTTCCTATAAACAGAAACGATTTTTAAGCTTACGATTCGTTAACAATTATATTAAAAAAGTATGTAATCGGAGCGTTAAAGTAACAATGTTGTAAGGGTGACAAAAAGTAAAGGGTCACAATAATAAGAAATTACAGTTAACTAGGTAAATACCCGCGCTTCGCTGCGGAAGAATATCATTGCATGTTTTCTTGTGTTTGTATTAATTAAATTTAAGATATTATAATTTGGTTATTTAATCGAATGTCGATTATCTTTTTTTCTATTAAACTAAAATGGTTTAATAATTATTGGGCATGGGCCGAAAGGAGATTGTTTGTGACGGTGTCGTTTGAAACTGTATGAAACTGTATTTCAGTATTTTCTTTAATCAATATTAATCATTTAATATTAGTTATGCAAATAACATATATTTTCTTCTTACAAACTCAATTTGAAAACAAAGATTGTTATAATCCATACGTCATTTTTCACCACGAACAGCAGTGCGACTCCACCAGGAACATCAACAGAATCTCTCAGCTTATCAACAGAGTCACAGGAAATTGCGGAAAATTCCAATATAAGGCCAGAGCTGGACAAGTCGACTCAGATTCCTCACCTGAAAACCAAAAGAAAAGCTCATGGACTTAGATGACTACCTCTCTAGACCGAGATCCTTCATCTTCTGCGCTTCCTCTTGATCATAAGTCCCATTTGTAGCAGCATCAAGAGCTAGCTTCATCTCTCTACCGACGTCTAATGCTTTTCTCTTTTTCTTCAAGGAAGTTCTCAGTTGCTATACAATCTCCCATTGTGAATGGCTTCTCCATGATCCTTCCTTGCCTTCGTCCATTCACATAAGCTGCACAAATGATTTTTGTTTTTCCAAATATAAAGAAGCTGAAACATCACAAAATCCTCTTTTAATTCCTCTATTTTTCCCATTCACATACCTGTGGACACTTGCAAGAAAAACTTCAGTTTCTTGAATTTCTTGGCGAATCCCATGAGATTACTGGGCCCTCGTGTGTTTATATCCAGGGAAACATCATATCTGTAATCTCCGCCATGATGAAAACATGTGTTAAGCAAAGACACATTTTCTAACCCAAGCCAAGAGAAACGTATGAAAATCAAGTAATCAACCTCAATGGAAGTGAGGTATGCTTCTGAGATTTAGCTATAAGATAAATCACCTCATGAAACATTGAAATCGAAAGGTGCTCAAGAGAAAAATCACACAAACTGTCACGTCCAAATCAAATTGAGAATGCTATTGCGCATCTCCAGCAAAATCAAATTGATAAATTTCTTAGAAGAGAATAGATTCACAACAGAGCTTACACGTCTAATTGTTCAACAATGGCGCCTTCCTTAGGTCTTCGAGCTGAAATTTGTGGCACGGAGGTCCACTCCACTCTGGGATAGTGTACAGGACCGGACTCGGACACGGGGTTGCTTATTATCGTCTACAGCGACGGAATCGTCCTTGGATTCTTCAATTATCTCGGGGTTTACTACTTCCGTCGACTCGAGAATAGGTGTGTAAGGGTTCCTGGGAGGCGGAGGGTTCATCGAAGAGACTTCCGATACGGCGGAGAATTCCTTGCTCTCTGAATTCGATGTTTTGTTTGGTTCAGGGTCTGGATCACGGGTAGGTTTTTGCGGCGGAGGATCCATCGCTGATGTAGTCATTGTTGCAGATGAGAGAATTCAGAGGAGGAGAGATACGTCGGAATCTACGTGCTTTTTGTTGATGGGGACAAGGACGGAGTCACGGAGAGATTTCTTCAGCCGAGATTTCTTTAGGCGAATGCTTTCATTTGTGGAGAAGAAGAATGAAACGAAACCGGGTCATGGAAAAAAAAATAAATAAACCAAACAAACCGGATAAAAAACGTGGCAAGCTAAACCTGAAAAGTTGCTGACTAAGATTAAATGAAATGTTGTGATTGGTTGGACAATTTAACTGAGGTGTCAGTTCCAAGAAGCTTAAAAAAGTTGAGCTGTCAATCCCTGGAGAGGCACAGGGGTTTTTGCTGTGTTGATTAACGAAACTGCATATTTCTGGTTGGAAAGTAGCAGAAGTGATGTACTAACGATTAACGAACACACATGTACAAACATTCAGTAGCAACGGTTTTCAAAGTTCAATGGAAACACACTAGCTAGAAATGTTCCATAGCTTTTTTTTGGGTCTGAATGCAGGATAAAGTGAATGGTACAAATCCTAAGAAGGGCCCAGTTACAAAGCTATATAGCCCTAACAAACACATATAAAACCCATCATAACAATATACAAGGAATATACAAGGAATTGAAATATGCAGCAAAATCGAAGCCACAAAACCAGCTATCAAGAAAAACCAAGTGTAAAGCGTTCTCTCAGTGAAGCTATGAACCTGCAAGAGGTTGAAAGAACAAACGATCAGAGCATGGAACCGAGTCACTCACGCAAATGTTTTATGAGAAAATGAACAAGACATGAGCAATAATTGGCCCCTACGCAAATGTTTTAAACATGAAGACCCTTTAACAAAAAAATAAAATAATTGGCTCCTAAGCAAAATATAAACAAAATATAAGTAAAAATCTTGTATTTTTAATCTAGTCCAAAGTCACTCGGGCAAATGTTTTATGAGAAAATACTTTACTTTTGCAATCATTGGTTTCTGATCAATAAATACATAAATCTTTGTTTTTTTTTCTTTCTCTGAGAAACGTATAGAGAGAAAACATGTAAAATCCCCTAGAGAATGATAAAAATGTATAAAGAAACCACATATGATATTACCACAAAATAAAAACACAAATCAAACAACAAACAACAACAATCTATGGCTCAGCGACAGTCACTTGTTCCCACTCTCCATCGACAGCCTCTTTCCACACCGTAACGTTACTGTTCCCATCGGAAACGGCCAGCAAGTTACCGGTCAACGACCACGAGACCCGCCACACGGGTGTCTTGAAGTCTTTCAACACCTTACCTTCCCATTTCTCACCTTCTTTCCCAATGGTCCATATGATCACATTCCCATCCTCCGAACCACTGGCTATGGTCGACTTCGGGAGACCCAAGTTCGGCGCCCACGCCACGTCACGAACCCAATCCGTGTGCTTGTGAAGCGCCGGGAAACAATCCATTTTCCATGACCCGTTGGCGAATTTCCACACTTTCACGGTGCTGTCGCATCCACCGGACGCTAGTTTGTAAACCGGCTCGATCACACCGGAGCTAACGAGCGAGCCCGGTTCCGTGGCTGGTGCCCATGACACTGAAGTGACTCCAACCGGGTGTGCTTGGTCAATCTTTGACGTGTCCCAACCGCCATCGGCTGTAGCTGAGAAAACCGATATGTTTCCATCAGATGCTCCACAAGCTAAGGAGAGTCCGAGCTCATGAGGAGCCCAAGCGATGGAGTTGACTGATACTTTGTGGTCTGTGAAGACATGAGCTTGCGTCCACTCGTTTTGGTTGCCTTCTTTCCACAGAATGACCTGACCATCATACGAGCATGAAGCAAGGAGGGAACCAAACTTTGGGTGGGCCCAAGCGACTTGCCAGACAGGACCGCGGTGACCCGCTAAGGTAGCTAGCGGCTGAGATACGCCACTGTTGCTCACTCCGGTAATCTTGATGGTGCAGTCCGAGGAAGCAGTTGCTATTCGCTTCCCATAGTAATCCATGACCACATCATGGACAGTGTCACTATGACCCGTTTCAATCTTCTGGGGAGCCATGTTTCCTGTATGTTCAAATTCTGGATTCATCAGAAACACCCAGCAAAATGATAAGATCTTAAATTAACATCTTCGAATCAATAGGAAACACAAGCATGACTATATTGATCCATCAGAAAGAATTATTCGATCTATTCTTAAGCGATTAAACAGCACAGATCACCATAGACCATTGACTAAGCCAAGCCATACATAATTACATAGGTTCACAAGAGTCCAAGTGAAATTCAAAAACGAGAATTCGACATCATGGATCCTAAAATTCTCACTCTTTTATCATCTGATTCCTACCAATGTACAATACTATTCACGGGAGCATACACAACCAAACTGGATCTACAGGAGCTCATAAATCTAGCGAATCCTAATAAGAAATCATCGGAAAATCGAATTCAACAACTGAGTTCACAGAAACAAATGAGTTCCGATGAGGAAATTAAGGAGGAGATGAGAACCTGATGACGGAGTTTTCTTAGATCTGCGAAGCGAGGAGAGCGAGCGAAAGAGAGAAACGGAAAGTAAATCGAACAAGGAGGCCAGCTCCGACTCCTGTCTTCTTTATTTTACCGATTCTACCCCTGCCTCTGGAATGACAATAATACCATGACGGACGACTCGAATTTACGGAATTGACCCTGAGACCAAGTTTGGTGTTAAAATTGAAATTACCGCGGGAATGGATTGTTTTTTTGAATAATTTTTGTTCTTCCTTTTTTTAATATTCTGGAAATTGATATATACCATTTGAGCTTATCAATGCATATATTAGAATTTAGACGTATGTAATGTAAGTCCAAATTATATGGTGAAAAAAATGAGAAAGTTGAATGTGTTTACAGTCGTTCCCCAATTTCTCCTCTTCGTGCTTGTAATTGGGCTGTTGTCTTCTGTTGTTATTCACTTATTCTTAATAACTTCAACTGGAGACTGGCATTCGATAGAAAGGTAGCAGAAGACGTTGACATGTCATACGAAATGCAAACATTAACATATAATACTAATATAAGGGTCAAAATTATATGGTAATAAAAAGATAACAAAAGTGTAACTTTCTAACAAAGTTGGTCATATTTAAATACTTGATTGCATGGAGCCTATAATGCTGTGTAGAAAAGCACCTAAGAATACTCTAATCTTCTAAAATGTTTTTTTTATAAAACAAGCATTAACATAGTTTATGAAAATGATATCTGGTAGCACCAAATCAAACCGATACAGCTTTGCAATTGTTTTATCACATTAACATGAAAAAATGACAAATCTGTTAGTGTAGTCACCTTTTAGACCGTGGGAAAAAGAAACATGTGCTCGTTAAGTGGTAGTTTACGTACCATGTAGAATTGTAGATAAGGATCAGGCACGCAAAGATTATGATATTATTTCACGAAATTACAACTAGGTTTTGATACTTTCTGTAATCGAGAATTTTGTTATATTATATTGTACGTCATGAGCAACTTCGCTTAAGAAATTAAAGTTTAAATACATGAAATGATATTGTCTCATATAGAGACAGTGTTATCTGTCCCCCTTCTCCTTTGTAGTCCAAAATGATTTCCATCTCACTAAACCACCATCGCGTGGGGCACATTACATAGTAACTTTGTTCTAATTACATATTTCTTTAAAATCTTCATGTATTCATATTTACTTCACACGCACGAATGTATTTTTATATTTCATTAGCTTTCGCAAGTCACGGGATCAGCGTACTTAAGCACGTGTTGCTCTCAGGTTCTCAACAATGGAGCCACTCACATTTGCACCCAACAAATAAAACAAACAATGGAGCCTTTTAGTTTCCAATATAAATTGGATATTTATATGACATTTTAGTTATACTAGCATGATACGTTTCAGTTAAGATGAATAGATGTAGATTAAGTTGTAATTCTGATGTCATAGATGTATAGAATAATTTGTAGAACCTTCAACAATGTCATATCTTCTTTATTAAATAAGCTGTAGAATTTAACAATTCTTTTCAATTTATAAGAGGTAAAGAATATTTATAATTTGATGACAAAAAAGTATTGGACGATGATCATCTTCACCTTTCTCTTTGTGTGGTCAGTGTTATTGGACAACTTAAAAAACATCAACGTATCAATTTGTGGGAAAAAAATAAGAAAAAGAACAAAGTATGTGCTACCAGGTTGTCAGGATCTGGCCATAGGAAATGACGTAGATAAAAAAAAGGGAAATGACGTAGATAAATCCACGTAAACAAACGTAATACATATCAGATAGAAGAGAGAAGTATGATGCACGGAAGCTGTTCTTTACCAATTTGGTGCAAGTCGACATACTACACCACCTTTATCCAAAGCTAAACCCTAGTTGGTTTTATCACCCTTTTTTTGACGAAAAAACTTTTGCTTTTTCAACCACTATTGCGATTGTTATGCATCGGTTTAAGGCCAAACAAAGCTTGTTTGCATTAATTGCGAATCATGGCTCACTGGAGAGCATTTGCCTCTCTATCATCAATCGTTGATGAAGCAAGTCTCGGTATTGCTTTTTTTTTCTCGTAAACCATTTGAACTCATGTAATCCAGCCAAGTGTATAATAATACACCTCCGAAATTGGCAGATCAATTAGTACCATGCACCAAGGTTACATCTATGCAAATGTTTTTAGATTAGATTTATTTTCAAAAGACATAGATATAAATCCCACAAACTCGGTCAACCAAGAAAAAAGCTATTCAAAAAAAATGTACTAAAGTATTAGAACACTTTAGTTTTTTCTTTTCATGACCACTTTAGTCTTTTAGGTTTGAAAGCCACGAGTGTTTAGATGCGTCCGTTGTAATATACGACACTTGGCATATATGGGGAACCGGTGGCTTGTTCATGTATTCGTTATTCACGAGACATGCCACATCAGACCTACATGACGACACCCTTATAAAAACTCAGTAACTCACACCCCGTAATACATGTTTGCAATGTATCTTCTTTACTTAAAATTTAAGTTTGTTTAAGTAAAATTTGATAAAAAAATTATCTAAAATAAAACCAAATTAATGATAAAATAATTAGTTTCTACTAGCTTTTTTTTTTTTTTTTTGTTCTAAAGTTTCTACTAGCTTATGTTTTAATATATTCTATTAGATTTTCTGAACCCCAAAGTAAATTAGGTGAAACTGTAGACCATAAGCAATACACGCTGTTAGGCTGTTAGCGTAACCAAAGATGAATTAATCCACTAGAGTACATATTGACTATTGAGTTCCCTAATCTACTTCACTCAGGATTCCAGTCTCAACCAGTTTCTTTGGCTCGACAATGTCGACATCTTTATTTCTATTTCTACAAGAAACTCCATTTTTTTAGTAATTTTGTACTTTTTAAGTTAAGATTTTCAAAAGCCCTTCTAATTTTATATATCGTTTGAAGTAAATAGAATTTTAATTTCATTTATTTAAGTAACGGAATAATGATAGATTTGGTAATATATGTGTACATTCATTATCTAATTCGTATAAATTGTTTTCGAAAACATACGATAAGTTGAAGAAACATAATTATGGCAGAGAGAAGAGATAAAAAGTATTTAATATTGTGTAATCATTACACATGTGAATACACACATCCACCCATCTACGTATATTACATACATGTACATAGGTATGAAGAGAAATGTATTAAAAATTCCAAAGATGGAAACTAATCACTGACATTAAAGGAAGTTTTCAAACACCCACAAGATTATGAGTTTTAAACCTTTATAAATACGAAAATAACTCTCACAAATTATCAACAATCCCCTTAATCTCCACTCTCCTACATACAAATAACCAAATCTCTCTCTCTCTCTCTCTCTCTACACAAGCACACATACAACAGACACACAAAGACAGCCTCTAATGGATTTAGAACAGAGGACAAGAGGTCTTGGCAAATCATGTGCCCTTCTCATAGGTAAACTTTTTCTCTCCTTTTTTGTTTATTTCAAAGATTAAACTTCACTGAAACTTGGAGATTGTTTTTTTATATTAATGTTCTGTATGTAGTGATTGCGGGAATGGAGAGAATGTGTAATCATTACACATGTGAATACACACATCCACCCATCTACGTATATTACATACATGTACATAGGTATGAAGAGAAATGTATTAAAAATTCCAAAGATGGAAACTAATCACTGACATTAAAGGAAGTTTTCAAACACCCACAAGATTATGAGTTTTAAACCTTTATAAATACGAAAATAACTCTCACAAATTATCAACAATCCCCTTAATCTCCACTCTCCTACATACAAATAACCAAATCTCTCTCTCTCTCTCTCTCTCTACACAAGCACACATACAACAGACACACAAAGACAGCCTCTAATGGATTTAGAACAGAGGACAAGAGGTCTTGGCAAATCATGTGCCCTTCTCATAGGTAAACTTTTTCTCTCCTTTTTTGTTTATTTCAAAGATTAAACTTCACTGAAACTTGGAGATTGTTTTTTTATATTAATGTTCTGTATGTAGTGATTGCGGGAATGGAGAGATATGCATTCAAAGGAGTTGCATCAAACTTGGTGACATATCTAACAGATGAAGTGAAGATGAGTAATTCAAGAGCAGCCAAGACAGTCAACACGTGGGCTGGTTTCACTTCTATGCTGCCTCTCTTCTCTGCTCCTCTGGCTGATGCGTATTGGGACAGATTCTTCACTATCCTCGCTTCTTCTTCTGTCTACTCTGTGGTAAGAATCTTTAATATTAAACAATACATATTGTGTTAGGAATATGTTGAAACTCTCTTCCATGCGTTTAGGCAATGAGATTTAGGTATTGGGTCATCTTCTGGTTGGCGTTTATTTTCTATACTATCTACTTTTGAAATTGATTATATGTTGATAGTGTTTGATCTCACATGTATTGTACCTGATGTATTACTAGTGTTTGATACACACACATATGTATATGTATATGTGTGTGTGTGTGTCCATCTTATAATTGTGTTGAAATATAATGGAGTTTCGATTATAATGTTGATAGTGCTCATAATGGGTCTTTTTTGGTTTGTAACATATAGTGCTCATAATGGGTTTCTTTTTGGGAAAAAGATTGCTTAGTGGAAAATTCGATTTTTTCATTTTTTCTTACATATATGAATTTTTATCTCTCTATTATTATAAAGGGGCTAGTGGGATTAACATGGACGGCATTTGCTGGGTCACGTTCAGCTACTAAGACAATCTCTACTTACTTTCTCTACATGTCACTATGCCTTGTCTCAATCGGGTTAGGCGTCTTAAACCCTTCTCTTCAAGCCTTTGGTGCGGACCAGCTTGACCACGACCTCGATAAAGATTCCGAGCTTCCCTCGGGTGATCAAAAGGATGCTAAAGCTACCAGAAAGACTCAATTTTTCCAATGGTGGTACATTGGTGTCTGCACCGGGAGCCTTATGGGTGTCACAGTCATGGCTTATATCCAAGACACTTTTGGTTGGGTCATCGGCTTTGCCATACCCGGAATCGCAATGTTCCTGTTGATCTTGCTGTTCTTGTCGGGTTGTGGAATCTATGCTTATGGTCCTGGAGCCGGTTTGAAGACCAAAACAACTGCTACACCTTTTGAGAAGATCCTTAAATTCATCAAAGGGAGAGTAGTGAAGAAGCAGAGAAGCAAATATACACTTGCAGATGAGGAAGATTTGGATGCTATGGAGCTAGAGTGAGTCCTAAAACTTTTCCATGTTTCATGATTTAGTCTTTAGAAGTTTCAAGTGACTTACGATAACAGGTTCTTGTTCTCTGTTTCTTCTATTTCTAGGCTACAACAGAGGCCTCTCTGTAAATGTGATGACACTGAGGCAGAAGACATTGAGACTCCTTCAACGACCGCCACAATATTGGACGATGAAAGTTCGAAAACGGTTTTCTCTGGAATTGATAATGTCAAGTTAGTGCTTCGCCTCTTGCCCATATGGACGATGCTTCTCATGTTTGCGGTTATCTTCCAGCTACCAGCAACATTCTTCACCAAACAAGGCATGACTATGAAGCGAAACATAGGGTCCAACTTCAAAATTCCCCCAGCGACACTGCAAAGCACGATTACTCTATCGATAATCCTTCTTATGCCCTTGTATGAAAAGATCTTGATCCCTGTCACCAAAAGAATCAAGAAAAACGGTAAAGGTATATCCGTGATGGAGAGAATGGGAGTTGGAATGTTCCTATCGATCATTGCCATTGTTATAGCGGCAGTAGTCGAAAGGAAAAGACTAGACATAAGCCAAAAGATGAAGAAATTACCTGATTACGATCCAGAAACCGTCCCGATGAGCATCTACTGGCTGCTACCTCAGTATATCCTCTTGGGAATCTCAGATATTTTCACAGTCGTTGGGATGCAGGAGTTTTTCTACAGCGAGGTTCCGGTTAGAATGAGAACAATGGGGTTTGCTCTCTACACAAGTGTCTTTGGCGTTGGAAGCTTTGTGAGCGCCGCACTGATCTCAATCGTGGAGGCTTACTCGAGCTCAACAGGTGAGCGACAGAGCTGGTTTGTAGATGATATGTCGGAAGCACGGCTTGACAAATACTACTGGCTTCTTGCTCTTACAAGTACACTAAGCTTTGTGGTCTATACAGTTCTATGCAAGTATTTCAAGAGTAGTAGTGATCAAGGCACCGAAGAAGAAGAAGAAGAAAAAGCCCCTAAGTGAGAGAAGAACAATTTCGATTTCTTTGACTTAAACTAACCGTTTGCCTCAAGATTCCACGAATGATCTAACTGTTAACTGTAGTAGCTTCTTATTAAACTAACTAGCAAACTGTAAGAGGAAGACAAATTTTCATTTTGTTCATAAGAAATAGTACTCGTGTTACAAATGTGAAATGTAAAAGATTCAACATTATTGTTCCGTGTGTTTGGTTACATATCATCATCAACCCTCTCATCGACCAACAAGAATTCTATAAAACAGACAGAAATGAAGCTATAAAAGAAAAAGTCTGAAACTTTGACTTGTACCTTTAGGCGTGTGAGCTAATTCCATTAATACCAGGTTCCTTAGCTACGCTGCTATCTTCTCGAATCTCTTCGTCTTCGTCAGAATCGAGAGTGAAAGAACTTAAATTCTCCATCTCAGCTCCCAGAGGCCGATATTTTGAGTGATCTTCACGGAGATAACCTTTCTTGTTTGCAACAACAGAGAACAATCCGGTAGCTAAAACCACCATTAGAGTCAAATGACAGTTAAACTGAAGCGTTGCTATTGCTTTTGCTCGGTGATAATCACCGTGTCCTTTGCACTTGATCGTGAAGTTGCCTCTGCTCCTCTCGTGGAGTGAGCAGTTATTAGTGACGAAATCGGTGAAAAACGATACGCCCATTTGCAGAAACCATGTTCCTTGCAGAATCAGACCGATCCCGCGACCTAATTTCGCGAATCGACGCGTGTTTTCGTCGGATTTCAGCTCAAACATCGTGGAGAAGACGCAGATCGCAATGGGAACGAGCATGAGATCGTAGTAGCGATTCTCGAGTCCAGAAGTATCCTTCTTTTGCAGGTAGAACATTAAGAACTCCTCGATGAAGCCAAAGAGAAGCAACAAGCTCGTAATCGAAGACGGAAGAGCAACGAACACACCGTTTTTGGAGTTGACCAGATAAGCTAGAATGGCATACACTAGGAATAAAACTGCGACCGCCAGAATCTGCAACTGGAGCATCGACCCGACCCGATCGCGGGAACCGATTGAGCCGAAGATGGAATAAAACGAGTTCGCAATAAACAGAGACGAAAGCAAAGCTACGGAGATGAATGACGATCCGGAAGATTTGGGTGGCGACGGCGTGATCTGAGCCACAGGGGAAGACGGATCAGTAGCAGTAGATGGATTCGGATCCAGGTTCGATGAGTCGAGTGACTCCCACGCACCGATAACTGCGAAACCGCCGCCGGCGACGGCGTAACTTAAGATACCCATGACTTCAGTTCTCCGAATTTCACAATTTTCTTTGATCTAACCAGCCGTTAAAGCTCAACAGTCAACAACAAGCCCGACCTGTATCCTAACCCGACCCGAATAACCAAAACTATGATAGGTTGGTGGCCAATTGCGGGCCCATTGGGTCTTCATGTGGTCCACTTATAAATATCTCTATTATTCACACACACACACACACACGTGACAGTCACGTGTCTATGGATATGCAATATACAGAGTGCTCTTCTGTGATGGCTGCTTCGTCCTCAGTGGAGAAATGTTGCTTCCTCTGTATCACCAGCAGCAACCGTTGATACCTCCCAAAACCTTACCCGTTCGAATTTTCCCGCCATTCCTAATCCCCAGAACCCTGATTTCACGACGGAATTTTCGTCGAGCGAACTATGTCGTCGTCTGTTGTTCTGCTTCCGATCGAAAGACTCTTCCCCAATCCGCCATCCAATCGTTGGCGGAATTGACATTGCCCCCGGCGGAGCTGCGGCGGTTGAGGTCGGTGGGGATCAGGTTGACGAAGAAGCTGAAGATTGGCAAAGCCGGAATTACGGAAGGGATCGTGAATGGGATTCACGAGAGATGGAGGACAACGGAAGTTGTGAAGATTTTCTGCGAGGATATTTCCAGAATGAACATGAAACGGACCCATGACGTCTTAGAGGTTTGTAGACGTTTACTGCCTCTGTATGTTCGATTCGAAAGATTTCACTAAAATTTCAGATTGATTAGGGCTCTAATGTGTGCTCTGACTCCAAGTTCGATCGAACTCTATTAATTACGTTAGGATGGTAAGATTTATGTAGACTGTTAGTGTTCATATTTCTCGTGGTTGATTTCGCAGACGAAAACTGGAGGCTTGGTCATTTGGAGATCAGGAAGCAAAATTTTGTTGTATAGAGGGGTGAATTATGAGTACCCTTATTTTGTATCTGATCGGAACTTGGCACACGATTCTTCAGCTGCCTCAGGGGCATCATCTATCAATCTGGGAGTGGTTGATAGTAGAGAGAATCAGAGTAGCGCAGAATCTTCTGTTAAAGATAAAATGGTTAAACCGTTGTTGAAACAAGGCGTTGGTTCTCCGGGTAAGGTTCGGTTTCAGTTACCCGGCGAAGTGCAGCTAGTGGAAGAAGCAGATCGTTTGCTGGAAGGATTGGGGCCAAGATTCACGGACTGGTGGGCATATGATCCTCTTCCAGTAGATGGTGATCTTCTGCCAGCAATAGTGCCTGAGTACAGGAGACCATTTCGGCTTCTTCCGTATGGCGTGAGCTCAAAACTAACTGATGATGAAATGACCACTATAAGGAGACTTGGTAGACCACTCCCTTGTCACTTTGCTTTAGGTAAGCTTGTTTTCACCTGATGATAGCTTCTTCTAGACACTGTAGATTGTTGACTTATTCTGGCTTACTCGTTCTGCTTCTTCCAGGTAGAAATAGAAAGTTGCAGGGACTAGCTGTTGCTATTGTCAAGCTTTGGGAGAAATGTGAGCTTGTCAAGATAGCAGTGAAGAGAGGTGTGCAGAACACTAATAGCGAGCTGATGGCTGAAGAGTTAAAGGTTGCTGCTTTACTTTAAATAATGAAAGTATCAAACTTTTTGTGGCTCTGTTTGCGAAGAACAAGAAATTATTCCCTTTGGAGCCTCATGTAGCTGAAGATTTCTATTGATGAGACGAAAATATGTCTCTTGCAGTGGTTGACTGGAGGGACGCTGATATCTCGGGATAAAGATTTCATTGTCTTGTACAGAGGAAAGGATTTCTTACCATCTGCAGTTTCTTCTGTAATAGAAGAGAGGAGAAGGCAAACCATGATTGAAAAATCAAGGGGCTATGCTAATAAGCTGACTGAAAACGCAGGGGAAATAAAGCCTCAGGCTGCTACAGACGACACTGAACTAGAATCTGAGTATAAAAAGGATCATATACAAACCCATCAAATGAAACCAAGGCAGCGGAAATCTCCCGAAGCAATCCTCGAAAAAACTAGTATCAAGTTGTCCATGGTATGCCCTGACAGACATGTTATACTTGAATCCATTGGGTTTGCAGGACGTTTTTTGTTGTGAATGATTAGTTTTCTGCTCTAGGCGTTAGAAAAGAAGGCAAATGCAGAAAAAATTCTGGCGGAGCTGGAGAATAAAGAAAGTCCTCAACCGTCTGATATCGACAGAGAGGGTATTACGGATGACGAAAAGTACATGCTACGGAAAATTGGCTTGAAAATGAAGCCTTTCCTTTTACTAGGTAGGTAACTGTTTCCTCTTTCATGTAAATAAGTAACTGTCATGGACGAATGTCTTTGATATGTTAAATGTTAACCTGTCCCGTTCTGACGTGTATATTGTTGTGCTCTCAAGGTAGACGAGGCGTCTTTGATGGAACAATAGAGAACATGCATCTTCACTGGAAGTATAGGGAACTTGTGAAGATTATTTGTAATGAACACAGCATTGAAGCTGCACACGAAGTAGCCGAAATCTTGGAAGCAGAAAGTGGTGGCATACTAGTTGCTGTGGAGATGGTGAGTAAAGGCTATGCAATTATTGTGTATCGAGGAAAGAATTATGAGCGGCCTTCATGCCTACGACCTCAAACACTTCTCAGTAAGAGAGAGGCACTGAAGCGATCTGTGGAAGCACAACGTCGAAAGGTAAGAGAAAATCATAAAAAGCATTTTAAATGTTATGACCATCTTCACTGGAAACTTCAAATTGATTTTGTGAATTTCCTCACGTGTATTTTTGTGTGGCTTTAACTAATGCAGTCATTAAAGCTGCATGTGCTGAAACTTTCCAGCAACATTGATGAATTGAACCGTCAGTTGGTAAGTGATATGTGTTGCTCAGCTTGATTTGCTTAGCCAATCCTCGAAATGGTCATAACATTTGAAATGCTGGTTGAGAACAGGTCGAGGACAGTGCAACCCTTGAAACTTGGTCAGATGGGGAATCAAGTAACAGAGTGGTAATTTATTTGTTTAAGTAAAACTTTCTTCAGTTCTTCAGTTCTTGATGCTACAACACCTATGCTTCTGTGATTTTCTCAGTTCTCCATATTGATGTAGGTCCAAGAAGGAAACGAAAATCAGCATATTGAACCTGATGAATCAAGAGAACAAAATGAACTCGGCTATTCTTCTGACGTATCAGTTCCTTCCTCTGGTGAAGAGAAATGGGAGGTAAGATTAGCATCAACTAAATTTGGATATTAATAGATTCTCTGGATAACTGAGATTGTGTTGCTGAATATTATCAAAGGATGACAGCGAAGATGAAGTTAACCAATATACAACAAGCAGTCATGAGTATCAAGAAGATGAATTTGGCTCCACTCAGCGACATGAGGCTAACACTCTCGATTCAACTGCAAATGTATCTGTAATTGCAGAAACTGGTTTAGGCGAGGCTTCTTCACTTCATGAGAGATCCTTGGTAATGCCTAACTAAAACTCTGATGTTTCCTTGTTGGCCCAATGAGTGTGTGATATCTAATTAATTACCTTTTTGGGTGGATCTTAGCCGTGCAACAGCTTCCTTAATGCAGAGCGAAAGGTACCAAGTGGACAAGAACTGGGATCCTCAACTGGAAGTGGCTCACGAATCTCACCTCCCAGAGAGAGCAGAAGCGAAAATGATGGGTTAGTCGCAGATCTGTCCAATAGAGAAAGGCTCATTCTGAGAAAACAAGCCCTTAAGATGAAGAAGCGCCCACCCTTTGCAGTAGGTGAGTCTTAATATCTGCTTAAGTGCTAAGAAACCACCTGTTTCATCTCAAAATCCAATACTTCTTTCAGCTATTTCTTGATAATAGGTACCAACTTGCTATTATTGACATTGACTTATGATACTCACTAACAATTTTGTAGGAAGAAGCAACGTTGTAACCGGTTTAGCAAAAACACTGAAGATGCATTTTCAGAGAAACCCTCTAGCAATCGTAAACGTCAAAGGGAGAGCTAAGGGAACATCTGTCCAAGAAGTCATCGCAAAGCTCAAGGTCGGTTCATATACACACTACAACTTAAAAAACCAACCATTACTTGTTGATCCTTTTTGGGCTTCGTTTAAAAGAAAATCAATGTGCATGCAGGAAGAAACAGGAGCTCTCCTGGTGTCGCAGGAGCCAAGTAAAGTCATACTATACCGCGGTTGGGGCGCAGAAGAAGAAATGAAAAGCTTCTACCCAAATAACAATGTCAAAAACTCCATAAATTTAACTTCTTCGTCACTGAGATTTGTTAATGATCCTCCTCCTGTCTCTTCTGCACTCATTGAAGCCATAAAACTTGAATGTGGATTGCAATAACGTTTTTTTATTAATAGTATTAATTTTTGTTAAATACTGACTTTAAGTTAGAAAATATGTTTAATTGATCTGTCACTGTTTTTACTGTCATTTCGTGACCTTTTCGAAAGTCATGGGAATACAGAATACGAGATTTAGGAGCCGTAACATCCACTGCAAGCAGACTTGACTCCTCTGATTTATGTTTGTTTTAGGATCATATTAGGTATAATTAGTTCAGAAATAATATTAGGTATTATTTCATTAATAATACAAGGTTTTGGTTTAGATTTTGTTTTATGTTTTGATTATATTTTGCTTAGGAGCCATGAAATTTTCATTTCACTTCTCTAATAATTTTTTGCTAAATTAAGCAGATGAGATAGTAATAATATAGGTCTGCAAAATTGTTATCTTCTTTCTACATAGGCTCATCGTGAATAAAATCACATACAGTAAAAAAGTCATAAACTAGAAATAGATATGTGTTACTTGTCATTAACGATTTACACCAAGTTATGATAATTCAAAACCATACGTTTTACTTCTCATTGGTATGAACATTATTTCTAAAAGAAGATCTGAACATTATTTCAAAACCATACCGCTGATATGAACATTATTTTAATATTTATCATACTTGTCAATTTAACTCTTAATTCCGTTACGCAGCAGTTCCGCGCGTATATATTATGTCGATGAGACACTTCGAGACAGCGGCGAGGATGGCAAGCAAGGCAGCGGCCATGGAAATGAGAGCATTCCCGATGCCAAGTTCCTCAAACATTCTGGTGTGTTTGAGAAAGCCCACGAGTTGTAAGAACAGGACAACCACCGTCATTGTCAGCCAAGTATCGGCCCATTTCTTCATCTCCTTTACAATCCAGTCGGAAGCACGGCAAACCAAAGTTCGTAACAGAAACAGAGCTCTCACCAAGGAGAGTGAGGGCTGGTTGATGGCAGCGCAGCACCAGTCCATGCGCTTGATGAGGCCGTTGAGTTTGGTGTTGAGGGATTCAAGAGTGGAAACTATTTTTCAGCGAGAACCATTTTGGAGAAGATAATGAAAATGCTTTGTTGAGATTAGATTGAATGATGAGATAATTGATCCCATTCATGGACCTCTAGTCCGCTATTTATTAAGTTTTGATTAAACATAATGTTCTTCTAACTTAGCGTCTCCGAAATGAAAAATTGTAAATTCAGCCAGAATTTTTTTACTTACTCTTTGTTACTAAAACAAGAAAATTTTGATTGTGTATATTTTAACAAAAGAAATTACACATTGATCTTAATAATGTATTACAAACAAACAAAACTAATAACGTAAATCACATGCATGCTTGATTTGGAGTTTCTGCACCTATTAAATTAGTTCAGAAATAACAAAAAAAATATACATTAAAAATACAAAATTTTTGCTTATATTTTGCTTATGTTTTGCTATATTTTGCTTAGAGTCAATGATTGCTCATATAACATAATGGAAAAGGTCGAGATTGCTAACGAAAGACTGTCTTAGAATCTAGACCCAAAAACTAACGACTGAAGTATGAGAATCGCTGGATACCTTATGCAGAAGTAGTTCACCTTTGCGCATATGTTGTCGAAGAAGCCGATGATCACTTCTAAGACCCACTCCAAAATGCTGAGATCGTTCTCGAAAGACTTTTAGAGAATTGAGTTCGCCATATTTCTTAGAAATTAGTGAAATGAGAATATTAGTAAAACATTTCATTTCATCAATTTCTCACTGGTCCACACATATATATATATATATATATATATATATATATATATATATATATATATCATCACACTTCTCGTTCGAGTTTCTTTCCTAAATTAATGAGATGGTAAATTGATATCTTCTTTCCACATATGTAATTTCTTTGCTAAATTAATCAGATGGTAAATTGATATCTTCTTTCAACATATGTGTTTAACAGGCTCATCGTGAATAAAATAACATACAGTATAAAAAGTCATAAAACAGAAATAGATACATGTTGTCATGATGATAGTTCAAAACATACGTTATATAACTTATAGTTCTCAACCTCTCATTGGTATCTTTTTTTCTTTATCTTTTTTCTTCTCTAAACGGAAACAAATTACGTGACATACTTTGCTTAGTTGGAATTATGGATTTGATATATATATATATATATATATATATATATATATATATATATATATATATATACACTTCAAGATTTTATTATTGTTGCATGGTTAATTTAACGCATTTAAAATTTAGACAGATCAACATTCTGGTTGCTATATAATTGCAATTATAGGCTACTCAATAGTATGCATGCGCTCGCAAAAAAAAAAAACGAAAAAAAAGGTTGCTCAATTGTATAAGCTGAGTAAATATATTATATAAAAAAAAAGTAAATTTTTTATTATATCATTAGTCAAAATTCAGAACCATTTCAAATTCATCACACATGATCTTAAAAATGTATATATTACAAAAAATAAATAAAAATAATGTACTTATATCACATGCACGAGGTGGTTAGCCCGCGGCATGCGCGGGCATGAGTTGTTTTGAAAATAAAAACATCTATAAGAAAAAAAAATCATAATTCAAATATTACAATAAATTTTTCTAAAACACTGAAATAAAAAGAAAACTATTTAATATAATTTAAATATTCAAACCATATCAAACGTTTTAAAAAACTTCTCTATATATCATTTGATCTTGATAGTATTAGTTTAAAATTTATTTAGGTGATGGTTACGCACCTTGTCTGGGTATAATATTTAAAAAAAAACATTAATTATTTGATATAAGTAGTAAAATTTATGATTTTATTATATCTTATTTTTGTCTTCTCTTTCTCATTTTTCAACATAAACCTCTTCATTTGTTTATAGAGACACAAAAGATTTTCCACTTCTTGTTTCTTCTCCCTCTTATTCTTCTCCAATTATCCAATCTTCTTCTTTTTCTTTCAATTTTATGCTCATTCTCCACTTCTCATCATCTTTTTCTTCTTCTTCCAATTTTTTCTCTTCAATATTTTATAGTGTCTTCATATCCTCCGGTTTTTATGCTCATATTTTCTTATGCTCATTATTTTTCGGTTTTTCTTCTTCCTCATTCCCCCTCTCTCTACCTTTATCATCTTCGTTTTCTCTAACATCATATTTTTCTAGTTTTTATTTATCTCTTCTTTGCCTTTTTTCTCTTCACATTCTATTTTTTTTGTTTGATTTCTTTTTCCTCATGTTCGAGTTTTCTTCTTCTTCTCTAAATTTCCCATTTTCTTTTTCACCGTCTTCTTTTCTTTTACTTATGTTTTTATTCGTTCTTTTTAACGTCTTGTATTTCACCTATCAATTCATTCGATAGTTTAGATTTTCAAGATTTGAAAAATAGTTTTATCTTTATATAGTCGAGATCTTTTTAAAATCTATTACTTTTGTTATCTTTCGATTCTGGATTTGCTTTAATTATTTTAGTTTTTTTCTATTTGCAAATGTAATTTAGAAAGGTAGATATAGATTTATAATCATTGATTCTTAATTTTGAAATTCTTCCATAATAATTCATATTTTTAAAAATGCACCAAAAACTAAACCCTAAATCCATTAATATAAACCCTACACCCTAAACCCAAACCCCACAGAGTAACACCACCTCCCGTTAAACAACCCTACACCCTAAACCCAAACGCCACAGTGTAACACCACCCTCCCTCCCTTAAACAACCATGCACCCTAAACCCAAATCGCACATTATAACCCCACCAAACCGCACACCCGAACCCTACATTTTACAAATTGGTTCTGGACTTTATCTTTTAGTTTTACTTATTTCTTAAAAATAGTTTTTTTTGGTTTTAACCGGTAATGTAGTGTATTAAATTTTCTTAAAATGCACCAAAAACTAAACTTACACCATCAGTATAAACCGTACATCGTAAATCCCAACCCATTTTTATATTCTTCATCCTTTACATTGTCTTTTACTTCTTTCATATTTTTTCCTTCATTTTCTACTTTTTGTTTTCTTATTCTTTTCAAACTTTATAATCTCTTTTTTATTTCCTCTCTTTATCGTCATCTTTTTATTTCATGGTTTTTATTCATTTTCTTTCTTTTATTTAATTTTTTTTTTCCAATTAACTTTGTGTTATAATTCTTTGTTTTTTATCTTTTGATTTTTCCAACTTCTTTATTGTTCACATATTCTTCAATTATTTTCTTCTTTTGTTATGTTTCTTTCATTTTTTTCCGTCTTCGTCTTCCAACTTTTGTCTTTTCAGTTGTACTTCTTTAATCTCCTTTATTTTATTTCTCTTCTGTAATATCTTAGTTTTCTGGTTTTCTTTGTCCTTTTTCTCATACTTTAATTCCATTTTTTTATCTTCTGGTTTTCTTCTTTCAATTTTTCCTTTTTATTCTCAGCTCTTATGTTCTTTTCCTTCTCATTATATATGTTTTGTTATCTAAATCCATTTTTTTGGGGCGTTATACTTTGCTTCTTCTTCAGTACTGATCCAGGTTGATTTAAATGGTTTGTTATTTTTTCTTAGCTCTCGTTGTTATTTATCTCATCTTTGTCTTTTTCTCTTCACCTTCCATTTCTTATTCTTTGATTTCTTTTTTTTCTCTTTTTCGAGTTTTTTTCTTCTTCTCCAAGTTTCTCATCTTCTATTTCATCGTCTTCTAGTTCAATTTTTATTCGTTCTTGTCTACATATTTTATTACACTTGTCAATTCGTTTGATAGTTAGATTTTTATAAATTTGTTAAATAATTTTTATCTTTATATAATCGTGCTATTTTTAAAAATCAAATCTACTGGTGTCGTTAAATTTTGATTCTCAATTTTTAATTTGTGAATGTATTCTTAATGATATATATTTTTATTTTTGATATATTATCATAATTAATCAATTGTTTTTTAAAATGCATCAAAAACTAAACCCTACATACATCAATATAAACCCAAACCCCACCTTTATAACCCCCTAAACCCTAAACCCTAACCCTACAGTAACCCTAAACTAAAAATCATACATACTCCATAACCATATATTATATAATTGTTTTCGGTTTGCATAAAATGTTTTATTTCATCTTATTTTTCTTTTTCCTCTTCATCTTATTTTTCTTTTTCCTTGTATTCTCTTTATTTTTTCTTCCACATATTTGGTTCCATTTGATTTTTAAAATTTGATTGATTGATTATAAAATGAGTATTAAAAGATATAAATGAACTCACTGATTTATGTAAGGATTTTTTTATTTTTCTTCTCTAACTTTATATCTTCTTCTTCAGTTTTTTTTTTTTTTGTTTTATCCATCTAATTCTTCTTTTTGTATTAATTTTATTCATTTTGTTCTTTGCATTTTTTAATTTATGTTTCTTCTCTTTCTTTCTAACTTCTTCTTCATCTTCTATTATTATTTCTTTCGGTTTTTCTTTGTCTTCTTCTTCCCCTCTTTCTTAAATGTCCTGTCTTCCTTAACTTCTCATTCTTCTTGTTTTTATTTGTCTCATCTTCATCATCTTCCTCATCTTTTCTTTCTTCTTCTTCTTTCACTTCTTCTTCCTCTTTTTCTGTTATTCCTCCATCTTTTCCATATTAATTTCTTCTTCATCTAATCCATATTCTTCTTTTTAATTCTTGTTTTTTGGTCTTGTTCTTGTTCCTTGTCCTTCGCAACAGTTTTTCCCATGTTTGTTCTTCTTTTCCTCCATCTCTTTAGGTTTTGATTTTTTTTTTCCTCGTCTTCTCATTTTTCTTCTATTTCATCAGTTTCATCTCTTATAGCTTATTTTGTGATTTTTTGCCTTTTTCTTCCATCTTATTATTCCCTATTTTATTTGTATCATCTTTTTTTTTGTCTTCTTCAGTTTTCTTCTTTTTCATCGTCTTTGTCATTCATCATATTGTTTTAATTTTTTTTTAAGTAGTCTTTGTTTAAAATCGACAGTGTTAGTGTATTCAATTTT